ACTATAGACTGTAATCTATCTTTGTATATATATTCTCGTTTATAGCCCGTTTTACTATTTTAAATAAAGATTAATAATCTGATATCTATTCTTATTCTTTTTCTATTTACCTCTTATAGATAGTCTAATAGTTAGTCTTATTTATTTAAGGATTTCTTCTCCGAGAGGACTTTATTAGATCCTTATTATACTCTTTAATATCTAGAGAAGGTTTCTTTATCCTTAGGGGTTTCACAAAAGCTTATTAAAAGTACGTCCTTTTTATTACTATAATATGATTTACCTAGCTAAGGATAAATTTTCTAAAGAAAGGTATAAGATATAGAAACTTATCAAGCTCCTTTTATTCTTTAAAGACTAGCTACTTAGTAATTCTTATTTGATGAAAAAGCAATAGTCTGATTCCTAATAAACTTCCTTTAAATCTAATTACCTCTATACTATACTAGAATATCTATATCTTCTTTTTAGTAAAGTAGATAGAACTAAAGATGACTCTTGGGAAATATTCTTTATATATCTTTATAAATAGAACTTTAAAGTAGATAGTGCTTCTAAGATAATCATCTATAAATAGGTAGAAAGACTAATTACTATAGTCCCCGATAAAGCTTGGAAACTTCCCTCTTTTCTTATTAGCTAATAAATTATTAAGAAGCTTATCCCTCTCTTTGCTTAAAGATTTCTTTTCCTCTGTAGTGGCAGTTAAGTAGTCTTATAGCCTGTTAGATTCCTCCTTCTCCTAGGCTAGAAGGGGACTAAATATAATATCAGTAAATTAGATATATATTAATCTAGAATTAATCAAACCTATCCCTATTTACACTATTCTATATTAGCTATAAGGAGTAATAATTACTACTTTATATTCATTACCGCCCTTTATATATATAGCCTAGTAGCTATAGTTTATGTCTACTTAAAATAATACTCGAAACTTTATCTTTATAGTAGTATTAATAACTTTATCCATTAAGTGTGATAGATAGTTATTTAGGATTATCTATCGATTAACTAGGATGAAGTTATATACTAATCTGAAATCTCTATCCTTCTTTAGGATGAACTGTGTTCGGGCCTTTTATTGTAAGGATATTTAAACTATTATACCTACTTCTTCTAATAGTGGAAATATCTTTACGGCGAATTCTCTTTCTTTATATGAATATTGGGGTATCTTAGCTCTTACAGATATTACTCTAGGCTTCAGATTAATAGAATACTTAATAAGATCGGTTAGACGGATGTCTCGAATAGACTTAGTAAATATATCCCTCTATATATAAGCTAACCTCTTCGCCTAATTTCTTTATTTATCTATATCTATAGTCTCACTGATTATAATTTCTGTTTAATCAAACTAAGTATTAATTATTGACTAATCTGCGGTACTTAGTAATTACTTCTTTAGCCTTCTTCTAGTAGGGAACACTTTCTTCTTATTCAAACAGTAAAGATCTATCTTTTATTCTCCTAGATATTAAGGCTCACTTACTGATCCCATAAATACTAGTTTAGCCTTCTGATAGAACTAGATCTATATACTATGCCGAGATATTCGACTTTTCAATTCCTTCTATAAAATCTAGATTTAGATAGGATCTCTAGTATTGTGAATTATTACAGTTTTAGCTGTATTTATTTACGTTTTATAATATATATTAGTTAAATCAGATATTACTTAGCTGGAGCTAGACTATATAATTATATATAAGTTTTACTTAGGTTTCTTAAATGTGGATAAATCTTTTTTGAGGTTTTTAGAGTTTTTAATACTTTCTATTTAGTCTATAAAATAGACTTTTCTCGGATAAGAATAGAGTACTTAACTCTCTTAAGCTAAGATCTCTAGTTTCCTGTATTATTATAGTCAATAACCTCCTATAGAGCTATATCTACCTTATCATTATCTATAACATTAAACTAAACGGTAGAGAACTTATCTAGTGTTTTAATAGGAGCTTGTTTGTATCGGATCTAGAATCACTATCTATTCTGTCCTACGATCATCATAACTCTAGATCCATAGTCGATCATAAGTCTAATCTGTCGTTACTATTGAATTCCTAAAAGTAACTTGTACGTTATAATAGAGATCGAGTAGTATTTAATAATTATTTCCACTCCTTTAATATTCATAGGTAAAAGAATATACTTCCGAAGTTAATAAATTGAGTTATCTACTAGATTTATTTCTTTTTTGGTATCTTCGTATATTCGGAGTTAGAGTTTCTTCACCATTTTCTCAATAATTAGTTTGACTAATAACCCTCCGTCTACCAATATACATAGGAATAAATACTTATCAACCTATATAATCATAAATAATAGTACAAATTTACTATCGTCGTCAAATACAGTATCATATATTAACGATAGGTTTCCCTAGATAACTATTCCCTTATCTCAATTAACCGACGTTTAGATTGCTACATTTATAGTAGACTTTACCCGAACCTTTTATATCCAGTACCGTGGTTTTCCACTTTATAAACTCTAGATAAATTCTTTCCGAAGTTGGTTACTAGAATCTAATAGCTACCCTAAAAACAGAGTTATAGGTGTACTAACTAATACCTCTTAGATTCAAAATTGCTACCTATTGGCCATCACTCGAATAATCTCTAGTTACTTCGGAGATTCTACTCCTATTTATACTTGTTCAGTCATAAATTATCCAGTCTCAGATTGGTAACCTAAATATATCCTGGATAGACCCACAGTGAAGTTGTATATCTAGTACTCTCGCTATTCGGGTATAGCTAACGAATCTTCCGCCACTACACTAACACTAGTAGACTGTTGCTAATAAGCTAATTCCGGGTGAATAGTCTACTAAACTTATTCACTCATCAACTACTAAAAACCTGCCGGATTCATATTAGTACTCAATCGATTAAGTAGTTATTACCCTACTCTGCAGATCGGTTCTTTAGCAGCGGATTTACTCTTAGCCTATAGCCAACTAACTATATATACAATATCTCTAACCACTATTATATAGTAGGATCCTTATCTTTTATACAACTCCTCTTTAGAATCCTAAAGTAGGGGCTATAAAATCACTTTCGCTGTAACTAGTTAGACTTAGATTTTATTCAGATAGACCGATATATAGTATCCCTACTAATTGTAATTCTAATACTATACTCCGGACAAGTCTCTCTTCTACTAAGATCGGATGTTCTATCTGCCTTCTCTTTGTTAATTAGGTTGAGACTAAGAAACTAACTTTAGCTAAGCAGCAACGTAATCTTTAAGTAATATATTAATTCCTTATATCATTACTCTCATCGTATTATTATTAAAGATCTTTAGTAATAGCTCCTCTACCTATACAGAGACTGTACAGATTTAGTTTATATAAATCTATTTTAAGATCTTCTGTACAGTTTTAAAATCTTTAACATTATCATATAGTAGGTTATACTCTACTTAATTATACTTCATCTTATCCCGAAAGCCATCAACAACCTTTCTGATCAAATACTTATATAGAATATAGGCCCTGAAATATAATTAAAAATCGTCGACCCTCTCTAGATAAGTAACAAACCTTTTATTCTAACCTTAAGTTAATGACTCAAATAATTAATCTATTCGCTCGTACATTCGCTCTTCGTCGTCTTTCTAAATCTTATACCTCTCTAGGAAAACATTCTTTAGCAGCAGCCAGTTCTAGTAAGTTAATCATTCTAGATCATTATACTACCTTTCGGCCTTTCTAGACAAGTTATTCCTAAACAATATCTTACTATTATATTGCATTTAGATAAAGATCTCATATGTTGCCGTATTGAAGGAACTCACATCCAGGTCACAGTCTCTCAGCTTCTCGTTGACTAAGATCTACTCCATATATTCCCGTTTCACGAACTCTTCAACGTCTTTCACAAAATCGCGAGAGTCTTCCCTCTCATCTTATCAACTATAAAATATTTGAATCTTTATTAGATTAGGTATCTTTAATAATACTAAGATTTTTGAAGTATCAGAGATTAGTAAAGTTAGTAAAGTTTTAGTCTTCTCATGCCTTAATTTATCACGCTAAACTTCGATGGTAAGATTGGCAATAATCCACTCGATCTCTATTAGGAATCGGTTTTCTTCTATCCACTTCTCTTCTCACCTGTATTAGAGCCCCCCTCTAGAACCACCAAATCTGAGGGGTCTCTGGGCTACCCTGGTAAGATCAGGACAAGAATCTGTGTATAGAGAAAACTAGCAATAGGGGGTGGGACTCGGTCTGCTACGGCTAATAGTCGTATCTCGGGCACTACACCTCTCCGCGAGGCCAGTGTTAGACGACTGCGACGATTACACACCACAGAGAACGAGTCTCCGACAGCAAGATAACTACTAAGAACAAACTTCGATACGATCAACGATCTTCTTGACGGCAGGCAAGGTGTTCATTCTCTTCCTAAAAAATATTCGGGGCATACCCCTCTTTTCCCTCCTTCCTTGATCATGTGATTCCCCTGATATAATAATGATAACGATATTTATTCCGCAAAAAAATGTGTCACATGATCCCTGTCCTCTTCATCTGCCGCCGTCAGGCGGGAAAACCTGGCAAATTAGCTTTCCGCGAGCCTTGCTGTGAAGATCGCGTGCAAGGAGAGTCTAGAACACATCGAAGTAGTAGCACACTGTACATAGCTACTGAGTACTGTTAAGTATTCAGTGTCAATGTCAGTAGAGTGACATTGACAGAGACGAAAACGGAGAAACTGCGACCCTGGAAGCTTTGGGGCAAGGTTGCACTAGGCCCAATTCGGAACTGACCTGCGACGATCATCGCCCAGCACAATCTCTGATTGGCGCAACTCTCAGATTCACAGGACTGGGGCAGTGGTACTATCTGATCTTCGCATCGGGACCTCCGAAAAGAAGAAAAGAAAAAAAATTGGGGGCGAATGCGGGACTTTCTCTATATACCGAGACCCCTCCAATTTTCCTCTCACTATCTTGAGACTCGGACCTGCTGAGAATCGGCTATGGGCTTTCTCGACACTTTTCGAGGTCGCGAAAGCACTACCCAGACCGCAGGGGGAGTATATAAGGAGAATCAAAATGAGAAACCCCTCACCGATGGCCAACGGCCAGACGAGGCTGAGACACCGATCTCAGACGGGTCGCATCAGGGCGACATGTTCGACGATGCGAAAGAACTAGCGCATAACCCCGACACAGTCACCAGCGATGCGGAACTGGGTCAGCAGAAGGCCGAAGCAGCGGCGTTGGTATGGGGTCGGCCGGCGTTGGTGGGGATCTATGCATGGTGAGTGAAGAGCGATCATTGGGATTGGAACTTGGATCTGACGGGGACAGGATCTGGATTTGCACATTCATGTTGGCGTTCCATTCGACGATCAGCGGTGTCTTGATCAACTATATTCAGAGTGAATTCCAAAGCGCACCCCAGGTCTCGACGTCGTACATTTTGGCCAATATCGTGGGCGGGGTTATGAAACTCCCTTTGGGTAAGACGCTGAATCTGTGGGGTCGTGCAGAGGGCACCGTCGTCTCTGTCTCGGTGTACCTGCTTGGCATGGTCGTGCTGGCCTCGTGCAATGGACCCAGCGGGTACGCGGCGGGCTACACGCTGTATTGGATCGGGTACTATTGCTTGTACCTAATTTTGAATGTGTTTGTGGCCGATACTTCTGGTCTCAGGAACCGAGCGTTCGCTTTTGGATTTATGCAGACGCCGTTCATCTGCACGGCCTTTACGGGATCGCTGGCTGCGAACTCTATCTATACTAAGTATGGCTGGCGCTGGGGATACGGGATCTTTTGCATCGTGACGCCGTTCGTCTTCTTGCCGCTGGCGATGGTGTTCAAGTATTATGAAAAGAAGGCAGTGAAGCAGGGTATTCTCCGCAGGCAACCGAGTGGTCGGACGACGATACAGTCGATCATTCATTACATTCACGAGTTCGATGGTAAGGACCCTCCAGCATTTTTTGATCCCCAGTCCCTAATGAGTTCTAGTTGTGGGAGCATTCTTGCTCATGGCCGCCTTCATCCTGTTCCTGCTGCCGTTCAGTCTGGCGCAGAATGGCCGTGCCGAATATGCAGGCGCAAGCTTCATCGCTCCTCTTGTCATCGGCGTCGCGATGTTCTTTGTCTTCGCCGCATGGGAGAAATGGGGTGCACGAACCCACTTCATTCGATATGAATTGATCAAGCGTCCCACCATCCTGGGCGCCTGCATATTGTCCGCCACTCTTTTCTTCAGTTTCGAGCTGTGGGACCAGTACTTCTACAACTTCATCATCATCACCTATGACATCGGCACCGTCTACGCAGGATACATGCTCCAGATCTACAACGTCGGCTCATGCTTCTTCTCCCCGGTCATCGGAGCCATCATCTGGTCCACAGCACGCTTCAAGTATATTTCCCTGTTTTTCGGAGCCCCCCTGATGCTCCTCGGTTCCGGATTGATGATTTACTTCCGTGGCGCCGACCATGGCATCGGCTACATTGTGATGTGTCAGATTTTCATTGCTTTCGCCGGTGGCACCCTCGTCATTGGCGAAGATATGGCCGTCATGGCCGCCGGTGGTCGCGAAGGCACTCCGATGATGCTGGCCCTCATCGGACTGTTCTCGAACATGGGTGGTGCCATCGGCTTGGCTGTCGGTGCAGCCATCTATAACAACGTCTTCGTCGATACCCTCGCCGGGCAATTACCACCGGACCTGAAAGCCAACGCTACTCAGATCTACACCGACGGTATCAACGTCCAGTTGACCTATCCCTTCGGCACACCGCTTCGAGATGCGGTCGCATACACCTGGGGCCATGCCCAGCGCATGAACTGCATTGCCTCGACTGCTATCTTGGCTCTGACCATTCCCTGCATCATGGCCTGGAAGAACTACGATGTCAACCAGAAGCAGAACAAGGGTCGCATGATCATTTAATCGAGTTTCCGTGCATAGTATACCCGTCATGATTCGCGGGTTGGATATTTTCGTTTGTTCTCGTTGCCCTTGGCTCGACCCATGTTCTGCCGTGCAGAGCGAGGTCCTGTGCTGTTAATGCACATCTATTGTAATTATTTCCTGACTATGGAGGATCCCAAAGTACATAAACCAAAATCTATCTTTGCATCTAATTCTGTGCTTGAAGTAAGCAACCTCGGAATACACTTTCACGCCGAGGCGCCACGCAATATTGAAAATCAACTGATTTATGTGGGCTGACTCGTTCTATTGAACAGCCCTGGCGCACTAGGCTAGCTGCATCATGACTCAAGAACTTGAATCAAATCCGAACACACCTCAGAACCTGTTGAACTGACGTGAGATTCACTGTAGCCGTGCACGAGGCATCAAGCCAAGACCGAAACACGAAGCTTGCATTTCGGAAGCATCCGGTGCATAATTTAATGAATGACAGTGCCGGGCAGCCCTGGAGATGCCTCAACTCGATCTGAAGAGTGGACCTGTTGCGGGGATAAAGATGGCACTACCCCATAATTGTCCGATAACCAAAGTCCTTCCAAGGTGAGAACCATCATCAAATTTGTACAGTGATTAAGGAGAAAAGCAACAGGAATAAGGAAATCGCTTTGGCCGCTTCATTCGCCCCCCTCAAATGGTGATTAGGCGCATAGCCGTTTGCCGGCTTCTGACCCCTGCCACTCCGGACGGACTATACACCTCCGGATCAGTCGCATGTTCAAAGAATGGCCTCACTCTTGCATTCAGGGGCTCTGTATACACGTGTGGAGCTCTGGCGCCTAATCATATGTGGTATTCCACCCAAGTATTAACTGCGTAAGTTGAGCCTCTTGGACCTCGGGACGCCTGCAGATCAGATCCATGACTTCCAGGGTTGGGCTGTTTAGTTTCGGCGCTCGGCGCGTACCCCGATGCCTTGGGTCTAGTGCGCGCTTTTGTAATATGGTCTTTCCTAATGCTTGATTCACTTCTTCTCTTTCACTCCTGGGATCTCTCCAGATTTCTCTAGCCCGGCGTTTGGTACCTTAATCGCCATCCAAGACCTTACAGAAAAGGGCCCATGGCCTTGACCCAATACATTTTGAGACTTGAGATTATCAAAGCGAACCTTTGACCAGAATTAACTTCAGTTGACCTGCGTCTTCAACACCTAGCTTTCTAGTCAAAGGGAAATTGTCGCAAAATGATGAACGACGAAAGCACGTGCTTCGCTGCTCATTGAGAACTTTCCTCAACACACGATACCCAGAACTAAGCAATAACTAACACGCTTTTTGTGAATAGAATCCTCCTTCGACGACCCCACGCCCACAGCGAGCAGCCGAAACATAAAAACAACATCAGAAGAGGTCGATCTCGAACATGGCTCCAGTGAAGCAGACACCAAAGACCCAGAAATTCCCCGAGACCCCAACATCGTCGACTGGGATGGGCCCGACGATCCAGAAAACCCACTAAACTGGACATCGAAGAAAAAGTTCGGCGCGACAATGTCCATTGCACTAATAACTCTCCTCACGTACGCCCTCCGATCTATACGCAAAGACCGACGCTGACGGTACGCATGACAGACCCCTGGGATCATCGATGTTCGCTCCCGGCGTACCGAAACTAGTCCAAGAATTCACCGTGACAAGCACCGAGCTGTCGTCGTTCGTGGTATCGGTATACCTGGTAGGATACTGTTTCGGTCCTTTGCTCATTGCGCCTCTATCGGAGATGTACGGCCGGCAATACATATACCATGTTTGCAATATTCTCTACGTGATTTGGACAGTTTGCTGCGCCGTCGCGCCGGAAATAGGAAGTCTGATTGTGTTTCGATTCCTGGCCGGGTTCGCTGGCAGCTGTCCGCTGACGATCGGTGCTGGATCCATAGCAGACATGTATGTCCAGGAAAAGAGAGGGGGCGCAATGGCAGTTTGGGCCATTGGACCACTGATAGGACCCGTCATTGGTCCAATTGGTATGTATTCTGCCTTCCTCATGTTTCCACGCTGATGTGAGAATCGAAGCTGGTGCATACATCACGCAGGCAAAGGGCTGGAGATGGAGCTTCTACGTCCTGGCAATGGCAGTAAGATACAAGAATCTCACCTATCGCTACTCTGTACTAAATATATACTCTCGCAGAGCGGCGCCATTGCCATCAGCTCATTGTTCACCATCCGCGAGTCGTACGCGCCTACGCTTCTAGCACGAAAGGCCAAGAAACTCCGCCAGGAGACAGGGAATGCGAATCTGCGCTCTGCGCTCGAATCAAACCGCACGACAAAAGAGCTCTTCCTTCTCTCCATCGTCCGACCGGCTAAAATGCTATTCCTCTCACCAATCGTATTCCTCCTATCTCTTTACGTGGGCTTAGTCTACGGATACCTCTACCTTCTCTTCACGACCATCACGACCGTCTTCGCAAATACCTACGGCTTCAACCAAGGAAGCGTAGGACTATCATACCTCGGTATTGGAATCGGCTCAATAATCGGCTTAATCCTTCTAGGCGCAACATCCGACAAACTGCTAACCTATCTATCTGCCAAGAATGGCGGAGAGAAGAAACCAGAGTATCGTCTACCTCCTATGATTCCAGGCTCATTGTTCGTTCCAATTTCGCTGTTCATGTATGGCTGGACAGCGTACTACCATACTCATTGGATTGTGCCGATTATCGGGACTTCGTTCCTCGGTCTTGGGATGCTGATTACTTTCGTATGTGTTTCTGGTATAATTTGCTCTGTTGTATACAAGGCTAATGTGATCTGCTAGATGGTCGTTAGCACATACTTGGTAGATGTGTTTACGGTCTATGCTGCCTCTGCAATGGCGGCGAATACGGTTTTTAGATCTCTGGCCGGTGCCCTGCTTCCCCTTGCTGGGCCGAAAATGTATGCGGCGCTTGGGTTGGGGTGGGGGAATTCGCTGCTTGGGTTCATTGCGTTGGCGTTCTGTGTGCTGCCCGTTCTCTTTTGGGTGTATGGGGAACGTATACGCACTAGTCCGCGATTCCAAGTTCAGCTTTGAAGATCAGAGGATCACTCTTCGAGTTCTGAAGTTCTGAAAGTTTTTGTTTGGAAATAACTATTTTGTATACGATTTCTGCACTTGAAGGGAAGTGTTGCATGATTCTTTGTAGAGTACCGAATGACAATTGCTCCGTAATGTCTACGGGTTAAATGCTAGTTCGTCGGCCTATTTAGCCGTACCGGCGGGAGCTTCCATGGCTTGCAGCTCGGTGGATCTGTCTTTCTCCTCGAGCGTATGGGACATCGTGCAGAATGCCATGATCCCACCATACACCCCGACACAAAAGAATATCTCAAGGAATGATCTAGCTGCCAGGGAGTTGCTATCCTCCTTGAAGGTGTACGAGTACATGGGTTGGTACCAACGGAGAAAGTCGACCAGCCACATGAAGGTCATGGCAGAAAAGGCAATACTGGCACAAAGCAAGGCAATGGCAGGACCCTGATTTGTCAACTCAAAGTCACAAATTGACATCGTGGGGCAAATCACTTACTCTAAGGGCTGGTTGCGTTCGTTTCGCCTTGACAACGAGGAAGGCAGACCAGGCTGTGATCTCCCACGAAGCCAGCCAAAGAATCACATAGCGTGTAATTTCAACAGGCTGGTAGTTACCTTCAAGTACCAAGAAGACAAAGTAAATAATGACCCATAAAGCGAAATCGGCAATGCTCAGGGCAACAATGAGCGACATAACCACCCAATGGACCACGTTAATCCTAAAAGGCAATTTTCCCCCATTGCTCAACCGTTCCAGCAAAATATGGACGAGCCGATGAAAAGTGCAACACAAAAAGCAATTTGCGGCATGCGCAAATAACAGACACAGAAGATGGTATATGGAGTTAGCTTCGACTAGCTCAAACGGCGTAGTCAAGCGATTGAGAATGCCCTCAACCACATACCAGATGTACGACCTGGCATCGAGATTGAATCAGTACCATTCGGTCGGGAGTCAGGACTTGACTCACCAAGCCCAGGCCCAGAGGGCAGCCATAATGGCCCATATTGGCAGTATCTCCCACTCAACCCCTTTCTGCCGGCGCGCGACCAAAAATGCAGAACTACCCAAGAGCCCCACCGTGACAAATAAATCAAGCACAATAAGCGCGATGGAGATCCCCGTTGATTTGGGGTCTGACTCCGTCCACGATTGTTGGGTCATTTTGCAGATGGGAAAATCGTGAATGTGTCGGGGAAAGGCTTTTCGAACTAGCCAAGCTTTGCAGATCAGCTTCGTGGCGGTGTCTTGCAGCCTACATCCTTTGTTTGACCTTGAGTACTCGAGGAAATTCGGAAGAAAACAGTACAAAAACTAGCATAGTACACCCGCATATTCGATTATCCATGTCCTACAAAATCCTTCATGCTTTGTCGGTGAATGCATTGTCGTCTGCGATCAGGCCATATTGGGAGCCACATGTGCCAGGACCCGCTAACTATCTGGCCCGGCCCTAGAAGTATGCTTGGCTTGGAAGATTCGGTTGAGAGCACGGGGTAACTGAGGCACAGTTCACATGTGTGCATCGACCAGTCCACGGGTATGTTGGGGTAGAAGGACAAACCTTGAACCTGAATCGCAAACTTCCGCGAGACAGAAACGTGCAGAACCGATCGACGCAAACTCCAGAAACATGAGCTATAATCTGAAACTGTTATGAAATCTAGCGAACTGGAGTAGATGTGACGTAAAAATTGGGTTTGTTGCAATGCAGAACCTGTCCTATCACTCACCATGTACAATATGTGGCGTCTCTCCGTAGTCCAGCCATCATCCAAGGCCATGAAGTCATGTTTGATTCAATTTCCCGGCCGGATGTACCTGAATATAATCTATCACGGGCTGATCTGCGTGTGGGTATCTATCGGATCTTAACAGTTCTAGGCTGTCTATTGGCGGGTTGCCTGGTAAGGCTGCTCGGCGCCCAAATTTCGGTGGTTCGGATTGGACTAAGATCAGATCCTGCGATGCTATAATAGTCCAGTGGGCCTGGCCTGCCACTGGCTTAAACGCTTCTTTAACTTAGATTGACTAATACTATGGATCTATACAAGATACCGTTTAAGAGGTGTCTTACCCATCGCTTCGAGTGTTTTGGACATCCTTCTGACACCGGGAGCATCTATAAGTAACTGGAGATCTATAGAAAAGTCGGTGACTCGGTAGATTCTGCAACATGTTCCTTGCAGCATTGCAGCGTCCCAAAAATGAACCCCGATGAAAAAGCAAAAAGGAAAAAATCTCATAATATAGACTCCGTCGATCCCGCCTTTTAGACACGTCGATCATGTTTCATCTCATCAAAGTAGTAAAACTGCCGTTTCTACCGGTCTGAAAAACGTTTTTTTCTTCCTCTCACCCCAGCTATGCCAGGTCTAACGGCGTTCCTGATCTTATAAATGAGATTGTCGTCCAATTGGAGTGACCCCGTGGAGCCAACGAAGGTGGGCTGCAAATGTGCCAATCACGGGGAATGAGTACGGACCGAGGTCGGGCAGCGGTATCGCGAATATGAATCTGGGCTAAGCCCGTGTTTCTTTTTTTTTTAATTGTTTTTTTTTACTTCGTTTAATTTATACTCGATTCATTCCGTTTCTAAATGGCAACCACCAATGCCGTCCCGTCGCAGTCATACGAAGTCTAGGAAAGGGTGCTTGGAGTGCAAACGAAGACATGTCAAGGTGTGATATACCCGCTCAGTTCTTGCTCGAGAAGTTGACCGCCAGAGTCTAACATCTACAGTGCGACGAGGGAATTCCAAAGTGCAGCTTGTGCAGAAAGCGAAAATTGGAATGCAGCTATCCACCCCCAAATGAAGATGCAGACAGCCCCCAAGGGTCTTCGATCAACCAAGACGAGGTAGAAGGCAGCGCAACCGGAGAACTTCCCCAGGCCACCCGGATGATGGAAGCGCGATTGTTCCACCAATATATGACATCTACCTATCACACCTTGGCGCAAGATGGACTATCGGCCAACCATCTCTCGGTCAACATCCCCCGCCTAGCCACATCATTTGTTTACCTTCTCGACGGTATACACGCCCTGTCAGCCCTCCACTTAGCCTCGATCGAGACCGACAACCGAGTATCCTGGTTGGATGCGGCACTGCGATACCAAAGCCAGGCCTGTTCCGGTCTCGGGAAGGTCCTGGCCGATATAACGACCCGGGAATATGAGCCGGCCTTCGTCACTTCGATTTTCATCATGCTGTTTGCCATGGGATATCGAGTGATCTCGGTCGATACAAAACCACCCGATCCGCTCTCGTTGGTGCGTGAAATCCGCACATTGATCTCGGGCCCGGCCATGTTATTCGACAAAATAGTCAAAGGCGGATTTACCGCCAAATTGGAACACTGGATGCATGTTCCTGACACCAAAGAAAGTCTGCCGGACGTGACAAATACTAAGTATGGCCCTTGCACCTCTCGAGGTCCGTGGCGGGATATTAACGCATGGCAGTACTGACACGTCCACGGACACCAATATCTTATTTCGCCTTCACGCGTATGTGATCAGAGCCGGAGCCGGAGACGGGGATCAAAAGCTAACAGTCAATAGAAACATAATAACGTCGCTGGATCGACTACACACCACTATTAATACGAATAAAGGGCCACACCACTCCGCCTACCAAGTCACTTGGCAACAACTGTACCAAGCCATCGAGCCATGGCCCAAGATCGGACCGCAGGGCGGCCCTCTGGCATGGCCTCTCTTCCTCTCCGACGAGTTCTTCACACTCATTCAAAACGGCGACTGGATCGCCCGTGTCCTATTTCTGCATTATGGCACCGCGATGCGCCTTCTGTGTCATCGATGGTACGTCCGTGATTGGGGTCGGCGGTTAGTCTTGGCAACGTTGGAGTCGTTGGAGGATATCCCACCCGAGTGGGTAGATACGATATCGTGGATCAGACGAGCGGCCGAAAGAGAAGACTAGCTGCAATATAAGTCCATTTGATAAGAACCAACGCTCGGCCCCGCTGAAATGACCCGTTATCTCGTGAGTCCACGGAGTCATCGCGTGCTTATCCCAAATTTGGTCCGACATTTTCTATTTAGTCGTATATCTTCCGTCTGATGTCTTTGTCCCTGTTCAGTTCCCCTGTCTCTGCCCCTGCACTTTTCTTTTCTTTTTCGGTCAGGCCCAATGCAACGCAACCAAAGCTTAAACGGTCGTGTGTGATATGCCGCATATGGACCTGATCGGCGCCCAAGATGTGGAGAAGCAGGTAAAAGAGCTATCTCTCCCCGCCCTTTTCCCCTCATTTAAAGAAGCTAACGGCTATATAATGATAAGTCTTTGACTGCGAAGGATTATTCCAAGGCTCCCCCGAATATCCGTGAAAACCGATCCATCCTTGCCCTGATCATGGCACCAATTCGGCTGGGCCTCTTCGCAATTTTGTCGCTTCTCTTGATAGTGACGTATTTGCCGACAGTCAGGACTTCACCTGTGGAATTTTCAGAGCGCGATTCCCATGCCGATCATGGATTGCGGGCTGAAGTTGCTCCGGGGAAGCTGGGCGCAATTGCTAGTGAAAGTGCCATTTGTTCTCAGCATGGAGTGGATATCCTGAAAATGGGCGGCAACGCTGCTGATGCTGTGAGTGTATCTTGGATTTTGTGACTTATTTTGGGGACTGGGGCTGATAATGGGGCAGTTGGTTGCCACTAACCTTTGTGTTGGTGTTGTCGGTGAGGATATAGGAGCCCAAGCATGCCAAAACTAAACCGCTAATAAAGGACAGGCATGTACCACAGCGGAATTTCTGGGGGTGGCTTTATGCTCATCAGGGCACCCAATAAGACCTATGAGTTCATTGATTTCAGAGAAACCGCCCCCGCCGCAGCCTTCGAGGATATGTTCAAGAACAAGACCGATGATGCTGTTAGCGGCGGGCTAGCAAGGTAATAACCGATCAATTATGGTCGCTGCGCAATTCCCCCAAGCTAACCATATGACTAGCGGAGTCCCCGGTGAATTGAGAGGTCTTGAAACCCTTCACAGAAAGTACGGCACACTGCCATGGGCGACACTCGTACAACCAGCCGTTCGAACAGCCCGTGAAGGATTCACCGTTGGAAGAGATCTGGTCCGATACATGGAGTCCGCGGTCGGCGATGGAGAAGACTTCTTATCGAAGAACCCGACTTGGGCTATCGACTTTGCTCCCAATGGAACTCGTCTCGGGTTGGGTGATAAAATCACTCGACACCGATACGCAGATACTCTCGAAGCCATTGGGAAGCATGGCCCCGACGCATTCTACACCGGACCTATTGCAGAGACTATGATCAATGCTTTGCAAAGTGCCAACGGGACCATGACTCTGGATGATCTGAAGAATTACACTGTGGCCATTCGGAACGTGTCTCATATCGATTATCGTGGGTATAAGGTCACAGGTTGCACTGCGCCCTCGAGCGGCGTCGTTGGTTTGAGTATCCTGAAGATCCTGGGGACGTATCCAGGACTTTTCTCCAACGAGTCGGCTCTAAATCTGAGCACTCATAGATTGGACGAAGCGATGCGGTTTGGTTATGGACAGGTAAGAAACTTGAAATGTGTCTGGCAGAACAAGGGCTGATCCGAAACTATAGAGAGCCAATCTAGGCGATCCCTCGTTCGTTGATGGGATTTCTCAATATGAGTCCAATATGCTGGATCAAGCTACGGTTGACGAGATCCGATCGAAGATCTCGGATGTTCGTACTCAGAATGTGTCGGCTTATGACCCAGCTGGGTTGGAAAGCCTGGAAACGTGAGTTGCAATTGTCTGATTTTGACGCATTAGGCTCACATATTTCGCAGTCCCGGAACATCGCACATCGTGGCAGTCGATCACACCGGCCTTGCGATCTCGGAAATCACGACAATCAACACTTTGTTCGGCAGCAAGGTCATGGTTCCGGAGACCGGGATCATCATGAACAACGAAATGGATGGTGAGTCGAGCCAGCCAGCTTCCAAAAAAGGGTTTGATCTAATTTTTGTTTCCAGACTTCTCAATCCCAGGAACTTCCAACTCCTTCGGCTACATCCCCTCTGAAGCAAACTATATCCGAGCCGGGAAACGTCCGCTCTCATCCATGACGCCCGTTATCGTCGAACGGCCCGATGGCACCCTTTTCCTACTCTCTGGCTCTGCCGGTGGTAGTCGCATCATCACCGCCACCGTCCAAAATGTGATCAACTCGATCGACCAGGGTCTTTCGGCTGCGAAGGCCTTGGCCAAACCTCGTTTACATGACCAGCTGGTGCCGAACCTGTCCGTCTTTGAGTACACTTATGACAACTCGACTGTTGCCTTCATGAAGAGTCTTGGGCACAATGTCTCTTGGGTTGCGCCTGGCCAGAGCACTGCTCAACTTGTTCGGATCTTGCCTAATGGCACCTTTGATGCTGCTGGTGAACCGAGGCAACTTGACTCTGGTGGGTTCTCTGTATAGACTGGGATACATCTAGAAATTAGATAGAGCAGTACATATAGAACATATGTAACATACAGATACACGCCCAAGTGTATAGATCTACAGATATAAGCTTAGAAGACAACCTGTGAAATTGAACCTTGGACGAAAAGGCTTGGCATTTCCTTATCGGGGTGGCCAATGCGTTAATGCGTTCACGCGTCTTTGTTCAGTTGTGATCGATCCATTACGCCCTCAGGCTGCTCGCCTCCTTCCAGTCTTTATCACTTCCTACCACTTTCTCTCACTTCTTTTCAGATTCTCTCACTTCTTATCACCGTCTCTCCTTTTTCCCGTTCCCACTACCCCCATCTACCAAGTAACGCAACCTTCCCACGAACCCAAAAGCTTCATTGTCTACATTCGACCTCCTAACTGCTGTAAGGGACACCCAAGACGTATTCGTGGTGGAATCCACCATTTAAATGACCTATGTCCTGACTGACACGATTGGACAGGTACATCTGTCGGTGACGCTGGATATGCCTGCAGACCGTTGACACAGCTTCCAAGGTTGTCATAGATCATTAGCCGCGGGCTGGATCTTGCAATGGATCACCCTGTCGAGTTTGCCGTCGTCGTGCCCTACTCCGGCCGGGCCCTCAATTATGATCCGCTTCAACCATATGACGATCAGTACTTTGACCGCACCGTTGATAAGATCTTGTCCGAAGAACCTGGGCTGGAAGAATCCCGCCAAAGGCTAGAAGATGTCAACATTCAGAGTGGATTGGAGGATGATACCTTGTCAGAAAGCACTGTACGAAGTACCTCTGACAGTCTTGTTGGAGATCGCAGTGTATCGCGCTCCACTCCACCTGCGAGCTCCGCGCCTGCCGAGGACTGGGTTCCCGACTATGAGGATGAAAGGATCTTTGCGTCTGTGGGTCCGGAAAAGCGATTGGAAATCCTGACGATTATCTCGAAGTCGCCATTCATGCTCAATTGCCCGGCCCGGACATCGGAGCGAATCGAGTTCACGCGCCAAGTCAATGATCTTGCGCGAGACGCGGGAATCCAGCAGGCTGAAGCTGATGCTCTGATCGAATTCGTGCGACAGACTTACTTCTGGGAACATGGTATTACTCGTACGGAGAGCAATGCTACTACCTTTGGAGATGAGATCAATGATCTGGAAGTGCCCACCCAACATGTGAATGCCTCGAAAAAGAGACGCCACAGCGAAGGCACTCCTCTTACTTCCAAGCGAGTTGAGGCGTCGTCAACTCACTCAGCAGCCATGAGCACCCCAGCCGCTCAACGGACTCCTAAAGTGAGCTCTACTGGAGCCAAAAAGGCGAAAAAGGTCGCATGTGATGATTGCCGGAGGCGAAAGGTATTGTAATCCGCATTCCTTCAGCCTGTGTTTTGTACATCCTTTGCTAACTTGAAATTGTTCAGCGCCGTTGTCTTCATGACGAATATCGTTCCATGGAACTGACCAGTGTCCAAAGCGATATCAAGCAGCCTGTCGATCTTCCCACCCCTCCGGTGAAGCGCGTACGGATCCAGCAAGACATGCCGCATGAGCAAAATGTCGATGTACCCGAACTCTCGGCCAACCCAGCTCAAACCAGCGATGCCATTCTGCCTGAGATCCTCTTGACGTGCTACTCACCCCCAGGAAGTCCTATCGCCGTGGAAGACACAATTAATCCTGCAGAGAGTGTGATGATGGACAACTCTCAAGCCATAGCCGACCAACAGGACGAGTCCCAACGCCCTGAAAGATCGAGGGAAGAGCTGAGGACATTCAAAAGGGAAAAGAACCAGCGAAAGCGTGATCGTCGCAACGAGAGAAAGAGAGCACGTTTGATGGCACAGGAAGAAGTGGAGGTCAAAAAAGAAGAGAAAATTCAAAAGCCTGCTCGTCGCAACGAAAAGAAGAGACGTGCAAGTTTGGGGCTAGACAAGGCTCAGGAGAGTGTTGATCAGCCCGTGCAAACTCCAACTGCGCCTCCAACCTTGCCTTCTACGCCAAAGAAATCAGGAGAGACCCCCAGACGGACCTCCTGGACACCTCTGTCTAAGGACCCAAGTGAATGGGATGTGGATTTTTGAACACCAGTGATTTGCCAGGTTTAACTCCCAGTGATGAGGTTAAATCCAAATACTTCTCGATTGCCGGAGAACGCGACGTTCATGTTGCAAGACCGCAGGAAACTACCCTATTGAAGAATCAGTGTATCACCTCGGAAGCTCAAGGATTGTTGCAGCATGCGAATTTACTAGGCGATTTGTCAGACTCTACTCCCAGTGGCGTGAATCTCGACATTGATGAGAATGATGCATCCAGCAACTCGCATCGCCAGATTATGTTGTCACCACCGCCAGACCCTTTGATGTCTCAGTCTGTTGACCGCGCCCCGGAAAGCCCTGAGAAAACCGACAATAATCCCCTTCCCAATCCCCAAACGCCTCGTCGCAAATACCCCAAACTGTCTCCCTATTTCCCAGTTGTACAGGTTGACCCTGAATCGTGTCTTCCATTTCCCCCAATCGATGCACCTTCTTTCGGCCTCATACAGGAGCAACTTGCCCACGACCCCTTTCGTTTGCTTATTGCTACAATATTCCTCAATCGTACCCGAGGAGGTGTTGCCTTGCCCGTGCTGTTTCAAGTGTTTGAGCGATACCCAACGATCGAGGCTATGGCAACCGCAACCCAATCAGAACTTGTCTCTATGATCCGATGTTTAGGATTTCAGAACCAACGTGCGAGGAAATGCATCACTCTTGCCCAAATCTGGTTGACCAGCCCCCCTTCCCCACACAAGAGATATCGACGGATCCACTACCCCCGAGAATTTGATGGCCGGAATGTTGGCCCCGATGAATGCATTGATGCCGAAGATCTACGCGTTGCGTGGGAAGTTGCGCATTTACCCGGTGTTGGTGCCTATTCCCTCGACAGCTGGCGCATCTTCTGTCGCGACGAATTACGCGCTTTGTCCACGGACTGGATGGGAACGGGGGCGAAAGAGGCTGGATTTGTGCCCGAATGGAAATGTGTGTTGCCTCAGGATAAGGAATTACGAGCCTATCTTACATGGATGTGGTTGAAGGAGGGATGGGTTTGGGATCACAACACTGGCGACCTGACGGCGGCTAGTGAACGGACCATGAGAGCTGCCCGAAGTGGTGGGATCGCCCATGAAGAAGATGGAAACTGGGTGTTGGAGACCTCACCGACCAAGGCCCAGAATGGACTTACCTAGCAATGCACCATTTCCTGTAGTAGATGCGCAGTAGTAACAGCGATGTACATGCACAGAAGCGAGCATGGACCACGAGGTTATTCCCTTCCGATTCCGAGCGGGGCTGAGATTGTTCACCGCATCGAACTTCTGTTCTCTTTTTTGACTCACTGTTCTCTGTTCTCTACTATTGCTCCTAAAGCACTCGCATACACCGGTGCCTGACCCGGGCGATTCAGCCAGTCACAATTGATCAGCCTAACCGCCAGGTGATTTGACAAAAATAGGCTCCCAACACCTCCAGGTAACGGACGACATAAATCGAACGAAGCCCGAACGGACTTTCGACATGTTCCCAGTCAGACCTAATCGAGACGATAGGAAGTCAAAAACAAAACGTTCCAAGGAGTCATCGGCCCGCCGTTCCTCAATGCCTGGACTCGACTCCAGTCAAACCGGGACCGCCTCGTTCCTCGAGTCCAGGACCAGTCTACCGTATCCTACGTTCTCCAAAGCACACAGCAAGGAAAATGTGCGCAAGGGCGACCCTCCCACCCCAGACGCGACCGACTTGACCGATCGCAATGAGAAGGCTCCCCGCGAGCACCACGCGCCACCCAGCCCACCGCTGACCGGCCTAGACCAGGAGTCACGGAAGGGCAGTGTCATCGACGAGGAGAGTGAAAAACCAAAAAAGAAACCCAGCATCAGGATTCGGGCGGAGGTCAACCGATCTTCCTCCAGCCTGCGATCGAAACGAGATGACAGCACCAGATCCAAGAGCAGCAAGACCTCGCGCACCGAAACACCTACCAGATCCAAAAGCTCCAAGGAGAAGGAAGAGCGAGAGCCCTCGCCCCGATCATCCACTCACAAGTCCAAGTCCAAGTCATCGTCCGATGAGAAGAAGCTGCCCAAACGATCAAGCCGCTCCACCATGTCCGCCTCACAGTCGAATGTCACCATTCGTGAAGATGCAGGGTCGCCCAACGGATCCGACGCGACCTCCATCGCGCCCAACCAGCAGTACTCGGCGCCGCGAAAGCCCACGACCCCGCCCACGAAGCCACCCTCGAGGACGCAGACCCGATCGGCCGCGTCCCACCGCCGCGTTCCAAGCGACGAGTCCATCGACTTCGTCAAACCGAGTCCGAACGCATTCGGCGCGCCTCCGCCGCCGCCCCCTCCGCCTGAAATGCCCGCCACGATCCCCCGAGTCGATTATCTGCTGAAGAACGGCGGCTTGGAACACAAGGTTTCGCGGGCCCTGCTGGCTGGCCTGGGCCAGGGTGATCCCTTCGCGCCCGGGCAAGCGCAGTCTCGGTCTGTGGCGGGCAAGATCTTCGATCCGTATAACCGCTTGCTGGACGACTATCAGAAGGTCATGAACAAGAGTGGGTCTCTGGCGGTCGCTACCGGGTATCGGTCTGTTGCGCGGCGGTTGCTGGATCGGCTGGAGGCAGTGTTCGCGCGCGATATCTCGTCCGAGCCGTGCAGCTGCCAGATATGTGTGCGCGCTGAGCCGGACGACCGACCGGACGGAGTGAGCTGGGGCGAGGTGCTAGAGCTGGTGTCTGGCCGGCGGGAATTGCCAATGTGGCCCCCTTTTACGATGGCACCGAATACTGTGGATGCTGGGACGTCGGGCGATGAGCACGTGCCAATGCAGAAACTGGACATCGACGTTCCGGAAGAGTACCGTGAGCACTTCATTCGGCAATCTCGAAAGACCAAGGTCGCCGTGGACAAATGGCTTTCGGAACAGAACGATACAGGGACCAGTGCCCCTAATGAGGTCGACGATGAGACCTTGACCTTTGCCATGCTCACGCATCTTGAGTCGCACCAGCGTTCGCTTTTCTGCTCGCTGCTTGGGCTTACTTCCTCTACTCCTGTTCCGCGATCTGGTGATGAAAAGCCCCGACCGAAACCATCCTCGCTTGTCTCGTCTGCTTCGGCCATCCAACGTCTCTATCGACTCTCCACCCTCCCTCGCGACCCCGACACTGCTATGTACATGTTAAACAACCCCAGCCTTCACCACGTCCTCGCCACACTATCCGCAATCAGCGATGATGAATGGGAGATTCTGATCTCCGGCCGCTTCGACGGCTTTCTCCGCAGCGGTGCAGAAGACACCGGAGGCTCTGGCAGATCCGGCAGTCGTTCGAACACGCCTCTAGGCGGCGGTATCTCACGGGGACCAACACCCAACTACATGGACGGCAGTTTCCGACCGTCGAGCCAACTCAACGGCGGACCAACATCACCCGCCTCATTCGGGGGCCCAATCGCATTAGACGAAGAGACCGAGATCGCCGCGCTGGCCGAAGTCGAGCGCGACATCTTCCTAGGCATGGAAGCTCTCGAGGACGCTTTCGAGGCCTTACACCTCAAAGCCGAGGTCGTACGTCGGGCCCTTCGCGAGCGTGGCGCCGGTCTCTCAGTCGCTAATCAAAGCCGACGCGGCTCCTACGTTGAAGCGCGCATGGGAACTCCCTTCTCTGCTGCTGGGGGATGGGATAGTGGCGAGGATGACTTCCTTGATGATGATCGCTCTCTGGCGCCAGATGACTCGGCTAGTAACATTAGTTCTAACCGTCGTCGTCGGCCGAAGAGACGGACTGAGCGACGGACGCCTGCGCCCGTGGAGGAAGAAGACGAGGAAGAAGAACACTCGCCTGTTCGTCGGGATTCGCGCGGTTCGCGACGAAGGTAGATTGTCTTCGATGAAGGGATTCACGATTCAACGTGCAGCGTTTTCTTTTCATTGTCTTTTTTTCATCTTTTTTCATTGGGGAAGCTTAGGATAGCATGGGAGATGGATATACCATTGCTGACGGCAATGGACGAAACTCATGATACCCACTTGTCATCCTGGATTTTCTTGGATTTTTCCTTTGACCTTTTTTCTTTGTTCTGCATTTTCCTTGCACGTCTTGATTTCCGTTTTCTTCATTTCCGGGCCTATGCCCTTCTACGTTTATGATTGATGAATGCCACGAGCTTCCCTTCTCCTAAGCGTGAGCTTGGGCCATGACACGAAATAGCATTACGCAGCGACTTTGCAAAGGCATCAGCAGTCGGGCATTATGAAGAATCCGACTTGGATCCCGACCGCGCTGTCACTGCAAACTTCTCGGGTGGATCGCAGTCGGTGTGAAGAATGTCTTTCACCTTCATATATTCGACACACAGTGTGGACTGTGAGGCTCCACAGACCTGCCAAATATACCCCTGAATCGAAATCTCCCCAACGTCCAGACCCAGACCGGAATATCCGCGATAATATGAATGTCTCTCAACGAGGATGTGCAGTCCTAGGTAGTACTCCGTAGAGCAGACATCCACCCTTGCACTGATTCCTAGACGGGCCCTCGCCGGGCGGGGAACTTGAAACACCGTGACATCCGCGCACTGGACACATCGATCAATGGCCTAGATATCTACTGGTAGACGCCATCTGCATCGGACCAAGCATTCCCTCCGTGTTTCAAAGCCGGCCCCTCAACAGATCTCATCCGCCTTCCCGGTGGCATTCGTACATGACAAGCTCCGGCATGAGTGACCCACGCAAGTGATACTGTATTTGCATTGCGCACTTCCGTTGAGACTAGCCTTCATGGGGGTGCGCTCCGTTGCGGGGTTTTTAGTGCATCTAGCACATTGTCCGGCTGTTGAGGGGAGGTTCAAAAGTACTGTTTCAAATTTTGATACCTCCGCTTCTTCGAGGGTTCTAGGTTGAACTGGGGTGTATGTTGACTGTTGACTGTTGTTATTATTGAGTACCTAGGTAGGTATATCTTGGAAATGACCCGAGCGCGGGAATTTATGATGGCACACCCCATGGGATTTGGACACAGTGGAATATTGATGCATATATATTTCGAACCTTGGAAGCACAGCTGTCAACATTTGAGCCTCAGAACTTTATTTCAAGTTTCCAAATATCTCATTCTGATATCAGATTTTCCGATGTTTATTTGTTAAAGATGTTTCAGATTTCAAAATATTTGAAAGTCTTATAGCCGACCAGATCAGACACCCGGGGTTGACCTCGGAGACGGCTAAAGCAGAAGGCGCTCGAACGAGCCTGGGTTGATCCCGAGGTCCATGGAGATCGAGAGAGAGAGAGAGAGAGAGAGAAGAGAGAGAATCGAAAAATCATTAGAGGACAGAGAGTATGGAGGACCGCTCATCTAAAGAGTATAGCTTTTGCAAGAGACCTGGGTGGCCTCCAAGGTTCAAGCACAAACCGCTGCGACAGACAACATTGGATGGTTTATTTACATTGTATGGCAATTGTGCGTATGTGTCCATTTTCTATACATCGTTTCTGCACTGCAAGAGATTGACGAATATAATCCATGAATCTATCATTGGTAGTAATGGAAAACTCAAGATATCATCAGCCCCTATAAAGTCAACACGTTCGGCTGTCTGTAAATTTCCTGACCAAGAGACTTCCCGATCGATCTCAGCAATCTGAGATGGAATTTGGACCATCTTCTGGATGCCTCGTTTTCGTATTGAATTCGACGATTCACCAACAATGTTTGAGATCCGATTTTCTCGGACTCAATCACGTACTCCGCGTAGACGTATGTACGCACGCACGCATAGCATGGCACCGACGTGCAACTAAGCCTAAATCAAAAGTACTACACTAGGTAGAATACCCATATAGTAGACTGTTTACTATATCTTAGAACGGAAGTCAAAGCCGCACCTCAATGATTTACCAGTCCGCTCCGTTTGATTTGCGACGGTAAACAATTATGCCATCCGACCCACTGTAGGTCGGAACATCACTTCGCACTATTGCCGGGTGGCGGACCCGTTTATTCCAGCCTTTAGATTGTCCGGAGTACGGAATAAAGTGTGTGGGTTGCCTAAGGAGTTCTATCTATTTGACCTTCCGTATGAGGTTTGGCTTGATATGGGGTGCATTGTGCGTTGTGCATGAGCCTCAGCATGGTCGTTATCGACAATTGTCATCAGAGTACTGGTAGATCAGGGATTCTTATACGGAGTACTGTTACCTCCGTGCTGGAACTGTTTACCCACAACGGTATCTCTGCGGAAGCGTCGGACCGCCAGTCAGTGCTGGATCATCGCTGTTCACATGTCGGTGGAGATCATCCACAGGTGCCAAGTGCTAGGATCTACGAGCATTGCACAATCCGTGGGCCCAGGGGAAATATCCCTGAAGCTCATCGAGCTCACGTGTTGAGGTCATATCTACTAGTACTACTGGTGGTTAGGATGATTGCTTCAAAATGGAGGAGATTGATCGACATTGCAGAGCAGTTTAGGCTAGAAGTTCTCTGCAGAAATACTATTTTACGAAAGAATGACAACGGGGCGATCACATGTAACACGGGCCATAGACAGTCGCCTACCCCATGGCGCAGAATTCAATAGTCTATCCTAGTTACCACCGTCATGGTAAATCTCCGTAGATTATGGAATCGTAGATTATGGAAGAACAGGTCTCGAACATGATCTTGCGCTATTGACCCAAGTATCAGTATGATTTAGGCAAGGTTCATGAGGCTTTAGAATGCACCGTTCATGGGCCTTTGCGAGACTTCACGAAGACTACTACTGTACTAGTATTATACTGTACAGTAGTACTGTACTGTAGCCGATCGAGGTCGCTGGGAATTGACCATCGGCAAAGCCGTGTAGTTTCCCTCAAATATGGGGAGGCAAATGTCTTATGTGCACGGCTCAGGGACAGTGCCAAGCGGGGGCCAGAGTCTCCCAGTGGGCTTTCCTGCGCGTAATACGGAAGCAAATCTTGAATCTCTGGAGTTGTCTTGACCTGAGTGGACCTTCTAACAAGAAGCACAGCACAGTGCTTATAGTATACCAGTATAGGACTGGAGGATAACTCTATCTCACTTAAATATGGAAAGGGGGGAGATGAAGCTGAACCTTGTATGTACTTGTACTGTATACATAGTGGGACTACTATTGACAGGCCCAGTCACGACGTAAAAGAAGGTTGAACACGGCAAGGCGAGCTGGCCGGGATTCCCCCCAAGATGGGCTAGACAGCATATGGAGTCAATGGAGTAAAGAAGCAACTAACTTTTGGACCGACTTAAGCTTTGCCACTGGTGGTTTTGTTGACAGTCCTTGGCCTACGTGGGCGCTAAATGGAATTTGTTCCGTCGATCGCAACTAGCGCAGGAAAAAACAGAAGCCTACCAGACGTTATGAACAAATTCCGCCAGAACATTCCCAGTATCCGTATTTGACAGCCCTAAAAATTGTGCGTGGAATCTCGGATATTCCCGATTTACCCCTGAGATCGAGTCTCCAGTTTGGGACTTGAATTGCAATACACATTTCTACTGATACACACTAGTATACTAAAATACTGTACGGAGTACTATATTATCCGCTTATTCGGGGCGTACATTCCTTGCGCACCGTGAGAGTCTCTCCACGATCGCTGCTAGCGGCTCTGGAACGCAAAGTGCGTAATCATCCTTTCCATGATTTTCTATTGACGATCACATCCACTGGGAGGGGCACAACTCCACTGCTAGAGAACGCTAGCCCGCTGCAATCCTACCGAACGTCACTTCGGCTAGTCAGCCTGAGCGAAGTGGAGCCCGTGGCGTATGAGAATAGGGGTCTTGAATGGAAAGATGCCAACGATACGTACAGACGGAGCAAAGTACTGGGACTGGGGCCAAAGACAAGTTTCAGAAAAAAACCTTGAGTTCGGTCAGCTCCCGTCTCCAGATGCCCAGGTGCCCAGGCAGTGGGGGTGAAGCTTGTCCAGATCCAATGAGAATGCCAAGAGAGACTCCACCTACAATACTCTTGTTCGATCGACATGTTTTCTAGAATCCAATCCCCGTGCATATGTATCTCCGTGGAGTGTGCTTATGGCCATCTGCGGGGGTGAGAGAGGCCTTTGTCCAAGGTTCCAGAGCCTGAACCACCGTCGTCGTCGTTTCAGGTCTGCAGTCGAGTCCCAGTACCAAAGAGCATCTCTCGGTGGTTCCAAGTGACTTCTGTCACTGTGGGTAAAGCAGGGAAAAAGGGTGAAATCGTCAATTACCGGACTAGGGTTCCAGCCTTGCCCCTGCAGACGATCTGTAACCCCTAATACACAGTACACAGGGGAATCAGCCCTGGAGATACACGGAGATATGTAATTTCTCTGGACTCAAAATTGAAGTGCTGCAACACCGTTTGGACACATCCCTATTAGTGCATTCGCCAGATAGTACGGCTTGGCCAGTGGATATGCAGGCCATCTACGCTAAACCATGCCGTTTAATTCGTCTCGTGGCAAAACCTGCCTAGCCCACTTAACCCGATACCTTGGGAGGGGTCGATGGGCTAAAGCCAACAGCTAAAGCAGCTAACGCTACGGAGTATCCACCTATGGGTACTGGACCGTGAAGTAGCATGTATTATGGAGATCTCTCTCTTAGTTCGGATTTCGTTCCCCCCGATCATTGCAGTCCAGCGTGGAGAACTGTCCATTGACACACAAAAGAGCTGAATAATTTGAGCATTTCGTCTATCAAAAATAAAGTTCAATGAGTCCCCTGTGAGGCTGCTGGGGTCTTTTAACTACTACATGCTTCCTGCATCTTCCTCTTTTATTCACATCTTCCTAGGGTGGATCCAGTCCTGGCTTTCACTCATTCCTCATCGCCACATCTCCCGTATCTCTCGCCATCTCCGGAGGACTGATCCGACCCGACCTGGTCTCGATTCGCACCGTGATAGCAAACTCTTGCGATATTAATAGGACAGTCTGAACAATGTCTGCACTCATTCTCATGGGCCTGATGCCCAGAGGGGATGAAAGCTCCCTGGCAGCACGGCTATACAGCTCCAAGGAACTGGACATCGATCCCCTGCCGGAAAACCACAGACGGGGGTTGATCGCCATTTCAGTAATGGCCTTGCTATCCCTCCTCGCAACGGCAACTCTTTTAGGCTTCATCACCTACCGACTGGTCTTCTGGCGCGGCAGTTATACCCGATACATTGGTTACAACCAGTATATTATCCTGATCTACAACCTCGTTTTGGCCGATTTCCAGCAGTCGCTTGCGTTCATTATTTGTCTACGATGGATTTTCACCGATAAAATCAAATCCGGGACTCCCGGGTGCTTCCTCCAAGGGCTTTGGCTGCAGATCGGAGATCCCGGCAGTGGTCTGTTCGTGCTCGCCATCGCCTTCCATACATTCCTTCTGGTCGTCTGGGGACGAAAGATGTCCTACCGATTCTTCATTGGCTTCGTTGTCGGCGTGTGGGCCTTCGTGGCTCTCATGGTGATCATCCCACTGGCCATGTATGGCGGTGATGTCTTCGTGCCCTCTGGCGCCTGGTGCTGGATTAGCGAGGAATACGAAACCACCCGTCTATGGACTCACTACATCTGGATTTTCGTCGCCGAGTTCGGCACAGTGGCCCTCTACGCCGTCATGTATCTTCAGCTGCGTCGACAGATCGCCGCCTCGTCCATCCTCGGAAACAGCCAACTGGAGAGTCTGAAGCGTCTGCGCCGCGTCGTCGGATACATGACCATCTACCCCACTGTCTACATTGTGCTTTCGCTCCCTCTCGCCGCCGGCCGCATGGCTACTGCCAACGGAGACTCTCCCAGCCTGACCTTCCTCTGCTGTGCCGGTGCCATCATCACCAGTTCCGGCTTGGTCGATGTCGCTCTGTACACACTCACCCGCCGCGCCCTGATCATCGACACCGAGCCGAGCCACGACCGCTCCTACAACAAGTTCAACAGCAGCAAGGGCAAACGCGGCGACACCCATCTGACCACCATCACCGCGGACCCCAAGCGCAAGATGGGCAACGGCACTTTCAACGACGATCTCGACGGTTCGACGGACAACATTGTCTCCCCGAGCCCCCATGCCATGGAGCACGGCCACGAAATGGCCCCGATTGGAAAGGTGTACCAAGAGACTACGATCGAGATTACACACGAGCCTGCGTTCCCCGACGAGGGTGCCAGCGACCGTTCCAGCAAAGAGGATTTCCCCTCTGAAATGCCGCCTCACAATCAATGGCGTCGATGATTTTGCCCATGACCGTTTTTTCTTTTGATTTCCTATTCCCACGACATTCGTCGCTCACTATATACATCGGTGAAGCAATGTCGATGCAGGCTTTTGTCCTACTTTTGTCATCTTTTTCATGGATACCCATGTTATATCTTTCACGATCCCTGTCACTTATGTCCCTTTTTCTTTCTCTCTCTATCTCTTTACACCACTCCCTTTCCTTCATGTCCCATTCTCTTCGTCTCATGACAGAACCTGTACATAATTTTCAAAAGAACGACCTTACTTCTGGGAACCACCAGGGTTCCCATGAACCATCTAATGCTTTCAATCTCAATACCCGTTCTGGTACAATGAGTCCATCTGGGCATCGAATGCTGATCTGTCAATAATCCACGTCTCAAATCCCAGTCAAGCTTTCTTTGCTTGAGCTACGCAGTCTAGACTAGATCATCTCTGAAGACACAATGATCAACAGCCTACGTTTCCAATCGGAGGGTGCATCTCGACGAACCCATCCGATCGAACACGGTCGATACGCCAAACCAAACTTCCAGCACCAAACCATAAGCTATAAGCTCTTCGGAGCATGTCCACATCCGGCATGTGGTTAAAGAAGCCAGTCATTGGCGAACCAACAAATCACAGCGGAAACAACCGCCAGCAAAGACCAGACAATCGATAATCCGACGATCATTTCCACTATGCAGAATCTCACATCGCCCAACTCTGGTTCCATGCCCAGAACCAACTTTGACGGAGGGGCTCCCCCGACTCCTCGGCAAATGACGAAGCCTGGAGTTAAGGCGTAGTTCCGAGAGCGAAGGTCCCGCAACAGTGGGGAATGGTTCATGCTTAGATCGGTTGTTCGTTCTTGGGTCCCCTTGGTGCTTTTAATACCGATCTCCCTTGGCGTATCCGATTTACACTATTGGATTGGAAGCTATGTCCCCCCTGACTATGTACTTTTTCCAATTCGGGAAACTGATCGGGCTACTCCGGATCTACATCTAGAGCACTGCGGGAAGGCAAGGCGCTTACGGAGTATGTGCTAAATATGTACAATGCTGCTTTGAAATAATCTTGAGTTTTTCGGTGGTGAGATGTCTCAATTTTGTGGACGGCATCTTCCCGCGTAGACTTTCGACCGACTCTTGTACAAGCAAGGAGTTGCGAGATTTCCGTACGTAACTTCGCAATGCTCATGGTATCTGTCATTGGTTTTGATGTTCAGATCTACCTACCCAGCTGGCTCTTGAACGGACCTTTTGGTGAACCATCTCCTTTTTTGTACTCCGAGTCAATGCCACTCTTGATCGAGCACGATAGTTTACTGACCACTACGACTTCTGCACGGCAATCGAAATTTTTGATTGAGGACCTTCGCATGCAGCAATTCCAAGGTTCCCAAGAGCTTACTCTTTCGCTCCAATGACACATCTTGTGTACGATTCCGATCGCTATGATACTATACTAACGAGAACCCCTTTCCAAGATACTTAACATTATTCATAGATTATGCAAAGAATCTCAGGATAATGTAACATTTATGTTCCAAACCAAACAACCTTAAAACGAGCCCTGGAGCTCACTCAATACACCTGTGAAAGTACACACGCTCAAACCCATCTTCGACTATCGTCCCTGTCTCCTCAAAGCCCAGTTTCTTATACATCCCAATATTTTCAACCATCTTCGCATTCGTATACAGCGTAACATTAGGAATCCCCCGTTGCCGAGCCTCCATCTCCGCATGCCTGATGAGAAACCGACCATAGCCACGGCCTTGTGTCGCGGGGTTTACAACTACGTTGTCGATTTTGAGGGCGTGTAAATCATGTTCGATGTGGAATGTGATAGAACCGACGATTAGGTCGCTTTCTTTGAGAATGAGCACATCGTGTGTTTGGAGAATTCGTTCCCAGTCTTCGGACATCGGCGCTGGCTTTTTTCCCATTCTCTCGATGTAGATTGAGTATGCGTTGTCGACCATGGCTTTGATTGTAGGGATGTCGTCGATGGTTGCTTTTTGCAGCGTGGGTTCGCTGGGCGGGGTGGAGGGGCTTGCGGACATTATTCGAAAAATTTCATAGATGAAGTGTTAATCTGAGATAGAAGATTGGCACGATGCGAGGATTACAAGTAGCACAATTGAAGACAGCGATGTATATAACTCTCTCCAGCACTGTTGAAGTAGAGCTGTGAGTCAGAAGTTACCCCTCAACCAGCCGCAGAGCAAAATCGAAAGAGAAATCAGCGAGGAATTAAATGCGTAAATTGTCAGGTCTCTATATGTCTCTAAGAAGAAAAGACACCAACACTTCACGATGAAGTGATTGGGGTTGAAAAGGACATGAAGACCAGAAGGGAGGCAAGAAGCTGATCTGCGGCCTGCTCTCCTCTCTTCTCCCCCTCTACTCCGTATAGTAGTTACGGAGTACGGAGTACTTTCTGCCCTTTCAATTTGCTCCTTTTGACTCGTCAGCTAATTTACTACTCCGTACAGAGTAATCTGTAACAAGTTCGACGAAATTGATATATCACACAAAACACCCTCTCGCGGAAAACGGCGAAAGGGATGCCGAACTTCTTGGTTGGCTTGGCCAACAGCTCTTTCCATCGCTAATGGCCAATACATCCTCGAGTCCTTTCTCATCGTGCATTGAGATGCAGCAACAAGATGTCGAGTGATGTGATTGTGACTAACTACAGCAGACTTCCAAGGGTTGGAGATCCACCGACGCGACACGCTTGTCTCATGGCAACATGCGGTCCCATCTGGATGGCAAAGGAGAAATGGCGGTGATCCTGTCAGTCATCGCGTGGAACCAATGCAGATAGAATTCCCCCTTTGGACCTGCAGATGCAGACGCCAAGACACCTGGCTTCCACGATGGCATTGAAGCTGACGTCAGGAAAGTGATAGTTCCGACTTGAAGCTGTATGCATTGCACACAATGTCTCAAATGCCAGTCGCGCTTTAGACGCATTTAGTTGTGTCTGCCCAGACGCCTGAGCTCAATGTGATTGATTTTAATGCTCAATCCAGCCTTGAAACACATTGAATGTCTTTGCAGTATCGACAGGTGTTAAATGACTGCAAGCCGAGTGTCGACCGCCCCCTGAGCGAACCATTGAGACTTCGGAAAATTATTCTCTCGTTTTCAATTGAACTTTACTTCCAGTCCATGACTTCGCCTTGCAAGGGGTAGACGGGGTCATTGACACTTGTATGTCTAGCGACAACCTTGACACCCTAGCAAGAGAACTCCTTGATTCAACCATCAGGGGTATTTCCAACCTAACCAACATCGGACTGCTTCTGCAAGGCTGGTTCCTTGGAAGACCGACCACGCAGAGTCGCGAGCTCAGGAGAGTTTCAGTCTCACAAAAAAGTCGATAATTGCAGATCAGATGCTGAGCGATGCGCTATAGTGGACCGACCTCTCTGAAGCGCCAATCAAGGTACAACCCCAGCTGCAGGAATGTGCAGTTGTTTTGCACAGGCAGCGACGTGTCCAAGCGCCAACACAGGAACATCGTGGCTATCATATTTAAATATGGAATGTACTGCCCGTGAGAAATGTTCGGACAAGGAGTTTTGTGTACGTCCTCTGGTCCCGACAAGCAGCCATGTTGTTCTCACGCACTGGTCTCCTAGCTCCTTCGCTGGCTTCGCTGCTCTTCACAGGTAATGCAATTGCCGACGATGCGGGCGCCAGAGCGCGCGACTCCCTTCAGGTCCTTCAAGGCTGGTATAACACTTCGAGTGGAATTTGGGATACGGCCGGGTGGTGGAACAGCGCCAATTGCATGACCATCGTCGCGGACCTGGCTGCCTTGGATCCATCAGTGATCAATACGGCGACGTATGTCTTCAACCATACCTTCACCGTGGGGCCAGTGTCGAACCCCAACCCCGGGCCGGAGACAAAGACCGTCTTCACACGCGACAGCCAACCATCAAACGCCGTCAATGCCTCGGAATGGCTTGCCCAGGCCTACGATGATGATGGATGGTGGGCTCTGGCGTGGATTGCCGCATGGGATATCACAAAGGAGGAGAACTACCTCGAGCTCGCTGAGGAAATTTTTGAGAGCTTGGTATGTCGAGCAGCATCTTGGATAGTGCAATGAACTAATTAGACCAGGCCAAAGCGTGGGGAACGAACTGCGGTGGAGCAGGTCTTCCCTGGAGTCCTGTCAGTACGTATGTGAACTCGATTACGAACGAGCTCTTCCTCTCTATCGCGGCGCATCTGGCGAACCGAGTCCCGGACCGAAAATCATACTATGTGAGCTGGGCCCAGAAAGAATGGGATTGGTTCGCCGCTCAGGGATTCATCGGAGAGAACGGTACCATCAACGATGGACTACTGGGAGACTGCCAGAACAACGGTGATACCGTGTAAGTAGCTGCCCCCAGCCATGCTTTCGATCAGTATCTGACTTCTTTCAGGTGGACCTACAATCAAGGCGTGGTTCTCGGCGGCCTAGTTGAACTCAACAAAGCAGCACCCAACGACACGTACTTGCCCTCTGCCAACAAGATTGCAAAGGCAGCCATTGAATCATTGACAGATTCAAACGATATCTTACACGAAGCCTGTGAGCCGGAATGTCTTCCAGACGGAACCCAGTTCAAGGGAATCTTCGCCCGCAATCTCGCCATGCTGCAGAAGGCATCTCCGAATGCGATTTACAGCAATGTCATCACCGCCTGGGCAAACAGTATTTGGAACAATGATCGCAATGAGAAGAACCAGTTCGGTATTAATTGGGCAGGCCCCATTCAAGCGACGGTGGATGCATCAACACACAGTTCCGCTCTGGACGCACTTGTTGCTGCGGTTGCTGTCAGTCATTGAATCTGACGGTTTTATCATTCTCGGTTGGAACTGGGTCATGGAGTTTAGAAAGGGCATTTGCATTCTTGAACATATACTATACTTTGACTCTCCAGGGTCTTTTGCATTTTGATACACTTATTCTCTTTGCCCAGAGAATTCGCAATACATGAAATCAACTATCACCTTCCGATTTCATTACCCGGGAAACCCTAGCACACAGCCAGGGGTCTCATTAATGCAGGCCGTTTGTCGCGGCGTTTGCAACCGTTTCATTGGTTTGACTCCGCTTCCAATCCAACTCCTCTGGACTCATCCATGGATGCTGTGAGAAATTTGAGAACTAGCTGGCGATTGCTTTGATGGCCGTGTTACCGTCCACCTTGCCCACTCGACTATCGAATGCATTGAGTCTACTAAGGGCTGCGGAGAACCATTCCGATTCCGATTTTTAAAATTGATATAGTTTCGAGTCGGCAACCTTGGAATAAAACAGGCCCATTGCGAGACAGAAAATGCATTGCGCCGTTAAAGAAACACCTATGCGTTGAGCCGGTGCCCAGGTGTAACGCAGTGTTGTACGACCAGAGCAGAAGACACTTTGGTATCTGGACTTTCGAATACTTGACACCAGATGAGGATTAGAGTGATTTCGCTCAACGCGAAACCCGAGAGCCACATATTGTGGCACTATCTGAGTGAATTTCGTCCGACCATCTTGTGTCCACCTGATACTCAACTTCCATGCCTGTCAAGCTATATTGCCTAGGAGCTACCAGCTGTTTATTGAAATTGGCTTCAAACGGCCAAGTCAATTCGCCAATGAATTCTTTACTGCTTATTTTGCATATACGAAGTCATGCAGTCAGCAATCGAGACCTATGACCCAAAAGCCGTGGAGGCATAGCCATACTCTTTCCTAGCCGACGGAGAATTATATGCTCACTGCAGAAGGGCTTAAGCTTCTTCCAAGGTTTAAGCGAGAGTTTTTACCCGACCAAGGTATCGCATGGATATTTCCTGCGGAGGGGTCTATAAAATAGACCGTTTTAAGAGGGGATTTCGCGATTCCATTTGAACAATTCACTGTGATTTCTGTTTCCAATTCATCGACAGGTAAACAGCTCTCATACCTAGTGCCCGCCAAAGACCCAATCAACTCCATGGCTTGAATGATACGAGCTTACATCATAGCTAGCTCATCCCATTACGCTTCTCGAGCCACTGAGAACTTGAACGCCATCAAGGAATCCAATTGTCACATATCCGCAAAATGGCCGGTCACATCAAGCCGCTCACCTTGCACGCTCACACCTCCGGCCCGAATCCAGTCAAGGTAGCGATGGCGCTGGAAGCTCTCCACATACCATACGAGGTAAAGCAGTGGGAATTCGGCCCCGATCCGAAAAAGGGCGTGAAAGGCGAAACATATCTCAAGATCAACGAGAACGGACGTGTGCCTGCCATCGAAGACCCGAACACGGGCGTCACTGCGTGGGAATCCGGGGCTTGCATGAACTATATTCGCCGCGTGTATGACAAGGGCAATGTCATTGGTCCTTCTGGAGACTCGGCGCAGGATTTGGTCGATTTTGAGAAATGGGAGTACTTCTTGTTATCAACGCTGGGTCCGATGATGGGGCAGACGAATTGGTTTAGGTATGTTGATGATGTGTGATGTGGAAGAGAGGAGCGCTGATGGCTTTCTAGACATTTCAACGCCGAGAAGAACGAGAATGCGCTTGAGAGATACACGGCTCAAGCATATCGCTGCTATGATGTCCTTGAGGGTCAGTTGAAGAAGAGTGGTGGGGAGAGCATCATCCCTGGTCGTGTTACTGCTGTTGATTATCACTTTGAGCCTTGGGTGCGCAGCTATTCTTTTGCTGGGCTGTCGCTGGATAATCACCCGTTGATCTTCAAGTGGCTGGGTCTTATGAATACTCGCGAAGAGGTGAAGGAGGCGTATTTCAGAATCAGGGGCTAGCTGTTGATGAGAGATGCCGGAAGTGGTGGGGACGGAGCCGGCCTGTAGTCAGTGGATCATGCAGCAAAGGACCTTGAGAGGGATAGCTAAGTCGATACTTGGAAGGTTTCTGCTCGAATGTATTTTCTTTTGACCGGACTATAGTTTTCCAGAATGAAACATCTTTAGCGTTTATGTCACAAATACCCTCGCCCTTGGGGCGAACTAGCCCGCCAACAAAACACTCGGAACCTCAATCAAATACAGCATATAGGCCTTTCCATCATGAGACTTGCTAGGCATCTTTCCACCACGCACATTAACCTGCATAGCCTGGTGAACAAGCTTAGGCTCCGGCATCGCCTTGTCCCGCTCATTCCTCCAATGCACAAAGTCTTCTTCCGTGGAATCATTCTTCACATGTTTATTCTTCGCCTGTTGCTCCCCAACAGTAACATACGGCAGCGGATGACGCGCCCTAGACTCATTGCAAGGCGGATAATCATGACCGGTGTAGAGTCTCGTTTCCGGCGGGAAGGCAAGGAGGCGTTTCATCGACCGGTATAGTTCCCGTGCATCGCCACCAGGAAAGTCACATCTTCCACTTCCAACATCTGGATTGAACATACTGTCTCCTGTGAAGACATTGTTCCCCATTTGATAACCTCCGTGATCTGGTGTGTGTCCAGGTAGGTGGAGGGCGGTGCAGGCGATGTCGCCGATGTGGAAGACTTCATCGGGTTGGAAGAGGTGGTTGAAGGCGTCTTCGATTTCTTCTCGCGGGATCCTATACTTGTGTGCAAAGTAGCTTTGCACGATTGTGATGTTTTCGCCTATGCAGATTTGGGCATGCGGCTGGCCTCGCGTCCAGAGAGCTTGTTGGATGTAGTATGCAGCGGAGAGATGATCTCCGTGGGCATGTGTTTCCAGGATCATTTTGACAGTGTATTCATGCTTCAGAATGCATTCGATCATACTGTCGGCGGATTCCGTGGTGATGCGAAACAGTGAGGGCTCGAAGTTCAGAACCGGGTCGATGATAGCGGCCTCTTTGGTGTTGGGACAGGCCACTACATACTGCCATGAACAGGTCTTGGCTTCAAAGATCGGATGGACTGTTGGCTCCATGTTTCAAAGAGGATTGAGCAGGTGTCAATGGCATTGTGGCTGCGTCAAAGAGGCAAGATATCGATATTCCGTCGATGGCAAACTGCTGTGCTCATTACGCATCCTTTAGATCATACCTAGGGTAGGCCGGGCAAACCTTCATCTCAGCCATCCCCCTCGTCCAGGTGGCTGTCCTTTTCAATTAGATACTCATTGGGCTCCATCTCATACCAGCGGCCATGATAGTGCCACACTAGGACATTCCTCACATCGTGTCCGGCCGTGACGCAAGGACCTTGCGGAGCTCCTCACTCCTATCCAGCAGCCATGCCAATGGCAGCGTGATATTTATGCCATCCAGCATTTTCTTCATGCTATACGCTGACCACCAATCGCTCCGATGGGCACCTGCAGTCCGGGTGCTGCCGACACCGGGACTCTCTCCCTTCGGTAGGTTGTTGTGACTTCTGTCTGGGGTGCTGCCGATTATCTCCGATCAACGATCTGCGGTTACCACCAGTGCTCGAACGTCCTGGGTGTCCATTCGCTCGGTTTCGCGCACGGGGATGGACGACGAATGATTCGATCCATTTCCCATGGGCCGGTGTCAATTCAAGGCGTGGCGTGGGATACTCGTGCTGATCGGCTTCCTATTTCGCCCGAAAAAAGTGAGCAAGGCTAAGCTGGATGTATGGGAGAAGAAGACATCCATGGGTCTTTACTCACCATCATCGCATGTAGTATGGCCCTTGCAAGGTTGCAGGTCCCAAGAAGGGGTTGAGCCATCAAAACCCTGCCTTTCAATGTTGTAAGTAAGGGAAAGTAAAGACAGCTTGATGATACTTCTTTACTCTCTTGTGCCCTTTCATTCTCGACAGTCACATTGGTCCCGCTTAGTTCCTCTCGGGGTTCCACTTCCTCTCTATAACTCCCAATTGGCACATCGTCAGTAACTTTCCACTCTCAATCACTTGCCAACGAGCCACTTCCCGTATTATTCAACACGCAGTCGGTCCTCCCAATGCCCAGCGGCAAGGTGTAACGAAAAACAGAGGGAAATTGAGTCGACATAATGATTCTTATTTTCTAGGAGTTGCTATCACAAGAATCTTGTTTAAATCATCCACACGACTCCAGATGTCCGTTCAATCCTTTGTGGTCACGAAGTTCCACCGAGCATATTGCCAAGCACTTCGGCTTTGACGAGCTTGCTTTCTCTCACATACAAGAACATCCCAAGTAAGAGGGACTGTATGTGGAACTTTGGAAGGTAATTCCTTGTGTAAAACCGCCAATGGAAATCTAATCGAGTTCCAGCGAGATCGGAGAATGCTCACCGATAGAGCCGTCGCTGACAGACCATTGGTCAACGATCTCATCCTGGTCAGTTGGCACATCCCATCGAGCGATTCTAAGGTCGAGGGTGTGAGCATTCTGGTTGAAACGACATTGCCAACTCTTGACTGCCTTGCAGCCGGGTTTCTGGCAAAGATGGCCCATGTAGCATTTGATCGATCGACAAGCCCCGGATCGAGAGCACGGATGCTGGAGAAGCATCCACCTCAGCACCTCGATGACGGTATTGGTGACATCGGTGTGATCGTAAGGGCAGCTCATGTCGCCACATTCCCCGGAAAGGTGGTAGCTATTACACACTTTATGTTCCTTTGCGCGAGAGTGGTACTCTTCAAATGCTTCTGCCGACGGCTGAGGATAATAGGGGTCAATGCGGTCCCCTTCCTTGTTAACCGGGATGAATTCCTCGGTTTTGATGCTTGGGAGAGGGAGCATGGATCTCAGAAATTCTTCGGTACGACCGACCGCGGTGGGAGAGGTCCAGAATGAGGAGGTAGACTTCGTCGAGGACTTGGGTGACACGGGCGTGTTTTTAGATGGAAGGTGGGTTAGTGATTGGTTGGGCATGACGTGCTGCTTATTACAGCCATTGCCGAATTTGCAAATCCCCTGCGCCGACGTCAGATTCTGATATGGACAGTTTCAACTATCAACTCACCTTTTGGAAGTGCTTGCAGATTGGTTTGGTAACACCGTTTGGAGAAATTGAATGATTGGACATTCCGTTTGTACCATTACCGCCGGCTTTAGCAGCAGCAGGACCGGTGGGTGGCTTGTTGGTAGTTAGGGGTGAAGATGCGAAGACCGAAGGCAGCTCTTTGATTGGGAGACCGAGAGCTTCGAATTCACGGTGGAAGCCAGCGGCTTTAATAAGCGTGATACGATCACTCCCTCTGTACGGGGTCAGGAGTGAGCCGTATCCAGTATCATGACAGCCAGCAAAGTAGATGTGACGACATTGGTTGGCGTCTGCAAATAGGCGGAACATTTCTATGTGTCCAACATGGATTAGTACTGGGCGACAGATCTCATGAAGCCGCTCCTTACCTCTTATCTTGAAATCACTTCCCTCTTTTTTCTCCGCAGCATCGACAAAGTCAAAGAGCTCCTGTGCACGGGTAAAGGATGAGGTGAATGGGGAAAGAGACCGGGCTTCGTGGCCCATGAGTCCGGCTCGAGCGAGTGCCTTTGACAAGCCAAGGACGTTGGCGTAAACCCGAACCATGATTCGACATTGGTCTGCCTGCATTCCCATTGTCGAATGCATCAGCTCTCTCACGGAATCACTGAGTTCACGAGCTGCGTTAATGCCTCCTTCGCTGCCGTTCTTTAAGAAGTGCTCTTTGAACTGGAGGATATTAGCTAACCATGCCAGCAAGCATAGCATGACTCAAGCTCACTAGATAGCCATCTCCGTCAACAAGAACAAGAACGAAGGGGTTACGATCCTAATAGCCTGTCAGATGGGTGGCCTGTTGGAGCTTGCTGACAGCTTACCTGGCCACGGGCCTGGCGCTTGTATTTCTCTCGGCCATCTTTGACCTCCTCGTAGTCACTTTTGAGGGAACTGTAGTCATCTAGCAGGCTCTTGAACTGGCCTAGCAGGTCTTGCAAATTCTCATGTTGCTTTTGCTGTTGTAAGGAAAAGGAAGCTAGATGCCCATTAAGGGAATCAATATCTGAATCCCGGAGCATCCCAAAGATAACGGAGAGGCATATGCCTGTCCCTCAAGCTTGAAGATAAATTAGAGAGTGTGAGCATCCGATTGAAAGTAAGAGAAAGTAAAAGAATAAAACACTAGGAAGTGTGATGAGGAGATCTATGGTGGGGAAATTTATCTGTTGTCAACGGCCGGGCGGTCAATGCTCAGGCCATCAGGTGATCGGACACTTGTCAGCGCGTTTGGTCGCGCGCGCTATGCATGCTCCTGCATATTCTCCTTTCATGAATCCCACACTCACCGTCTGGGCATGTCGGGAGTACCTGGGTTTTAATTTCCACACGGGCGATCCCCGGGGCCCCCTTCCCGGCTTACCTCATAGTCCACAATGCCCATCCCCGATGAGCCCGTGCTGAAGAGTCGGATCACACCTGGGCAATGCCTTTTGCTCACTTAAATAGGGACCACCTGAAACAAACTCAATTCTCTTGACATCACTAGCGTGGTCGATCTCCCAGATCGTGCTTTCCCACCCCTCCGAGCCTGTGGTTCACCACCCAAACCGCGAGACTGAAACAGATCCTCACGTCTGGTTGGCCGTTATCGGGAACTGCATCATATGGGAACAGTCTTCACCCGCCGAGGATGGGCACCACTCGCGTCGGAGACAATAAAGACACTTGGCAAAGAGTGAACTAGCATGACTTGAAGCTATCACTTCTTGCTAGGCCAGTTATCTCCATGCTTGCGGTATCCACAGTGCCTTGCAAGCCTGAATGCCATGTGTCTGCACTTGAATATTGCGGTCAGATACATGGCCAGGTCCTTGTCCATGTGGATTGCCCACATCGATTGGGGCTCGGCGCTATCGATTCCTCTGGAGACCTGTGGAATGGCTGGATGGCGTATAAAACGATCAAATGCTCGAAAGGACCCAGGTGGTCACTCAAGGCCTGGCTGGGCTTCAGTCACGCGCTTGATCGATCAAAAATCTTCGACTCTGTCAGCTCATCGAGAGTATTTGGGCCTATCACTAGGTCAATACAAGAGCCATGGTAGATCGCGATTCAATCTTCTCTGATATTCATGATATCCAATGCACGCCTGTCGTGGCCAGATTTCCAGGCCTGATCTCATCCGGTAGGATGATATTGCAAGCTTTGCCTTTGCTCGATCATTGGAGAGGACTTGCTTCCGTGGCTTCTACCTGGAAGGCCGAGGAGTATACTTATTGCAAATGAATTTGTTCACGAGCTCTCCAGGTGCTTGATATCCCTATAGAAGAAGGAGTTCCAAAGTAGAGAGTGATTTGGACTCGATCTTTGAAATCCCGTGTAACATTACTGAGGGGCATACGACGTGGGTGTATTCCAAGGTTGCATGCAGTTATTCTTTCTGCTATGTAAGGTTTGTTTGCATATAGTTTTTGAACTTCTACATTGAGGTATGAACCTAAGTACGCCATGAAGGCGTGGGCCGGAGCACTGGGGACAGAGATATTGGTTGTGGTGAGGACATCGATTCATCTAACCCTGGGGTCATACATCATTTATTGAAGACTCCAGGATTCCCAGTATGGGCTACTATGGAACAACTTGATAAGGGCCTTGTCACGACCATGACTCCGCGCTGCAGCATGCCAGGCTTCTCGGACCTCGTCTTTCAAATGCCACTGGGAAGTGCCCGTCCAGACAGCCTCCCCAGCCCACGCATTGTACTCGAATCTGTGTTCGATAAACTCGTCACCATAATAGACCCGACCTCTTCCTAACTCGGCCTCAAGCTCCATCCACCGGAGCCGAGGCATGCATTGAGCCGCACGTGCTGCATAAAGGTATAATCTTTGGAGATGTTCATTGGGATGAATGTGGAGTATAGTCGGAGACGAGCGTCCTTCGTGTCCAGTTTTTCGATGGGAATTGTCATCTGGGTCGTTGTCAAAGTACCACGTGCCCGAGGTCATGGCTGGTTGATAAAAAAGAGTGAACCTTTCAAGGATTGGCCAAGTCGAATCTGTCGGCCAGAACAACTCAGGGTCAATCATAATGTTGTAAAGAGTAAGGCTTTTCAGCTGATGTGAAATGCCATGCAATTCACGGCTTAGTGAGTCTTTACCAGGACTTGACCGATACGGAAGAGCTTCGTCCGTATTGACTTTCGGGGTCGGTCCATCATATGAAAGCTTCAAATCTCGAAGGCTTGAGGGCCAACTAGTCATCGTGAAACCTGTGAGATGTGTTGTTAGACTCGATCAGAAGCAGAGCTCGGAAGACCTTGAAGGACTCACCATCACGCAACAGATCACGTTGAGCATCATTCGGTTCGTCATCATTGAGCGCAAGGTCGAGACTCTGTAACCGCGGCAGATGGGATACTATCTGGGATATGGCGCTAGGTGCAAAGCGTCTGAAGCCCTCACGATCCAGTGTCTTGAGCGAATAGATGCATCCAGCGCTCGATAGTCTGTTATGCACAAGCTTCAAGTATGAGCTTTCGAACCTTTTGTCTAGGATATCCTTCTCGGGAAAAGCGAGGTAGGTCTGAATTCGCACAGTTCGTAGATCCCAGTCTGGGCATGCTTTGAAATCACTTGGACAAACCGCATAAATTTCCAATGCAACTGAACTGTTGAATTGCTGTGGCCAGGAGCTGAGGGTTTGCAAGAGAGCCGATATCGCTTTCGTGAAGACGTTGTTGTTGCATCTGCGGTCCAATTCATTCTCATACTGTGCTCGATCCTCGATGCTGTATTTGGGGAGTTTGATTCGGAAGTAGATTCTCCTAATATGTCCACACCGTACGAAGTTCGAGGACCGAATTATTTTATCGAAGTTCCTCAGGCTTGAGGACTCGAGATGGATGTCAGCGAAAGTGATCGCTTCAACGGCGATTTGCCATGAGCGACACACCCTCGCATATGGCACCAGAGTTTCGAATCCGTAGGAGAAAATCTGAAGAAGAACGTCGAAGGGTAATAGTGACGCCTGCATGATTGATTTGACTGGGGGCGCTCGATGCGCAAAGGTTGCGATTTATGAGCTCTCGCAAGCTGGAGGTGTTTAGAGGGGAGACAAAGGCTCAAGACGAAGATCCCAAGGAGTTGTGTTGAGAGAAGAAAGCGAAATGGAAAGGAAGAGAAATGACCCAGACCACATGACCTCTGACAGAGAGCCCTAGGTTCCAAATCACCTTAGTTATATGTTAAGGATAACGCTCGCAAAGTGGTACGTAGCTCGTCTTCTCACGGACCAATTAAGCCCTGGAGAGAACCTTGAAGCTATCAATTGGGATCATGGATGAAACGATTGAAGAACTTTGAAACCTTGAAAGTGCCATACAGATGACATTGACAGATCCACACATAGAGACAATAAGAGCACACCTTGGTTCAAGACCAGCAAAAGGAAACCCTCGGGGAGATACGATAGATGAGATGGAGAAAAATTCGGGGGGGGGAAAAAAGAGAGCAGCGACCGTGGTTCGAACACGGGATCTTGAGATGTATTGCTGAGTTGCACTGGAGAGTTTATTAGTGAATGGTTCCTGTGAAATGGACGTCAAGTATTCTTACATCTCACGCGTTACCACTGCGCCACCGCTGCAGTGATGGAATTTAACCGAGGTCTTCAGTTACATGAAGAGTACATGTCATTGATTGTTTGGAAAAGAAAAAAAGAAGCAGCGACCGTGGTTCGAACACGGGATCTTGAGATATATTGCTGAGTTGCACTGGGGAGATTGTTAGTGAATGGTTCCTGTGAAATGGAAGTCGAGTATTCTTACATCTCACGCGTTACCACTGCGCCACCGCTGCAGTGATGGGATCTGGCCGAAACTTTTAGTAACTTGAAGGATGTCTAGCCAACCCTTTTTGATACCCAACCTGTATGTGCCAGTTCGCGTAACTCGTTTGGAAGTAGAGCTGTCACAGAGTATTTGACTCCTTCCGAACACTCGCTTCTCAGTATGAAACAACTATGTGATCAAGGAGAGTACGGCTAGTATGTCTGGAACATCAGTGGAATTGATTAAGATTATTCTTTACATTGCTCGAGTCGAGAGTAACCGACAGAAGCCAGATTGCTTGGATATCATCAGGAGTTATTCCGGCCCTTTCTCGCTTTCCTCACGCTTTTCATCGCTCTTCCAATTCTTGCCTATCCTTAGTCGCTGAGGTCGGTCGGGGACAAGATTCCCATCATCATCATTGAACGCCCCGCCCACATATTTCTGAAGCTCGGGGTATCTTTGGAGCAGACCCCTATGTCGTCCATCAACAACGAGGTGTCTCCGGGGTCTTTTGGAAATTTCGAAGCAGCTGTCCCCATGCAGCTCATCGACAAGCCGATTCGCTTTGTAACAAGCTTCCCAGCCATCACAAGCGGGATACTCAAAGCCTATTTCACGATCATCAGAGCCTCGTATTCCAACGCGAATCGCCAAACGAGAGCCAGGGTCTTCGAGGGTTGCTTCTGTAGCCCACACGTGCGGATGCCTTTCACCAACAGGGGAAAGCTCCGCTTGAATCCAAAATCCACACTCTGGGTGAAGTTGAGTAACGATGCACAATCCTATGTGGCGGATAGTGAATTGGTAGAACCCCACTGCCCGCAACCCTCCATACCCTTGGTGCCTTGAGCCTAGCATCAACCTGATTGGTTCTGACTGGGTTTCATCGAGGGTTCTCGAAACACCCGCGTTGATTTGAGATCCATCAATCTTGTTTTGCGCTTCATCAAATTGGGTGAGATAGTCGGGTATACTTGGGGACTTTTGAGCGTTTCGGGAAGAAAGATCCAGCCCGATAGCTTTGGCAATAGAGGAATCTTCCGTTGCTTGGTTCTGCTCTTCATCTGTGGACTGACTGCGTTCGCTGTTCATGAAGAGGAGGGGGGCCTTCTCTTTGAAGAGAGCTTGGACACGAGAAACGATTTCGTCGGGCCAGTGATCACAATCATGTGTTTTCGTGGATGGAAGAACCCCTAAGCCAGCGGTCTTAGATCTGTGTGCCTTGTTTGGGCGGCTCGCACACATAATTCGAATTCCAAGCCTGAGGGACCCCCCAGCCGCTTCAGTTAAGCGTTGGAGGTCGCTTTCACCGGTGAACCCCCTTTCTGCGAGCCAAAGTCTAAGAAGAGGATCCAGATTTCCTGGACTGACGGGTTGTATTTGACCAATTTTCTCATCGTACCATCCCCTGATGATTAAGGTCTCGACTAAAGTTGACTCAAAGAATGCAGGATGGATCTTCACGCCGGTGAGCCCTGAGATCAACCGAAAGACTCTTGTAATTTGGCACGCCATTCGGCCATTGCTTGACCGCAGTTCCGAAAGAGGCGATGGTGATCGAACAAAGAGACGCAATATTCTGCCACCATCGTGTTCAACCCAGGCGTGACATTCCACATCGTCTAGCATGAGAGTGATATGCCCAGAGATAAGAATATCATCTGGAAGGACAACTGGCTCAACTTCTTTGCCACTCATGATGATGATTCTTAACTTGCTCCCCAAAATAAGCTTCTTGGTGGCAGTCTTGAGGAACTGAACCATCGGAAGATTGGGAGGTCGGGACTGAAACCCACCAGGGATAAGCGTGAACTTCTGAAGATTTTATGACCAAATCAACGAGTTAGACTCATCAAACCCGCTTTCTTTGAGCCCCCAGGGTAGATGATGAAGAGCCGGTGACCCGGATCCATCATAAGCCGTGTATTCATGTGAAGGTACGCATCCAAACACGATGCCAATGGGAACATCTGAAGTCCCCACAGTGCGAATGAACTCATTTGGCGTGGAGGTGTCCAATGGAGTGTCTTCTTCAGCTGTTGAGAGAACGGTCATCTGCTCCTGAAGATTGCTGATCGTTGTCTTGAACCAAAATTCCGTGTCCTGGGGCTCCTTTGGATCTAATTCTCCCCAGGGAATCAGATCTGCATTTGGAGGAAGACATTGGTTGATATCGAAAGGATGGTTGCCAATAAGACTCCCGGTAATGGCCCCGCGGAGGATGTTGTAGTAGTCCTTCTTTGTGAAAGAGTGTCTTGCAGATGGTGACCACTTTGATTGTTGTTTGCGATTAACATTTCGAAGAGCTGACCACGCCCATATATCCGGATCCGGCAAATTATCGCATTGCTGGATTATTGCACGGTGACCCGGTATGCCTAATTTGCCCTGGTACAAAGGGGATACCACATTAAGGCCCATTCCCGAGTATCTGCCTTCATCATCCAGACACGGCCCAAAGAGCTCCTCTAGAGTGGATGGCGGAAGGGAGTGAAAGGCCCGACACATCACTGTTTCCAGAAAGGTTTCGAATACTTCCTTCACCAGACCCGAAGCATTCGGTGGAAATGGAATTGCCCACAAGCGGATGAAATTCGCTACTCGCTGTTCTCCTCTGGTAATGATCCAGTAGTGGAGGGAATCCTGGTAACCGGCTTGGATGTTTTTGTGGTGGGCGGAGATTTGGAACTTTGGCACACTAGCTTGTCCTATGTAAGGCCGCCAGTAAGTTCTCGAGCGTAAATCTGTAACAAAATCAAGGTAACCACCATGCGGTCGATCCCAGATGTCTAGTTCCTTGACTTGTTGTTGCCGGATAGCATGGAGAGTATCCACTGTGACTAGTTTCCCTTGTAGAGCCTTGATCTCTGGGAGCACTGTGCTGTATGCCAATTCAATGAAAGAGTCTTGACTGCGGAATGCTTCAAAAATGGCACGATAGGGCTGGCGGTCGAGTTTGATCTCGAGAGGACGGTCCGATAGGAGGAAGTCGCAAAGTTGTGCCATAATGGCTTGCAAGTCCGGAAATAAGATCTGGGATGGAGGCTCCTGGTCAGTATATGTAGCGGTGTGACTGCATTGCCTCAATACCTTCAGCACTGGGTAATCGACCCCATCAATGGGAGACTCCAGATGACTCTCGGGGGAAGGGGCCTGCGGTTCACAGCAACCACAGCAAGGGAAGAGGCCACAATAGGCCATAGGATCACATCCAGTTCCCGCGATGAACCTTAGGCTACATCTCCGACAAATCGGATAGCATGCATGATCCGGTTCCTCAAAAGCTCCGCAGTCACGGCAGTATGCTCTCTGGTTCTTTTTCGTATCCCGCTCTTCCTTGTATTTTGGTCCCTGATCAAGCTTTCGCTTGAATCGACTGCCGGGAGGCATGTCCTTCTGGGAAAGTAGAGAAACGCGTGAAAAACAGATGCAGATTGATGAGAGAGTGTGATGGATTGCAGTGGGTAGATAATGAAAATTGCAATCTTCTGAAGTTGGAGTGAAGGGAAAGGAAGATAGTTGGACGCAGAAGATTTCCCGTTGGCGACTACCCAGGCAGTCCATGTTTCTCTATTTCCAGAGCTTCTACACATATGCAAAGATTGCAAGTCATCAAGGTTCCAAGCCCCTTGTATTTTATTTCTTCGATCCTTTCCTTCTCACTGATAGCATGAAGCTTCTTGAATATCTCTACCTTCAAGCCTCCCAACAATGGTGAGCCTAGGGCGCTGTTTCAATGCACTTATTCTATCTACGAGTTTCCTAGTAAGGGACTGTCAACGGCCTACCCAAGCTAGTTATAAATTCGAAAGGCACTGTTGGACTTTTGCATTGAAAATTCCGATGTGTTCTTGGGACTTTTTTCATCGCCTCTTCATATATGTCATGATCGTGGAATCTCAGCAGTCCTTTTTGAACCTGACATCTTAACCACCTTTTCCTGTGCATAGATCGTATTGGGGTCGATGTCGCTGTATTCATATCAAACCTTACCTTTGACATATACCTCCGAGTCTCGATCCTTACCTACAGGTAGGTATCTCAGTATACCGTACAAGTGAGGCAATACCGTGAATATATTCCCAATCTTGAAGACGAAAAAATCTCAATCCAGGTTGAACATCGAACCGCTTACATTTTAGACATTCAGGTTTTAGTTTTTTTTTTTAAAAAACCTCAAACCTTGGATTATAATAACATTGGAATGAAGATCGAAAAGTAGGGAATTTTATTTTTGGGGATGCCTTTGTGTTTTAATGTGTCCATAAGACGAAACGGTCGGCAGTTTTGCATCAGCCGCACCGGTAACTCAGTGGCTAGAGTGTGAGATGTATGTTCAACAGTACCACATTAAACCACTTCAAACGCTAACAATTCCTCCAGTGCAAAGATTAATTCTTCAATAATCTCGAAGTCCCGCGTTCGACTCGCGGTCGGTGCTTCTTTTTTGTTCTAATTTTTTTTGGTTCCAACCTATTTATTGTACCTTCGAAACGTGCTGGTCCTTTGCAGATTGTTTTAATGCTAAATATGGATCATAATAAAGGAATCCATCTTTGTGAGATGCCAACACGCCAAGAAGATTAACAAAGGAGGAGAAATATGACAGGAAGCCTCTACTATACAGTCTACTTTGCAGCACTTCCAAGGTTGGCCGAAGCTACTCTGGAGGCAGTCAAAGAGCTGAAACCCATCTGAATGGAAAGGGATATGCAAGGGACCACGCTAGACCCAGCTGGGAATACACGTCAACCCCACTCCTTTGAACCCTTAAAGTCCATGTGAATGAACGGGAATTATTTCCTGCCTCGGTCTCACACGCTACTTCGAGCTTATAAGTCACCAGCCAGGAAGTGAAAGAGTCGTGTCAGTTCATCCACCATGAAATACGTCCTCTTCTCTTTGAGCGCCTTCGTGTTCTACGCGATTTTCTACTTTTCATACATCAATGGCTTGCATTTCCTCGGTAATCAGTCAATCGAGTCAGGCAAGCTTCCGGGTATCAACGAGCCACTGAGGACAGTATACACGGGTGTCGAGCCAGTCGATCATCTCCTGGCCACTTTGACGACCTTCTTTTACCCATCGCTCGATGGCCAGAATCCCGGACTCTTGCTCCACAGCATTGCTTTCTCTGGATCCTTCGGAGCAGCATGGACTTTGGTTGTCTTGGAGTCGTGGAGAAAGGGTAATGCGGGAACGGTAGCTGCATAGTAAGTTGTCGTCAAGCTCAAATGACCCCAATGGAAGCCAAATTGACTGGGACAGCCCCATGGTCTTTGGCCTCGTAGCGCAAGTATTCACTTTTGCCTTCGCGACCCCTTTGTTCCTAGGCCTTCAACTCGGTTGTTCGGTCACGGCTCATCGACCTCACGCAAACAACATCCGCGTTCCACGCGCGGTTCTGGCAGCTCTGCCGTTGGTCTTTGGTGTTGGATTCATGATACCAACCCATATGATGGTTTTGCCTGCCCCATCCGTAATCCCCGTGGACTTCAAGCAAATCGCGATCGCCATTTGGCAACCATGGCCTGCATATGTCTCGGTTCTTAGCACCGTTGCCTACTACTTGCTGTCTCCGTTCATCTCGAACAGCCACCGAGCCTCCATGTCCAGCTTGCGCTGGGTTTACGCATTCGCCTTCATCAATGCATCTTTGCCGCACCTCGTGTCATGGATAGTGTCATTGGCGACGGTTATTGTACCCATGATATTTGAAAAGCGATTCCTGGAGACGCTGCACCCGGCAAATGTGTACTCCATCCCGCTACCTTGGTCAGGGCTGGTTGTTGACAATGTCGGGGATGGTGTCCATGCCTTCCTTCGCTGGGACTACATCATTGGTACCTCTGGTGTTTTGATTTGGGCTCTCTCGTTGTACACTGCCGCGCACAAGCAATTGCTCAACACTGTTTCTTGGCCCAGCTTGCTGTTCAAGACCGCTGTCATGACCGCTGTTGCTGGCCCTGTCGGCGCGGCGGTAGAGTTGGTCTGGGAAAGAGACGAGCTGGTGTTTTCCGAGACTGGTGGCGACAACCAGCGAGTTTCGGCGGCCAAAAAGTCAACATAATCAAAGACGTCAAATTGGTTGCTCCTATCTTAGTGCCGACACGGTTTTCCATGTCCAGATGTCCCCTCAATGATGTTGAGTCCCGCTGCAATCCTGTTCCTTCGACAAAATCATAACACAATACAATCAAGCCTTTGCTTCGTTTGCCATAATATCGTAGATCGCCTTAATGTAAATCGCGCTGTTCTCGTTGCCTGCAAGGCTTGGCGCCATCTTGTTCATAGCATAGCAGATAGTCATCCGACGATCAAGATCCATGATCAGCATGGAGCCTCCCCAGCCACACCAAAAAGCAATGTTTCCTTCTGGGATGTATGGGAGGGTTTGTGGTACGGGCAATCCGAGACCGAGGCCCATTCGCAAAAAGAGGCCGATGACCACGTCGGTGCCCCGAATCCTTTCCTGGAAGATCTTCGCGACGGTTTCCGGAGAAAGATATTGCTTTCCATCAACAACTCCATTGAGAGACACGAGAGAAGCAATACGAACAAGGCCGCGTGCATTGCTGAAACCATTCAAGGCGCCGATCTCAGCAGCCCTTTGCTCGGGAGACATAGAGGCGGCCGCATCGGGAGGGGGGTTCATGAACACCCTGGCCATGATGCTCTGCAGATCAATACCCTCGGGCAGACTCAAGGGGGGAGGAGGCACAATGTCCGCGGCTCTCGCCTTTTTCTCCTCCGGCACACCCAGCCCGAAGTCTGCGTTCATCGGACCCGCAAACTCGTCGGCAATGAACTGGTTGAGTGATTTGCCACTGATACGCTTGACCAGCTCGCCGATGAGATGTCCGAAATTGATCATTTGGTATCCGACCGCAGACCCAGGAGAAAACCAGGGAGCTTGACGCCCGAGCAATTCAGTCGAAGTTGGAATATCGTAGATGCGCTCCATGGTTATTGGCTCCGTCCATGATGGGAGACCAGAAGAGTGAGTGAGCATGTGCCACACCCTGATATCTTCCTTGCCATTGACTCCAAACTCGGGCCAGTACTTGGACACTCTCTCCTCGGGGTCCAGGAGACCTTGGTCGATAAGCTTGAGGGCCGCCAAAGCCGTGATCACTTTGGTGCAGGACCAGACGGTCGTGATGGTGTCTTCCTCCCATGGGCGAGACTTTTCTGCGTCTGCATGACCGCCCCAGATATCCAGGACGTTCTTGCCGTCGATGTTCACGCAGAGTGTTACGCCGAGTTCCTCGCCTTGGTCCAATCTTTCTTGAACCAAGTCGCGCACACGACTGAACAGTGGATCGCAGGAGCCTTGGATAGTCATTTTTCTCGTCTTGAAACTCGATGTTGTGAGGGGTGAGAGGTGACGCCAAGTTTTAGCCCCAATCGTGGGATGATCACGGACCACCGGGGGTTTCAAAGAGCAATCATGATCGTCCTCGTTAGTGCTGTCGCTAGCGAAGCCTAGTGCTGACTGTGAGGTCAGAAATGACCCCAGATTTCACCATGATTAGGGTTATATTGACACTTTGACCGCGGGAGAGATGCACGTAGTACAGCGAGGCACGAGCCATGGAACCGTCAGGGCTCGGGTTTGCCCCGTTTGCATTGTTTACGCCACTGCGGGGGAGTATGCACTGTTTGCCGTGTTTATGCCCACGCCCGTGGACCTCACGGATAGATTGATGACAGCTCGTTTGGGAGAAAACACCTGAATTCATCGAGTCACCAATCATAATCCTTGTGCTGCTGGGACCCGTCTGTCGTTTGACCAGTATCAATCAGCATTGGATGTGTCAACATCCCAGCCAATTGATTCCTTGCCAACAAGTGACAGGTCATACCAACACGTGAGAACAAAGAGCTGGGAAAGTTGAAAAGGCGAATTTCTTCCGCCTCGCAGCTTCTTTCTTCCATCAGATACACTTGATATAATTTGCTACTGAGTAATCATGAGTGACAACAGAGGTCGTGGACGAGGTGACCGCGGTCGGGGTGACCGTGGCAGAGGTGACCGTGGTGGTGGTCGGGGTCGTGGTGACCTTCCTCTTCGTCCAGCTGGACGAGGTGACGGTGATCAAGGCAGCTTCCGTGGAGGTGACAGAGGCCGCGGAGATAGAGGCCGTGGAGGTGACAGAGGTCGAGGTGGTGATCGAGGCCGCGGAGACTTTGGTGGCCGTGGCCGTGGAGATTTTGGTGGCCGTGGCCGAGGTGACTTTGATGGCCGCGGTCGTGGTCGTGGACGAGGCGACTTCCGCGGTGGACGTAGGGGTCGTGGTGGTGGTGCGGTGAACCTTGGCCCACCAATCTTCAGGTATGTCCCTTTCCCATCAACATGAAAGATTGAGAGCTAACGACCAACAGACAAGGAGAGCCAATCCCCCCACCTGACGCCGTCGTCACCAAGACCGAGAACGATCTCGCCAAGGCACTTGTTGCCAGTGGAAAGAAAACGCCCCGCCAGGCGAAATATCCTGAGCGCCCCGGATATGGATCTGTCGGCAGACCGGTGACATTGTATGCCAACTACCTCCCCCTGACTCTCACCAGCCAGGCGCTGTACCGCTATCACATTGATATCGCGGCCGATACCGCGGGTCGAAGCGCCCCAGTTGGCAAAAAAGCCAGACACATGGTTCGCCTGCTGTTGAATGAGCACTTCCCCAATGAGAAGAGCAGCATCGCATCGGACTTCCGCCAGACGTTGATCTCCCGAACCAAACTGAAGGAGGGAAAGTATGAAGTGCGATACAAGGAAGACCTCGAGGATGATTACCCCGAAAATGCGCGGGTTCATGTGGTCACTATGCAGTACACTGGTCAAGTCAACCCAGCCGACTTGGTCAACTACCTCACTTCTACCAACGTCGGCTCCATGCTTGAGTCCAAGGAAGAGATTGTCGCTGCCCTGAACATGATCTTGGGGCAACACCCCAAGACTGACGATGGAGTTGTCTCCATCGGTGCGAACAGACATTACAGTGTCCGTCCTGATATGGTGGAGTCTTTCCAACTTGGCGGCGGCCTTTCTGCGCTTCGTGGATTCTTCATCAGTGTTCGTGCCGCAACTGCTCGAGTCCTCTTGAACGTGCAGGTCAAGTACATTGCTTGCTACAACGAGGGACCTCTCCGCAACATGATTGCTGACTTGAGAATGAACAACACCTACCGCCTGGAGAAATTCATCAAGAGCCTGCGGGTGCGTATCACTCACATTTCCCGCAAGAACAGCCGCGGCGAAGCCCGACCTCGCATCAAGCCCATCCAAGGGCTTGCTAGCCGCGGTGACGGTAAATCCTCGCCAAACCCGCCCAAGGTCCCGCGCCATGGTGCTGGACCCAATGAAGTGGAATTCTTCTTGAACGAGGCTGGCCCCAAGCCAGTAGCCGTTCCTGGTGCGCCAGAGCCAAAGAGCAAGAAGGGCAAGAAGCCACCGAGATCCGGCCCCGCGGAAGCTGGACGCTACATCACTGTGGCTGAGTTCTTCAAAAAGGGTAAGTCAATATATCACTCATCTCGTAGTGGAGTCCCCGATCAACCCTGTGCTGACAACGTTTAATAGAATACAACATGGCATTGAATCCCGACCTCCCAGTGATCAACGTCGGGTCTCGTGAAAGGCCTGTCTATGTTCCATGCGAGGTTTGCGACATTGAGCCTGGCCAGCCTGCCAAGTCCAAGCTCTCAGGTGACCAAACCTCCGCGATGCTCAAATTCGCCGTCATGGGCCGCAAGCCTGGGCAGAACGCCCAGTCGATTGTCAGTAAGGGCGTTGCTATGCTTGGACTCGGACAGCCCCTGAACCCAACTCTGGTGAGTAAAACTTCAATTTCAAAGACTCCAAAATTCTAACGATCTCTACAGGCTGCGTTCGGGATCACCCCATCGGCCGAACTGATTACCGTCCCTGGACGCGTTCTCCCAGCTCCCAACGTCTACTACAAGGACCTTAACAACCGGACCAAGGAAATTCGGACCATGGCAGGAAGCTGGAACATGCGCCAGATCCAGTTCTGTAAGCCCGCGGCGATGAAATCCTGGACGTACATCCACATTCTCCAGTATAAGACGAGAGCCAGGAACTTGACAGATGATCGCGAACTCCAAGCCGCCTTTAAAGGGTTCTGCGGTACTCTTGGCAGTATGGGAATGGCCGTTGGCCCTCCCAAGCAAGGCACGCGCATCGAACTTGACGGCATCAATGATGCCGCGGACATCGAAGCCGCAATTCTTGGCTTGCAAAAAGCCCACAACCCAGGATTCATTCTGGGAATCTTATCCGATAAAAACACTGGCATCTACAACTGCGTCAAACAAGTTTGTGACGTCCGCTGCGGTATCCGCAACGTGAACGTTCTCTCAACCAAAATCAACTCGAATGACCAGTATAATGCCAATGTTGGCCTGAAAATCAACCTCAAATTAGGAGGAGCCAACCAGTCCCTTCAGCGCTCTGACCTGGGTCTCATTTCCGAAGGGAAGACCATGCTCGTGGGAATCGATGTGACCCACCCGTCCCCAGGTTCAGCCAACAGCGCCCCCTCTGTGGCCGGCATCGTCGCCTCCGTCGATGCCAACCTGGCGCAATGGCCGGCCGAAATCCGCGTCCAAAGCGCGCGCCAGGAAATGGTCGCCGATCTCGAGACCCTACTTCTCTCCCGCCTCAACTACTGGCGTAAGATCAACAAGAACCTCCCGGAGAACATCGTCATCTACCGCGACGGTGTCTCGGAGGGTCAATACAACACGGTCATTGAGAAAGAGTTGCCTCTTCTTCAATCTGCCTGCAAGCAGATTTACCCAGCGGACCAAACCAAGAAGGGTCTCCCTCGCCTTGCCATCATCATCGTCGGCAAGCGCCACAACACCCGCTTCTACCCAACCACCGAGCAGGATTCCAACCGCGAGAACCCCATCCCCGGAACCGTCGTTGACCGCGGTGTCTCCGAGGCTCGCGACTGGGACTTCTTCCTGCAGGCCCACTCTGCTCTACAGGGCACCGCCCGCCCAGCCCACTACTTCACCGTCTGGGACGAGATCTTCTACCCTCGTCACCCCGGTAATGCAGGTGGGCCCGGCGCAGCAGATGTCCTGCAGGATCTTACCCACAAGATGTGTTACCTGTTTGGTCGGGCTACCAAGGCTGTCAGCGTTTGCCCTCCCGCTTACTATGCTGATCTTGTCTGTACGCGTGCTCGTTGCTTCTTGAGTGATCTCTTCGATCCTCTTCCCATTGAATCTGGTGGCAGTACCACTGGAACTGAGAGCACGGCGGACATGTCGCGTATGGTTGATGTTGTTATCCACCCTAACGTCGCGGAAACCATGTTCTACATTTAGTTCGGATCTACTGTTGGACGATCTGTTTCATTTTGCTATTTATTGCTCAATTTTCATTTGGTGGTTGGTTAGAATGTGATAGTGAATGAAATGTTGCAATTTCCTTTCGTCTCCACTGACATTATAGTATAACCGTACATGCCCAGGTGTTGCCAATGCCTCACATCAATCTGATTTTTCATGGGACTCAAGATGTCGATTTGATAGCTGGATGCTGATCTCAACCCAGCGACCTCTAACCTGGAGGCAACCTGGAATCAATTTCAAAAGGATGATTTCCCTATTTGGAAGTATATGTGATCTTTCGTGTGACCCTTATTATCGATATTTAGAAATCAGCCCTGGATTAAACACATTTAAATTGAATTTCCACCGGCACTTACTCACAGCAAACCTGAACAGAATTGTGCAATTTGCCGTGAATGAACCCCGACATACTTTGCATACGGAGCGTATTACCGCATTAGGCCGTACGGAACAACCGGGGCGACTCGATGACGCCGTGATATGACGTCCCAGTAACTCAAGCATCCAATTGACATTCTATATAATAAATCCCACATCCATGAAAAAACCGTAAAGCAAACCACCATGGAACACAGCCCGCGCGACACCAGTCCGGACAGCGACGACATCAGCACAATCGTAACCAGCACCCGCAACCGCCTCTCGGACCAAACCTCCATCCCAATCCAAGACCGCCGCGAAAGCAATCTCAATGGCGTCGAGCTCGAACGCATAAACACCTACAGGCTCCAACACCGATCCACCGTCGGTTCAGGGATCGGCATCACACCCCGCGAAGAATGGCTCCCCCTCGGTGCTGGAAAACCATATCCGCCTGCCCTCCCAGACCCAGAACAATACGTTGTGGAATTCACGGACGCGCAGGATCCCCTGCATCCGCAGAATTGGAGCCTGAAGCGCAAGATTGGTATCTCGGTGACGCTTGCGTATACGACTTTCGTGTCTTCGTTTGCGAGCGCGATTTACTCTGCTGCTGTGGGTGAGATTGCGCCGCATTTCCATATTAGTACTGAGGTTGCTATTTTGGGTGTCACGCTTTATGTGTTGGGGTTTGCGTCTGGGCCGACGGTGTGGGCGCCGGCGAGTGAGTTGATTGGGAGACGGTGGCCGATTTGTATTGGGATGTTTGGGTATTCGATTTTCACGATTGCGACGGCGACGAGCAAAGATGTGCAGACGTTGATGCTGACGCGGTTCTTTGCGGGCTTCTTCTCTGCTAGTCCGATTGCGATTGTGCCGGCTGTGTTTGCTGATATTTATAATAATCAGACGCGGGGTGTGGCTATTGCGATGTTTGCGATGGCGGTTTTTGTTGGGCCTTTTGCGTCGCCTTTTACGGGGGGTTTTATTACCATGTCTTATTTGGGGTGGCGGTGGACGATGTATATTGCGTCGATTATGGGGTGGTTGGCGACGGGATTGTGTCTTTTGTTCTTGAAGGAGACTTATGCTCCGGCTGTTTTGGTGGAGAAGGCTGCGACTTTGAGGCGACAGACGCACAATTGGGGCATTCGAGCCAGACAGGAGGAGATCGAGCTTGACTGGGGGGAGCTGATCACCAATAACTTCAGTCGTCCCTTCCGCATGCTCTTTACCGAGCCGATTGTTTTCTTGGTGAGTTTGATTTCATTCTGGGGAGTGGCTGGAGCTAACATGGCTTAGATATCCTTGTGGATGAGTTTTGTATACGGCCTGATGTATGCGCTGCTCAGCGCATACCCCGTTGTCTTCCAGGGCATCCATGGAATGAACCTGGGAGTAGGCAGTCTCCCATTCATTGGACTGATCATCGGAGAGATTCTGGCCGGTGCATATATCCTTTGGGACCAGAGGTCCTACAGCAAGAAGCTTGCTGCCAACAACAACATCCCCATCCCAGAATGGAGACTTCCTCCCGCCATTCTCGGTGGACTCTGTTTCTGCATCGGACTCTTCTGGTACGGTTGGACCGGATGGACCAAATCAATCCACTGGATGGCTCCAACTGCCAGCGGATTATTGACCGGGTTTGGTATTTATGTGATTTTCCTACAATGTTTCAATTACCTGATTGACTCATATCTGACATTGTAAGACTCTCGACCCTGGCCCCGGAGCAAAGCTGACCTGGTATCTAGTGCGGCCTCTGTATTCGCCGCAAACACGATCATTCGATCCGCTGTTGGAGCTGCATTCCCGTTGTTCTCGAAACAGATGTTCGTCAATCTGGGCGTCCAATGGGCTGGTACGCTTCTTGGATGTCTTGCGCTCATCATGGTTCCTATTCCTCTTGCATTCATCAAATGGGGTCCTGCATTGCGGAAGAAGTCCAAGTTTGCCCCGATGTTGGATATTGCACCGGCTGAAAAGTCGGAAAAAGGGTCGGAGGCTGTTTAAGGTGAAAAGCTGAATTGTATTTTGTCATTAACTAATTCTTAATCTATTATTCGTCTACAATAGAACTGAAGGGATAACGAGTGGGGTCTTTATAGTATAGTTGTACTAGTAGTACTATGTAGGAAAGCCGGGACTTGACCGGAGCGGCAGGTCACACGAACATCCGGGGCACCCACTTTTAATTGGCCTTTGCTCCGACGGGCAACGTCGCACAACTCTTGTCAGACGGGCAAATATCCAGGGATTAGACGGTGATACACTGATAACACATCGGACCTGGCCGTCTACTAGGTCCACGGGTACTATATCGTATAGCAGATGTGAATATAGTGAGTAGAGTGAGTGTCGGATTCTTCCGCTATCAAGTACACACATCCACATGTCACATCTGACCGATAAGCAGCCCGCTTGGACGTCTTGGCAGTGAGCAAGCTTGAAACGTGGTGGTTTGAGCCTAACTTACTACTCCATTACATGCATGCTGCCCACCTGGGCAGATGAACAGTCTCCAGCTGTACGTCTTTAAGCCTTTTTGTCAATTGTATGTGCATCGGGTTGCCGAGCCTCGACCCATCGAGTCCCTGTCGGCAAGTCGACAGCCAATGAGAACAGCGACAACGGCCGCTCGGGGCGAAAATGACTCCGCCAAGATGCCAAGGCCCAAGAGATTCGCGAGCTGCAAATGGAAGGCGAATTTTTCGCGGCTTATCAGGTGAATGTGGTTGGCTGGCTTGGCTTTGGGCGTTTTCTTCTTTTTTTTCCTTTTCCAAAGCTTCTTTCTTTCTGCTGGCCAAATAAATACTGCGTCGAGACGCGTTCTCGCTGATATACATCATCCTCGCTATGGGCATCAAGTCTTGGATCCACGATACCAACCTGCGGGTGGCTCGGAGCCCCGTGGGGACCTGGTTTCGCCTGGAGGGGTGCGGTCATGTAAGTCATGCAACTTGAGACAGAATGCAGTACTGACTGGCAGATAGCCCAAGGAGAGGAAAGGTAGTTATTTCTTCACGGAGATCCGCGCGGGACTCGCCACGTTCTTTGCCATGGCATACATCATCTCCGTGAACAGCAATATCACCTCATTGACCGGAGGTACCTGCGTTTGTCCGGAGGAGGACATGGGCGATTTCTGCGCCACGAATGCCGAGTATGCGCTGTGCACGCAGGAAATCAACCGGGATATTGTGACCGCCACCGCCGCCATCGCCGCCCTGTCCACGTTCTGCATGGGTCTCTTTGCCAACTTGCCTATTGCGCTCGCCCCTGGAATGGGTCTGAATGCATACTTCGCGTACACTGTCGTGGGCGTCCGTGGCTCCGGTCTGGTCTCGTACTCGACTGCTCTCACGGCTGTGTTCGTCGAAGGCTGGGTCTTCCTCGGTCTGACGCTCATTGGTATGCGACAGTGGCTGGCACGTGCGCTGCCTTCCTCCATCAAGCTGGCGACTGGCTGCGGTATCGGTCTTTACCTTGCTTTGATCGGTCTCACCTACAGTGCGGGCATTGGTTTGGTGCAGGGTGGCACGGATACTCCCATTGAGTTGGCGGGATGTCTGGAGGGCTTGATGGATCCTGAAACGGGTCTCTGTCCGAGCAGCGAGAAGATGCGCAGTGCGACCATGTGGATTGGAATCTTCTGTGGTGGTATCTTGACGGCCTTGCTGATGATGTATCGCATCAAGGGAGCTGTGATCATCGGTATCTTGTTGGTGTCGATCATTTCTTGGCCGCGCACTACCCCCGTCACATACTTCCCCTACACGGATCTGGGATCGAGCAAATTCGACTTCTTCAAACAAGTCGTTACTTTCCACCCGATCAAACATACCCTCCTGGCCCAGGATTGGAACATCGCGGGCAAGGGTGGAGAGTTTGGATTGGCCTTTATCACTTTCTTGGTATGTTTCATCTCCCTCAGCCCCGTGAAAACACCACATTAACAAAATCGCAGTATGTCGACATCCTCGACACAACCGGAACCATGTACTCGATGGCCCGCTTCGCCGGCGCCATCGACGAAGAAACCCAAGATTTCGAAGGCAGCGCCATGGCCTACATGGTCGACGCGATCTCCATCTCCATCGGCTCCCTCTTTGGCAGTCCCCCCGTAACAGCCTTCGTCGAGTCCGGCGCCGGAATCTCCGAAGGCGGCAAAACCGGCCTAACCTCCTGCACAACCGGCATCGCATTCTTCATCGCTGTCTTCTTCGCCCCCATCTTCGCCTCTATCCCACCCTGGGCAACAGGCTGCACGCTCGTCATCGTCGGCGCCCTCATGGCCAAGGCCGCAGCCGAAATCAACTGGCGCTACTACGGCGACGCCATCCCCGCTTTCCTGACTATCGCCATCATGCCCTTCACATACAGTATTGCCTACGGCCTGATTGCCGGAATCCTCAGCTACATCACCTTGAATGGATTTGCGTGGATTCTGGAAAAAGTCAGTGGCGGGCGCATTGTTCCTCCCAACAAGGATGAGTCGGATCCTTGGTCTTGGAAGCTTAAGGGTGGGTTTTTGCCTCCTTGGGTTAACCGGGCTGCGCATGGGAAGAGGGATTTCTGGAAGCCGGATGAGGAATATGCTGATGATCGCTCTGCGGAGGTTTCTGATCAGTCGGAGCGGGTGGTTCATGAGAAGGGCCAGGAGCCTACCACTACCCGCTCGGTGAAATCCGAATAGTAGTATGTAAGTCGGTTCGTCCGCTGATAGTAAATATGTAGGGATCGTCTTCAGTAGTATAGTTGAAAATATAATAAGGGAGTGGCTAAAAGCGCACCTTCTCATTTGGAAATACTATGATTTCTCTCAAATAGCCAACAGGAAAGAAATAGGCCAATAATTGGATGCGATTAACAGGATCATTTGGCTTGCGAAGCTTCAGCTCCCATGGGAATGGGGAGATCTGCAGCGATCCCGCCAGTCTCTCCTTTTATTAGTTACCTGAGTTCCATAAAAACTAAATTGTAATGGACGCGGTTCAGTAATTAGGTTGAGCCTCATACGACCGGCAAGAGATATATCAGACACGAACAATTCAAGTAACCCAACAGGAACCAAGCAACAACGCATGCAACAATCATGATTCAAGAGCCCACCCGACCTTGCGTAGGTCGAAGATGGTCAATATTTTCAAATCCCATTTTAGAAACGACGAGGCTGCACGCCCGGCGAGCTTGCATCGAGCTCGCTGATCGGGCTGCTTCCCAATTCCGTACTGCCCGCATCGCCTTTGAGCTCGACAAATCGTGATCCAGGCACAGGCTGGAACCCAAGTGATGTGAACGGTCCATCCGCCGTTGTGCCGCTCATGGATGAGCCTGTTCCGTCTGCTTCGTGGAGACCATGTGGAGATTGGCCAGCGGGGGTAGGTGTTTTCTTCTGTCTTTTCATAAAGAAAACGATCAGAGCGACGATAATCGCAACGGCTGCAACGACACCAATCACCACGCCTGCGATGGCTCCACCTGACAAGCTGGTGGATGAGGTAGAATCTGTGTTGGCGGCTGCTTCGGGCGAGCTGGTCGGCGTAAATACCGAGCTCGAAGTCGTGGACGGGGTAATGGAAGTAGACGTGGAGGAAGGTGTAGATGTAGAGACTTCGGATGTTGGTATCGAAGTGGATGCAATTGTAGAAGTTTCAGCTTTGGAAACGATCAGATTCTCAGGCATGATATCAAAAGCCATGAATGTTCGACTGGCATTTTTCCTCCAAGCAGTGCACGAATAGCCGCCCATAGAATCACAGGTCTTATCCCGATAAATCGAAACACATTGCTTAGTCCCTTCAGGATCCCATGTAAACAGCTTATCCTCGAAAATGTCGGCAACAGTGCAATTCCGCTCCTCGCTCCCTCGGATGATCTCAGTCTCGTTCCCTTCATTGGTATAGCGGAAGGTCCACGCATTCACCAAGGGAATCAACAATAGAATGAAGCGTAACATTTTGAGAGTGGTTTTTCTGGTAGACTCCACAGGATGTTGGAAGTATACAGGAAATAAAATCCGGACTCTCGTTCGGGGGATGAGCGTGATAAACGGCACGCAGGTACCCCCCACAAAATCGGGGATCATTAAACCTCGTATTTGGGTGAGCCTCGCCTGCGTCGTGGTTTCTTCTAGTCTATGCTTGGTTCCAGTCAGAGCCCTGGTTTGTGGACCCTGACATTCCTGCAGTGGGCGATCTATACTTTGTGGGGAGGTACACCGACCAACACCGAGGAGCTAAATTAGCTGCAGATTGCAATGGTTTGGATTGGGACGGGTTCTGGAAGAATGGTTCTGGGATCGCAAAGGCATTACCTAGGTAGTGATCCTGCTATGGATCAAATGCCAGAGATCAACTGGATCAAGACTGGTGCCATGACTGGCTCAGTAGCGAACAGAGAAAAAATGACCGGTTAGGTGTAAGGCCCTAGTACCGAGTTCAATTTGTGACTGTGACTGTTCTCCGTTGAAGTGCAACCTTAGATCTCGTCTAGTTAAAATTGGGCCTGTGTTGGTTGGTGATTGGTGCCCCGTCGGCCGAATACGAGGTGATAGGCAGGCCAAATAAGGCCAACATACCACGACTGCTATGTCTGGACATCATTGTCAAACGGAACTGGGGACAGGGCCATGCCCACAATATAGACAAAATGGGCCCCGAGTTGGCTGTTTAGAGGTTAAACACGCCTCCAAGGTTCAACCCATGGAAACAATGTTGATTGACAGGGGAACATCGCCAAGACTTCGCACGGCTAGCGGCAGGGGTGCGGCTCGTGTTTGATGCAATTTTTCTCTGAATCTGACCCCGTGTCACATGTGCTGTCAAACGGCATCAAGGAGTCTCAGACTGGGGCCTTGGCACGGTGATCATGAAGGGTCTTCGCTGAGGCTGCATGGGAAAAGAGTTTGTCGGGTCGAAGCGATAGTCGAGTGGAGTGCAAGGGAGGATAGATGTCTCCATAACTTAATATAGTTGGCTAGAGTTATCTGGACTCCAGAGCTTGGTTCTCTGCCTACCGCGTAGAGAACGCTGCCAATTCCATAACTATGAGGGGCAACTGGGCACCTGGGTTGATCTGCTGTGAGCTTGATAGATCTGTTTGTTCCATCTCCAATAGGCGTGAAGTCAAAAGTAGGACGGAGTGCGAAGTACATATTCATAATTTCCTTTCGTTCAACTTTGCTCGGACTGGACAGCCTACCTATGTATGCTTGACAAGTGATGCCCGGGACGGGTATCCCGAATTTGTATATATCCGGGGTCCTACCGCAAATGAACAATATTTTTTGAGATGAGTCTCCATTCAACTAGAGGCAAATTCAGGCTCTGTTGCATAAAGTGACATCTAGTATCGTACTAGATAGAGCCTTGAGTGCCGAAAATCTAGCGTTCGGAGCCATGCGGAGCTTTATACTTCAAGCTTCGCCGTTTGTTGTCATTCTGACCAATATATCCATGGTTCAACATGCTTGACACACCAATCAGGAATTCCCTGTCCTGATCGAAGGGTTAAAACAGGTACAACGAGAGGTACCCGTTCGGTCATCATCATTCATGACCAGGTCCGTCGAGAGCCGGGGAGCTTGATGTCACTGATGAATTCGCTTCATGCAAGGCCTTTCAACTTGTTCAAAGATCTGTCATCTTCCATCATCCTCTCAGTCGGCCTTGCATCATATATCAAATCATTCGCGTGTGACATTGCCATCGGCGTGGTGGTGAGTCCGCTTCTCCCTAGCATCGAAGAGGAGCTCCGATGCCCATGTTTGTGTTGTATTCCTCTGCCACACCCGCTTCAACATTCACGGAATGACGCACAATGCTAACAGGATATGTTCGTCGGGTTGTAGTCGCAGCCTCATTAGGAACCAGAAAGCATTGTTGTCACGTTGGTGATATTCGGTAAGCCGTGCCCTGACCACAGCAGGCGTGATGCCTGCATAGGGATGTAATCCCGTGCTGATTTGCGCGCTTTGATCAGGACTGAGACCCAAACCCGAGACCGAGAATTCGTATACGGCGGACGATATGCCTCTCATCGAAGTGGTCCCTCACAAGGTAGCATCGCCGCCTCTTCACGAGGTCGCCAAACGAGGTAATTGGGCGGATAGGAACCGGGGTGTGGTGATGGTCTTCTGCATTGTGTTTCTGGTTGCCGTTGGAATCATCGCATTGTTTGCCTACCGACGGATTCTGAAACGGAAAGCCGACAAGGAGTCCTATGAAACGACCAGTGATTAGTTGGTTACTCACTCCGAGAAGAGGCTTGTCTCACCTCGCCACTTCGATTGCCACCCAGAAGATGAGATGACATCTCGATGACGGAAGCTGCAGATTGCTTGCCGAAGAACACTCCTTGAGCTCCTCAGGGCAAGGAGTCCACATCTTCCCTCAGCTCTGTATCCCGAGTCGTGGTCCTGATGACTTGTTGTCTGGGTGCTGTCCACTCTGTAAGCATTTTGAGATGCCTTCTATGTATGTTCGGTAATAATTGACACGGGTGTCGCGTGGTGATGCTGAAGATGTGTTTCGAAGCCCTAGAGCCAACCTTGAAATCTCTCGTAGTCAAGCCTCAGGGTCATCGTCTTGCCCATGAGGTCGGATCCATGACTCGACAATACCACATGCATAGTTGTTCTCCTGCCTGGGCTCATTCTAGCCTCATAGAAACAAGGAGCAAGGGAGTTCAGAGTGAGAGAGGGCGTTCTGGAAAAACATATCCGGGGCTCGGAAATCGTTTGTATGGCTTTCGTATCGGAGTCCCACTATGAAGAGATTTGCACCTTCACTGACAACATTGACTCCTTTACAATAGCATCCTGGTGGGTAGTTCGAGAGCCCACTACGATGTGCGAAGACACCAAACAACGCCGTTCTCAATCCTGTTCGACTTCATCCGACGACGCTTCCTCCCACCCCTGTCCCCCATCTCGTTCCGTTGAGTCCGACTTTCTCGTGACCTGTAAATCATCAAACTTGTCCAGGAACGAATCGAGCTCGTATTCATTCACCTCACCGCGCTTCATCGAATGTGAGAAGTGGGGGTATTGACTACTCAGGGCCTTGCGGTCCTGATGTGTCCACACCCTGGCCTCGAAGTCGGAAAACAAAGCCTCGGTCTCCGGCGGGAGTTCCACACCCATCTGGATTGCCGTCAACTGCACCAACCGCAACATCCCCCTGGCAAGAACCCATCGATGCGAGGCTGCTTTGGCGGCGATACTCAGGGCGACGAATGCTTCCTGGTTGTCCTCATCAGATAGGCCATCCAACAAGGTGTACATCGAGACGGAAAACCAGTGAATGTTGCTTGCTAGCATATATTCTAGACCCCAAGCCTCTCGCTGCTGGTCAACTAGGTCGGCGGTCAGGCGCGCGGAGTCAATGCAGCGGCTATGTGCTCGCTTCTTTATCGTCTCTAATTCGGCACGCTCGTCCTCACTCGCCCCCTCACTCGTCGGCAATCCTTTCAAACGCCCGAATAATGTTTGGATGGTCGTGTGGTAGTTTAAACTACCGAGGAAAATAGGTTAGGGGTGGTCACATGAACAACAGAAGTGGAAGAACGAACTGGAGACTCGTAACGTGCGGGGTTGCCTCAATCGACGACAAGCAATTAGGGAGCTCTTCATACCATGCCCGCAGTCGATCATACAAACTCTCTGCAAGCTGCGCAAATTCCATATCGAGCGTTTCCCGGCTGTCCCTGAACAAACTCAGGCTGAGCTCATATGTGATTTCGCCCATGTCACACAACGCCGTGAACAGACATGCTCGGTGTGATGGGACACTTAATTCGCTGAATGGGTATGCATGCCAGTCGTCTTGGTATGCATGACATTCGGCGGGTATATGCCTGCGCCGAGGAGGGGGAATCAACGCTCCTTTTTGATATGCGAGAGCGGTAAGCCTAGAGAATCCCGAGGCCTCAGTATGAGCCTGATGCCCATGTTATTGATCAAGTGGTGCAAAGACGCAAGAGACTCGGACTTACGACGCAAAGTTGAAGATCCCCCACATGGCGTTGTCAATTGCACGGATTTCTTCGATCTCATCCTCGTCTGCGGCATCGCGTTGTGCTTGATGCTTTCGAGAGAGTTCCTGGGTGGCATATGCTAGTTGACCATAATACAACCAGCCAGTTCGGTCTTTCCCAATCATGCAGGAACTACATCAAGATGTCAGTGACCCGTCTCTGATTCGGGAGTGTTCAAGCTCACACGACATATAGCCCGCAAAGAGCTTGCACATTGACGAGATTGATTTTGCCTTCTTGCTCTCCCAGGAGACGCTTGGCTTCCTGGTAGAAGTGAAGCCCTCCGCAATCCTCGTTCTCGAACCCATAGACCTCGGGATCATCCAAATATGCCTGTGAAAACAAGTCAGCGCACAATATTTGCTATGCAAGATTTGCGTCTGTGCTCACACAGGCGTCCGCCAGAATGACATTGACCAAAAACGGCGAGCAAAACTTGGCCTCGATGTCTCCGGACCGCATATCGCGGATGAAAAGATCCCGGTCAATCCAGTTCAGATATGGATGGGCCCAAGTAAACCATAAGGACATCAAATGAGAAACAAAATCGTCATTGGAGGTCACAGTCGTCCAAGGTGCGGCAGGCACCTGGAAGATCAGTATTGGGCCTTCCGACTCTTCCACCCGACGACGCGAAGCACCCCTTTGCTCTTCTTCAAAACTGTGAAAATCTTCGATGGCGCTCATTACTTCTGGCGATTGGCTTTCGATGCGATGGACAACATTGTCCAGGTGCTCTCGGATTTCTTCTAACGTTGCATGACTGCGAACGAGGCTCAGTATTTGATCGCTGCAAGTCTCGTCTGTCTCCTGAAGATAAAGGATTAAATCGTCCAGGAGAACCCCTTTTTCTTCCATGGTCGACAGTTTGCGCTTCAGCACATGCTTGCGTCGCTGGTCCGTATTTTCGTTGAGCCTACATGCCGCACCGTTCTTTGTACAGGGCACGCACGGAATCCCGCCATAGCACTACGTCCGTTACCCAACTGAACGAAGCTGCTCAACGCGCGCCTGAGGGGGAATGGGCGTACCTTCAACTTCCGACGCTTGCAGTTGTCACACGCCGTCTTGGCGTTTTTTCGCTTCGACACCGTACTAGTAGCCTCTGAAGCTCGCCGTGATGGCCCAGCGGCAATCTCCCAACATCCAGTCATGTCATTCATCGTGCACGCTCCACTCGATGATGACACATGCTCTCATGGCGGGTATACGATAACACGTCGGGACTTGCGACGTGTGCGAGCGGCGAAATGATATCCCCGGGCACAGACTCGGGCACGAAAATCTTTCCTACCAGATACACGCGCGGCTCCAATCCTTAAGCACCACCGAAATTGATAACCGAGATCCATCACCCCATCGAGAAATCCCCACAGCATCGGGCTCCGTCGATGACGGAGCTGGCTTGACCCTCAATGGCTAGAGCTGGAGACACTGCATGCCAAGAGTGTTTTCCTCTCTCCGCAAAGCACACTCACCATTGGACGACAACAACCATTGAGGGTTCCTAATTGGGTTTCGGAAATCATCCCCTTCCTCAATCACAATCCGCCACAGGCGCAATAAGTGGGCCCGGCTGCGACTTCCGACCTCACAGGTTGAGTCCTGACAGCCAACTAGCTGTTTTCGTTTTCGTTTATTTTTCACCGGATCCCCTCTGTCGGGGATCTGCTGGCCTTGCAGGCCAATGAAATTGACCACCTGTTAAACATCGTGTGTCCACTGGGGACCTGAAGACCCTTGTCCCTCCTATGCTCTGGCCTTAGCCAATGCTTCAAGTACTAGTACGAGAGCCTCGTAACCGTGATCCATGGCCCAGGTCTCCTTACAAAAGACTATCCCTTAACGGAGGGAAGCGACGATCATTTATGCATGTTACTGATCAGCTCCTCCAACGCCCTATATACTCTCGCTTGGCTTGACTGAACCATGTTGTCGGGAATCTCGGTTTCCCCTTTCTCTGAGATCTCGATAGTACCCAGCACCCAATTTCAACAAATTGACTGGTGCTGCCATGGCGTTGAACGTGTCAACCACATGGACCTTCCCTGTGTCCACGCAGTTTCCCACCACCCCATAATACTATCCCAGCGATCTTTCGACGAAATTACCACTGAGTGCAAGGGTTGAGCACAACACACGCGTCCATGGGGTGGATTGCGGAACGGCTATGGCGATCCACATAGCGCGGTCGCATTAGAGTATCTGCTCCGGGTCGTGATTTGGAATTATCTCCCAATGAGGAAAATAGTGCTGGCCGGACCGCCATCTGATGTACGGGATATTTTCCGAAAGCCCAAAACATTGGAATTGTGCCCTGAAGGACACGAACGATATTGGTCTTGCAGTATCGCAGACCCTCGGATCTCAGACTCGTCGCTCACGCGTTGCCCTTCGGGATCCGTGCACTAATGTTACCCATTTATGCAGGAGCACTCCGTACACGAACTTGGCGTTATGTCGGCTAACGCATCATGTGGTTGGAATAGCAATTTGAGAACGAATAAGCTGGTTCTCGTGCCGAGTCTTGTTTGTTAAGCCTTCCTCAGTTTGTGTCCACTGGCACTCGATATCTGCAACTGTTTCTATGTACCCAACCCTTACTCCACGGGCGACAAAAACAGAGCGCTTGGACTCGTTCGGTCCGGTCCAGGGGTCCTAAGCATGAATCACGCTATTAGGGCAAAGGGATTAACTCTTGATGCCCATTCTGGTAGAATATCTGATGAGATAGATCCATGACAAACAAAACTGTGCAGTGGATCTGGAACGTGCTTGGTTGCATCACCGAAACAAACAACCGTGGACCCGTGGAGCAGCCCTAATTCAAATCCACAGCCTCCCGACTCCTGAATCACGCTATCTTTTCGAAGTCGCTCCACACATCTCCCCTATCTGAAGCCAATTCGATAGACCCAGCCCATGTTTTTCACGCACGCTTGACATCCTACAATGCCCTTTCAAGAGGTCAACAATTATCTATCGGGCATCAGCATATAGCTGAGGCTGGTCGGGCTTTTATAGGTGCTCACACATTGAAACTGACCGCACAGTTCAACAAGAACAAATCTCACAACCCTTCCTCAATCCGAATACGCGCGTCACCATCGAGCCTCCAACATCGTGCGAACAGTAAAATGCAACATATGACTCACGGCCCGTATGATCCCAGGGCCCCCATTGACTACGATATTTGGAAGTTCGCACCTGTTGAGATTGGGGCTCGCAGATTTAAGCCCATCCCCGAGACTGCCGAAAGATCCCCTAGCCTCTCTACCTCCGACAGAAGTTCATATCGACCCCAATAGTCCCACCGACAACCAGCGATCGATTCGACACCAGCAATTGGATAGCCCCAGAGCCTACAGCGAACCCCAGAGAGTTGGGAAAAGCAAGACAAAAGAAAGCAAAAGGAGGGAGATTATCGCGAGCTGCCGCAGATTTCGGTGTAAAACGCCGTTCTCAGTAGCAGCTCGGGACAATCTCCCTCCTTTTGATTTCTTTTGTCTTGCTTTCCCCAACTCTCTTTTTGCGCATGTTTTTGTTTTTCTGACTATCCAATGTTCCTAACTGGGTAGGTACCTAGGTTTTCATCGCCTCACGTGCTCTCGAAAGAGCCTCGACATATGCCCCCCGGCCAATTCACCCTCGGGCTACTAGCCCTTCTCTTTTTCCACGCAGGCCTCACAGGTCGGAGGCGAACCGCTACTACGGGCACCTCACGGTGCTAGCATTTGCTTCTACACTGCCTTTTAAGGCCCACTGTACAGTAAGCCTCAGAAGGCAGTGTAGAAGCAAAAAGCTGGCACCCTAGGGTGCCCGTAGTGGCGGTTCGCCTCCGACCTGTGAAGCTTGCGCGCGAGAGTGATAGGTTATAGGCCTGTGAGTGGGAAGTGGGTTGGCCTGTGGGCATATAGTCGAGGCTCTTTAGGGAGCGCGTCAGGCGATGACTCATGCTTTCTTATATAGGAAAGAGAGCCAGATAAACAGAAACATGCGCAAAGAGAGAGAGAGAGAGTTGGGTAGTTGAGATATCGTCACATGATCGATCCCAGGGTGGCTACCTAGGTAAGTCTTCATCTTTTTCACCCGTGACAAACATCACCTATCTGAGATAGACCGAAGAGCTTTGTATGCCTGGATTTTGGGGGTGCTGTCGACACAGTTTGGAGATGCACATGGGACCCCTGGGATACCTTAGGTACGTATGATTCCTGCCAGAGTATATGTCTACCTACAGTCTCGAGGGAACATCCCAGTGAACCTTTCAGGTTTCCTCTCCGACGGTACAGTGCATAGTAAGTATCCCGAACCCGGTAGCTTTCTACTCTTAGATGCTGTTTCGGCGAATGTTCTCTATAGACGAGGCTCGAACAATGATGGTATTACCGGTGGCCATCTCTACGCCAGTTGGTCGCAATTTGTTTAGCAAATATCTACATAAACGTTGGACGCATAGTTGTGCTCAAGTAGTACAATCGACGCCTGCAGGGCTGCAGGCGTTCAGTGTACAAATGGTGGGGGCCGTTTCCCCGCAAATGCTGGAGGAAGGCGTTTCCGGATAACGATGGTCTGCGATCGCATCTTAACTGTCGAGCGACTGGCCCTCAAAATCAACCATCGATATGGTGAATGTGAAATCTCGAAAGAAGAAGTCCGCCCGACGGTCGCATGCGCTTGGTGGTTGCAGAACGTGTCGGCAGCGACACGTCAAATGCGACCAAACGCGACCGGTCTGCAATGCCTGTAAAAATGCCGATATAGTATGCAAAGGACTTGCCTCTGAGATTCAATGGGTGGGATCATCCCGAGCCCCAGACCTCGAGACCAGCTCGGGTCCTAATGTACGCCGACATCTCTACACGGGTGAGTGGAGAGATCTCGAAGGCGAGCAGGCACCAGTGCTGATATACTATGATTCTCATAGAGCAAGAGAGGAAGATAATGAGCTTAGCTCTGGTGAACGGACTGGCTTCGTCTTCAGTTGATCAATATTTGACCGAGATTGACGTCCAGTCGAAAGACCTTGAGGAACAGCAAGGAGACTTATCATTCGGTCCATTTGGAGTCTTCAATTTGACGACAGGCACTGCAGAGATTCCATCGCCTGATATCGACGACCCAGATTTTGTGATTGCCTCGAGTCTGGGGATGCTCAATGATGCCTCTCTAGCGAATGCGCCCATGTCTGAATTATCGACTGCAGAGGAGATGCTGGGTGATTTGAACAGCGCTCTGCAATGGACAGATATCTTCAATCTGGACCCAGCTCCAATGGGCATGAATGTGACGCCGCCCATATGGGGATACGAAACACTCCCAACCGCTTGGTCGTCACCTGTAGGACCCGAAGTATCGCCCGGCAAGTCTCAATACGACTTACTGTCCCATGATATTGCGTCCCTTCAATGTGCCTCTCATGAATCTCTCATGTTATCTGATGCCACGTTTCTTCTCCGACATTTCCAAGAGCATGTCATGACACATGTAGCCTGGTTGCCCATGTCTCAGAAATCACCATGGATCATTTTGAATATTCCGTCCGCTATGATCACACTTGATCAGCTAACATACATGAAGAGACATAGACGGCAAGTGACAAAACATGCAAGTCTTGCCAACCTGTACGCCATATTAGCATGTGCTTCATACCATCTCGCCATGAACCCTGAATTTGCGTCCGACAAAACGAATCAGCACTGGGAACAGCTAACGGGAATTGCCTATGCTGATGCCAAACATCACATGAGTATGAGCTTAGAACATGAGTTCCAAGGGCCCAACAAGGCCAAATACAAAGAGCAATTAATGGCCAATCTCAGTCTTGCAACCTTTGCGGTAAGAGATTTCGATACTTATATCTTCACCACTACAAATACTCACACTGTCAAAGATCATCTCCGAAAATCAACGAGATACCCGATGCCACCTCGTCAACATGGAATATCTCATCCGACTACGAGGCCTCGTGAAACCACAACTATCAAGACGAGCCCGTCTCCTCCACTACATGTACACCTGGATCCGCATCTTAACAGAAAGCACCCTAGTAATCCACAACGAGATCCACCACACAGCACCCTGCAAATCCCTCTGGTCCCGCCGCCTCGACATGGAAGAAATGAGCCGACTAGCACAACGTAACGCCGCAATTCCACCCTTCGACCAAACCCGCAGGCTAGACGATTTCCTCCGCATCACACCCGCCGAATCAGATCGCGATCTCAACATGAACGACCCCAAAGACTTCAACACCAACCTCGGAGACATCCACCTCACGGACCCGCGCAATGATCCAGAAGAACAACACAGTGTTTTCAACGGCGTGTCAGAAGCCTGGCTAAGCCTCCTTTCTCAAACGACCCGTCTAGCAAACGTCATGGACCAACTAAGTACCGGTACTTCCACAATGCCACCCGAAAGACAACTAGCTCTCCATCGACGATCTGCATACCTCGAAAACATGGTCTGCTCATTAAGGTCGAAAAAGCTCCCCGCCCACGGCGAACCAAAGACGCATATGCTGCGTGCTCTGAACTCAGCGCTCGTCATCTACTTCTACCGGCGCGTGAGACGCGTCGATCCCTGTATTTTGCAAGGGCATGTTTCGCAGATCGTGCGGGAGTTGCATAAGTGGGATGAAGCTCTTGCAATGAATGATATGATCGGGCCTGGGACAGCGTGGCCGGCTTTCATGGCTGGGTGTGAAGCTACTGATGTTGAGGAACGAGAGATGTTGGTCCAGTGGCTTGATAATGCGGGTTCGCAGAGTGGGTTTGCGGCTTATGCTACGGCGAGGTCGATTATGGAGGAGGTGTGGGAGAAGAGGGATGCTTGTTATGAGAATTCGGATCTGCTGCGTGGAAATCCTGGGCAGATGTTCAGTTGGACGGATCTGTCACGGCAGAATTTGCATTGGCTTGTTCTGTGTTGAGATATTAATGAATTTGGGTTTCCTTCAGCAGCTTTGATTTTCTTTTGACTTGTTCTTGTCGACTTGATCCCCCATATAGTACTGTTTATCTTCAACTTTGTAATTTCCCTTTGGCTCAAATGTTTTACTGTGCTCAAATTAATTATCCTCTACAGACTCTGCTTTCTGTTTTTATGCTGTCTTGGAAATTTGGAAGCTTGGAAGCGAAATCAATGGACAATCTTTGCAAATCATTCGAGCTCATATGTACATTGCTATCCTATATAGTGCGAAACCAGACCAACATTGAAAGCATCCGAATTCAGAATCTCATATATCAGACTGAAGTCACTCAAGGAAGCTGAATTTGAGCATTGAGCAAAAGCTGGCGATACTCATCGTGGTACTTAGGATCCAACAGAGTAAAAGGCTTGCGAACACCACCAGTCTTCTTACCCCGAAGCTCCATTCCAGTCTTAATAGCAGCGGAGTAGTTGTGAGCCTCCAGGAACTTGCAAATGGGCCAAATCTGCTTCCAGATTTCGCGACCACGGCGAATATCGTTCTGAACCGCAATGGCATTCCACAGCTCGACGGCAATTTCGGGAATAACATTGGCAGCGCCCCAAATGATAGCCTCGTTGCCAGCGGCCATACCGTAGAAAGTGAGAGTATCCCATCCGTTCATCGCGGCGATCTTATCTCCGTATCCAAAGACAAGCTCGGTAAAGTCCGGTGCGTTACCAGATGTATCCTTGTACGAGGAGACGCCGACCGAGCTTAGGCCCGCGATTTCCTCAGGGGAGAGAGTCAACCCGCTGATGGAGGGAATGTTGTAGTAGACGATAGGAAGCTTGGAGGCCTGGTGGATCTCAGAGAGAAGTTCCTTCAATTGCTCGTAGTTGACGGGGTCGTAGTAAGGAGGAACGACCATGACGGCATCGACGCCGATCTGCGCAGCGTGGAGAGCGAGGTCGACAGCTTCTTCGGTCTTGGTGCTGCCAACACCGGCAATGACGGGCCCACGACCAGCGGCAAACTTCACAGCGAGCTCGTTGACTTGCTTGCGTTCCTCGAGGCTCAACACGGTGAATTCACCTGTGCTGCCGCCGGGAACGAGGCCGTGGATGCCGGCATCGAAGAGGTCGTCGATGTGAGCCTTGAATCGGCCTGCGTCTACAGATTTGCCGTCATCTGTGAAGGGGGTGATGAGAGCAGCGAGGACTCCGGTGAACTTGTTGGACATGGTGGATGGTGGTTGTTTGGATTGTGGGAATTGTCGAATTGGTTTGAATGAGAGGATGTGTTGTTCATTTTGACAGCGGAAGAAGCCTCTTTTATAACCTCGAGCTCATGAATACGTTTACATGAATGTGTTTCTGAGTCCGATGTATTGATGGTGGTGTAGATGGTAGTGGGGCGAGGTGAAGCCGAAGAGGCAGGCAACGCGCCAAACAGGAAGGCAACTCTCCGCAGTCACAACTCCGCGCGCTCAACAAGGAATGCAAGGCTTATCAATCTACACTTTCTCGGATTCTATACTCATGCCGAATCACTCCGCTTTGCATCACGCCTTACTGCCTGCGAGGTTCTCCGAGAGGGGGCCGACCGTGGAGCGCACTTCAGAAGGCCTTTCCGAGCGATGGTGCTGAGAAGAGACATATAGAATGGCCAGTGTCCCGCATATAAGAGCTATTCACGCTCTCACAATATCTCAGTCCAATTTCCAGAAACTTCACAATGTCCGACCTTTTCATCAACTTGACCACCCCCAATGGCCACTCCTACCAACAACCTACGGGACTCTTTATCAATAATGAGTTCGTGAAGGCATCAAGTGGGCAGACCATTACAACCCTAGACCCAGCGTGAGTCTTTTCCTTCCCTGTATCTACTTCAAACATCTGGCTGATGGTATCAAGTACCGAGAAGGAAATTGCCACTGTTGAAGCAGCCAGCGCCGAGGACGTCGACACGGCTGTCCGGGCGGCGAGAACAGCCTTCAAGGCTCCTTCATGGAAGAAGCTCCCTGCCACTGAGCGAGGAAGACTGCTGGTTCGTCTTTCCGAGCTGATCGAGGAAAAGAAAGAACTTTTTGCTAGCATTGATGCTTGGGATAACGGTATGATCGGTACCTTGTTGTCGATTTCCTCAATCTAACACATTATACAAAGGCAAGACATATGCCCTGGCCATGGAAGATGACCTCCCCGACACTATTGGGACCTTCCGATACTATGGCGGCTGGGCCGACAAGAGCTTCGGTCAAACAATCGAGACCTCTCCTGAAAAGTTTGCATACACTCTTCGCCAGCCCTTTGGAGTTGTTGGCCAAATCATTCCCTGGTAGGTGAACATTAAAGATACACGATAAATCAGATTCCAGAGCAATCGTTAACAGATACCAGGAACTTCCCTTTGGCAATCTTCGCATGGAAGGTCGCACCCGCTCTCGCAGCAGGAAACACAGTGGTCATTAAGGCCGCAGAACAGACTCCCCTGAGCATTCTCGTGATGGCGACTCTCATTAAACAAGCCGGCTTCCCACCCGGCGTAGTCAACATCCTTAACGGATACGGCCGCGAAGCAGGAGCTGCACTGACCGAGCACCCACTCATCGACAAGGTATCATTCACCGGCTCAACCACAACAGGTGCACAAATCATGAAATCAGCAGCCGGCCAATTAAAGGAAATCACTCTCGAGACCGGCGGAAAGTCGCCCCTGATCGTGTTTAACGATGCCGATCTCGATCAAGCCGTGAAGTGGTCTCACGCCGGTATCATGTCCAACCAAGGACAGATCTGTACCGCGACCTCACGCATTTTCGTCCAGCGCGATATCTACGATCGATTCCTTGCCTTGTTCAAGGAGCGTGTCCGCACAGCTTCTATCATCGGTGACCAGTGGTCATCTGACACTTTCCAAGGTCCGCAGGTTACGCGTGCGCAATATGATCGCGTGATGCACTATATCAACATTGGTAAATCCGAGGGTGCGACCGTGGAGACTGGTGGTGAAGCCTTTGCCGGCCCTGATGGGAAGGGATTCTTCGTCAAGCCTACTACTTTTACTAATGTTAACTCGTCTATGAAGATCTACAAGGAAGAGATCTTCGGCCCTGTTGGTCTTATCATTCCATTCGATGAAGAGGAGGATGCCATCGAACTGGCTAATGATACGCTGTATGGCCTTGGTGCCGCGGTGTTCACGATGAACTTGCGCCGTGGTCACCGTGTAGCAGCGGAGATCGAAGCTGGTACTGTGTGGCTGAACAGCAGCCAGGATAGTGATCACCGCATTCCTTTCGGAGGCTACAAGACTAGTGGTGTTGGGCGAGAGCTGGGCCAGGCTGGATTTGATGCCTACACGCAGGTCAAGGCAGTGCATGTCAACATGGGGAATGATCTATGATCGTTGATGTGGTTGAATACTGCGGTTAATCATGTTTATAGAAATGCCTGGCAATCTTTGAATATATCAATTGGTTTTCTCTTCGAATGTTTCATCCAGGCAACAAGCGCCCTAAGGAACCGGGGCTGCACATGTGGCCACGGGCCCACTGGGCCCCAGGCGCAGCTGGCTTACAACTGATGCGCATTTCCGGGACCGAATACGCAATTTGTATCCAAGAACGCCACACCACCAAAATCCAGCATGTAGTTGAGTATACCGCCATACCTCATGGGTATTTTCAGGGTAAACATATTATGAAAAAAAAAATAAATCGAGGTTTCTGCCAGTTCAGATTGGTAAAGCTGAGTCTTGAGAATTTGGGTCCAAGAGGCCCCAAGTTCAGATGCGAACATGCTAAGATGGTTTGGGAATGCCACATGGGCAAGGAACTAACGGCGCCTAGGGAATTTATGCTGAAGACACTATATTGACCAAGATCTGGTACTACTAGTAACACATGGGTATTGTAAGGGGGAAAGTTGGATTTAAACCTGCTCTCAGCCCTGACTATAAAGCGGTCCTTTCAATGAGCCTGAGCTTTTCCCCCTATGCACTAGAGTACTGGGTAATGTTGTCAAGAACCTTCAAACACAGGAAAATACACCCATGTCGAGGCAGACACAGAAATTGACTGTTATTTTAAGGTATCAAACCAGCAAAATCCCTATATCTGTCAAGTGCGAAGTCAAAAAGTGAAATTGCGCGCTCGGTAGGTATGTATACTCTGCCCCGAGGGTGCGCTAAACGTTGGGGCGGATAGCCCTCGGGGCGGGTGGGTTAGCCTATCAATTGGGGGAGGGCGGCAGCCGATATACCATCAATTAGTGCTGTGGGGTAACAAAAAAAAGTTCATTGGGAATACGCGTTTCAGACTAACTCCAAGCAGTGTCAATCAAGTCAAATCACTTTACTGAAGAACCTTGCCTCCAGACTCAGCGACAATCAAATCGAAATCGGGCTGGAACTCTAGATAAAAGTTGTTCTACTTCATGTCAGCATGATCTAGCTCATCAACAAGAGAGTCAAAAGAACATACAGGGGTCTGCACTGAGTCGGCAGTAAACTGAGCCACATCGTGCGGAATGATCTTCTTCACAACACCGTTGGCAGCAGCAGCTTCAGCCAATAGTTGAGATTGGCAGGCTTGCTCGAGACTGTAAAACAGGAAAGCAGCCTCATCAACCGTTTGGCCCAAAGTGATAGATCTGCATAGTCTCGATAAGCAAAAATCTCAGACTGAAATATTCACCACAGGGCAAACTCACCCATGATTCTGCAGAATAGCCGCAGTGTTCGTCTTCCCAAGCGCGTTGGCAATTGCACGTCCTTCTTCCTGCGCAAGAGCAATACCACCATGCTCTGCGTGAACTCCAACTTTGCCATAAAGATTGCACGCATCTAAGAAAGGAACGAACTTTGATCAGCCTTGTACAATATGAAATCACTCATCATACCAGTCAACGAGTTGGAAGTACGTACCCTGCGTAAGCATCTCAATCGGCTTCCCAAACCCACTCCACGTCTTACCATGAATACTATGCGCATGAGCAACAGCAACAGCATCCGGACGCGCCCGATGCACCTCGGAATGAATCATGAATCCCGCTTCATTGATCATAGCCTGGTTACCACCCTCAACCACATACCCGCTGCTATCAACAAGGACCATGTCAGATGCCTTGATGAGGGAAAAGTGCATCGCGAACGGATTCATCCAGAAGTGGTGCGGGAGAATAGGATCTGGTCGATATGAGATTCAATTTTTCGGGCCATGCTATCGTGTCTGCTTACCCCGAACTGAGATATGGCCTGAAACACCCTCGCCGTATCCCTGCTTGCCGAAGAACCGGAATGCGGCTGCCATGTGTTCGCGGATCCATTGGCGTTTGGCATAGGGGTCTTTGAAGGATGGGATTCCGCGGAGTTTGAGGACTCCGTTGCGGTCGCCGCGGGCTAGAGCTTGGAAGGGTTGGTCGACTGCGTCGCTTGGAGGGTTATCTTCCCATGTTGGGACTAGGGTTTGGTGGATGGATGTGGTGGTTGTTGTGGACATGGTGGTGGTCAAACTAAGTATGATAAAAGATCAAGTTGATGAAATCGAAACCGTTATCAGGGATTTATATATAAAATGTAAAGCGCAATCAATAAGGATAATGCCTGTAGGCAATGAGGGTATGTTCATAGACGGCGCCTGAAAGAGTGTTTTGTTGCCTTCCTGTTCCGGAATCGCTTGCCGGAAAGTGTTCAACCGCATACTTCGAGATGGTCGCATTATCGCCACATTATCATACTTGACAGGATATTCTTGTCAGGCTAATTTCTAGATTCCATATTCAAAAATAGCGGGGAGCTAAAAATGACGTCTTCTAACATTCGGGGGAAGATCTGGGGGGACCCATTCGCCAGCGATCATCACACATGTCCCTTTTATCATTTTGCGCAGAGCGTTGTGGTACAGGTCATGAAACATACTCCGTACTGTACACTCTTATTCAATCCGATACTTTGATAGGTCAAGGCTACATTGGGCGATTGACAGATCAAGAGAAGAGGGGGGAAAGAGTATTAGGCACAAGAGTTGACAGCAGATGTTCCTAGATCGGATAAAATGCTGTCATGGACTTCTTTTTCTAAGCTCCAAAGGTCAAGTCTTCTCATTCGATGTTCATGGTTGAAGATATTTCACCAAGTTCTCATGGCTATTCTCTACCTAAAATTTAGCAGTCGTTGATGCACTGCTCTCCCGCTTTGACAGAACATTGCTCCATACAGACAGTAAGCTGAAGTGCATTTCTGGACTTGCATCCTAACTGGCATAGAGTGGCCGCGAGGGGAACGCATTCTCCGTGGCTGCCGCCAAGACACTGCCGCTTTTCGACGTTGTTGATATCGGGAATGGCGAGGGCCTGCACGGTCAAGGCGAATGTGAGAGTGGCCATGAGGATGGCTCCCTGTTTATTGTTAGAGGTTGGAAGTACATTTTTGAAGAGTGCGTACAATGTTGTAGGGAAGCATGTCGGAGAAGTTATTTGCTTTATGGGTGAAAGTGCGGTATCTCGTTCTCAGTAGATTGAGATGCAGTTTGCTTCAGTTTTCTTGGATGAGGAACCCTGAAGACTTGGGAGTCTCATATCATTTATAGACGTCGATTGGGAACTGGAAGAGATTTTTCTGCCTTGGAAAGAATTGTTGGATCTGGGGGCCAGGAGCACAATCATCGCAGTGATTGGAGAGAGATGTCTTGGAAGTCATGCCCTGATGTCTTGGCTGGTTAGTTTGCTTGGCATAGCTGGGCAGTTGAGACCCTCCAGGGCTGACTGAGGCTTATCAGATCATCTGATAACTTGAAAATCCGCTTCATCTGAGCCCTGGAGACTGTATTGTGTACGAAGCGCACAATGTGAACGAGCCTTTCAGTATCAAGAAGCATACGGGTCTCCTTGAAACTCAGGGCGAGATGAAATTCACCGAGTCAACATGTCCATGGAAGTTCCTGGTCCTGCCAAGAAGGGGGGCATCGTAGCAGCGTGCCTTCACCCTGAGGCTTTGGGGGCCATTAGACACAATACCTAAGGCATGAAGCCCGATGGACCAGATCCAGAGTCCAATGTATGTGGGTCTAGGTAGCATCCGGGAGTTTCCAAGGTTAATTCATCGATCAGGTCGAAGGATTGCGGCTGGACTGGTGCCGCACTGTTGCCCAGGTGCCTCGAGTGCAATAGTACTGTGTTCCATTGCGCAGAGCGACGGTCCAGCTCTTCTGGATTTTTTTTTTCAATTTGAGTCGAAGGGATAACAATGAGCACTCACACCCTGGTGGGCATCAGAGCTTGAGTCATGTCTGATGTGGAGATTGTGAAGACTGCGCAGGTGTGAAGAGTGGGCGTGGGGGTCGGGCGCCCTCAGGGCTGTAAGGCCTGTCAGGGCTGTAAGGCCTGTCTGGGCCTCAGGCATCAACTTCCAAGGTCATGTCTTGAGCTCCGACGGTCCTGTCTCAATCCCGGCCTTTACAGTGCCTGCAAGTACTGGACTATGTCTACCTATGTAGAGTGTATTCCTCGATGCTATTATGACTCTGCCGATATGATTTGTGAGGGAAAAAATAATAATGGGGTTGTATGTATCCAGGGCTATTGATCAATAACAAAACAGGATATGTTTTGGAGCGGCCTCGAGGGATACATGGAATGACGCGGATCATTCTAGAATCATGAACCTCAGGATCCAACTTGGAACGAATGAACAGGGCCGGAAGTGTACTCCGCATGAAGAGTAAAGCTGGCAAACAAGGGCTATCAAAAAAACCTAGCTTCTGCGTCAACCAGAGCATTTCGGTACTACCTCTCCGTACTAGGTAACCTTCGAACAATTCAAGGCCGGACAATGTCTCCGCGCACGAGATACGAGCTTATGCAAGGTGCGGATTGTCAATCACACTTGGAAAGCATAAATATTACGGATCATTGAAGCTGGGCATGTTTTTCTATCTATTTTCACGAAGCCCCGAGGTCTGATTCGAAGATTATCCGGTCCACCCAGGGATTTGATCGTAAAACGACCAGGACGGTGAGAATTCATAATCGTCATATACTCTGTCACCCTTCGAGTCACAATCATCATGGATGCATCTGCTCCACCCATAGATGCACGGATTCGCATCGTTCCCGAAACATTGATTTCCCCACATCCCGTCAACAGGTGGACATCGGGAGTTGAATTCTAACTGGCAATTGAACATGACTAGTAGTGCATCCTGCATCCGTGGACCCATCCATGCCCAGGTAAAGCTTTGGAGAACTCGAGCAGGTAATTGGCTCAGTAGACTTGCAGGGGTTGAATAAACACCCGGGCATTGGGCAATCTAGTGTCGGGTATCTTACTCGAATCTCTATTCCACTATAGGAATTCATTGATCCTTTAGGCATTGATCATTATATCGAAGTCCAGGACTACCAAGGCTCCAAGGTATGAAGTGACCGATAGCAACAAAGGAACCCTCAAGCACCGCAGGTACTTTTGTCGTGATTCAATGTTGACGAACAGAACATGAAAACCTTACCCCACAATATTCGTCGGAGACACTAACCTTGGAACATAATCTCGCACAGGGTATCGGCTATCATGAAGTGGGCGTCATGTCCACGCATTTCAGAAGCCGTTCCCCACGATCACAGTAATTCAGAATGCCGAAACTCGGCAGTAACCCAAATCCCACACTGACTCCGACCCCGGAACATTGGTGAGTAAGACTGCTGTGAATAATGGCATGAATGGCTTGTGCAAGGCCCGATGACAGGATGGTCGGCATTGGAATTAGCTCATGGGGACCTGTAGCCCAATAGCGTTGTCGCAAATTCACCCGCTAGCACGTCGGCAATTGAAACGATCAGCGGTGACATTGGCCTCAACACGCGCAATTGAGGCTTCACAGTCGAGGGAATCAACGATTTTAAAAGCAACTCCAAGTCTATCAGTTCGAAAAGTGACGTTGCGAATCAGACCATGTTCAGCAAACCCCAGCTTTCCAGACGGAGGGATGGGAGAATTCTTCCATCAATCAGCGACTGCATCACGATAGTGATCTCGGCTCCACCCCGCCATGCCGTGCACCCCCAACGCCAATCGCCATTTCCCGCGGCAAGGCGCGACCCCCTGCACTGTGGACGAGGGGGAGGATTGAATGGATGGAGAAATTGGGTCGTATTGCTCCTATTTAGTGGGGTCCCCGCGAATAATTTCCCCAATTCGTTCCCCGGTCTCCACTGCAGCCCCCCGGACTGTTGGACTCGGTAAGCTTGACGGGGATGCGATACCCAGGAAGCCACTTGATTGCTTGTGCTGATTGGCGTTGCATTGAGCCATTTTGTCTGGACTTATAAATCTGGTCGCCCTCATGTCTGGTTTTTTTTTCTTCTTCTACGGACTCTGCCTGGGTCAGCTTCACCTTTCAATTTTTTTCGAGGAATATCGTCCTTCAAGATGGGGTTCGTCAACTTTAAGAACTATAGGCTCTATATCCTGACGGCCACGGCCTATATGGGCTCGTTGCTGTTCGGTGAGTTATACCCGACCTGGATTGTAGGGTGATGGCCGCTGACATTGATTCCAGGTTATGACACGGGTGTCATGGGCTCGGTCCTGGCAATGGCCAGCTTCAAGAAAGATTTCGGCCTGCCAGTAGGCTCTTCAGGATTCAGCGACGAAAAGAATGCTCAGATTTCCTCCAACGTGGTGTCCCTCCTCACAGCGGGATGTTTCTTCGGTTCGATCGGAGCCGCATACATGAACGATCGACTGGGTCGTCGGTACTCCTTGATGATCCTCGTCGTGATCTTCATGGTAGGAGCTGCCCTGCAGACCGGAGCTCACCACGAGATCGGTCTGATCTACGGTGGTCGTGTCATCGCCGGTCTGGGCATCGGTGGCATGTCCTCCATCACACCCGTCTATGTCTCTGAGAACTGCGCGCCCGAGATCCGTGGTCGAGTCGCTGGTCTGTTCCAGGAATTCCTGGTCATCGGTAGCACCTTCGCCTACTGGCTTGATTATGGTGTTGCCCTCCACGTCCCCGAGGGCACAAGCCAATGGCGCATCCCAGTGGCGATCCAGCTCGTCCCTGCTGGCCTCATGTTGATTGGGCTGTGCTTCCTCAAGGAATCGCCTCGCTGGTTGATGAAGAAGGGCCGTAGCGAGGAGGCGCTGGACTCCCTTGCTTATATTCGCAATGAATCCGAAACCAGTGAAGCTGTTCAACTGGAGTTCGCTGAGATCTCTGCTGCAATTCACGAGGAGAACCAGGCTACCGAGGGAATGACATGGAAGGAATGTCTTAAGCCCACAAACCGATACCGCTTCTTCCTGGCGTTCGTTCTGATGCTGTCTCAGCAGTTCAGTGGAACGAACTCCATTGATTACTATGCGCCACAGATCTTCGCAAGTGTAAGTGACCAGCTCGCCGTCTGAATGGGAAGTTTGACGCTAACGTGATTTCCAGGTCGGATTGAGCAAGACCAACTCCGGACTCTTCGCCACTGGTATCTATGGTACCGTCAAGGTTGTTGCTACCGCCATCTTCTTGATCATTGGTATCGATCGCTGGGGCCGAAAGAAGAGTTTGATCGGTGGTTCTGCCTGGATGGCTAGTATGATGTTCATCATCGGAGCAGTCCTGGTCACGCATCCTCCCGATGAGAACGCCACTTCAGTCTCGTCAGCATCCATCGCCATGGTCGCGATGATCTACCTCTATGTCATTGGATACTCCGCATCCTGGGGACCAACTCCTTGGGTGTACCTGGGCGAGGTGAGTTCCTGTGTATCCCATCACTCTTTTCATCCCACTAATGTAGACCCCAGATCTTCCCGACTCGTCTCCGTGCTTATGGTGTCGGATTTGGAGCTGCCACACAGTGGCTGTTCAACTTTGTCATCACGGAGGTCACTCCCCGGGCCATCAACCAGATCGGATGGAGGACGTTCCTCATGTTCGGTATCTTCTGTTTCGCCATGGGTGTTTTCGTCCTCTTCTTCTTTAAGGAAACCAAGGGACGGACCCTGGAAGAAATGGATCTTATCTTTGGAGCTGTTGATGAGCAGCAGAGACGCGCTGATGTCGAGCACACCCTGCAAAAGACTCAGGTCATGCACGAAGAGAATGCCGAGAATGCCGGAGAGGATGGCAAGACCCGCACAGAGACCCGAACAGAGGCCCAATAGATGTATAGACTCATGATAGACGAATGCAAGACTCGAATGCCCAACACACCTTGTACTGTAATGGTAGTGCGGAACGGAAGAGCGGAGAGCGGAAGTCAACCGCCCCACAAATACGCCGCGGGGAACTTCTTCCCTCGCGTCAATTTCAGCCCTCGCACGCGTGATGGGCTCCCTCGAGGAAACATGTGCGTCTCTGCGCGCACAGATATCAGCGACCGAAGAGCAGCTCGCTGGTCTGAAGCGCGATCTTGCAAACGCCGAAGCGCAAACGGCCAGCCAGGAAAATGCACGGTGGCCATTGCTGCAGGAAGAATATAAAAGATATGGAAGACAGATGATTGTGTCGCAAGTTGGTTTGCAAGGTCTGTGATCACCTCTGAGCCTCTGTGGGCTTTGCTGACTGCGATGCGACAGGTCAACTCAAACTCCGATCGGCTAAAGTCCTGCTCGTTGGAGCGGGTGGGCTGGGATGCCCAGCTGCACAATACCTCGCCGGTGCAGGTGTTGGAACCATCGGTCTCATTGATGGGGATACTGTTGAGGTATCGAATCTGCATCGGCAGGTGCTGCATCGGACAGCAAACGTGGGGAAATACAAAGTGGACAGTGCGATTGAATCTCTGCGCGAGTGAGTTCCCCAAGCAGAGCACCTACATTGGACAACACTGACGAGTCACGCTTTTGCGAGCAGTCTCAATCCGCATCCCAAGTACATCGCGCACCGAACTCACCTCACTCCTGAAGACGCCCCCGCGATCTTCCAAGAATATGACCTTATCCTCGACTGCACCGATAATCCCGCGACGCGATACTTGATTTCGGATACTGCGGTGCTTTGTGGAAAACCGCTGGTCTCTGCGTCCGCGCTACGGACCGAAGGCCAGCTGATGGTGTTGAATAACCCCCCTCGAGCACCGGGTGACAAAACCGGAGGGCCGTGCTATCGATGCGTCTTCCCCAAGCCACCACCGGCTGATAGTGTGGTGAGCTGCGCGGACGGGGGCATCTTGGGCCCGGTCGTCGGGACAATGGGAGTCTTGCAGGCTCTCGAGGCCATCAAGGTCATCACCACGACGGCTGATCCTGCTCGTCCACGCGATCCACCATCCCTGCATATATTCTCCGCCTATTCCTCTCCTCTCGTCCGTACCATCCGCCTCCGTTCGCGACGGGCGAATTGTGCAGTGTGCTCCAGCGAGGCCACCGTCTCGTTGGATACCATCAAGTCCGGCTCAACGGATTATGTATTCTTCTGTGGGTCCGCCAGTCTACCTTCGTTGCTGAGTCCGGAAGAACGTATCTCTGCCCGGGATTACAATAAACAATACCCGGTGTCCTCTGGCTCAGCACCGTCACACACCATGATAGACGTGCGAGACGAGGCTCAGTTTGGAATATGCAGTCTGAGCAACAGCATCAACATTCCTATATCAAGTGTCTTGGCTTCCAATTCTGCCAAACCAGCAGAAGGGCAAGAAGCTGCACAGATTCCTGCATGGGTTCCTCCTGAACTTGCAGCCGATTCCGGTTCCACCGACCCGATCTATGTCGTCTGTCGCTTGGGCAACGACTCGCAGATTGTGGTGAAGAAGATGAAAGAGCTCGGGCTCGACCAGCACGGGAAGAGATTCATTGGCGATATCACTGGCGGTCTACGCTCGTGGAAAGAGCAGGTTGATCCGGAATGGCCTGAATACTGAAAGATGAAAATATTATAACGCTTACAAAATCAGCAATGTTCAACGAGATTCATGTCTAACGAGCAATCACTCATCCACCGAGCTATGTCCTCCGATGCATGCATGTACTGAGATAATTCGAAGCCAAGTAGTACGATGCAGCGCGTCAAAATTCCCACGGACTACCAAACCACCAGCTTTGGAATCAACCCCATCAATCCAAATCCCAGAGCAACCGTACCCAGCAAAGCAATTGGGAGATCTACTCGACATATAGACTCCTAAAGCCAATGCCATTCAATCTTAACCCGCCCCTCATCCAGATTCCCAAGTGCCTGGAACACACTCTTGGTCACGTCGATATTGTGCTCCGGACATTCGGGGCAATTATCCGCCACCGAGACCTCGATACTGCGAGCACCGCGCTGCAGGTGGATCCGCCGTCCGCAGATCGGATTGTGGTTGGGATTGCCGTCGATGTTTGTCCGATTGTAGAGAATTTGGGAGATGGCGCAGATGTGGTCGTTGCCGTTGTTCCATTTGCCGCATGATCCGAGGCCTGTTTCGAACCAAGTCATTTCGGCGGCAAATTTCTCGGGGGTTACTTGATTGCTGTTGGGGCTGGGAGAGTTAGCATGGTTTGGTATGGAGTGGAGAGGTGGTAATTTTGAGGTCTTCGTGGTGATCGGTGGATGAGAAGAGTTGATCTGGCTTACAGTGGCTGTAGGGAATCGGAGCTATCTGGCCCAGAGTCAACATGAGCTGACTCGGAAACAGACGTCACTGTCGAGGCCGAGTTCATGGCAGAAGATGCTGGGAGTGCCCGAGTAACGGTATCAAGGTGGCCATCGGTGGGTTCGGGCTGGATTTTATCCAGGCCAGGAACGTCGATGGCGAGACCGGAAGCTCCGATTATAGGTAGAGCGAAGATGAATGCCATCATGGCAATGAAAATGCCACCAAGCTTGTGATTGCTCAAAGAGGCCTTCATTTTGAGGGTTGGCTATGGTTCAGTGATCAAAACTGTTCGGTCGAGTAATATGGGAGGAAAGAAGAGAAAGCCCAGAGAAGAGAAATGTTTACTCAAAGGGTGGAATACAGGAAATGTTCAATGAGCAATGAGCAATGGATGTGCTTGATATTGTCTACAGCGTGTCATTGAGTGCTAAACCGACAGTCTATGAGGGTATTGAGGGTCATAGTTGCATCAATGCTGGTATAGTTTCAATTAAATCTGCAGCATAACCCTGGGATGCTGTGAACTCAAACCCATGATGGATCTATACACCCCAGTCCTCTAGTTGTAAATGTTCACTATAACGTCGATATAACCTGCCCGTATACTCCGCTGCCTCGAAACGGCAATGCGGGGTGCATGGACCAATGAGCGGGATCTTCAGGATCTTCAAGGTTTCCCCCTTTGCGACCTCCTCGACTCTCCTTGGGCAGAGCTGTGTTAGGCGTTCTCCTGTGCTCGCGTCACCCTGCTGGTCAACATGGCGTCGCGATCCACCTCGCCGTCGCCGTCGCGGTCAGAGTCCTCCTTCGGGTCCGCGCCACAGGCACCGAAGTCTTCCCTCGGCTTCTTCACAAAGCTATGGCAAAAGACCGGTTTGGACCGACCGACGATACTGCTGATGATGAAGTGAGTGGATTCTCCCGCGTTGCATATGCTTATCCCGCTAACACATTTAGGGGAGGTCTGGCGCCAACCATCGCAGTGGCTATGTGAGTATTTCGGGTCTAGCCTAGTGAGATTCCGCTGACAACCCAAGATACCAAGCAATGCCGGTGGCCCACGAGTATACAACTCTGGGATATTTAGTGGCCATCATTTCGATCCTGGGCTTTGCAATTATGCCCAGGGCAAAGTTCATCCAGATGATGATTTTTGATGTTTTGGCGGTTTGCATAGCCGCTTGTTTTGCGCTGTTGACCATGTTCTCCAGCGTCAAAGCCCGTCAGCATACAAATACCAATGACACTGACACCTACAACTCCTCTGCCTCTGCAGTGAGTGGCGTTTGGCTCTTTTTCCAGATTTGGATGGTTCATACCTTCCGCGCCAAGTACCCGCAACTGCAGTTTCCGGTGATCATCTACGCAATCTTTGCGAATGTCTCTTCGGTCTATGCCCCGACTATGATGAATATGACCTCAGCGATCAGTCTCGTGGTGCGAATGTTGAAGTCGTTTCTCACGGGCCTTGGAATCTCCACCGCGACATCAATGCTCATCCTTCCCATGACCTCGCGTCAGGCTGTCTTCAAACAAATGGCCGGGTACATCGGGGGACTCCGGTCGGCATTGAATGCGCATGCTGTGTATTTCGAGAGTCTGGAAAAAGACGATATGTTCGGTCGCGCGGAGACATTCGACGACGCACGTGAGAAGTTCGGTAAGAAAGGCAAGGTCTACAGTCCGGAAGCAGAAGCAATCCGAAGTGCCATTCGACAGATTACAGATGTTCACGCCAAACTTCACGGAGACCTGACCTTTGCTAAACGTGAGATTGCATTGGGCAAACTGGGACCGGATGACTTGCAGGCCATTTTCCGTCACCTTCGCCAGATCATGATCCCAGTCGTGGGCTTGAGCTTCGTGGTCGATATCTTCCAGCGACTCTCCGACTATAATCGATGGAACCAGCCCATCGACATGAACATAGGGGTTGTACCGGAAGATGTGCGACAGCGGGTTGTGCACGAATGGAATGACATTATGCGAGCGGTGCATGATCCCTTTGCAATGATGATCAAAACTATTGATGAGGGTTTACTACACACTTCATATGTGTTCCGGCTCACAAAGCCCCCGAAGCGCCCCAATGCCAGTTCCGCGGCAAATGACAACTCAAGTGAGGAAAACAAAGATGTCGAGGCCTCGGCCGAAGACACTGCTCCTGGTGAGAAGGCATTCACCGAGCATTTTGAAAAAAGGCTCGGCGAATTTCGAAGTGCAAAGCGCCTTGCGTTGCAGACTTGGGCTGAAGAGAAGGGCATCAAGCTGCCACCTGACTTCTTTGATCACCCTACCTCTCCGGAGATCTTGCAATCTGATTTCCTAGACACATCAGCTACACAGAAGGAGCGAAGTCGTCGGCAGTTGTATCTGTTCCTATATGTAAGTCGCGTTCCATGATGCGTGGTCGATGAAGCTAACGTCCTTCAGATGGAACAACTGCTCTACTCAACTGGTCAGACTGTCCTAGACTTCGTTCGGTATGCGAACCACGTTGAAGCCAAGGGGAAGTTGTCAAGGACCCGACTCATCATTCCTGGAGGCAAGCGCATTTGGAAGTGGGCGGGGTCCTTTTTGAGCGCGGAAGACTCCCACGACGACGATAACTTGGGTGATATTCACACGCAAAACAACATCCTTCAACTTGGTGAAGCCTACAGACTTCGCAAAGACCCAGAGCATCTACCGCCTACAACACTTTTCCAGAAGTGTGGCGACAAAATCCGAGTCCTGCCTTGGTTCTTGCGTTCCTTTGAATCGACCTATGGATTCCGAGTCGCATTGGCTACTATGACGATTGCTGTAGTGGCTTTCCTGCATGACACGCAGACCTTCTTCACCCACCAGCGATTAGTGTGGGCCATGATCATGGTCAATCTCAGCATGTCACCAACTTCGGGTCAGAGTATTTTCAGTTTCGTACTCCGAATTCTTGGAACCAGTATTGCCATGGTGGCCAGTCTGTTGATTTGGTACATCCCCGGTCAGAAGACGCCTGGCGTGATCGTTTTCTTATTCGTCTTTGTCTCGATGGGCTTCTATATTCCCATCAAACTTTTCCGGTTCCGAGTCGTGGGAATGATCAGCATTGTCACCACCACTATGATCATTGGCTATGAACTCCAAGTCCGCAGAGTCGGAGAGGCAGTGGCGACTTCTAATGGCCAGCCATTCTACCCCATATACCTGCTGGCACCGTACCGTCTAGCTACGGTCTCGGGTGGTATAGCCGTTGCATTCTTTTGGACCTTCTTCCCATATCCGATCTCCGAGCACTCAATTCTTCGACAGAGTCTTGGAGCGTCTCTCTACCTCCTCGCCAACTACTACTCTATTATTCATGAGACAATCTCCGGTCGCATGCGCGGGGACGAGGGCGATTATCTGCTCAAGAGCTCTGCGGGTCGCAAACTTGAGAAGGCTCGGCATAAAGTGTTCTCAAAACAGATGCTCATGCTTGCAGGTCTCCGGACTTACTCCGAGTTTCTGCGATGGGAGGTTCCAATTGGTGGGCAATTCCCGAAGAAGCAGTATGATTCGATTATTCTCTGCGTGGAGAAGTATGTATGGTATTCCTTTCCTTCGTCCTTTGCTAACATCCGGATCTCCAGTATTGTCAATTATCTCAGTTTACTCGGCTATGCGTCCGATACGCTCATGAACCTCGGTGACGGCGACGATGTCTCGGATACCGCTTGGATGCACGATTTCCGACGACTAGTCGGTACAGCCAAGGTCACAACGCATGAAGTCACCTCTTTGCTTTGTCTTCTCTCTGCGAGTATTACCAACCGACAGCCGCTTCCGCCCTATCTCAAGGCCCCGCGGCCGTACAGTTTCACCAAGCGGCTAGAAGCTCTCGACAGCGATATTTTGAGTTTGAGGCACATTGCTGAGCCAGGATTTGCAGCCTTTGCGGTACTGCAGATTTCGACGCGTTGTATCGTTGGAGACGTGGATCGGCTACTACGGTATGTTTGCGACAGAAGTACCGCCTTGCTGGACGAATCTTGCTAATCACTTTATCAGACATGTCAAGAGCTTAGTTGGCGAGTTGGATTTCTCTTTCCACGCAGTTACTACGACGGAATCTATGGCTGCCTCTCGCATGCCCTCTCGAATGGGATCAAGGGTCGATGTCGGCGAAATCCCATCCTCAAGCCACGGTGATCGAGACAAGACCGATTGATTTTGATGTGCCCATGTTTTTCATACTGCCTTCCTGGCCAGTCGATCATGACTTGTACATAAGATTATCACGAATAAATGTATCCCCGAGATTGAGCTGCAAAAACAATACTAGCCGATCTCGCCATCAAAACCCCGCAACGTCGGATACTTTTCTCTCGTTTCCTTCTCTACATCCCATCCAAAATGGCCCAGGTCCAACTTGACCGAGCTCTTCTGACTCAAGCATCCAAGAAAACGGTCCTTATAACAGGCGCTGCGCGCGGTATTGGCGCTGCAACTGCCCGCCTGTTCAACGACTCCGGCGCAAACGTGATACTCGCCGACCTCGCCGACCTTAAAGATACCGCCGAAGAAGTAATCCAAACCCAATTCGCGCATCCGGAGAGAGCGAAATTTATCCCTACCAATATCGTCAACTGGGCCGAATTAACCACATGTTTCGAGACCGCGATCGCGGAATTCGGCGCCATCGACATTGTCATCGCAAACGCGGGGATCATGGAATCTCACCCCGTATTCGATTTAACCGCAGTAGATGATCAAGGACGTCTTCTCGAGTCCAATGATGCAGGGAGAGTCATCGACGTTAATCTGAAAGGGACTTTGAATAGTGAATAACCCTAGTAACCCTTCCCTATACCTTATCCCGTCCGCCCCTTCATAATCACCCTGCTAATTCATTCGCAGCAATGCGTCTCGGACTCCATTACATGAAATCAAAGGGATCGCAATCAAAATCAATTCTCCTTGTCGCGTCTACATCGAGTTATTTCGGTGGAACAGGGGTTGCCGCGTACATTGCCTCGAAGCACGGGGTTCTAGGGCTGCTGCGCGCGTCTCAAGATGTTGCGCGCGAACATGACGTGCGGGTGAATGCTGTTGCTCCGTTCTTGACGCCTACGCATATTACCGCTGGGTTTTCAGAGAGATGGGGTCGTGCTGGGCTGGAGAAGAATACTCCTGAGGGGGTTGCTGAGGCTATTGCTTTGGTGGCTTTGGATTCGGGGAGGGAGGGTCATTGTGTTTTGGTATGCTCCAAGGCTCTTTCTCAGGGGGGTTATTGCTAAAGACTAATATTTGCTTTAGGTTGCTGGGAAGTATCTTCGGGAGCTTGAGCATAGTAGAGTGAAGTTGTTTGGCGAGTGGTTGGGCGAGGATCTTACTGGGTTTTTGGCGGCCGCGATGCAGTTCTTTGTTAGTATTGGGGGTTACGTGCTACCTCGAAGCTGAAAAACATGTTTTTTGTCAAGGATGTTCAATCTTAGCACAGGAAATTTTGAAAATCTAGGAGATGCTGCGCATTATCCTGCGCTCGGGATGAACCTGTCCACGGGGTGAGGTAGGGGCCTGTATCTGCTGCGTTCTACTTAGAAGTGCTCTTAATGTGGATCAACTCTATCTCCCAAACTTAATAGATATCATTTCTATTCAAGTATTGTAGCCTAAAGCAATGAACTTCTAGTCTCCCTTAGGTCACACACAGAAATTCCGGTCTGTGGAATGTTCTTGTCGACGGAGCCCAACACGTCAGTCCACGCAAGGGATAAGAATGCCAACCCCAAGGCACTTCAGCCTGTAACCCATCATTCTCAGGGATTTGACGTAGGAGTATCCCCGCAACACAAGCAAAAGGGTTCTCGGATCGTCCAGGGAAAAAGATCTGATCTCAAACCAATCACCGGGCATCCATTAACCCCTTCCTACGACCTCGGGAAGAATCCAAGCTCCTTTACAGGCTTAGCGAAGGCAGGGACACACCCGAAGCTCCTATATGATCAATGACCACACCATCCCACGTTTCTGCTAGCTCGTGCCTATGTAGATATGATTTTGCCCGGCTTTTCTCCGACTACACGTTTATAATCTCCGCGATACCCCAGATCGGAACATACCACACGTCAGCTCTCATTTATTTCCAATGGGACGTCATTCGACTTCTGAAATCTTTGACAATGAGTCTAAAATCGACTTCGGGGTGCCGAGCAAGACTCTCGAGGACAAATCCCCTCCAGCGGGTCTGGGGTTGGGGAGCTCAGTACAGCTTTTCGATATCGAGCAATCATCAATAGTGGAAGAAGAGCGCATAGTCGGGGTACAGCAATGGCTTGTCTTTATTTGCATCATTGTATTGGCAACTATGGACTCTTTCAACTCGACTATCTTGATCCCCGCCATTCCTGTGAGTTGCATGAATATCTCTCAATGACCCCAACACTAACAGTAAATGTCACCAGGGCCTCGCCAACCTTTTCAACACGTCTTTAGCGAGTACTCTCTGGGCCACGACTGTATATCTCTTATTCGGCGCAGCAAGCCATCTATACTTCACCATGATGAGCGAAGTATTCCACCATGGTCCCGTATGGATCCTCGCCGTCCTCCTCGCAACAATCGGCACAGGGGTATGCGGCGGCTCCCTAAGCCTAGGCGAATTGATCATCGGTCGCATAATCCAAGGTACCGGCGGCGGCGGCGCAATGGCCCTCTGTTTCGTCGCCATGAAGGAATCCGCCCCTGAAGCAATCCACTCACGGTACTCCTGCTATATCGTGCTTATGCGAATGGGCGGTGCGATCTTGGGTCTTATTTGCGGTGGTCTGTTTATTGACCACGGTCACTGGACTTGGTCATTCTATTTCAATTTCGCTTTCTGCGCCCTCGGTCTACTGGGTATTCCATTTGCGGTGGATTTGCGCGTCTCAAAACATGTGCCGCTGCGCAAAATGCGCACCCTCGACTGGGTGGGTGTGAGTATGGCGTTTTTTGGTGCCGCGGGTATACTTGTTGGCCTTTCTTGGGGTGGGATTTCGTACCGCTGGTCGGAGTGGGAGACTATCGTGCCCATTGTAGTCGGGGCTGTTCTTATCCTGGCTTTGGGGCTCTATGAGTCCAAGTGGGCCTTGCATCCGCTGTTCGGTGGATTCTTTCGGTCGAAAATGATGTCGATGACATATCTCGGATGCTTCTTGCATGGTCTCGTGGTAAGTTCTCACATGTTAGTTGGTGATGTTTCTCTAACTTCTCGATCTAGTTCCTGTCTCATGTGCAATTCTTCGCTCTGTACTTCATGTCGACTCTTTACATGTCAGCGACGATCTCCGGAATGGCTTTGCTTTCCTTGGTTGGACTTTCGATTGCTCCAGTGGCGATAGTGGGCATGATCCTCGCCCGAGAAATGGAATGTACCCAGTGGATTATATCTGCAGGATGGACATTGACCATTCTCGCGAGTGGCTGTTCAATTCTTTTGAACAACATAACCCCGACAATTGCCTGGGTCCTGTTGCTATTCACAGCCGGGCTGGGCCACGGCCTCCTGCTCTCTGGTTACAATGTTCGCGTTCGAAATGTTCCCAAGGATGAAGATACTCCGCTTTCAAGTCTCCCGACAACAATCGCCTATTACATGAGAGCCTGGGGTTGGGCATCTGCTATACCTATTGGTGGCGCGGTGCTCCTGAACACACTCGGTGTTGGCCTGGCAGATGTTGGGCTACACCCAAGTCTGGTCAATTCGGCAAATGGGTATCTTATCCTGATGAAGGACTTTGGTGTGACGGCTCAGCAACAAGATGCGGTCAGCCTTGCTTCTGTTGCTGCATTCCGGGCTTTATGGGGGGTCGTCACTGGCTTTTCCATTCTTGGGGGTCTTTCATCGGCTTTCCTGTGGCGAAGAAGCAGGGAATAAGCTAGTTGATTGCGTTGGGGCTCATACTGGCTACCATCTGGACATATTGATTGCTGTAATATTTGACCAGTTCGATGATATGGCGGGCCATTTCATTTAGAGACAGTATCATCAAAGGAATTAGACAATTTCGATACTAAAAAACGATTGACCATAAAAATAAACAATGTGAGGTGCATAGGTAAAAAGGTTGTAAGGGCCCTGCCGTCGACTCTTCAATACATGGGTATCTTTCATAACGCCAACTTCTCTTCTCAACGCTCTCACTTCGACCATTCAGGTTCCACGAATTCTCTCTTTCCCCGAATCCTCCAACCCCGGAGCCTATCTTTCCCAAGCAGCTGAAGCGTCATCTTCTCGACGATACTATACTGGGTCGGATCATTGCGGTCAAAATTGAAGGGCCGTTTCAGTGACACAGGCGGGTTGGTAATGACGCGTGGATGCCGCAAGCTGTTGACCGAGACCGAGTGACACATCAGCGGGTGCATCAGAATCACATCACCGACATCACCAGTCATCTCGTGAAACTCGCTGCACTTCTCGATGATATCAGAATAGAAGGGCGTATCGGTTGGGTCTCCATCAGGCTCCTGGCCACGAGGCAGCATATACGGTGACACCCCCTCCGGATGATCATACTGAAGCAAGTCAGTGTAAGTCAACACAGCAATAGGACTTTCCTCATACCAAATGCTGGGCAATCGCTTTGGTGGCATCCGAGCAGATCATGGTCCCACCTGCACGCTCTTCTATCTTCGTGAATAACGGAATCACCAACAAAGCCTGCTCTGGCGAATCGAGGAAATGGATAAAGTTGTCTCCATCGACATGCCACCCCGGAAGATCTGCTGGCTCCGGCCAGGTACCCTCCGACTGAGGCGATCCAAGATTGACGATGAATGCGTCGTTCCAGGTAGTGGAATCTGGGGCGATGCGGTACTCGCCGCCGAGGAGTTGGCACATGGCAGACCATGCTTTGGGGGCGAACTTCTTCACAGACTCGGTCTTTGTTTCATCCATGTGTGTGACTTCGTTGGTCCATGTTGATTTGTCTGTGGGTGAGATACCGAGCCTTTTCCACACGTTACCGGCCCATTGATCTGCTTTCTTCTGTGAGAAACACTTCTCGACGCGAACGAACCCATGACGCATGAAGTGGTCGACTTGGTCCTGAGAGAGGACGGGATTTGGTTTGTGTGCCATTATGTGCTGGGATCTTGAATAAGGAATATATCGATATGGTGTCTGGGATGTCAATTGCAAGTTCTCGGCAAGGTGACATTCTGGTGATAGGGCAAGTGCACATTCGGTCTTGCTGGTTGTTATCCTCCTTCCCAAGTTTCCTGAATCTGGGCTAACTCATTTTCGTCTTCCAATTGATTTATTGTGTTGCGATATGATAGCGAATTCGTTGAATGAAGGTCATTCAAATCAGGAGTCGCTGGAAAGTACTGGCAAGTCAAAGACTGAACTATCCTCAAGGCAAAACCTTGATATCAGCCAAATCACAGCATTGAATCTTTCTGATATGATTGTGCAAAGGTCGGCATGGTTCATGGTCACCCCCAATTACTGGGCAACTTTGAACGACTGGAAAACCAAGTCCATGGCAGCAATGCATTTACGGCGGCAGTAAGAGAGTGGGGCACCAAAGACGAGCCTGAGGGACACTATCATTTCCATTTATGTGACAGTGTGACCTAGAAGAAGTCAAAGACTAGCCCAACTCCCCGAAAAGCCCACTTCAAATGTCTTGCAAAGTGATTGGGAAAGTGTCAGCAATGTCCTCCCGCCACATTCGCAACTGGTTAAAGTTCGTGGAGTAGCTGTAATCAACGACAGCCTGCTGAACATTGCGAATGTAATCATGCTTTGCCACAGACCAGGTGGTATGTCCAGGGTCTCCATCGCGAAGACGCTGTCCACATTCGCAGGTGTATCGATCCCATATCTCCTCTGAGTCATTGACTCGAGGACGTTGAAGCGGGTTGGGATAAGCGCGGGTTCTGTCTGACAGATACAACTGGTACTCTTTGAATCGGAGCTGTGGGGGAATAAGTAATCATGTCTCGGCATCCAGAACAAACACTGACCTCGCATCCAGGCATATTGACCAGTTGGTGATGAATTCGGTGTTGTCTCTCCGCAGATTCAAAGGCCTTGGCCAGATTGATCGAAGCTTCGTTGACGGTCTCTTTGAACTTAGTGCCCATAGCTGGGTAAATGGAATCCTTGTCGCGAGGCTGCCAGAAAAAACTAGCCCAGTTCAAGATTGCAGACAGATCGTATGCATCACCACGCATTCCCTCGGCAGGCTAATTGCATGTTAGCCTTGGGGGTCAGGGGGCTCATCAGGTTCACCAAATCAAACACTTACCCGCTCACACTTCTCATTGTGGTTGATGCATCGAATGCACGTACCATATCCGCGGGTGTTGCAGCGGCAATTAATTTGAAACGCGGGGAAATGTCCAAAGATGCCATCGATCGCAGCCCGCAGGCAGTGCATGCACCAGAGGATGCTGAGTGGAAGATTGTGGTTAATCGGAGCCATATTGGCAACAGGTCCGTGTTTGATAAGTGCAACTTTGGTTGACCGAAATCAATTGCAGATGCAGTCTTGGACGGGTGTGAAAGATGGAGAGCGAAAGTGAGTGAGAAGTGCGAGAAAAATGGTGAAGTGTATGGGATCCCGTGACGAAGAGCTGACATTCAAGCCCTCCAGGGCTGGACGATCGCTTAATTCACAGAGCTGAAGGCTTTCCCATTTCGGGTTTGTTCAAGCATCGCTCCTTCCCATCGCTTTCCCGGGGTTGGGACCTCCGGATGGATGCCACCCGATGCACGTGATAGAAAATGAAGCTATTCAGACAACACAAATATTTAGCTTGGCATTTTTCTTGGCGGTGAACTTTAGTTTCTCTCGCATCTACTCAAAGACTTGCCAGCTGAAAAGTTAGTATTTCTTTATCTGAATTTGGAAACCTTATTGGAGGAGGTACAGTCCATTAACACCGAACATCCTATATGTAAGTTCTAGTTTAATTTTGTCGCATCTTGCGTTTGGACTCTACTCAACGTCGTGAGCACAATTCCTACTTATACAGCATGGGGAAACTGAAATTTTTTTGTTAGCATAATGAGCATACTCACAAGAGAGTCCTCTAATAGCTAGATCTGAATCCGGCCTACGATCTCAGAAGTGTATCAATGGCGGTCTGTAGCAAAGAATGTTGTTTTGTCACTATACAAATGGAAATGCAGGTCCCTCGCCTCCTCTAACTCATATCGATACAGCCTTACTTTTATAGGGTGAAGTCGATGCCAAGTCAAGGTATAGACTATAGGAAATGCCTGCGCCCCGAGCCCTCAGTGTGCCCAGGTGGGCTGGTGATGGATACCAGCTGCTGGGAAAATTTCTCGCGAGAAGCTCCGGGCAGTCAAAAGGGCCGAGATGACGTTCAAAGTCTGGGGTGGTTTTTCTTAGTTAAGGAAGGCAAAACATAGAAGAAAATAAAAAAGAATAGTACCCCTGACCTGACAGCTGTGGGCGGATGTGAATTATCCCGATTGGGCGATATTTTACTTAGCCAGACTCTCTACGGAGTAGATCTGCAGATTTTAAATGCTCCATCCATCGAAATTGCCAAAAAGAGCTCTTCTAGTTGAAATCAGATCAAAGTTGCGAATCCATGTTCGTCGGGACCTCGGCTGTGATGGTGATTTGGTCCCTGGAAGTAGCCCCTTTTTCCTCACCCTCTTTCTCTATCGACTACATCTCATCTGGGTCCATTTCCATGCGCGCCACCGTCCTCTTATTTCATAGCAACCACCGATCATATGCTACACTTTTATCCCAGCTGAACGGGATCTGTGCCCGGGTCCTGGCGTGTTTGTGTCAGCTCCCGGCTAAATAGCACGCCACTGTCGGACACGAGAAGTGAACCCTAGCGACGAGCCATTCTCCCCGCAAATTAAGAGACAGCCAAGACTTTTTCACCGCTTGGCATCACGAGGTCTCTGCTTGCCAGTTCCTAGGCTAATCCAGTTGCTGCATTGGGCACGGAGTGTTAAGTGAAATCCGGATCCTCTTTGTACATTGGACCAAGTCAAACTCAACATACGAGGTTTCATGGTGGCAATCTCAAATCAACACGGAAGACAAACTAACACGAAACAATCATGGACGATTTCCCCCGGGTTGCTTTGTGATTTGGTGGGCCTCGGCCCGTTCCCTCGCTGTGGGGGAAGACCCTATTCTCCGGGGTTCAGAGACTGCCCAGGGGGCTACGCCTTACGCAGCACGAGATTTACACGCTCAAAAGTCACTGAGTCCCAAGTCTAGCGTCTTCAGTCTCACCAATCACAATGCCCAATGGCTGTTTCGAGCCTGGTAATTAGCTGCACATGAAGGCAAAAGGGTGACTATACTAAGACCTTTCGGGCAAGGCGGGCCTGACACTGACCATCCCGGCTAGTCGACGCAGAATAGGCACTTTCCACTCTGGGCGCCTTGAGTGATCTATCTAAGCGTCTGCCACAGGGTTCGTCTCTTTATCCTATTTGCTGCTCAATGTGACTCAGCCGTCAAGTCTGGGGAAGGTTATTGACCCAAGCAGCCGAGCCAAGCCATCATTCGCAATTAGCCGGTCGAGGTCGACCTGGGATACTCGGGATGGCAAATTTCAATCGCTTAAAATCACTGGGCATCCCCATCATTCCGGGGAACATTCCTCTGCTCTGTGCCTTGGGCTTTGTGGGCAATCGATTATTCTTTCTGCATTGTTTGTCCAGGCTATCTTAACATCATGGGTATCGCCGTTGGAGCCTCGACCCTGAATACCGATGCGGCTCAGGCTGAGAAGCCTGAGTTGGAGAAGGTGAACTGGTGGCATGAGCCTGGTTTGCGAAAGCTGTACTTCTGGGCTGCCGTGCTTTGTGTCGCATCTGCGACTACTGGTTACGATGGGTTAGTTCTGATCTGATTTACAATTTGTTTGCTGTGATTGTCGCTGACTCTGGCTAGTATGATGCTGAATACATCTCAAAATTTGGATGCTTGGCAAACCTACTTCAACACGCCTACTGGGTCCGAACTGGGATTGATGAATGCCATCTATCAAATTGGAAGTCTCATCAGTTTCCCATTTGTGTAAGCAGCTCGCGACGACATACCAGGAAATTGACTAACGGTTCCAGTCCCTTCCTCGCCGATCGATGGGGTCGCAAGCTTCCTATCTTCATTGGCTGCTTGCTGATGGTCCTCGGTGGACTTCTGGGGGCATTCTGCAATGGATATGGCATGTATGTCGCCGGTAGACTGCTTCTGGGCATTGGAAACAGTCTCGCACAAATGGCTTCGCCCATTCTGTTGACTGAGATCGCCCATCCTCAACACCGTGGAAAGGTCACCACAATCTATAACTGCTTGTGGAACTTGGGTGCGCTGGTCGTGGCCTGGCTAGCATGGGGAACGATGCAGATCCACTCTGACTGGTCATGGCGTGTCTTGACCCTTCTGCAGATCTTCCCAGCAGTCATCCAACTTGTTTTCATCTACTGTGGGTCTTGCACCGTCGTTGTTTCTTGTCAATAGGTCTGCTTGCTAACTTTTTCCAGGGGTCCCAGAATCTCCTCGATGGCTTGTTTCGAAAGAGCGCTATGAAGAAGCGCTCACGACACTCGCCTACTACCACGGAAATGGCGATCAGAACAATACGACCGTTCAGTTTGAATACCGCGAGATCAAGGAGACTATCAGTCTGGAGATGCAGTACAAGAACAACAGCAGCTACCTTGATTTCATGAAGACAAAGGGAAACCGATATCGTCTTGCGATTTTGATTTCGCTCGGTATTATCTCTCAATACTCTGGAAATGCTCTGTTCAGCAACTACATGAGCTTGATCTACAACAGCATGGGTATCACCGATCAGAATAAGAAGATCCCGGTAAGTTCACATGATCTCGAGGAAGTCCATACAACTAACGGTCCTAGTTGAACGGCGGACAAACACTACTCAGTCTGCTCGTCAGTCTGTCTTGTGCGTTTTTCGTTGACCGGTTTGGAAGACGACTCCTCTTCCTAGTTTCGACCGTCGGTAAGTCAAACCTAACGGAAATGATCTACCAAATTCTAAAATCCTTAGGCATGGTTCTCATGTTCCTTGCATGGACCATCGTCTCTTCCGTCTATGAGCGAACCCACGACGTCAAGAGCACAGGCTATCCCCAAGTCGTCTTCGTTTGGCTCTTCTCCGTCTTCTACGCAATTGCCTGGTCGGGTCTTCTCGTCGCATACGCTCTTGAAATTCTCCCCTACCGTCTACGCGCCAAGGGAATCATGATCATGAACCTGACTGTCCAGGCATCTCTGGTCCTTGGAAAGTAAGTCTGATCTCGATAATTCCTTTATCTTAACCGATGCTGACCGCACTAGCTACACGAACCCGATCGCATGGGAGAATCTGCCCCATCACTGGAATCTTTCGCTGATCTACACCATCTGGATCTTCATTGAGCTGCTGTTTGTTTACTTCTTCTACGTGGAGACTCGCGGTCCTACTCTGGAGGAGCTTGCCAAGATCTTCGATGGCGATGATGCAGCTGTTGCGCATGTCGATCTACAACAGGTTGAGAAGGAGATTCATATCTCTGAGAAAGAGACAACTGGATATCGGGAGCGGGTCTGATTGTATAATTTGTTATTATTGTCGCCAGTGCGACGCTGATTTTTTCTGAATAATAATACTACTGACGGTCATGGTTCACTTGAATAAGATCAATAGTCTTGGGCTAGACGTAACAACCTTGGAATACAACCATCTATTCAGTCATCTTCAAGTCAGCATTGTTGCTCTATCATCTAGCTCTCTAAGTTTTTGGGTCTGGTCAAGACCAATATACTGGTTCTAATGTGATCGTTAATTCCAAATAGCTTCAAATGTTGTATCTGCGGGCTGAGCAGCTATACGAGACTTACATGTTGAATGGCGCGATGCTCCGCCCCAGCCACGATGACTGATGCAAAATTAGACCGCGGACATTTATCTTCGGGGCTGATCGATTGCTTATTTTCAAACATAAGCTCGCCGTTGCAGGTGCTAATTTTGGCCAAGGCGATGGAGCCGAGCGAGAGCGAGAGCGAAGGATATTCTAAGCCTCGACGGATGGACACATTTACAGCCCATAGAGATATTCGACTGTACAAATTTGTAGTGCCCAATTTACGGAGGGCTGACTCGTTTTGTTACTTCGAGTCCCAGTGCACCTTCCTGCGTCGACTCTTTCCCTATAAGCCCTATAAGTTGCCTCTCTCGGCTTCCTCTCGACTCTGCATTCTCAACTACCCATCGTTCACACTCCCACTCATTCACTCTATTCTCTTATACTCTGTGTATACCCATTATACTTCCCAGGTCTTTCACAACAGTCAGGATGCGCTTCCACCTCGCTGTTCTCTTGGGCGTGGTCGGTTTATCCATCGCGGCCCCGGTTACCAACTCGACCACTCACAAGATTCTCCCCGATGGACTCCCAGTTCCAAGTCCCAGTGAGCTTGAGCTCATTGAAGACAAAGCGCGAGGGACCCTTCCGAACGGGCCTCCTCCTCCCGCCATCAGTGAGGGAGGACTGGTCAACCTCAAACTTGTGGCATTCAACGAGTTATTCGAAGTCGCCTTCTTTCATGAACTCATCACGAACATCACCGATAAAGTCTTGGGTTACCGCTTCTCAAATGAAGATGATTATCACTTTGTTCTTAATGGCTTGAAAGCCATCCTGGCGGTATGTGAGCTCCAAGCTTCTCAAGGATATTGACTGACATCCACACAGCAAGAGGAACTGCATGTTCTCGACGCTAACAATGCCCTATCCCACTTCGGCATCGAGCCCATCGAGCCATGCCAGTACAGATTCCCCGTCCAGGACTTCGATTCAGCCATCCTCCTTGCCAGTACCTTTACAGACGTGGTTCTGGGCACCTTGCAGGACGTTGTGGAGCGCTTCGCTATTGGTGGTGACTTTGGCTTGTCGCGTGCTGTCTCATCAATTATTGGACAGGAGGGCGAACAACAGGGTTGGTTCCGCATCATGCAGGGAAAGGTCCCTAGCGAACTGCCCTTCTTGACAACCAGTGATCTCAACTTTGCATTCACTGCAATCCAGAGCTTCATTGTCCCAAACTCATGTCCTAATATCGGGTCTATTCCCCTCGAGACTTTCGAACCTTTGAACATTATCAAGTCTCCATCTGCGCGGACTGGGAACATCGTGGTTTCTTTCTTCGATCATCTTCACGAGACTACGGACGGTATCTTGTGGATTGTTTACGTCAATCAGCAAAACCTTCCTATCGTCGAACCTCTTCAGGTCATCTCCCGGGAGAATAATGAAGTCGTTGCCGAGGCTTTGTTCCCTTGGGACGCATATGAGATGAACGGATTGACCTTTGCTGTGGTGACTGCAAGCGAGGGACCATTCCCAAATGCGTACAGTGTGGCCAAGGCGACGATTGCCGGACCTGGTATTTTCATGATCAACTGATTGGTGGTATGAGCCTGTGTCAGCGTTGGACGTTTTGCAACATACACTTATCATTAAGATCGACCTACCCTATGACTTCAGAGCGAAGTATATTATGTGCTGAGCGAGCTCATGCTCTAGTTGTTTTCTCAATCAATCCAAACTGCTCTTGAAAATCAAACGCTCTCAATTAGATCCATCTCAACTCTCCATTGTAGTCGTAGTTCCCATGAACAGTGAGCCAAAGCTACAGACCTGGAGCCAGAATGGTTAATTCTTAAACTACATCTTTTTACAAGCCCACTGGCACATGTTTAGTTACTACATGCACAAATATACCAATCAAGAATTTCAATTGACAGGCACGAGCTCACAGGCCCAAAGTCCAAACCGGACGAATATCAACAAAGGGATAGACAAGAATCGAAACACACTAATCAAACACACCAAATAAAATAAATACCATCAGAAAATATACTGACAACTATCCCAGACATGTCACAGCATGTCCGCTAACTCAATTAGCGTCACCAATGACAAGCTTAAAGCTTACCCTGTCCAGCGTTGGCAGTAACGCTGGAAACAACAGTGCCGTAAGCAGAAGCAGAGGCAATGTTCTTGCCGGCAAAGTTGGACAGGAAAGCAGTATCGGCCTGGTTGAAGGTACCGGAGGATCCGAATCCGTTAACCTGGCAGGAACGGCCGAGGTAGGAGCTGCACTTGGCGTTGGTGGTGGTGTCGGGGGAGGCGAAGAGCTGGCCGGAGATGGGGGACTCGGCGACGACGGGGATGTTCTGGAAGACGTTTCCTTCGGCGAGGACGTAGCCGCCGGAACCGATCTCGAAGGCGTGGCCGGAGTTGGAGTACCAGTAGTTGTTGACCTGGGTTTTGTTAGTTGGGGATAGTTTTGAGGGGAGAATGAAGGGTGCTTACGGCGTGGAGGAGGGTGTTGCCCTGGACCTTGGGGGAACGACCGCTGGTGTGGTAGATGTAGTTGCCCTTCATGGTGACGAGATCGCTGGATCCGTCAAGGTAGATGCCCCAGTAGTGGTAGCCGTCGCAGGTGGCGGAGTAGTCGCTCACACCGTTGATGAAGTTGTTGGAGATGGTGACGCGCTTGGAGGCGTTGGTGCCGAGGACGATGTGCTGGCGGGCAATGCGAGCAGTGGTGACGTGGTCAATCCAGACCATGTCGGCGTTGTCGATGGTGATGGCATCACCTCCCCAGACGTACTTGGGGTTGATATCGGTGAAGGCGACGTTCCTGCGTGGGTTAGATGTGGCTCTGGTGGATTTGGGATATCATTGGACTCACTGGATGATGACGTTGCTGGCACCGCTGACGATACGGATACCCTTACCCTTGATGACACCGGCAGAGCCAGATCCAATGAGGGACTTGTTGGACTTGACGGTGATACCGAGAACACCGGCGTTGTCGCTAAGCGCGGTTAGTATCTGACCTGCTCGAGGGATCGGATATACATACTAGGAGACGGAGGCGGAGGGAGCAGAAGCCTCGTAGTTGTTGCACCAGTTGTCCTTGTTGATGGCAAGCTGGCAAGCAGAGGCAGTACCCCAAGGAGCACAACCAGTGGCGGAGGTAGTACTAAGAGCCCTATTAGCGTCGGCACTCCATACGAAGATTCCTCAAAACTCACCCCTCAGTGCCGCGGAAGTCGAAGGTCTTGGTCAAGACGATCGTACGGGGAGAGCTGTCACCAAGGTACGAGACCAGCTCGGCAGTGGTGGAAGGGTAGACAGCAGCAGCGGAGCCACCACCGGTAACGCCCTTGGCGAAACCCTCAGCAGCGCCAGAAACACTGACGGCAGCAGCTTGAGCAGCGAGAGCTGCGGCAACGGCGAAGAACTTCATCTTGAGAGATACTTCGGAAGGTGGAATGAAGATGAGTTGAAAAAAACCCGGGTGCAGACAACTCCTTATATAGTGAGCAGTGTTTCTAGAGCAAGTAGTCTGAAAAGCCAAGCCAGGAAACGTTTGATCCGACTCCACGGACAATCTCCTGGTTCATTTCCACGATTGAAGACATAGTGAAGCAGCGGACCGAAGCCCTAGCATGAGCCACAGGCATCCACTCTTTTGCGGAGAAATGGATATCGAACCAGGAGTGGCTCCTGAATCTTAGAAGAATTTCGGAGAAGCACCAATCGGGGCTGGGCAGCGAGTGCCTAGGAGAAGAAGAACCCAATTGCAGGTGTTTCATGCAAAGAGCTGCTCCACTATGTTCGGATCGGCGTCTTTACTTAGACGGGGTGGTCGCCGGAACCTATCACACCAGTCAGCCCCTTTGGTGTTTTTTTTTCTTCTTTTCTTCTTAGTTGATCCGGTGGCTTCTCCACTAACGCCGTTCTGATTAAGGCGTTTCGAATGGGCCCAAATGGCCGAAATTTCCCCCCGGGCCTTCTCTAGGGCTCTGGGATCGTCATGTCCCTCGGGATTGATCTTGCATCAATCAGATTAAAGTATTCGCACAAACACCGACGATCCATGAAGATCAAGAAGATCAAAGTGTCACGGGAGTGCACGGTCAAGATCCACCGGGGTTTTTTCATTCCGCGGCATTTCCTTCGACCATGGCCAGACAGCTGTCGTGAACGTCGATATTAATTATTGTTCGAGTCGCTGGTGAGATTATGGCCTCTGATCAACATCGCGAATACCCCTTTAGGAATAACACCGGCTTCGACCGGGATCACTTGTGGCGGAGATTTCGCGCTGAGATTACGCTGAGACAAAAAAGTGTCCGCAAAGAAGCGGTCACGAATTCCAGAATGCCGTTAGACAGTGGCTGAGATTACAGTTGCAGGCGGCTTTGCAGAAAGGGGCTAGTCTGATGAGCTACACATAGTGCTTGTTTCACGGTGGTCCCATTGTTGAATAGTCTAAATCATTAGGTTGATATACAAAGTGTAGGTTAATAAACAATCAGGAACTTCGGAGCCGAAGATCCCGTCTATTTTACATGATGACAGGCAAGTTGCGCTCAAGGTACCCTCTCCACTCGGGGAGGGCGCGCGCCCACTTAGAACCAGACTGACTCTTCAGATCCTCAATGGCACTGGCATACTTGATCAGAGTCGGTTCCGAGAAGGCGGTGTTCATCAACGCAAGTCCGAATGGCATGCCAGACTCGCTGCTGGTTCCGGCAGGCACGGTGATAACGGGGTAGCCGGCCTGGGCGGCGATCTGGATGCTCTGGGCCACGTCGGGGGGAACGAGAAGACCGTCCAGCTTGGTGCCGTTGTGGTTCAGAGCGGCATCGATACCTTCCTCGCGGGTGGTGCGCTGGCAGAAGGCCAAGGCCTGGAAGTAGGTCTCGTCCATGACGCCCTTGGACTCCATGGAGGCGAGGAGACCGTCCTGGCCGGAGCCGAAGGCGGGATGGATGCCGGGGAGGCCGCCCTCGGAGCCGTAGTTGTCGATGTTGTACTGGACGAGGTCCTCGACGGTGCGCACGTTGGTGTTGTTCACCTCGGAGAGGTAGTCGCGGAGGTTGTTGTAGAAGTCGACCTTGATGTAGGAGTACTCCGACTCGTTGGCGAAGCCGCGGGTGGAGCCGTAGTCCCAGTTCCAGCCGTCGGGCGAGACAATCTGCTTGTAATGGGGCAGCTCGGTGCCGTTGATGATGGTCGCTCCGGCGGACTTGATCAGCTCGATCAGTTCGAGAAGCTGGGCATTCTGCTCGGCAGTGTTGAAGGCCCAGAAGGACTCCCAGGGAAGACCGAAGACAGCACCCTTGAGGGCGTCCTTCTTGCTCAGGAACTGAGTATAGCCTCCCTTGGGGGTAAGGCCCTTCTGAGCAAGAGTGTAGTTGTCGCGGGTGTCAACACCATAGATCGCGTCCAGGGTGTAGACGGCATCACGAACAGTCTGCGCGAAGGTTCCGATGGTGTCTTGGTGAGCAGACTCAGGAATGACACCAGCACGGGAAGTCAGACCAACAGTCGGCTTGATGCCGACAATGGCGTTTCGTTGAGCAGGGTTGATGACACTGCCATCAGTCTCGGTTCCCAAGGCAATGGGGACCAGGTTAGCACCAACAGCCACACCGGGACCAGTGCTGCTACCACCAGGGTTGACGGTGAAGTTGTAAGCACTACGGCACTGGCCTCCGCGGGCAGTGAAGCCTTCGGAGTAATTGTTGGAGCGCATATCAGCCCACTCGGAAAGGGCGCCCTTGCCCAAAAGGAGCGCACCGGCCTTGCGGAGACCGTGGACAACATAAGAATCCCGAGGCACCACGTTACCCAGCAGCGCCCAGGAACCGGCCGTAGTCTCCATGCGGTCCTTACTGGCGATGTTGTCCTTGACAATGAAGGGGATGCCGTGCAGGGGGCCACGGACCTTACCCATGGCGCGCTCGGCATCCAGCTTCTCCGCGATGGAGAAAGCATCCGGGTTCAGCTGCAGAATAGCGCTGCCAAAAAATTAATTCAAGTTCAATCGGTTTCGAATCACGAGACATACTTCAAATAAGGCTGTGTTTGGTAAACGCGATCGAGGTAGCACGCCAGCAGCTCAACAGTCGAGAAGGTGCCATTTGCCAAGCGCTCCTGGATCTGGTCGACGGTCGCCTCTTCCAGCTTGAAGCCGTGGCAACGGCGCATGGGGAATTGTGAAGCCCCTGAGGCTCCCAGGCGCGGGAAATCATATTGATAGGGGGTGTTGAGGATCTGAGACTCGACGAGGTAGTCGGTGTCCGTGGCAGGTTGCGGGATGGCAACGACGGCGCCCGCCAAGGCAAGGCCGCTCAACAAGGTCATCAACGGCGCCATGATATACCTAGGTATGCGAGAGAACCCCACCAAAAGAGTGCTGATCCCGGGGTTCGTGAGATGTTTATACTCAGCCGTTGCAGGCCCGCCTCATGACTAATATTGGCCTCTGCACTTCATTTCATTCGCTTAAACGCATCCCTTTATGTCCGTACTCGTATATCCTTCGGTGGCCTTCTAGTCTCTTTCTCTGCATTGTCTCAATCGTACCACAACGCCAGCTGCACTAATCCAATAGTTCCAGAGCTTGTTTCCTCGATGTCGCAAAATACTGTGCTCTCAGTGGCCATGCAATATATACCAGGAGCGATATCTGCCGACCTGCCTATTTGCACGTTAGTCGCAGAATCTGCAGCCCCATCAAGGACCGTCGGGACCGAGTTGGGTCCGTTCGATCCTTCGATTCGGACCCACTGCTGTCGACCTCACTGGCTGTTAATTCCCTTGAAAACTCAATGTCTGGAACTGGACGGATAACAGGAAACTGCACCCGTTAACTGTTAGATATGTGAGGTTCTAAGGCGCGTAAATATATCCGACATGTTGTGCTCCGTGCCCTGCTAGTCGTACTAGTTTAATCTAAATTCCGCCATCGTACGTGTCCCGGGTTCCCAGATCTCAGTCGACCTGCATATAGGTTTTAGGTTTCGTGTTTACAGTTCATAGGGCTTCCAAGGTTGTTAACCTGTGTTAGTAACAGCTATTCCTTCAAACTCAATTAGATGATATCCAGGCATCCCTAACCCGAGCTGTTTGACCTGCGCGGTTTTATCTCTGTTTTACTCGTTCAAGGCTCCACACGCTTCTGGTCTTGGTGGAGCTGGATCTCTTGGAATTTCCCAAAAATCCATTGCCGGTTCTCTTTTCCTTCGCACAGTGCAAGTATGGATTGCTCTAGCTCATGGGCACTGTGGACTGTGAGTGGTCTCATTAGGAGGGCAGTATCCGCCGACTGCCGGCCCACGTCATGAAGTCCTGGACAATGGCAATTCGCAATTGGCAATTGGCAATTTAATTAATCGCCAGTTTAACTTTTTACTGGATTGGACGTAACACTCAGATTCACATGCCTAGGTGTGGTTCGATAATATCATTCTTCCTTTGTAATGCCTTCTTGATCCTATACTGTACTAAATCATGTCACTCTTTTGAACTTGCAATGACTATACCCTCCGATATTCTGGCTGCAGATGCCGCGGGGCGCATTCCAAAGGATGTGACCCTGGAATTCCTGGCCCAATCCCGCGATAAAGCGGCCATCGTGGGCATTGTCTTCATGGTCTGCTTCACGGGCCTGCTGATGATTGTGCGTCTGTATGCCCGGCTGTTCATCGTGAAGAAGCTCGGCTTGGACGATGCACTGGCCATCCTCACCTTGGTATGTTCCACTATCCCCAGATCTGCAGTGCCCACATTAAAGGCTCATCCTTCGAGCATGGGCTTCTCTGTACGGATACTAACCTGCCATTCAGCTGTTGTACATCGTATTTGTCGTCCTATGCATCGTCCTCATTAATCTGGGCAGTGGTCGGCATATGGAATATATCCAATATGTGCTATCACTCCCAACTGTCCGAGATACGGAAATCCTCGACTTCGTCGCCCACATTCTCTACACAACAGCACTTTTCCTTTGTCGCCTGTCCGGTCTGGCCTTCTACTACCGACTCAGTGTCCGCTCCACAAAATTGCACCTGAGCATCCTCATCGCAGCACCTCTTCTTTTCGCCGCATTCCTCCCTCAGATCTTCCTCTTGATCTTCCACTGCAAACCAGTCACCGGTCTCTGGCCCTATGAATGGCAACCAGAGCCACGGACATATACATGTCTCTCATGGGGCCTGGTATACTCCGTCAACTCCGGAATATCCCTCGCCTGTGACGTGATGATGTTCATCATCCCCGCCATGCTAATCAAACAACTGCACGTCTCCATGAACAAAAAGATCAAACTCTCCATCGTCATGTTCCCAGGTGTCTTGTCCGTATCCCCCGTCCCCACCTCGCAACTAAAAGCAACCCCCTAACAAATCCCAGCGTAATCGTCATCTCCGCAGTCCGCGTCTGGCTCGTCGCAAGAGGCCAGTGGGAACCCGACGGCAGCTGGGCCTACAACCCCATGCTCTGTGTCGAGAATGCCGAAATCGCAGCAACCCTCGTCGCCCTCTCAGTGCCAGCCCTCAAACCCGTCTTCGGCTCGCTCTTCGCCCACCTGACCGAGTACACGTCCAGCCATACCCGGTCTCGATCCACGAAACTGCGCAGCCATGGGTTCGGACATTCCAAGACTGCGGCGAGTGGCGCGGCGTCCAGTAATAGGGACAGTAAGCGACTGATTAACTGGTCTAAGATTGGCAAGGATGATTATGAAATGATGCCTTCGCAGGTCTCGGTCACTAGGGAGGTCCGGAGTGGCTCTGCTGAGGGTCGTGAGGGCTCGGTCAGTCCTGGGATTAGGGTGACTGATGAGATTAATATCAGTCAGGAGGAGAGGCAGCCTGGGAGGGCGATTTCAAAGTAATTGAACCTTGGAGCCTTGGAATTTGTATAGAAATAGACCTAATCAAAAGTTAATTGTAGAAATGCATGTGCACTCTTTCACGATGTCGATATATATTCAAGGTCGAGGCCCAGCAGAAACCACCGACTTCCATGACTTTCCCGAACAAGCATGAACCTGGCACCTACTACTAGTACTAGGTAAGTACATTGAGTAGCAAGCTTTCCAAGGTTGAAATAAACGAGTCAACCTCCTTGCGGTGTAGTTTCAAACGCGTGATTATCAATCGGGGGGATTACCAATGACACAGGCCCCGGGGGCCAACCCCACAGAGAACTGCCACCAATCGATGGAGGCCAGCGTCTAGCGCTTCTACCGAGACAGGGTATCACGATGCAGATCATATGATTAATGCGACGAGACAGCGCTGCGAAGCCCAAAGAGGAAAGCGGAAGACCCCTGTCGATGTGATCACAAAGAAATCGAGGGGTCTGAGATGCAACTACTTAAGTGGCGTCTGGGAAACCGGTGCCGTCAACTTTGGAAGTATCATCTGGAATAATATACTTGGAATCGGACCAATTCCAATTACTGAAACCCTCAACTTGTTCTGATTGTCCAATACGCAGTGTCCTCGACAATGACACTGAAATATCTCATTACGGGAGCAACGGGGGGTCTGGGAGCTGGCGTGCTCTCCTACTTCGTTGAAAACTGTCCCGCGAACGAATACGCCGCGGCATCCTCGAAAGAAGAGAACCGCAAGCAGTTCGAAGACAGAGGGATCTCCTTCCGAGTGGTGAACTACGATGACCCTCAATCCATGGAGACCGCATTCGAAGACGTCGAGAACCTCCTCTTCGTAAGCACCAATACCTTCGACGTCGAGAAGCGGCGAAACCAACACCAAAGCTTCGTGGACACAGCGCAGAAGATGAATGTCAAACATGCAAGTCTTCACCCGCCGATCCCATCACACCCGACTAACCACCAGACACCAGGTCTGGTATACATCACTCGCGTTCGGCGGATTTGAGTCCAATTCCAAGGCCGATGTCCAGCAGGCCCATCTGATGACGGAGGAGATGATGCGACAGTGAGTGGCGGAGGCCGAGCTAAATGACCTGCACTAACACCGCCCAGGGCCGATCTCAACTTCACCTCGATCCGCGAGGGCTTGTATACGGATGCCTTCCCCGTCTTCATGGGGTGGTATCCAAGCACGTCAACCGTTTACCTACCCTCCGACGGGCCCATTGCCTTTACCCTGCGCACAGAGCTTTCCGAAGCAACGGCACGACTGATGATCCGCGGGGGCCACGACCGGGAGATTGTCCTTCTCACTGCACAAGAAGATATCACATTCTCCGAGATCGTCGATCTGATCAACGAGACGACCGGCCGAAATGTACAATTCCAGCTTGTGTCCCCCGAGGAATTCATCGCGCTCAAGGCTGAGGACGAGGGTGGGAAGCCAGAAGCTTTCTTCGGAAAGTTGGTGACGTGGTATGATGGGATCGCGAAGGGGGAGACTGCCACGGTCGATCCATTGATGGCAGACGTATTGGGTCGGGATCCCGTTAGCCCGAGAGAGGCGATCCGGAGGATATTGCAGGAAAACAGGGACTATACATGGCATCAAAACTATGCGAAACGCGGTTAGTTCAGCAATCCAAGGCCTATTATCCCTGGACGTCAAATCCAGTGTTGCCGACTGGTCGGTGATGACATGTGCGGGAGACTCGGGAGTCGCTTCTTCGGCAACCCAGACCGGGAGTTGAGGCCTCAGGCAACCATTAGAAACCTCTGCTCGCATCACGGTAGATAGAAGGTCAATTGGGAATAGATCTCAAGGCAGAGACCGACGTTGATAATCCAGTTCCATCCGCTTGAAAGATGTCCTCCAGAGAAGCTGGCGACGACGATGGCCGGCAGTAGACATTTCCTTCGACGCCGTGTCCGCCCGACACTTGACAATTAGGTCGGAGCTGATTGGCTGCGGGGCGGGTGAGTAAGCATATAGCCGATTCGTCCTGGGCAAACCCGAGGTAGACTCCCTTTGGACTTCACGACTTCATTTTGCTGGCAATTGGCTCTTTGCATTGTGAGAAGACGTGCCAGAATCCCACTTTGGACTCTCTTGAGACTCTCCACTCTTCGGCTTGTAATCTAATCTCTTCTCTCTCTTGGTCTACCTTCTCTCTGCTTTTTCACCTACGCCATGGCCTCCCTCCGCACCACCTCGCGGCTGTTCGCAGCATCGCGACCCATGTTCCGTCCCGCCTTCGCTCGCACCTACGCGACTGTTGAGCCTACTCCTTCCGAGAACCCCAAGATGAAGACCTTCAAGGTCTACCGCTGGAACCCAGACCAGCCCAGCGAGAAGCCCCAGATGGCCTCCTACGACCTCGACCTGAACAAGACCGGACCCATGATGCTCGATGCTCTCATCCGGATAAAGAACGAACTCGACCCTACCCTGACTTTCCGCCGATCCTGCCGTGAAGGTATCTGCGGTTCTTGCGCCATGAACATCGACGGTGTTAACACTCTGGCTTGCCTGTGTATGTCTTCGCCTCGCCACATGCACCTATGCGATCAAAGCTAATCCATCCAGGCCGTATCCCCACCGATACCAAGAGCGAATCCCGCATCTACCCTCTGCCTCACACCTACGTCGTCAAGGATCTTGTTCCCGATCTCACCCACTTCTACAAGCAATACAAGTCCATTAAGCCATATCTCCAGCGCGACACCCCCACCGAGGACGTAAGTTGCATTCCTTCTCTTACCACATGCACCAGGTCTAACATCTACAGGGTCTCGAATTCCGCCAATCCCCCGAGGACCGCAAGAAGCTCGACGGTCTCTACGAATGTATTCTCTGCGCCTGCTGCTCAACCTCCTGCCCATCCTACTGGTGGAACAGCGAGGAGTACCTCGGACCCGCCATCCTCCTCCAGTCCTTCCGCTGGCTGGCCGACTCCCGTGACGAGAAGACCCTTGAGCGCAAGGCCGCCCTCGACAACAGCATGAGTGTCTACCGTTGCCACACCATTCTCAACTGCACGCGGACTTGCCCCAAGGGCCTGAACCCCGGTCGCGCCATCGCCGAGGTCAAGAAGATGTTGGCCGTCTAGATTTGGATATAAAACGGAGTACCGCGGATATTTTTTTCTTTCTCCAATGTCTTTCCAGTTCCTTTACCCTGTCTCTCTATTTCCTTATTTATCTTCCACTTTTTTTTTCCTGCCGATTTCACGGATGTTTTCATAGGTGTAAATTGTGAATTTTTACCGGAATTTACTGGTTTTTTTCATTCGGCTGCATGATAGCGCAACCCATACCTTTGTATTGTACCAAATTCAGTGCCTGTTATTTAAGTTTGCATATCTCGACATATCTCTCGTCTAACGCTTTTCCCCATATAATTCTACTATCACAACATACAATTCAACCCCATAAATGGCGAAGCGAACCCCAGAACATTTATCCCTGTGGGGGCCGCTCGGCTATATGTTCACCCCAAGATTGGAAACCTGCGCCCATGAGGCGATTACTCAGCGCCGAACCCTGAGTGTCACGTGTCAGGTCATGTGTCAATCCTTTAGCCTAAGGCGTATATAAAAGCCTTAGGCACCATTTCTGGGAAGCCGAGAACGTCCCCGGGCCCATAATCATATTGTACTTTTGCCTGTTAAGGACAAGGAAGCAGGTCTGTGTCTTGGTGCTGCGACTACAATGAACTATTAGGCCCGAAAGTGTACACTAGCCGAAGCCGTCATTGTTCAATTTCTAATTGGCCCGTCTTGGTCACTAGAACCGCACGAGGTGGTTAGTTTAATATGCACAATGCACCTCGAATCTACATGTCACATTGAGTGTTACCCGTTGTAACCTAGCCTCTATAAGCAAGGCATTCTTGTCTCATTCCATCAGACCCTAGTGCCGGTCTCATTTGTGAGATATGCGTTCGCAGGATGCCCATGAATCGTGGTTGGATGGTTGAGCACTTAAGTACTCCGTTCTGATTTTAGCGGCGACCCGGTGGAATCCTTGAGAGTGGCCTTGCATTGGTTCCAATAGATTTTCAATCCATTGTATTCGAAATCATATCACTCCCCATGTGGTGCCCTCGTGGCGCGCTTTTCTTTTTCCTTTGTTCGGTTACTTCCCATCACTTGGACATCTAGAGACTCACTTGTTGACGATGCTCGAGTTGAATCTCTACATATCTCTGCCAACATTGGCCGTAGGGCTGCTGGTACTGCGTACCGTTTATCACTTGTACTTCCACCCGTTGTCGAAATTCCCCGGCCCAAAGCTCGCGGCAGCAACATTCCTCTACGAGTTCTACTACGATGTCTTGAAAGGCGGCATGTACATATGGGAAGTTGAGCGCATGCACCAGAAATACGGTCAGTACAGTCTCTATCTCAGATCTACATATCTCAATAACCCAACTGACCGAAACGTAGGCCCAATCGTCCGGATCAACCCGAGAGAACTTCACATCAAAGACCCATCCTACTACGAAGAAATCCACGCAGGCTCCTCTCGCAAACGATCAAAAGATGCCCAGTACTCCATCGCCTTCGGCGCCCCAAACTCTCTCGTGGGAACAGTCAACCACGACCACCACCGATTCCGCCGCAACCTACTCAGCAACTACTTTTCCAAGCGGTCCGTCATGGACCTGGGGCCCTCGATCCACGAAAAAGTCGACAAGCTCATCAACCGTTTCGAAAAAGCCTATCAATCCGGCTCCGTCTTCCTCCTACAACTCGACTTCGCGGCCCTAACCGCCGATGTCATCACAGACTACTGCTACGGCTGGAGTTATGGATACCTAGACGATGACCAGCCTGCACGAAGCAATGATCTCGTTGATGCAGTTAATGGCCTAATGGTCATGTTCCACATCAACCGCTTCTTCCCGTTCTTGATAACAATCTTCCGTAATGCACCGCCAGCCCTGGTCCGTTGGTTACAGCCACATATGGCTGATTTGTTCGATTTCAAGAGTCGTCTCCGTCAGCAGGCTGATAGTACGCTCCAAAGGAAGAATATGGAGAACTTTTCGAAGGATCGATCAAATGTTTTCGATGCATTGACTAGTTCGGATATCCCGGCGCAGGAGAGAACGCTGGATCGATTGGAAGATGAGTCTGCGCTGCTTCTTGGTGCTGGCACAGAGACGACGGCTAGGGCTATTGCCGTTTCGATGTTTTATCTTATTGAGAACAGGGATATTTTGGAGAAATTAAGAGTGGAGCTGAAGACTGTGTTGGAAACGCCGCAGTCGAGGGCTTCGTGGTCGGATTTGGAGAAGTTGCCGTACCTGGTGAGTTTTCTCCAGTTGTTCATACTTGGTTACTGACGATATTCCCAGACTGGTGTCGTTAATGAAGGTCTCCGTCTCAGTCATGGGATGACCTTGCGGCTGGCCCGTGTCTCGCCAAATGAGCCCATGTTCTATAAAGACTGGACTATTCCGACTGGAGTAAGTGACGAATGGCCCTATAGCACTGGGCTCATTATTCTTGAAATAAACACCTCCAGCTCAGTATTAAAAAGTCTCTGTCCTAACGCATTACAGACCCCCGTCAGCCAATCCAACTATTTCGTCCACATGGACCCAACACTCTTCCCTGAACCATCGAAATTCGACCCGGAGCGATGGATACGGGCCGCCGAAAATGGCGAGTTCCTCAGCCGGTACATCGTCTCTTTCACCAAGGGCAGCAGACAATGTCTGGGAATGAAGTGAGTTTCACCCATCCCTTGCATCGATCACACTTGTAAAGAAGCAGCCATGTGCACTCCACACGAGGAAATTATCACCTGCATTGGAAATCATATCATGGGTAATTACTGACAACATGATTTAGCTTGGCATACGCAGAGATCTATTTGGCTATAGCGCATATTGCGCGCCGCGTGGATTTCACTTTATATGAAACGACTGTGGAAAATATCACCGTCTATCGCGATAAGGCCATTGGGTGTCCTAAGGTTGGTCTTTTTAATGTTCGTGCCACGGTGAGTGGGATTATAGAGGAGTGAATGCCCAGATCCATGGATGAAAGAGGCATATGGTTGTTTTTCTGTGCGTGCCTTTGTAGCGTTGTGTTTTTTGTTTAGTTCCAACCTTGGCAGGTTTATCATGGACTACTAGGTATGAGATATGGTCTTGGAACATATATTGCTTTCGCCTTCTAGTTGGAACTTGGAATGAAATGAGCTGTGTGTTAAGTGATTGACGCACTACTATATATGAGTGGCTGTCACCCTGCACTTTCAAGGTTGTGTGTGTATTCCCATGTTGCAGAAAATATATCCTAGCAAAGTTCAAGGTTGATTTATATTGGGTTTTTTTAGAGTTTATGACCGACATAAACCGCCATCCATCTGACGACATCTGTGACCAGCAGCTCTTTTACTAGGTAGAGATCATGGATGTGTACTCGGCTTTTAGTCAAAAGTGCCTGTGTGAGCAGAAGACCGTAAGCTCAACTTGGAAGGTTGAATAACTGCTCGGCCACACTTGAATCTTTGAACCTTCCAAGTTGGAAACTCAGCATACTCACCGGCGAGAGTAACATTTTATGCATATACATGTCTACAAGGTTTAAACGGACCAACTGCTTCCAAAGATTCAATGTTATTTCGCTGGGCTCTCATAGTCTGGAGTTATTCCAAGGCCCACAACAACTTGAGTTCTGTCCACAGCCCCGAAGACCGGGAGAGACCCCGGTTCAGGCCCTGCGCAGGAAGACAGTCTTTTGCTACCTGCTCAAAAGGCTTGTACAAAGCCTTGGAAGATCAAATCATTCCACCTGGGCAAGGTTGACGTGATCATCAATCGAGGGATGGGCTCACGCTTGTACCCAGTGCAACCCTACGGACTACAACTCAGTACATTGTAAATGCTATCGTTCCATTAGATAAGAGCAACATCGCTGATCCGACGCGATCAGAGCTCGAGTATGTAGCCGCACCAAATAAACACAATCAAGCTCGGGATTTACCATTGCTACCTCGGGCGGAGGATTTGGCCCGTTACTGTAAGGGGCTGCAAGGGGTTGCTAGGGTGATATTTCCCACGTACCAACCCCTGGGAGCTTATTTGCAATTCCTCGAGTAGATTCTGTCAGAGATAGGGCCCTCTAAATGCTCCAGCGGCGGGAGAGGAGCTTTTCGGGATGCGGCTCTACATATGAAATGAGTAGTGTTTTCGGTCTTAGGGCTGGGTTGTATAGGTCTGCGGGCGCGTCTGTTCATGGTCACTCGTCAGGATCTTTCGCTTGAGCGAGAAGTAAAGAAATCACTCAAGACAAGCACCTGATAGTAGCCACATGATTGTCGCACGAGCTTATCGCTTTGCTTCTTTTGCCAGTGCCCTGATGTGCTCAACCCAAACGATGTGATCACCGGGATTACCTCGTTGATCTTGTCAAAGGTCATATCTTTGCTGGGTAGGTCCCTGGCTGATCATTCCACAGGAGTCCAACATACCAACTGAATCTTCCGAGCCCTTCCTCCTACTCGCCCATGCCTGAACAGCAGAGCACAGCTCTGCTATGCGGCAGTCGTCAGCCCATCCCAGCGATGCTGATCTTCATCAATAGGAGCGTGAGGCATGGAGGATAGAAAAACAACATCCCATACATCCCATTTTGACTCTTTATAAAACGCTACAAACCTCCTCCTGCACATCGCGAACCAGTCCTTCATTATCCTCTACGACCTTCGTCACTCACTTTCATTTATACCCCTCCGTCTTTCAGACCGACCAACATAATGCACGCCTCCTACATCTCTCTGGCCTTCTTCGCCATCGGCGCCATTGCCGCACCCTCCGTCCCCAAGCCCAGCAGCATGGGCGACATGGCGGGTGGATTCCCCTTCAACCCATCCGGCTCCTCTAGCGTCGAGGACCCCGACAGCGATGGCTTCGACAACCCCTTCCCTCAAGCCATGCAAGCCCTCGAGCAGGTCCAGTCTGCCCAGGCTGAGCAGCCCACTCCCACTCAGGCCGCCTTCGCTAAGCCCACCCACGCCGCGATGAGCTTCCCTGCCCCCGCCGTGTCGCAGGCCCCCGTCGCCGCCCCGGCCCCTATTGTCTCGGCCAAGGCCTCTCCTTCTGCCGTTCCTTCCAGCCGTGGTCTCTTCCACTCTTCTGCTAAGCCTTCCGCTAAGCCCTCCGCTCAGCCCTCTGCCCAGCCAGCCGCTGAGCCCTCTGCTAAGCCTTCCGCTGCTAAGGCCTCTGCCACCCCTCACTCTTCCAGCGCCACTCCTTCTCCCAGCGCCTCTGCGCCCGCCGGTCCCCTCGGTGAACTCGTTCACGGTATCCCCGTTGTCGGTGGCCTCATCGGCGACGGCCTCGGCGGCCTTGGTCTCCGCCGTTAAATTTGATCCCAAGTAATTTCTCTCTCTGTTTTGGATTACCCCTGTATCGAGTCTTTATGTTGGTCACTTCCACTCGTTTCTTCTACTTCAATACCTCTCGCAATAGGATGGCGGCGCCTTCGAATATCACTTTGATTTATATTTAGAACCTAATACAAAAATCCGAGAATCTCTCATTCCCAACTCGCAAATCTGATAACAATCTCATCTCCTCGAATCCAGTTAAGCCGGAGGATATCTCCCCCCAGAGCCCAGCCTATCAATACAACCCTCCACAGCCTTCTGCATAGCATTCGTCGCCTCCTCCAACAATGTAGTCAAAGGCACCTTGCCCGCCTTCTCAGCCTGCACGCGCACATACTCATTATTCAAGACCTTATTAATATTGATCTTGGACACGCCGCAATCAATACACTTCTGGAAAATCTCCTCCGTAAAAGGATCCGCCCCATGCAGCACAAGCCTCACCTTCCCCCCAACCCTCTCATTAATACTCTGCAACCGCTCATACTCCAACTGAATGCCCCTAGGCCCATACTCCCCATGAACATTCCCAAAAGCCGGCGCCAACCAATCAATCCCCGTATCCACAAACTCCTGACTCTCCTCAGGCGTCGTCAACAATCCCTCCAAATCAGCCGTATCCGCAACCCCATCCTCACCCCCCTCAATGCGACCAGGCTCTGCCTCCGTCGCAATGCCCCGCTCATGGCAGTACTCCACCAATTCCCGCGTCAGCGCCAGATTCTCCGCCTTCTCATAGTGCGACATGTCGACCATGATGCTGTCGAACCCGCCTAGGTCTGCGGCGTAGCGGATGATCTCGGGTGTTTGCGCATGGTCCATGTGGACTGTTATTGGGACTGTGGATTTGCGCGCGGCTTCGGCGGCCGCGTGCACGAGGAGTCCGTCTGCGTAGTGAATTGCCCAGGGGAAGAGGAGGATCATGGCTGCGGAGCGCTTGGCTTCTGCTGCGCGGACGGTGGCGAGAATGCCTTCGATGTTGTAGCAGCACATTGCGGGGATGCCATAGTGGTTTTCGGCGGCGTGTTCGAGGATGCGCAGAGCGCGGTTGTCGGTGAGGGGCATTTTGGGTTTCTTTGCGATTGAGGAGTTGGCAATTCTAAGCTTAGCAGAGCTGGTTCTGTTCTCTTTAATATCGGGGCTGTCCGAGGCTCCGAGTGTTCGCTGCATGTCCGGTCGGACTTGCTCCGGGGTACGTCACTTTGACTTCTCCGTGGGGGGAACTTTACTTCCTTGTATTCTTTAGTACTTTAGGTATTTAGTTTTGATCTACAGACGCTTTTCGAGGCTGACTGGCCTGAGTCTAAGGCCATGGATGTATTTGGAATCATTCATAATTTGTTTGTATGTCGTGCCTTATTTACAAACATCTCACGCAATGCCTAGGTAATAAGCGATCACCTACTCCCTTGGAGCCCTGATAAAATATTAGCATTGCAACGTCCCCGATAACCGTGAAAACTCACACTGGCTTCAAGCTGAACTGCTCATCAATACTTCCATCATACTCAGCCAACTGCAGAGATCCATCTTTGGCAAGACGCAAGAAATATCCGCTCCCCGCCTCCACAAGCTCATAGTTCGAACCACCTTGGAACTCAGGGATGAAAGCCTGGGGCTCGCCACCAGCAGAACATGTCCTCGCACCCTCCTGGGCGCAGTTGATCCATGAGCCTTTTGAGCCGCGGATCTCAAAGTAGTCACCGCCGGCGGGCTCGAAGTGCCAGACTTGCTCAGGAGATCCCTGAACGTCTTCGAAGACCAGTGGCTGATTGGGTCCTTTCACGGTCAAGACTTTGGAGTCACTGTTGGCTGAGGCGATGGTGTAGAAGCCGGGGTTGAGAGAGTATGCCGTCTGGCAGAGGGAGGCGATGGCACCGAGAGCGAAGAAGGCCTTCATTGTGGAATTGAATGAGTATATAATAAGGAAGTAAAGAGATCTGTTGGATTGCAGGAGAGGCTAGGCTGAAACCTTCCGATCTTCCTGTATTTATACCTGTTCGTGATTGCTTTTTCATACTTTCAACCTCACATTCGATTGTGTCATAGTGGCTTGACCGAAAGCTGAGAAAACGAGCTATTGCTTTGCATGCGAATGCACAAATACACAGATTTGGGGGTCCCCTGCATCGACTATCGATATGCACGTCGAAAAAGCAAGCCCGGATTCACTATATGCAGGATGATCGCACGCTTGGTGAAGATCTATTGGTTGGGGCTAAAGCCCCTCGAGCTGAACACAGGGCTCCGATCGAATCGATCGCAATTGTGAACATATTGCAATGCTGCATCAAAAGCCTGGATCAATGAGTATACAGATGTTGTAGCCTGCATTTCGGGGCTGACAATGTCGATTTGGTCGTGCTTGGCGGGCTCAGCTGAAGGCCCCTTGCTAGAAGTTGCAGGTTGAAGTACGGGGTAAATCTACACGAGCTTCACCGACTTGTGGAGTATTTTGCATGAACAGTGTTTGGCTATTCAAGCTATGAGACAATATTTTTCCACCGACTACGGGGCATGGAGTAGAGAACTGCAAAGATCGAAGTAAGGCATCATAGATCTGCATGCAGATTTCGAGTACATAATGGGCGAGTCAAAAACTCAAGCCAAGCTCAGATCTAACTGCCTTGTCCCAGTTTCTCCCAAGATCATCACGAGAGTCTCCGAGAATATGCTCAGCCTCCAGCCGGGTGATTCACTTCCAAGTGACCGGAACATGCTTTTCCAGCCACTTATCCATTACCAAAGTGGCAGGATACTCAGGATCCCCAATTCGAAGAAGCATTTGCACATGGCCCTCAAACCACTCTCCCTCAAATACATGAAGCTCGGAATCAGTACCTGATGCCTTCAGAACCAGATCCAGCTCAACCGCTTGACGAATATCACCCCTCCGCTGAACGTGGAGAAGTAAGAACGCACCCGCATTAGGTGCACGAGCATGATGTGAAGGCGACATGTCCGCCAGTCGTCTTGGATCAGACCCGAGTGCACCAATCAGGTTTTCAGACACCGGTCCAGGACTATCGCTGATCTCGGCGGGGGCATTGTAGTTTGAGCCATCGATTGCAATCACTGCACGCACCGTGTGAATGCTGATATTCACACTCGCCAGGTAGTTCGAATCAGTGCCTAGTAAAGTGACGACGTGTGCGCCAGAGCTGTGGCCCATCAGGATGACGCGGTCGGGATCGATATTAAGGCTATTGGCGTTTCGAGAAAGGTAGGCTACTGACTCGGCTACCTCTTGTACCTGTTCTTTGACGGTGACGGAGGGCACAAGTGAGAAGCTGACTGAAGCGAAAGAATAGCCAAGAGAGACGAGATGGGTCACTTTGAGTGAGCCGATTGAGTCTAGGTTTGTTCCGGATCGCCAGCTTCCGCCGTGGACGTATATGATGATTGGGGCTTTGGGAGTCTCGGACTTCCAGAAGCGGAGGTGTTGTGATTCTTTGTCTCCGTAGGTCATGTCGGTGCCGCCGTGGGGCACGTCGGCGTTCATTTCAGCAAGAAGAGTTTGAGCTCTGGTGATTGAGATGTCTTCTGTCGTGGCTTGGAATATGTCTAGTCCTGAGATTTCATTTCCACGGGCTGCTAAGGCGATGGGGTCTAGGGCAGTATCCGCTGCCGGGTCGGAGACGTGGTTGATATTTGCGTCCATCATTCAAACTGCTTGATTTGAATTGTTGATTTGGGCTGTAGTGGATGATATGGCTTTGGTTTCGGAATTCAAATATCGAAGGGAAGGATAAAGTGCGAGCAGGCGACCTAATTGAGTTACCAACTCAGCTTGGATCAATGGGAATGATATGGATGTGATTGATTCTTCCTCTATTGTTCTGAGAAGACATGCTTCTTTTATAGATGGGTGAAGCATGCAGCGTAAATCATCCAAATGGATAGGCAGATGCACATTACGCGCGTTGTTCAAAAGTACGCAGTCACGAAAATCGTTCGTGATATTCGCCATTCGGGGTGAGGCTCTAGTGTCTCTGCTTGACTCGGACAACTCGACTATCGCAATCGAGCTAGATTGACTGATTTTGCTTATTAGCCTGGGAGTTAAGAGTGGAAGACAAGCTTTTGATATTCTTCAAGGCCGAGTGATTTTTTAAGGGAATTTCAAGACTGAGATGGGATTGATCGAGGTATAGAGGTAAATCGAAGAACGATAGAAAAGTCCCATGGAGACATGCGAAGAAGACAAAAGATGCAACAGCTTTTCAACTTCATTTCTAACCAGATGACGAATGCATTCAATCATGACATCTGAAATCAATAATCAAGTGGGCGTCCGGTGGTGGGTATCCGGCGGGCTTCCGGATGAACTATAAGAAACGCCCGCCTCAACCTGAGAGAAATCAACTACTAGTACAAGCTCACTCAGCCATGGCCCCTACCATCCTCATCGCCGGCGCAACCGGCAACACCGGCCGCCCTCTCACCGAGACCCTGCCCAGCCTCCTACAAACCAGCAACCTATCCGACCACCGAATCATCGCCCTCACCCGCTCCCTCACCAGCCCAGCCGCAAAGGACCTGGCCAAACTCCCCGGCGTCGAAGTCATCGAGCAGAACTGGGTCGAGATAACCGCCGACTGGCTCAAGGAACACCAAGTCGTCCGAGCATTCATAGCCTCGCACAACGAGCCTAACCAATTCGCCGAGGAATCTACATTCCTCTTCAATGCTCTCGACGCAGGCGTGAAGTACGTTGTGCGCATCTCGACTACGGCGGCCAATGTTCGCCCGGACTGTAAGGCGTACTATCCGCGTTCGCACTGGGCGATTGAGAATCTGCTCAGTCAGCCCGAGTTTGCTGCCTTGCAGTGGACTTCGTTGCAGCCGAATGTCTTTATGAATTTCTGGTTTGCTTCTGCGGTTGATTTGATTAAGCAGTATCGTCAGACTGGACAGCAGAGTCCTCTTCGCTTGATGGTCGCGAAGGATGCACCCGTTGGTGTTATTGATGCTTCGGAAGTTGGGGTCTTTGCTGCGCATCTCCTGGCTCAAAGTGATGTCTCTGCGCACAATCAAGCGAAATACGTCCTCAATGGTCCCGAGGATATCACCGGGCAGCAGATTGTTGATTTGGTGGAGCAGCACATTGGTACAAAGGTGGACGAGGTCATTTACCAGGATACCTCTGCCATTGATTTGTTGTGGGAGTACAAGTATAAGGCGATGGGTCAGTCGAAGAATGTGATTGGAACTACTAAGTATGGTGCTATAGGCACATGGGATGGGAAGTGCTCAACATCCACGACTAGCAAGGAATTTCTACAGATTGCAGGACCCAAGATTCGTCCTGCCGATGCACTGAATGCGTTGTTGGAATAGAGCAGATATCAACTCATCTATAGAGACTGAATGCACATTGATTCGATATTCAATCTCGGACAACTCCCCGACCCCACGATCAGACAACCCCCACGACGCCCCGGGACCGACCACTCGGCATCTCGGACTTAACCCGACCATCCCCTCATAAACCCCCCATCCGCATGTAACTAGTTTCTGTATTGAGAATTGAGAATTGAGAACTGAAAATGTCCAAACCCTCAATCGGATTCGTCGGCCTCGGAGCCATGGGCTTCGGCATGGCTACCCACCTCGTGAAAGAAGGCTACCCAGTCCACGGCTTCGACGTCTTCCCCGCCTCCGTCGACCGTTTCGCAGCCGCAGGCGGAATCCCCACATCCTCACTGGAGGAATCAGCCCGTGACAAGGCCTTCTACGTGTGCATGGTCGCTTCCGCACCACAGGTGCAAAGCGTCCTATTCGGCGAGGGGGGCATAGTACCCGGTAAGAAACCAATATCAAGAAGATGGATATTGAAACCAATATCTAATACCAATGACAGCCCTCCCACTCAATGCAACCCTCCTCCTCTGCTCCACCGTCCCAGCAACATACGCCCTCTCCGTAGCATCCGAACTAGCCACCTCACGCCCCGACATCAAATTCATCGACGCCCCCGTCTCAGGGGGCGCCTTGCGCGCCGCATCAGGAACCCTCTCAATCATGGCAGGAGCCTCTGACGAAGCCCTCTCGCAAGGCCAATTCCTACTCCAGGAAATGTCCGATGCGAACAAGCTATATCTTGTTCCTGGGGGCGTGGGCGCAGGAAGTAATATGAAGATGGTGCATCAGGTTCTGGCGGGAATTCATATTCTAGGCGCTAGTGAGGCGATGGGATTCGCGGCGCGGTTGGGGTTGGGTGCTGTGCGGACTGCGGAGATGATTAAGGGGTCTGGGGCTTGGACGTGGATGCATGAGAATCGGTTGCAGAGGATGTTGGAGGAGGATTGGAATCCTGGGGCTAGTGCTTTGACTATTATTTTGAAGGATGTTGTGAGTGGATCTGTGACTTTGGAAGGATTTTTTATTGACTTCGAATTCTAGGGCATTATTACTACTTCTGCGAGGCAAAGTCAGTTCCCGACTCCGTTGGCTTCGACGGCTGAGCAGGTTTATCTCTCTGCTTTGTTGCAGGGGTATGGGGCTGTGGATGATTCGTCTATGGTGCGTCAGTATTTCGGTGAGCCGATTATGAAGGTGGAGGGCTCCGAGTCCGAAGAGGATTTGCAGCTCGTGCTGGATCTCATGGAAATTACGAATCTGGTTGCTGCGGCTGAGGCGATTGCTTTCGCGCGCTATCTCAATGTCGATCTGAAGCAGTTCTTTACCCTTGTGAGTGATGCGGCTGGTGCAAGTCGGCAGTTCATGACAAAGGGGTTGGAGATGATCGAGGGGCAGATCGGGGGATCGGAGACGCTCGATGCGGCTGCGGCGCGTTTGGAAAAAGCTGTGCAGAAGGCCCGGGATTTGCATTGTCCTTTGCATTTGGGAAATGCTGCTTTGGGCGTGTTGTATCTGGCTAAGAAATCTGGGCTTGGGGGTGAAGGGAGTGCTAGTGTGGTGAAGACTTTTGGAAATTAGATATCCTGTTATGTCCGTGTCTATAGTGATATTTATACGAAGTGCATGGTTGAAATTGATCAATTCACAGTCTATGGGATCCTACTCCAAGCAGCAATGGGTCGGTTGAAATGAAATTTGACCGTGAGTTGGTCTGAGAAAGTGATTTGTAGTGATATCAATATGAAACATGTTGTGTGAGGGTATCCCGAATAAGACCGACAAATTGGTCAATTAGTATATACAGACCTTGCGTGGAAGGTCAGGAGAAAGAAAGAAAAAGCAAAAAGCAGAAAGTATACAAAAGATCCGACCCATCAGAACGACTTAGACTCATTTACACATGGCGCTCAGAGAGCCAATTAGACATCCATACCCTTGAGGGTCTCGAACGATTCGATCGAGCATCTCCGGTCCTTGATGAACTTGGGCCAGGTATTCGTGAGCACAAGGTACTTGATACTCGCCTCGGCAGCATCGAAGATTGAGGCCTCGAAGCCAGCCGGGATGTCACCCCAGTACTGCACGCGATCCCGGATCGGCGCAGCCATTGCAGACTGCATCGTCTTCTCGGAGTCTGCGGATGCAGGGGAAGGCAGATCGAAGGCGAACTTGTCAAAGGGACTGGTGGGGTCGCACTCGCGCTCCTCGCCGTAGATGAGACGAGTGGGCTTCTCGAAGATGTCTTCCAGCTTCTTCAGTTCCTGGTGGGAGATGTTGACGGGGAACTCGGCGTGGCGGACACTGATGAACTCGGCGTAGATGTGCAGGGCGCGGTTGAAGGCGCTGCGGATGATGTCGCGGTTGTTCTTCTCGCCCATGGCGAGACGGTCTTTCATGGCGTCGGGGAGCTTGTTGCGCCACTCGGCGACGTTGGTGAGGAAGACGATGTTCTCGCCGGAGAACTCGCGCAGAGCGGAGAATTCTTGGAGAGGGCCCGGGTTGCGCTCGAGCACGTGCTCGAGGGCGCCCATGGTCAGGATGCTGTCGCGGGAGTGCAGGGAGGTGGTGGAGTTGTTGGACTTCCAGCCGGAGATCATGGAGGCCACCATGGTGGATTCGGATTGGATGGACTTCTCCTCGGAGTTGGTGGACTTGACCTTGACTTCCCAGCGGGCGATCGAGTCCAGGGTCTCCTGGCGGAGGGTCTGGTGGCGCATGACCTCCCAGCAGGGCAGGAGGACGGTGAAGATCTCAATGATCATGATGGAGAGACAGATCCACTGGGGCGGCACCCAGACCTTGTTGACGGGGGCCATGGCGGGGACGTAGAGACCGATCAGCCACATCGGAGTGGCGTGGAGACCGGCGACGGCACAACCGATGGTTTGAATGCGCCAGCCGTGAGTGTCGTGAATCTTGCGAGACTTCCAGAGGACGATGGGTGCGACGATCCAGGCCCAGAAAAACTGGGAGACCACGCTGGGCCACCATTCCCATCCGGCACCCTGCTCTGCCAGGACTTCCATCGGGGTGCCGGTCACCTCGGTGCCGGGAATACCCCAGGAGCTGTGGTACTTGCGAGAGATGAGCCACATCAGGATGGTGAGGAAGACCTGTGCGAACATGGCGGTGCCGACGTAGATCAGAATCTTGTGGGTATACTTGAGACGCTTGAACCGGCCGATCACGCCGGACGGGGGCGCAACGAGGGGGCCTTCGAGGTTGTCTCCCTCGACGAACTTCTTTTGTTGGTTGGCGACGTGGAGGAAGCGAGCGTTGGAGCCGTGGAAGAGGGCAATGCCGCAAGGCAGCAAGGTGCCCATGAGCCAGTAGCCACAGTCCCCGGGCAAGACTGCGCCGAGCATGGTGCCGAATTGGGTTGGGATCCAATATAAGTGTAGGATGACGATCGAAGTGAGTGATAGACCGAGACCTCGGATGCGCAATGTTGGCATATTGCGGTTGATGATGAGATAGACCATACCGGCCACCAGGACGGTCGTCCAGATACATGCCCAGACAACCCACCAGATGGTGACCGGGCCCAGGTCGATTTGCGCCTTGGACTCGGCGGTGGCGCCGAATTCAGAGCCCATGGTGTGCAGAGAGTGCTGAAGGAAAGTGAGTGAAGTTGGATAGCGCTTAGGGGCCCAGATCTTCGGGTCCCCAGTCCTTTTAAGTGAGCATAGTGGACTCTGTCGCACATGCTGGAGTGGATTTCCCCTCCAAGTTTTTTGGCTTCAGGATGTGAAGATCATGGCTGAAGTTACCACTTGGGTACTCAGGCACTGGCCCATCGCACGACCCGACACGAGCGGAGCGCGCCCCATCGTGGCCAGTCAGCGATCGGGCAGCCTACGTTGCGACTCCATCGCTCTGCCGTTTGGGATATTGCGGTGGGGCGACAACCACCCGATCGGAGAGCTGCTTGGTCCGCGATGGAGCCGGCGCACGCTGCGGTATTTGTCAGTTGCGGGAGTTCGTGGTGATTGGTGGCTCCGATGGGGATTGAGATTAAGATCTCTTGGCAGGGGAGACCCCGAAGACTCTATTGATTTCCTGTCGCCGTCTTGGGCAAACTATTGATTTTCCAAAGTTTCCATCTCTCCGTGAAGAGTCGATCCTCCCTGGAAGGGGCAGGTCTACTAGTTAATCGTTGCGATTGACAAATTTGGATCTTGACATCATGATCGTGGTGGATTGTACAGCCCTGCACGAACTAGTCCTCCGTGCGATGTAGAAATGTGAGAGATCATTTATCACCACGTTCTGCTTATACCTTATTTTCAGGACAATGCCATAGTCACATTGTTGAGGTCTAAATGCAATAGTCTTCTCTACTACTAATATTGGCCCCAAAAGTCAGTCGTCGCAAATCCAGTTTACGGTGCAGCAACTATTGTTTACGATCCACGTTACAGATAGAAAGCTATTAGAGGATTGTCAGTAAGCACTAAGTCATTGTAGAGCATGTACATACGGAGTACAGTCATCGTCAGGATTTACTGTCACTGGCTAAGGATCAATCCCCAGTTGATCTGCGACGCCTTCAATAGCCCCATCGCCTCAGCTTCCTCCACCGAACGAGCCTGCAAGTTGCCTGACCATTTCTTGTCGTAGCCCGGCTCCAAAAGCACGCACTGCAGTCCCCGATCGAGAACCTCCTGTTCAGTGTGGGCAAACATATACCCAAAGAACGTGCACGAGGACACAGGCTCGGCCTCGGCACAACCGTCGGCACAACAGTCGGCAGCGTGTTCAATTTCCCTCAGATCCATATTCCAGGCATCCAATTCACACTCGACAACAAGATACCCTGAAAACAATCCCCCATAGTAATCACCACATTCACCTGGCACCGGCGTCGCATCCAACAACCCCTTATCCACCACCTCCTGCCGGGAAATTGCATCCATAACCCCATTATAGCGATGTTTCACAGCCCGCGGCATATCCACCTCGCCCTCAACACAACAGCCCCAAAGATGCTTCGCATTCGAAACACCCATCGCCCTAGCGTGTCCCAGATCATCAGCCAGAATACTCCCGTAGAACCGATCATCGCAACCAGGCACGCGCTGAATATTCTCCAAATGGCGCCTCTCAGCCTCGAACTCCGAGTCCGCGCGCATCAGCCCGTAATACGCGTGCCATTCTGCCGGTCGCTCGTCGCAGCATCCGCGGACGTGCACTGGATCCAGTAGACCCATCTGGTGTGCGTCATCGGCTGAAAAGGCGCGCATCTCGCCTTCCCAGTCGCCTTCCTCGCCTCGGATATTCCGTAGACCGCGCGACTGGGCTACCTCGCGTTCGCAGAACATGCTGCCCCGGTAGATGTGCATTCTAGGCTGTGGTCCTGCGGGGCGTGGGCTGCGCACCTGGGTGCGTGGCGAGACGTCGCTGGCGTCGGTGTAGATTTTAAGTGGTCCTGCTGGACGGGTGAATAGATCGTTGAGGGACTCGGTGTCCCAGAGGTGCGGGTCTTCTTCGATGCCCTGTGCGGCGTCGCGCTCGCGGCGGTCATTCTTGTCTTTTTCTAAGAGGGCTACGTCGAGGAGGTGGGATAGGTTGGTGGCGTGGGTTTGGGGCTCCTCTTTTTCTGCTAGGCGCTTGCGGATGGTTGCTTCGATGCGCTCCTGGATGCTGGTTAGGTTAATCTCCGGGATGTCATCCTGGTCAAGAATTGCAGGGAACTCATCGTCCTGGTCGTTAGTGGCTGTCTCTGGCTCTGGGGGGATCGGGATCTCAGCAAGAATGTTGCCTAGGCCAAATGTCTCGACATTGAAGCTGTCCCAGTCTATGGTCTCAGGATCTCGGATGACTGCGCAATGATCATCGACTTCTGTGTCAGATTCTGTACGCTCAGACAACCCTAGATACTCGTCAATCGAAGAGCTATCGTCATAGAAAGTAAATAGTTTCTCACTGCTTTTCTGCGAGAACACGGACTCGCTTTCAGACTTCGCATCACTGGTAGATTCCGTAGAATCCGAGTAGAAAGTCCGCGGTTCCTCACAGCAGATAGCATTCAGAAAGAGCTGGTGACTGTCATCGTCGCCACTGATCGTTTCCCTATCATCGTCCGAATCGCAGTCAGGAATACTCACCATGCGCGCCTCGACTTCAAAGATGTTTCCGGTGTGGTTCAAACCTTCCATAACCTGGTCTGTCTCCGGGGTACCGGGCTCTGTGACGTTGGCAGCCCATTCGGCCTCGCACTTGACGCACATGTTTGGCTGGGTGGGTTCGAGGAGATCGTGGGAGGTGGCGATGGCCTCGCACAATGCGCTGCGGTCTGGTCCGGCCAGACGGAGCTTGTTAGTATACTCCTGGCAGCTGGTCATGCTCCAGTTGGAGATGTGTCCGCAGCTAGGGTAGTGGTGGTAGGTGTGGTGGCACATGTTGTCAGTGTTGGTGTCAGTGTTGGTGTCAGTGTTGGTGTCAGTGGTGTCAGTGGTGTCAGTGGTGTCAGTGGTGTCAGTGGTGTCAGTGGTGTCAGTGGTGTCAGTGGTGTCAGTGGTGTCAGTGGTGTCAGTGGTGTCAGTGGTGTCAGTGGTGTCAGTGGTGTCAGTGGTGTCAGTGGTGTCAGTGGTGTCAGTGATGTTCGTGTTGTTAGTGTTGTTAGTGGTTTGGTTTGAGAGCCTTGGGGTGACCAAGGCTTTATAGGGACTTCACTTAGGTCCTTCAGGCGAGGACAAAGAGCCGAGTCAATGAACAAAGCTTTGATATTTCTGGAGATTTTGAAAGAGGTCTGATCAAGGCATTGTAATACACCATTGTAGATTCAGCAACAAAGGCTTTCTGCGATGAAAGAAACCCAGAAGCAACTCTCCAATGTCCACAGGTTTGATGTTATTGTTAGCAGATAATCACATTCGGATCAAAGAAACAGATCATTCCAAATCCATCAAGTACTTCACCCCAGAATCAAGCAACCACCAAGCAGCAGTCTCATGCATCCACCGAAGCGCCGCCCGCTCCAAAGGCATACATCGCTTCTCATCCGCCCTCCTCCACATAACCGTCTCACTAGAAAACACCACCATCCCAACATCATCCCTCTCAATCTCCTTAAAGCTAATCGCCAACCTCCCCTGCACATAATCCACCCCGTGCATGCTAATCTCAAACTCAACCTTATTTCCACTGCGAACCCGCACCTGATACACACCACATACCAGATCCCCTTCCCGGAACTCGAGCGCATTAATATGCGCCCTCTTGAAGCTCTCTCTCTGCCCGGATGTCTTGCTCACCATGGCCAGCATGAGTGCTTGCGGGAACCGCGAGAAGGCAATCATGTTCCGGCGCACGAGACGGGTGAAAAGGAGATCTGTAGACTGGTCTGGGAGGCAAGCCCGCGGGATAGTCTTGGAGCAGGTGTCATGGATGGTGAAGTATTGTGGGGTGAAGATGGATTTGGGGATGGTTTCTATCTCGGTTGGTGAGAGGGTTCCTTGGTGAGAGGTGTGGGTTATTCGCTTGGATAGTCTTGTGTGAGCGGTATAGAAGTAAAGTGCTGAGGAGGCGGTTAAGACTGCCGTTGCTGTCAGAATCAGTCTGATCATCTTGGATCAGGAATGTAGAATGTAGGATATCTGAAATGTCAAACTCGAGTCAAAAGTCAAATGACCGCATCGGGCATCTTGGCGGTCATCTGTTCTGCCATCTACATCTCCTGGGCTTCGCTTCAACAGAGAACTTTCCAATTATAAAGCGCAAAATGGTATCTAAAGTGAAAGAACGACAAGCCGAACTCATTTCCTAGCCCCGTTCTGCAAAACCTGCACCCGCCCACTATTGTGCCAAGTCGCAAGCTTCGCACCACACTTGCCACACGAATGATCCACATCCTTCAACGATGTCATCAAGTACGGAATACATCCCAAGCAGCAACAGAAGCACAGAATCGCCGCCCACCCACTAAAATCATTAACACATTAGCAACCATTCAACTCCATCAGGGGAAAAGCGAAAAACATACTGCGTCGTCCCTCCCGAAACAGCCTCCACGCGCGTCATCTCGCGCTGCCCGCAAACCGGACAATCCACCGGACACGGCGCCGACTGCACACTATGCAGAGGCACGGCAGTCATGTACCCGCTTGGATGCGTGGCCGGGGTATAGAATTGTTGCGGTTGAGGCTGGTTGGGGTATTCTTTCGAAGGCGAGGGCGCGTAGCCAGGGACTTCGCCGATGGAGTCGGGTTGGAAGGGGTATTGCTTTTCTTGGTGCATGGCTTGGGGGGATTGGGCGGTTGATTGGGGGGAGATTGTGTCGTGGATTGGTGTCTGGGTGTCCTGTGTTGGGTTGTGTGTTGGGTAGACGGGTTCGGGAGCTTCGCTGTAGACTGGAGCTGGAGCTAGGGGGTGTTAGGTAGGGTCTTGTGGGTGGCCAGGTGGGAAGGGACGTACTTGTAGGTTGGTGTTGTGGGAATGCAGACATGGTTAAGATACAGAGAATAAATCGTTTATGGTAAAGCAGGGTCCGTAGTTAAGATCAAATAGTTAAATAGCTAAATTTCCGATAAAAATAGAGTGGAGGCAGCACCGCCCCCACACTTTAGTTTTTTACATTACAGTACATGGGTTTTTAGGCTGAGCCGCCTGCTACTTAGTATACAGGCTTTTCTCTAGCTATCTCTGTACGGAGTACGAAAAACAGAACCTTGGGGTACGCAGTTCAGCACCTGGGTGCACCTGGGCACCTGGGCGCGCACTGCACTAGCTCACCCCTTGCTTCCCGGGTGTACAGCATAAAAGTAAATTTGACATTGAGATCTCACAGCCGCCATCTTCTACACTAACGGAGGACAGTAAACGGGCAAACATACGAGGACTGGTTGGCTGGGAAGGTTTTGGCCCCTGGGGGCGTATTTAAGATGAAGGCTGAGTGCAAGGCTGTGCGAACCCTAAGGGCGGGACATTTGGCCCCCAAATCAGAGTCTCTGGGACTAGTACTAGTTACCCTTTTTTGACTAGTCAATACGATCGACTGTTTTCCCCAAATACATGATATCACATCGAATTCAGTCAGAACCTACGTACAGAGCGGTATACAGCATTCTCTACATGAGCACCAATTAGGCAATTAGTACCAGATTAGAATAACGTCTGACCCTTGGCTGCGCTACCCCTGCGTACCTTGTCCTTCATTATGTTGGTTTCCTTCTAACAGCTCTCCTGAATATGCTCTGTTTTCAAACATTTTGAGCGCAAAACCACGGCTACCAGCGATATGAATTACGGGGTTGAACAAGAACTTGTTGCATTCTTCGAGAAGACTACGACGACTCGCTCGGCCTGTGACAACTATGCCAGTGAGCATCTTGGTGGCAATGTCACTCCAGTCGACGTGCAAGGCGTGTGTAGCTACACCGTCTATGCTGGTCCTAACGCCGAATTCATCGTGCAGTATCGTCTGAAGTCGCTTGCGCTGAACATGGACATTATGAACCTTGCCAATGCCATTTACGGTACCTTGCCACCCCAGATCTCCTTCAAGGGGCAAATTGGGGAATATCACGAGAGTAAAGAACCGCTTTACATATACGTTATGAACCGAATGCCAGGCATCTCCCACCTTGATTTCATCCTAGCCCATAATGGTGATGTACCTGGAAACTCGCTCGAGTTTTCTCGCTGGCGCCAAAATCTTGTGGCCGACAACGCAAAGTATGTGATTCGTTTCTACGTGATCTACATAAAATTGCTGGTTCAAGGTTATATGTCTTACTATGTAGATTCTTTGCTCTATCCTGGAAAGGTCCTCAGGATGTTGATCAAACGTACCGCGAGAGTCTAAGCCATCAGTACGAACGAGACCTGAATTTGTTACTTGCTGCTCTCCCAATTCGATTCCATCCATTGATCCGGAAGTCTCTTGACTCGTTGCCGGACATCTTTTCGCTTCCTATGGTACTACTGCACAATGATTTTGGTTCCTTCAACATGCTTGTGGACGAAAAGTCTTGCAATCTGCTCGGCGTGATTGATTGGGCCGAATCTGAGATTGCTCCATTCGGCTTAAATCTCTACGCTCATGATCGTTTGATAAGTAAAATCCACTTGAAACATGGCTGGTCCAGGTATGATGATTATCGCCTTTTGGATGAGATATTCTGGAGCACGTTCAGTCAAGAAACTGGAGTGGACGATGAAACCATCAAAACCATCAAAGCTGCAAGGATTGCTGGAGTACTGTTGTGGCTTGGCTTCACAAGTCGTCTTCCGAATGAGCCGAAGCCAATACCGATTTCTGATGATGAAAGTGGAGCATATGGCATGCGTGATTTAGACGGGCTTTTGATTAACCCAGCTACGAGGTTCACAGACTTGGTATGAACAGGTGAACTAGAGAGAAAAGAGAATGTGAAAATGATACTACGATCCGCTAAGCGCTAAACAGAACGGAATCAACATCGAATCAGCGCTGAAACAAAAAGCATCAGAAATACTGATACAGCGCCGTATTCACCGGCCGAAAGCCATATTCCGCAAAAACCCCCAGAATCTCCCTCCTCCGTATCCTCACAGCCAAATCCATCGCCGAATCAAACTTCCCCTTCTTCAGCAATGGATTAGCCCCCCTTTGCACTAACAACCTCGCCATCTCCACACAATCCCCCTTCACAGCCTTATACAGCGGCAACTGAGAATGAGACCGCATATGATTAACCCCAGCCCCATGATCCAGTAATATCCTCGCAACCTTCATATTCCCATTAACAGCCGCCAACCCGAGCGCCGTCTCATCCCTCCACCCAAAAGCATCGACATCAGCCCCAGAATCAAGTAAGAACTGCACAATCCGATCCTGCCCATACGCAGCCGCCTGAGAAAGCGCCACCACGCCTCCATCTTTGCCTTCGTCCACTCGAGCCCCAGACGCAACGAGCATGCGCACGATACGCTCGTACCCGCGTATCGCTGCCGCAGTGAGGGCTGTCTGGCCGTCTGTGGAGTGGGCGTTGATTGTGGCGCCGTATTCGAGTAAGGAGCGGGTGATGTCTTCGTGGCCGTAGGAGGCGGCGACCATGAGGGCTGTTTGGCCTAGGTCGTTTGCGGCGTTGACATCTGCGCCTTTGGAGAGGAGGTTTTGGACGGTCGTGTTGTTGCCTTGTTTTATGTGTGTTATGAAGGTTTCTTTGGAGCTGGTCATTTGCCAGCGGAGACGGCTGAGGCGGTTGGGTTTCTTTTGGATGGAGACTTTGAGGGTTGAGGCGTCTTGGTTGGGTTTGGTGCTCCTTACTATTACGGGGATGGGGATGGTGGTGAGGTCGTTGTTGTTTCGGTCGGAGATGTGCACTTCTTTGGAGACTGGGATTGGGAAGTCTTCTGTTGGGTGGGCGATGAGTGGCTTTTCAACTGCTACTGGTATTGGGAATTCGTCGATTGGTGAGGTTTGTTCTGAGAGAGAGGGTCTGGCTTGGTTGGAGTATGAGGGCGAGTATGAGAAGCCGATAGGCGGTAATGGAAGAAATGGTAGTCCTGTGGGCTCATCGGCCAGTAGACTGTCCTCTTGATCATATAAACTGGATGGTCGGTCCGGGCTTGTTGCTGGGGTGGTAGATTCTGAGCTCTGCTTCACTGGAACAGGCTTCGTATCGGTATCACGCAGTGGATTTTTGGCATCACGCAATAGATCGTCTTTCTCCATCCTCTCTCGAAGATCGGAAATAATTGCATCTCGGTTCTGCTCGGCCATTTCTGCAGAAATGCCTCTGTCGACCAATTTATCCCTCAGCGGAATCCATACTTCATCCTTAGATCTTGACCCTCTCTTCAAGACATCCGCGACTGAAGACTCTCCCTCAGCGCGAACATCATCCACAATACCATCTACCGCCCGAGCGATATGTTTCTGAGACGATCTGCAGCAGTGTTAACCCCAACTCCATACACCGACGAAACCAACATACATCATCATATTCGTATTAAGCTCACTAAGACCAAAAACCGCCGACGACAATCGCGCCCGAATATCGCTGATTTTACTCTGCGCCCCCAGCGCATCCGGATGCAAATGCAGCTTCTGCAAGTCCCCCAGGACCTCATGGCAGCCATGTAATCGTTTCTTAAGCACGGGGAGATGAGTACCGTCTGCACCTAGGGCGGAGATATGCGTTTCAGATACTCCCAGAACCGCTAGAAGTAGCCCAAGCTCGTTTTGGGCCTGGTTCGTGAGGGCCAGGGAGCCGCATGTTGCCTCGTAGAGGGAGTCGGCTAGGAGTCGGATTGCGGCGATTTGGTGCGACGCCGTTGTTGACATTTTGTGTCTCTGTGGGCTTGGGATAAGCGACAGGTCTGGATCTGATCAATTCGTAGAATGCGACCTGTTTTGGGGGCTGTGCGGGGCGCATTGCCCCGGCTTTTGGCCCCCTGTTCGACCTGGATGCCCAGGTGTTCAGTGCGATTATGTCATTCATGCAGGTGAAACCTGTAGACCTCCAGGGCTGGAGTGAAGGTAGGAGTTATTAGTGATGTCTGGGGGCAAGGTTGTGGATCTCGTCTTTGTAAGGGTTGTAGTCTACTGGAAGTGGAGGAACGGGGATAGCATCTTTTTTGATTTTTCTCCTTTTTTGATTTTTTTTTTCTGTTCTTATTTTTGTTCTGTCAAGATCATCTACTCATTCTCTATAGAATTCGAATCTGATCCTGCACGCCAGCCTTATGAGACAGGTCTAAGAGGTTCAGTATCATCCATCTCACGATCGCGACGACTATGTATCAGCGCAAAGGCTTCTGAAAGACGCTCACGAACGGAAGGAGTGCTATCCTCACGGTGCCCAAAGCCTTTAGGCAATTTGTCGTTCGAGAGCAAAAAGTTAGCAACACCAAGAACCCGCTGCAGGATCCCAGCAACCTCATAGTCCACTTCGGCAGAAGGCCAGTGCCTGTTATCCTTAGCCAAAAGCTCAAACGCCTTCTGCATAGGAAGCACCAGTTTCTTGTCACACAGGAGCTCAAACTCCTTGTCCCAATGGTCCACGCCTCGATTAAGTACCGCCGGATGCTGGGAGTTCTCTATGTTCATGCGCTTCGCCACATCCACGATGACGCCGAGCAAGCGCTGCATATTGCTCATGTAGAGAATGTCCTGGCTGCGGTCGAAGGCGGCTGTCCGGAGGAATCTGACATGCTCTTTCAGACCTCGTCGGAAGTCACCACATGTTAGAGTGTACTGTTGTCCGGAACGCATGTTCTCCACGGGGAATTCATTGTGGTAGTCGGCCCAGTAGGTCTCCCAGTGCTTCATGTGGGTCTTGTAGCCCGGGCTATTGTACAAATCGATTAGATAGTTCTCCATGTTGGGATTTGAGTGTAGACGAGTTCCAAAGCTAGATGGAATTCAAATTCAGAAGCCATCGACCATTCCAGGATTTTATAGTGCATGGTTCGCGAGCATAGACAATGGCTCTGTGTCTTGACAAAGAGCCATCGCTAGCTCGGATCCCGCCGGTTGGTCTTTGTCTATGCGAGCTAAGCTGGACCTCACAAAGAGCATTTTGGACATCGATGAGCATTTCAATTCCTTGCCTGGCTGGTTTGAACTCCTTGCATCTCGGCCGAGCCAGGCTGCCAGGGTACCTGCATCGGGCTGTACCCGCTTCAAGCTCGGGAATACAGCATTGTTGTCCGACATTTTCGATATTTGAGAATATGCTGGACTGTGATGTAAAGTGGGAAACAAATGTGAAGAATTCGAGTAAATAGCCAAAGAAGAAAAGAGAAAACGGGCGCCAGGAACCAGAGTGGCTCCGTTCCCGTCAAGCTCCCCACATCCCCACCGGAGCTCTCAATGCGTCAACTGCGACATGCACTTGCACTGTAGAGTAGTACTGTCACTTTGTGCCTGCTCTTAGTCTAAAGTAGGTAAAGTAGGAAGAAAAATGAAATGAAAAAAGACGAGGACAAAGCGTTGAGGGGTCAATGTCACATGTTGAGAGACCCCGCTGGGTTTCCTTGATCTGGACTCCCCCAGCTCTTCTTCTCTCCACCTCCACCCCCCTCAATTATGTCTGAGAATATTCCCACCGATGGCACTGGTAAGATCATTTCTATTGACATGGTTCGCATTTCTAATTCCTCACAGGCGTGATCGGCCTCGACCCGTGGCTCGAACCCCATCGCGACGTCCTCAAAGCTAGGTACCAGCTCGTCGAGAAATGGGCCAAGGACATCAATGAGCACGAGGGAGGCTTGGACAAGTTCAGCAAGGTGAATTGACCTCGAATTTATCGTGGTGCAGTGACCAATTCTCCTAGGGCTATGAAACATTCGGTCTCCACGCCCAGCCAAACGGCGACATCACATACCGGGAATGGGCCCCCAATGCGAAGGAAGCGTCGCTGGTCGGTGATTTCAGTAGGTCTGCCATTAATCTCAGAAATATTCAGAAACTAACCCTGACAGACAACTGGGACACCAATGCCAACCCCATGACGAGAGACAGCTTTGGAGTCTGGAATGTAATCGTTCCGGCCAAGGACGGCCAAGCCGCCATCCCCCACGACAGCAAGATCAAGGTGCGTCTGCGGTTCTAACAATGACGACAATAACTAATCACCACTCAGATCACAATGGTCCTCCCTACCGGAGAGCGCATCTACCGACTCCCCGCGTGGATCAAGCGCGTAGTCCAGGACCTGAGCGTGTCGCCTGCATACGACGCTGTCTTCTGGAACCCGCCCGCAGAAGAGGTCTACAAGTTCCAGAACCAGCGGCCCAAGAAGCCCGCCAGCCTGCGCATCTACGAAGCGCACGTCGGCATCTCATCGCCGGAGACCAAGGTCGCCACGTACAAGGAGTTCACGAAGAACATGCTCCCGCGCATCAAGTACCTAGGCTACAATGCGATTCAGCTGATGGCCATCATGGAGCATGCGTACTACGCAAGCTTCGGATACCAGGTCAACAACTTCTTTGCGGCGAGTAGCCGCTACGGATCCCCGGAGGATCTGAAGGAGCTTGTTGACACGGCCCATAGCCTGGGTCTGGTGGTGCTGCTTGATGTGGTGCACAGCCACGCTTCCAAGAACGTCATTGACGGTATCAATGAGTTCGATGGAACGGACCACCTCTATTTCCATGGTGGTGCCAAGGGTCGTCATGAGCTGTGGGACAGTCGTCTCTTCAACTATGGTAACCACGAGGTACTGCGGTTCCTCCTGAGTAACCTCCGTTTCTGGATGGAGGAGTACCAGTTCGATGGATACCGCTTTGACGGTGTCACCAGCATGCTTTACACACATCACGGTATCGGAACGTACGTACAATGGATCGCATCTTCTGCTCCCAACTGACAATGAATAGTGGTTTCTCCGGTGGCTACCACGAGTACTTCGGACCAGCCGTCGACGAAGAAGGCGTGACATACCTGACTCTCGCTAACGAGATGCTGCACAACATCTACCCCGACGTAATCACAGTCGCCGAAGACGTCTCCGGCATGCCTGCCCTATGTCTCCCCCATGCCCTAGGCGGTGTTGGCTTCGACTACCGTCTCGCCATGGCCGTCCCAGACATGTACATCAAGCTTCTGAAAGAAAGCCAAGACAGCGACTGGGACATGGGCAATCTCTCCTTCACCCTGACCAACCGCCGACACGGCGAGAAGACCATCGCCTACGCCGAAAGCCACGACCAAGCGTAAGTCCCCTCATCCATCATCCATCCATAACCCCACTAAAATCCAAACCAGCCTGGTCGGCGACAAGACCCTCATGATGTGGCTCTGCGACAAAGAAATGTACACGCACATGTCCACCCTAACCGAATTCACCCCCATCATCGAACGCGGCATGGCCCTCCACAAGATGATCCGTCTCGTAACCCACGCCCTAGGAGGCGAAGGCTACCTGAACTTCGAAGGCAACGAATTCGGACATCCCGAATGGCTCGATTTCCCCCGCGCAGGAAACGGCAACTCATTCTGGTATGCCCGTCGCCAACTAAACCTAACAGAAGACAAGTTGCTGCGGTACAAGTTCCTCAATGAGTTCGATCGTGGAATGCAGCTCACTGAAGAGAAGTATGGATGGCTTTCTGCTCCGCAGGCATACATCAGTTTGAAGAACGAGTCTGACAAGGTCCTTGTCTTTGAGCGTGCGGGTCTGCTTTGGATCTTCAATTTCAATCCTACGCAGAGTTTCACGGATTATCGTGTTGGTGTTGATGTTGCCGGGACGTATCGCATTGTTCTTGATACTGATGATGTGGCGTTTGGTGGGTTGGGGAGGAATGTTAAGGATACGCGCTTCTTTACTACTGATCTGGAGTGGAACGGTCGGGCCAATTTCGTGCAGGTCTATATTCCCACCAGAACTGCTTTGGTATGTGCTCTGCTCTGTTTTTTTGGTGTTTTGCTAACGTGTTTTAGGTCCTGGCTTTGGAAAACACCCTGTGATGTAGATGGAGATGTTGCATATTCTCATTGCATCTGAGATTGAGATGGCTATTGTTTTTACAGATTGCATCGGTTCTAATTATATTTGCTGCGAGCTTTCAATGTTGTCTTTACTAGAGGTATTCATGTAGTATGTGTTGCTATAAGACCGGCTGCTGAGTCTCTGTCAAACGTGGACTACGGAGTAGTTAAATCTAGATGTTGTCGAAACTACATCAAAAGACCCAATCACAAAGGAAAAGATGTCGAGAATCAGGTTTTGAACTCTAAATACACAAAATAATGAAACACGCCGGCCAAGGGTTGTGTAAGGTATCTCTCCAGACCGGCTTTGAAAAGAATCTCATCAACGCTAATTAGACGTAAACCATTCACTCCCATCCAAGTCCCCTCGCCTCCCAACGCAGCCTCAGTCACCGGTATTTCCCTTGCTCATCCTTTCGGAGCGAGTCTAGAAAGAAAACATCCCGATCCAGGACGCGACACAGCAACAGAAATGAAAACAAATCCCTCTCTGTTGCATTTTTCTCTTCTTCTCTCACTTAGATCGGGTAATGTACACGCCCGGCAAATGGGGGAAAAGGGAAAAAAGAAGTCGCGTACATAGGAAGGGGGCGTTCTGACAAAGGGAAATTAAACATAGACCGAAGCACAGAGGGAAGAAAAGGGCTGGTGGACAGGGAAGGGAAAAGTTAAGACGGCGCTAGCTAGCAAATGACAAAATTACATTTAGGCGCTGCCCTCGAGCTCAGCCAGGATCTTCTCACCCTTGGCGCGGGCGGCCTGCATGTCACCAACCATGTAGAAGGCGTTCTCGGGCAGGTCGTCACCCTCACCAGCAATGATGGCCTTGAAGGAAGCGATGGTGTCCTTCAGGTCGACAAGGGTACCCTCGATACCAGTGAAGACCTGAGCGACAGCGAAGGGCTGGGACAGGAAACGCTGGAGCTTACGGGCACGCTCGACGGTGAGCTTGTCAGCCTCGGACAACTCGTCCATACCGAGAATGGCAATGATATCCTGGAGGGACTTGTACTCCTGGAGCATCTGCTGGACACGGGTGGCGGTGTTGTAGTGCTCGTCACCGATGATACGGGGGTCGAGCATACGGGACTTGGAGTCGAGGGGGTCGACAGCGGGGTAGATACCCAGCTCGGAGATACCACGGGACAACACAGTGGTGGCGTCCAAGTGAGCGAAGGTGGTAGCGGGGGCGGGATCAGTCAGATCATCAGCGGGCACGTAGACGGCCTGGACGGAGGTAATGGAACCCTTGTGGGTGGTGGTGATACGCTCCTGCATGACACCCATGTCGACGGCCAGAGTGGGCTGGTAACCGACAGCGGAGGGGATACGACCCAGAAGGGCAGACACCTCGGAACCGGCCTGGGTGAAACGGAAAATGTTGTCAATGAAGAGCAGCACATCCTGACCCTCCTCGTCACGGAAGTACTCGGCGATGGTGAGACCAGTCAGGGCAACACGGGCACGGGCACCGGGGGGCTCGTTCATCTGACCGAACACAAGGGCGACCTTGGATTCACCCTCGAGCTGGATGACACCAGTCTCCTGCATCTCGTGGTACAGATCGTTACCCTCACGGGTACGCTCACCGACACCACAGAAGACGGAGTAACCACCGTGAGCCTTGGCGATGTTGTTCTAGCGGGGCATGTTAGTAGCTTCTTCTAGCTATAGATTTGACGGTTTTCGAGGTTTGCTTACAATCAGCTCCTGAATGAACACGGTCTTACCGACACCGGCACCACCGAAGAGACCAATCTTACCACCACGGGCGTAGGGGGCAAGGAGATCGACGACCTTGATACCAGTGACGAGAATCTCGGCGGAGGTGGACTGGTCGACGAACACGGGGGGCTCGGCGTGAATGGGGGCGAACTTGGTGGCCTTGACGGGACCACGCTCGTCAATGGGGTCACCAGTGACGTTGATGATACGGCCCAGGGTGGCGGGACCGACGGGGATGGTGATGGGAGCACCGGTGTCGTTGGCGGCAACACCACGGGAGAGACCCTCAGTACCTGCAGATGACGTTAGTTAAAGCTCCGAAATGTCGGTAGGGGCGCACCCGGTGGGTCTCCCGATCGGGAAGAGAACGACACGGTGGCCCGGAAAGGGGTGGAAGGGGGAGCTTACCGTCCATGGCAATGGTACGGACAACATTCTCACCGAGATGTTGCTGTAGCAGAAGGTTAGCTTCGATCGAGGTCGAGATTCATCCGGGGGCACGTACGGCAACCTCCAGAACGAGCTTCTGGCCGTTGTTGGTGGTCTCAATGGCGTTGTAGATGGCAGGGAGCTTGTCGCCGGTGAACTTCACTGTAAAATGGCGAAAACAAAGTCAGATACGGTTCTGTTGATGATTCTGGAGTTGATTGCGATGGTTTTGATGATGGATTGGGTCCAGGGAAAAGATTTTCGCGAGGTCCCCATTCCGTCAGGAGTCGACAACACGTACCGTCAACGACGGCACCAATGACCTGGTGAACCTTGCCGGAGGAGCCAGCATCGGTGCTAGCGAAGCGGGCAGTGAGAGCAGGGAGGGCATTGGAGCGGATGGGCTGGAAGGCGCGGGCAACGGGGGTTGTCCGGGCGAATGCAGCCCGTCCAAAGGACCGGGCGAGACCGCTAAAGAGGAAAAAAATTAGTTTGTCGATGATATGAAAAGGTGGATCGAAAATTCATACCTCTTGAACATGATGGAGGTGTTGAAGAGCGAGGTGTGGATGAAAGGGAGGTGAGGTTGGAACGGGAAAAGAGGGAAGAAGAGAAGGGAAGAGGTTGGTGGACGGGGACTGGTCGCCCTTAGCCTTTCCGGGGCGGTTTTGCCGACGATCCCGTGATGAACCGAGCACTGCTTCTCGTAGGGATAGACGGTTATTTACTATTACAGGTCTCTGTTTTCTATTTATTTATGAGTCTATTCGAATATTCACTCTTGGTTTCACCAGCTTGTCTTCATGAAATGGAGGCAGCTCGTTGGGAATTCGCGCACACACCGGGGCTTGGCGGCCGGGTGCAGGGACACAACACAGAGAGCATCTCTCCCCGGATTCAGAATTAATTAAGCCGTGACTACCAGCAACCTAGGTATGAAATGGACTCAATCCATACTCGGTGCTACTAGTATACTCCGTAGAGCTCTGTGCGTTGGGACAAGTCAATGGCCCTTTGGTCCGAAGCTGCAATGTTCGGAAAATCTCTGACGTGTGTTGGGGGGTCAACCGCTCTATAGATTCTCGCAAGACACCTTAATTCTAGCGTTGAGCTAATTCTTTATAAAAATATACTCTCTCGATAATATACTAGTACTCCATATATAAATACACATCGAGATTGACTATAGATTCTGGATATAATGGCATTCCAAGCTCGACAGGGATTCTCCGCACTTGGAGCTGGTTCCGATTCACTCCGTAGACCACGCCATCTCGGACGCAGGGGTATACCCACAGCTATCAGCTATAGCTATCAACACTACTCCGTACTCGATTACTATATAGTACAGCATATAGTATACAGTATAGTATACAGTCTCAAATCAAAATATTCTCTATGGCTACAAAGGAGATACATTGATTATAGCACAGTACGGAATACACGCATTTTCGAATGCTTGCGGGCAAAAAAACACAAAATGGAGGAACGGCGGATACGCCCAAGAGACAGCCCATCCAATGCCAAAGGTCTACCATGAACATCCCAGCGCCGTCAGCGGGGGAGGAGCTCATCTCCCAGGGTCTTTTCTGCGTGAATATCGAGTCATCCGGGCAAGTACGGAGCACACCTATGACTTCTCGGCAGGGGGGCTCTGAACGAAGCCCTTGCCTTCGTAACCAGGCTTGCTGATACCGTGGATGGGGTTCATGTTCTCCTTCTGTGGAAGGGGTTAGCACAGGGTCGGCGGGCAGAGACTTCCCCCGATCGGGGACAGTCCAATGGGATAAGAATATACGTACCAGAGCGTACTCGTTGGAGGCCTCCTGCCATTCCTTGGACATGGTACCGGGCTTGGGGCCGGCGAAGTAGTGAATGGTGAAGAAAAGGGCGACGGCGGCAGTGGTGAGCTGGGCGACCTTGCCGAGGACGCGGAGACCCTCACCCTTGGGGGTCTGAGCACGGGGACCGTGGGCACCGAAGGCAATGTAGTAGGCTAGAGCAATGGCAGAGATATGTTAGCAAGATGTTGGGATCGCGATGGCCATCCGAGGTTGGGGCCGGACATCCCGACGGGTATGCCCTCGGAAGGCGCAGGGTAGACGACGCGATAGACCAGGGGTCGAGCTCGTCGAGGCAGATAAGATCACGTACCGGCCTTCTTCTCCTGGAGGGTCATCTGGTGCCAGTCAACCTTCATGCGGTCGCGGAGCTGCATCCAGAGCTCGGCCTGCTCCTGAGGGGGCATGCCCTCCCAGCGCTTCTCGATGCTGGCGAGGGTGGGGTTGGAGATGGCATGGTCCGAAGCAGCGCGGGTCTGCAGGGCGTTCAGAGGAGCGACCGGGGCAGCACGGATGGCCGCGGTGCTGCGAGGAACAGCGCGAGAGACGGTGCGAAGAAACATTGTGCGGCTGGCGGGAGGTGGCAGCACCACGTCGAAATCGGATACAATTGGGTGGAGGGATGGAGGACGGGGAGTTTAAAAGCCGGAGAGCACGCTAGGGCACGGCTTAGGAGAGAGTGGAGGGGGATCGTGGATGGAGAAGGACTTGAAGACGTTTCTTGTGGTTTGAGGTGGAAAGGCGAGTTTCCGGTCGGGACTAGCGCCATTTGGTTTGGCGGCCCGCTGATTGGCTCCTGCGCCCTCGGGGCCATCAATCTGCTAGTCAAGAGCATCATTCTCACTATGGCATGATGCTGATAGTTGCCCAATGGAGCCCACTGCCGTTGGTCTTACTTAGGTATAGTAGATGCTTCTTTTCATTCCCATATTCTACAATCATCGGAAATCTCAGCCGCCTCGGCACACTTCGCCGGGTTATCTCGGCCCCTAGGTGGTATCCTACTAATCTCACCAACACTCCCTCAAACAGTGCATGAAAGTTATTTGCCTGTCTGCGAATTTCCCACGGCACCAGGTTGGGGGCCATCGCGAAGGCTGTCAGAAAGCAGGTCGGTGAACAGACCAAAAATGAACAGAATCAAGAATCACAAGCCCTCATGCAAGATAAAAAGCATGGGCCCAAGTCGTAACGGTCTTGCATTGCAACTAAGAAGGAAATGGGAGAACGTTGTGCAGAGAAGATTATGAATTGATCGTTCCGCGCCGCCGTCAGAGGCGCACCCCTATCAGTCGCGCAGTCCGGATCCAGCCGGTGCCGTCATCTATGCCTTACCACCGCTGGCCTCCTTCAGGACTGTCTTCCACTCGATATCGGACTTGTCATCGGCGTGGATGGAAGTGACAACGTTGAGGGCGTTCTTGAGAACCTCACGGGTGGAGGCGTAGATCATGGACCACTGGCACAGGAGCTCGTTAGCCAATTGAATCTGGAAAGAAAAGGGTCCGGTCGACTTACGAGAGTGGGGGTTTCGCTGGGAACCCAAGAGATGAAGATGATCTTGGAGCTGCACGAGAATCAGGTCAGTAAGCGACCGACGAAGTGGCGGGATGTGAATGCGCACCGCTTGCCCTCGCCGGGGAGCTCGTACTCGACGTCGTAGACGGCGTAGCGGGGAGCGGGGCGGTCGAGGCTGTCCTTGGCGCTGGCGAGCTCGTTGCGGAAGACCTCGTAGTCCTGGTCGTGGCCGACGGAGTCTACAACAACCTCCTTCTTGTTGTCTGCGATCTTGTAGATGATGTACTTGGTCTTGCCGTGGCTGCGGCTGAAGTCCTGGTATGCGGTGATGCACTCATCCTGGATTTGGACACTATAAGGAGAAGGTGTCAACAACGGGCGGGGATACCGGAAACCGGGAATGCGGGCGTCGACTCACCCCGATGCGAGCTGCGCGACACCGTAGTCAGTAAATGAAGTGGTTTCCGACGGAGGATTGGGGATTCAATACGTACAGACATATTTGCTTATGTAGTTGGGGGACAAAAAAAGAGGAGGGGGTCTAGGCTAGCACGCGATGTCAGTGAGAGTTTCAACACAAGTCACTGGGTGTCTCCACGGTCATGGAGGCCCAGAGCAGAAGGAAGCCGAGCCACTTACTGAATTGAAGGCGGCAATAAATGGAAGATGAGACGGGGAAGATGGAGTTTGAGGGGTGAATTGCCCAGGTGTTGCCTTAGTGGGGTGGCTGCACGTGATCTTTGCCTTTTACATCCCCAATTCGGGTTTCTTACATCCTGTATAAAGGAGATGCCTGTATCTTAATTCGCGATAATCGCAATCTACCTGCCTAGAGAAATGGGTCTAACATGGTCCGGGAAAGAATGTTGCCATTGAGGTCGAGAGGGCCAAGTACGGAGTGAAGAGACTTCCAAGTTTATTGCGCTAGGCAACATGCCTGCCCTGGCAACGCTGCATATCATTTCCGATGCATGGAGGCTACTCTTTGTATGTGGGAGGCTTGACGTGCAGGCTAAATTTGGACTTCCGCCTTCCATGGGACACGTCAGTGCCGGCTATTTTTATGAGGCCCACTGTCTCGGCCATTTTATATCTGAGCCAGATTATCAAAGGCGCTATAACCCGATATATCACTACCATGCTGTATAGTATATACTGGAACTGAGCTAACTACGTGCCCAGGCGCCTATTCAGATATTTAATGCTTACTCGCATAGTCAAATTACTACCATTACCTACATAGGTAGTACAGTACTGTCCCTACGCACTATATCCATGATAAACAAACATATAGGTACCAGATTAGGTATACAACGATGGAACTACAGGCGGCATTATATACTGTAGGTACCAATTACCAGGTGCTACCTAGTAGCTAATATTTCATTTCTCATTTCCAGTCTCGTAAATCATCTCACCAAAAAATGGAAGATATACTAAAGCTGCCAATGAACTAAGCCTTAGGAGCAAACTTAGCCCTCATCTTATCAGCAACAACCTTCTCCTCCCAAATGAAATTAACACTATCATGAGCAACCGTCGCCTCAGCCCACCTCTTAAACCTCGGAGCCTGCGCCAACAGCCCAGGCAACTTCGCACTAACAAGCCCATGCTCCGGCTTCGCAAAGCCCAGAATCCTCAACAAAAATGAACCCGCCTGCACCTCCGCCAGAGTAAGTTTCTCACTACCACCAAAGAAAGGACCCTTGCCCTCCGTATCCGCAAGCAAGGGCTCGATCTCCTTCACAACAGCAGCAGCCAGCAACTCAGCCGCCTGGTCCCGCTCACTCTCAGAGGCTGATTTGATGCTGCTGAAAAAGTGGGGCAGGACCTTTGAGAAGAAGGCATCGACGAAGAAGGCGAGGCGGGCGCGGTAGAGGGCGTTTTCGGCCGGGCCCGATGCGGGCACGAGGTGGCTTGGGTGGGCGTCTGCGATGAATTGCGCGACAATGCCGGACTCGGTGATTATTTCGCCATTGTAGGAGAGACTGGGGACGAGGCCGCGCTGTGGGGTGTTAGTTGTATTCTTGGATACTGGACGTGGGGATGTGGGGTGGGATTTCGGGGGTTGTGTGGGCTTACTGGGTTGATTTCGAGGTACCACGGCTCTCGGGGTGTGTTCAGGTCAATGGTGACCTCTTCATAGTCGAGACCGGATTCCTTGAGGGCAATGTGGGCGCGGTGTGCCCAGGGGCAGACGCGGCTGGTGTATAGGATGATCTTGGGGGCAGACATTGTTTGACTGTAGATGATTGCTAGGTAGGAGGGTCAGGGTTATATAGAAGAGAAGACGCCATCTCCAGGACCATTGCGAAATGAGGGGCTTGGATTATAAATGTCGATTACGAATATACGGGGGTACGGAGTACCTTTGAGCCTTGAGGTTGGTCCGGCGGATAAAATCTACCCATAGATGTGGAGACGGAAATCAACTTGGCAAATGTTGCTACTGCTTCACTTCTGTTGCAAGGTCTTTGATTCAAGAGTCTAATTATGTACATACATTAAAGTGTGCACCATATATCCGATATCTTCTGAGAGACGCTCATCCACCGGGGTATAGAAAAAGCGGCAACCCGATGTAGTACATAAAAAGACCCAGATGAGCCCTGGATGAGCTTGTCTGAGTCCGATACGCCAGCGATCGGTTCCACCCAAATCGAATGAGAAGAGAAGGAAAAAGGCAGAGCAAATTAGAGCATCCTTGAAAAGCAGAGGGAATGAGAACGGGACAACCGTCATAAAATGGGGGGTATATCAAATACGAGTATAAAAAGAGCTTGAGGGCGATGCGCAATCGCTCAAATGGCCAGCCGGGGAATAAAAAACACGGATCAACACGCTGTTCGTCAGGACGTAAAGGTTGCAGAGAAATTTGGAGAAAGCTCAAACTTCTTCTTCTTCCTGGCCACCGTCGATGATCTTGTGCCAGTGTTGCGGTAGACAAATGCAGACCAAGGGGAAGGCCTTGATTTCTCCTGATGGCATGGGAGAAGAGGCGCCATGCAGACGAGAGCCACTTGAGACACCACTATCGCGCTGTTCGCGACGGTGCATGTCGAAGTCCTCGGCACGCTCGGTGAGACGCACACCGGTCGCCCAGCCATCGTCCCAAATACCGATGACTCGCAACATCTCTCCGCGGTCAAGTTCGAACTCATCACCTGCCCTGGGCGAGTATGCCCAGAGTACAGCAACCTTGTCGCCCGCTTGGATGTCATCCTGGGAGTAGTAATCGCGGAAGTACGAGAGCTGCTCGGATTGGCCGCTCGTCACTTGCTCCGGGGAGGAGTACTGGTTTGTGGGACCTGAGCGAGGAGAGCTGTCACTCTCCATTCCGGCCAGCATGGAGTTACTCGAAAGGGAACCATGACGTTTACCGGCCACAGGTGGAATGCTTTTGTGCATAGCCCCTGGACTGGAACGCATGCCCTCGGAAGAGGTATCGCTGTACTTAGCCGCGCCACCATACATGGCTGCAGAGGTTCGCGAATAAGCTGGCGATGAGCTGGGAACCTCGCGCAGAGCAGACATTCGCGTGACACGACCTCCGGGGATCATGTTGTACGACGTCGGGCTAGGGGGTTGTTGCATTGATGGAGAGGTGCCCTTTCGCTGAGGGTTCGGTTGGTTCAATGCACCTTCGGGCTGATTCTCTCTGCCACGGCGGCGCATAAAGATGCAAAGGAAGGCCAAAAGGGCTGCCAGGATAGCTGCACCTGCGACAGAACCAATCACAATCCCAGCAATCGCGCCACCTGACAATCCATGGCTGGCAGCCGCAGCGGCGGTCGAGGAAGCGGACGAAGATGGGGTGAGTGGCGGCAAGGTCGAAGTTGGAACCGACACATTCTCACAGCGGCTTGTTGAATTGGACTTTTCGCAGCAGGTGTTGCTGTCGTTTGCGCAATAAGTGCAAAGTCCGATGGTGTTCGACCCAAAGCCACAGTTGTCAGGCTCATTTGCGGCTCCTTCGATACAGTCGCCCGACAGCGCTTTCGACGGCTTTTCGCAAATGACCAGGTCGGAGTAAATCTGGCTCGTGTAGTCTTTGCTGGTACTGCTGCACAGGTCTGTATTCACCATCGTTTCCTCCTCACTTCGTGCCCACAAGGCGCATGTGTCCACGCAAATTGGTAATGAGTCATCTGTCGAAAGATCGCAGTCGGAAATGGAGCTCTGGATCACGCTGCTGCACATCACACTGATTGTAAACTGCGCATAGTAGTCGTCGGTTGCACTCGAGTTCAGCCCTTCACATCCTAGCAAGTCATCATACCTAGGGGCGCGTGTTAGTGATCTTTCTTTTTGGCGAGCTGATGACACCTACTTGCTGTTGATATAAGACCCAGAGACATAATCCTTCAAAGAATCATCGAACTCGGTCAGGTTTGATACACCTTTTAGGAATGGGCTAGGAACGGTCAGCACTCCCTCTCGACTCCGACGCGGCGCATCACTCACAAGCTCCCATGTAATGTCGAATTGGTCGACACAGACGATCCACTCCACGCCGGACAGGCGCTGGACCCGGCGAGCGAAATGCAAGAGCTGGACATATTGGGCGTCGTATATACGTAGATATCGGGTGTCGATCGCGGAATGTGTCAATTGGGGGGAATGCTCAAGACGCAAATTGCATGTCTGCACGAAATTGAAGCACGATCAGGTTGACGCCAGGCCAGAGCCCAAGCTCGAAGAAGAGAATGCGGTAAGTAAACGAGTGGATTGGGTCGTGAATACCCGAAAAAGAAACGTCGCCCGGAGGCGCACTGTGGTCGAATCAGGGAAGGAAAGTGAACGATGCCTCAGAAAGAGGTTCTCCGATCACTTTTAGATGGCCCGTGTGGGTGCGACAGGGGGACGAACTGGAGAAGAGCAAGTGGTAAGGAGCTAGACAAATATGGGTATTTGCGTATCGAAGTAATATAAGCCCAGTCTTACACAGGGGGCTGGGCTTAGATCGCTATACTAGTAGTGCAGTCGGGTATACATTACTATACTCTTTGTTTACTTTCTGTTCTGCTTACCCTCCGTGGTTCTCACTCTGCTCTGCTCTGCTCTCTGTTAATACACATAGTATCCTCCAGATGTACCCCTAATGAGATCTCGGTGTTTGTTTGGGTTCAAACTCGCTAGCCCGTTAGCGGCTCCAAAAGGACGATCGCTATCACGGCAAATTGAAACAATACCATACCAAGCACTGGTCCAGCTATATTTTCCGAGTAACTGCCTTGCATGCTGCATGACAGAATGTATGGGGCCATTTATATGAGCTATCACCACAGTCTGGGAGATTTGATGGATGCGAGGGGCAAATTTAGACTCGCGATATTGATGCCGGCACGGTGGGAAGTACACGGTACCCGGTCGCAGGTGGCTGGTGACCGCTAGCTGGAAGTACCGAGTACGTGGGTGTCCCCGCTTTTGGAGGAGTCGATGAATCCGATTTTTTTTTCCTCTGGGTCTTCGGATGAGTAGTACTAGATGTACGGAGTATACGAGTCGATCATTGAATTAAGTTGAGAGAAGAAAATAGACAGTGAAGAAACCTTAGCAGTCGCCTCGAGTCACATGATCTGGTTGACATCATCTGATCTCAAGGCTCCCACAACTCCAGACACTCTTACCCATTGCCACACGTCGTGGGGAAGTGCGCAGGAACTAGACTCATCACCTTTCAATAATCATGTGCAGCTCCGATATCTTTCTGGCGGTTCTCGCCGTGTTCTTTCCGCCCATCGCAGGTAAGTCCAACCGGGTGTTCGATCTGTGAACACCGCTGATCAGACCTGTGTCCATCAGTCTGGGTCAAAGTGGGACTCTGCACTGCAGACTCGATCATCAACCTCGCGCTGTGTGCGCTGGGCTTCCTTCCCGGTCTGATTCACGCCTGGTACATCATTTTCAAGAACCCCGAACCCGACTATGACGCCATAGCCTATGAGCCCATCCCCGGGGGCGGGAGTCAGCGACGCGATCTCGAGAATGGAAACGTCACCTACTACTATGTCTCTCACCAGGCCCCGCAGAATCCGACGCAGCGCGGATACGGCACTGTGCAGAGTCAGGGTCAGGGTCAGCAGCCACCAGCGAAGAACTCAAACGCCCAAGGCAACCAGGACAGTGGCAATGGGAGCAGCAGTGCAAACCCCCCGCCTACATACGCCGAAGCTGTGCGAGGCGACAACAAGGTGCAGAGTCAGGAATAAGGCCAAGGCTATATTATGCAGTATGCATGCGGCTTCCTTGACCGATGGTTCTCGTTCTGCGAGTTGTCTGCTTTTGACTCATACCCTGCTTTTTAAGGTTCCTTGCGGAGTACCTTCAATGCTTTCAAAGAACTGTGCTGTAACGCTATGATAACGAAGAAATGTTCTGTATTCTGACACCAGTCTCATCAGTATCATGAAGGATTGCCAGTCGAAGGCGAATCGTCTTTTCTTTTGCATTGCTTAGACTTGTGATATATCTTTCTGCGGTACCGCAACCTACTTGTCGAGAGGCAGTTGAGTGTGCGTTCGGATTTGATCTCAAGCAAGGCGATCGTCCAGACTTCTTTTAGGCATAGTCCAACCTTGCAGGTGGCAGCCTGTGCCTGAATGATATCAAGGCACTCGTCCCAACTTCCAGAGCTTGATACATGGCAACTTGGAAGTTGCAGTGCAAATCTAGTAGCTAGACATATTCCAAGGTTCTCATCCCACTGGTCACGGGTCGGATATGAACCTCGGGAGCAGCCTTGGACACCAGGTGCCTCCCGAGGTCATCGGTGACATTTTCAGTGAGGTATAGTTGGAGATTGTGAACAATTAGGTACCACTCATTGAGTGTATTCAATCCATCTCACCTACCTAGGTAAATTTTAGGGAACTGAAAGTCCACTGGCTCTATTTCTAGGGTTCCAAGGTTGGTTTACTTATGACAGTTCCCAATTTTTGCTCGGGGATTGCCAATGGATCTGGTTGAAGATATATATTGACTGGGGCTCAACAAATCAACAACTGGGCTGAAAGAGCCCGACGAACCTTAGAAGCTTCCAAGGGGTTGGGCACCGCGAGAACATCTCGTAGACATATACAGAAACAAAAATAGACCACCTGAATACACGAAAAGAGAGAATATAGAGCGCTGAAATATAGAGCGGCGAGCCGTTAATTTGATAAGGTTATCCGAGGCCAAATTCCGTCCCGAGATGATCCTACCGCTCTTCCTGCAACTCCCCGCCACGAGCTTGTGGCCTTCATATTGGCCATGCAGTCTATGCCACAACTGCTGAGGCAAACGCTACGGTCAAGCCTCCAACTCACACGCACACCAGTCCGAGAGCGGTTCCGCTACACCCCAACTCCATTCCCCGTCCCGACTCCGCGGAGTTTCTCGACCTGCCTCCAATGCCAATTCCGCCAGCAGCCAGGGAGATTTGCAGATTTCAATGACAGGGAAAGAGTCTCGGCTGATACAGAGAGGTTAATCAGGGAGAAAGAGAAGGAGCTGGCTGATTTGGAGCTCGCTTCGCGCGACCCGGTACCGATTCCGGGTGTGGAGGCGGGCAGCTCCTTGGATGGTCCGCCTGCCCCCGAACCTCCAGCAAACACACAACCAAAAAAAGAAGAGGTCAAAGATGCCCCCCAGAAAGAGTCCACTCGAACGAGTGGAGGCTTGCCCTCATACCTGGAAAGCCGTCGGTCAAAATGGTCCAAGCAGTTCGATGAAGCTATGGACAACCTTCAGTCCAATGTCTTCGTGGCAGGTCAGCGATTGAATGATCTGACTGGATACTCCAGCATTGAAGCACTGAAGAACGAGATCCAATTTCAAGGTATGCACATCAATAACCTGCGAAGAACCAAGACTAATGACTACCCAACCACAGAGGAACGACTCCGCACCGCCCGATCCCACGTCAAACAAGCAAAGGAAAAATACACCGCGGCAATCAATCGCCGCTCAATGTCCCAGCGCGAAGTGAACGAGCTTCTCCAACGCAAGCATGCCTGGTCCTCGACCGACCTGGAGCGCTTCACCCTCCTCTACCGCAACGACCACACCAACGAAGTTGCCGAAACAGAGACCGCACATGCCTTATCGGCCTCGGAGCGCGAAGCCGAAGAGGCAGCTGCCCAGCTGAGCAAGAGCATTCTCTCCCGATACCACGAGGAGCAGGTCTGGTCTGACAAGATCCGTCGCATGTCTACCTGGGGAACCTGGGGCCTGATGGGAGTCAATGTCCTGCTATTCCTTGTTTTCCAGATTATGGTAGAGCCATGGAGGAGGAAGAGACTCGTCAAGGGCTTTGAGGACAAGGTTGTCGAAGCTCTGGAGAAAGAGAAGGTCCTTAACCGGGCTGTCTTTGCCGAGAACGCTGTCTCCATCTCCGCTCTGCCCACCACCCTCCCGGAGGTCATTGATTCCACTGACAATCCTACTCCTTCACTTTTGGTTGAGCCGAAGTTTGCCAGAGAGAAAGAGAACGCCGCGAAAGCGACTCTGGTCACCCCGACTGATACCCCTGCCTCCCAGTCTCTGCAGGCCCGCCTGTGGAACATCACTTCACCTATTACTTCGCTTGAGTACTGGACTCAAGTGTACCATGAACTCTTCAGTGACCGTGGTGTCACAGCCTCTCAGCGTGATCTTACAACTGTGGCTCTCCAGAGTGCCGCGGCTGGTGCCGTCATGACCAGTCTCCTTTTCGCCCTACTTGGGCCTCGGTAAAGCGAAATCTTACTTTGAGCGTACTGCGCTTCGTTCATATCATTGAGGGATAAATATGTCAGTGGCAGGACTCATGATTGGACATCTTGATATATCGCCCTTTCGGCTAGGGCGGATTTGTACATACAGTTGAAAATAGAAAGATACTCAGGTGCATAAAATCGAGTATAGTGTACTATTACTGCAGACGTCTCGAAATTTCATGAGTAGTCGCAGAACACTCCTACATGGCACGATTGAACCAGAACAAAAGAAATAACATGACTAGGTGATACACTAAATAAAGAACATAAGTATGTACCCAAGGAGACCATAGGACATCCTCTGCACTGCCAGGATCCCCTAGCTTGAGCCTCTCCAACTCCACGGTTATGTGTGCCACGGGGGAAGACCAAGAGCCAGGAAGATAGGGACAACAAAGGGAAGAAAGTGGCTGATTTTTTTGTCCATATTAAAACACAGGTCTCTTAATCTTGACAAGACACACGGCCGCTCTGTCTAAAAAAAAGGGAAAAAACAAAACACACAAGCACATACACAGATGAATAGATCCATCTTCATCTTATCCACACATCTAGTGAGACAATCCGCATTGGGCGGCGGTCAAAAAAAGGGTGTATTCAAAAAGTTCGCTTAACCGATAACAAGAGTCTCATCCTCGGGGAAGCTGTAGGTGGGAACCTCCAGGTTCAGAGGGGCGGGGCCCTTGCGAATACGGCCGGAGATATCGTAGTGGGAACCGTGGCAGGGGCAGAACCAGCCGCCGTAGTCACCGGCCTCGCCGATGGGGACACAACCCAAGTGGGTGCAGACACCTGGAGAGAAGGGTTAGAAAGGGGAGGTTTTGGGGAGGCGAATATCCGACTTACCAAGCATGACGAGCCACTCGGGACGCTGAACACGGTCGTCATCGGACTGGGGGTCACGGAAGCCCTCCCACTTGGTCTCGCGGGCCTCATCGATCTCGGACTGGGTGCGGTGACGGATGAAGACGGGCTTGCCACGCCACTTGATGATGACCTGTTGGAAGGGTTAGATAAGACGATTCGGAAGTGGAAATGCCGGATTTGACGGTTATGGGGGGAAACATACGTTCTTGCCCTCAGGGATGGCACCGAGAGCGATCTCAACCTTGGCCTGGGCCAGGACATCGGCGGAGGCGGACATGTTGACCAGGAAGTCTAGAAACGAACAACATCAGCCATGATTGTTCCGAGCCGCGCAAATTCTCCTCGAAAGGACATATGATGATAAAAATCCATTCCACTGCACGCCCTTGCTCATCCATGTCATTGAAGACCAAACAATAGAAAAAAACCTACCCTGGACAGTAGCCTTGGCACCGACAGCGGACGCCAGACCGAGGGAGCCGGCCATGAAGTAGGAGAAGACCTGGTTGGAGCGAGGCGAGGAGTTGGACTTGTACTTGCTGAAGTTGGGGATCTTCAGGGTCGAGCCACGCTCATTGGCGCTGGCGAAGGGAGACTCGAAGGACGACTTCGCATCGGCAACTCCCCTCCGCTGGCAGGAGGTGACGGCGGCGCGGGAGGTGGGCACTTGCTGCCGGGCGACGGTGCGCAGCAGAGTGCTGGAAGCGGAGGAGAGCGACATTATGAGGGCAATTGACCACGGAGGGAATTGAGCCGCGAGTGTGGAGAGCGAGGTGAGGATAGAGGGTGGATGAAGTCGGAAGTTGAAGTTGGAGCCAGAGCTTTCGCTAGCGATCGGAATCACGGGGCCTGTCATTGGCTGACCGGTTCCCGTTCACTCCCTAAACATTCTCCTTCGAACATCTCTTGAACGGTCTTGCAGCAATGGTTTACACGGTGGTTATGCTATTTAATTCATGTGGCATTTTTTAAATTCTCTCCAGCGGGTTCTCGTCTGTGGTGTTTTTCCCGATCTAATCCGACCCAATGCGACCAATACACGTCCAAAAACAAATGCGCAACCCACAACCAGCAAACTCCAATGCAAATAACTCATTCAGAAACGAAACGAATATTCGGAATCAACCCTGCATTTCCACATCGTGATCATGGTTGGCCACGGGCTCGACCGTCCGGTCCGCAATCAGCGCGCTGACAGGCACCATCGGTCGAGGCACTGATGGCGATGTGGTATTTGATTCTTCTCTCTTGGGTGTGGCTTCTTCCATGCTGCTTCCGTTGGCTGGTGGCGGTGGTGCACCTGCTCCGTTGAGAGTACGCTGGCCCTTCTCCATGGTGACCTGGTCTGCCGCGTCCCTGGCCTTCTTCTCCTTGAACTGCTTGTAGGTCGTAGTCTTAGGAATCACGTCGGATAGGAATTCGAGATTGTCGGTGTGTGATACCGCCGAGGCTATTGCGCGTTAGTATGGTCTGACCAGCGGTGGAATGTGGATTCACAAATGACGAACCAAGATCTTTGTATTGAACGGTCTTGCGAGGCTTTCTCTCGGTCTTGACCACATTGTAGCCTTGCTCGGCCAGGTGCTTAATGAACATCTCCTAAACCTGGGGTTAGTTGACGCTCGCGGGACGATGACGGGGGAGCGTAGCGCACAGTAGCCATTGCAATGACGAAGGTCGCGTTGTTTGAGCACTGGACGATATCCTCGTCCAGCTGAATGATCTTCTTGACGCGAGAGACTATGAAGTTCTGTTAGAGACGTCCAAGCCAACATGGTATGGGACATACTGGGAAGTGCACTCTGGCCGGTGATCTCATCCGGCTCTGCGATGGGCTTGGGAACCATATTGAATATCGCGAGATTGTGAAGAAGACAGAGAAAACAGTTCACGTAGATTAGTTCGCTCTAGGGCGTTTGACGTATGCAGCCGTGGAGTCGAGAGTGTAAAACGCGAGGCCGCGTTATCTCAGGAGGCTCCGTTATCGATACTTGGCGACTTCGCTTGTTCACATCATCTACTTCCAAGTGCTTTGTTCACCCCTGCACCTCCCTCTGGGTTTGTCGCCTAGACCTGAATATCTGCCCGCGAGCTCCTAGAGCAAACAACTGGCCAGGGATTCCAGTCTCTAACAGCGGCGCACACCGCGAACAAAGACATCATCGAGTCAACTCTAAGTCGACTATGCTGATGCTACCTCTTCGATACATGTTATGACCTCTCCGCGCCCTTCCCCGACCTTTCCTCGGTCGCTGTCAGTTTCCACAGAACGTCGCAATTCCCGAAGGGCCTCCGGACGTTCCATTCCCTCCCCAATCGACCCCGTTCCCGAGAGCCAGCAAGCCCCCGCTATCACAGAAGAGATCAGTGAGATCAAGCGCTATGAAGACTTCACTACCATAGACTGGGTACAAGACGCTGTTTACGAGCAGTCGCGGCGGCGCGCGAAGCGGCGCAGCGGGACTAGATTCTGGGACCAAGAAGGCATCTTCGGATGGAGACGAAAGGTGTGGGAGTCCTATGATGCTGGCCAAGCATGGCTTGTCGTTACGCTCGTGGGATTGGCAATTGGATTGAACTCGGCCGTGCTCAACATCATTACGGAGTGGCTCTCTGATATCAAACTGGGCCATTGTACAACAGCATTCTATCTCAATGAGAACTTCTGCTGTTGGGGCGCAGAGGGCGGTATGAACAGCTTCGCATCTAGACTTGGTCCATGAACTAATGCGCAGACCTGCAGGTTGCCCGGAGTGGAAGCATTGGACTTCATTCTGGGTGTTCAATTATGTCGCCTATCTATTCGGCGCGGTAAGCTTGCATGCCTCTTTTGGAGATGACATCAATTGGCTGATTTGATTCTAATCTAGTTGCTGCTCTCGTCTATTGCTGCAATCTTGGTCAAGTCATTTGCGCCCTATGCTGCGGGATCTGGTATTTCTGAGATCAAATGCATCATTGCTGGTTTCGTTATGAAAGGTTTCCTAGGCACCTGGACTCTCATAATCAAATCAATTGCTTTGCCATTGGCGATTGCATCCGGTTTGTCGGTTGGCAAAGAGGGGCCAAGTGTGCATTTTGCAGTATGCACAGGAAATGTTATCTCGCGCTTCTTTGGAAAATACAAACGGAATGCGTCGAAAACGAGGGAAATATTGACTGCATCGGCGGCAGCCGGAGTAGCTGTTGCTTTTGGCAGTCCAATTGGAGGCGTTTTGTTCTCCCTGGAGGTCGGTCGAATGTCCTCATAATGTATTGGATGGCTGCTAATTCATTGATAGGAGATGGCGAACTACTTCCCTCTGAAGACCCTTTGGCGCAGCTACTTCTGTGCCTTGGTCGCTACCAGTGTTCTTGCTGTAAGTCTGAGAACAATCGATGGAAGTGTGATTATGGCTCATTCTCTCTAGGCCGTGAACCCTTTCCGAACAGGCCAATTGGTCATGTTCCAAGTGGAATACGATCGAACCTGGCACTTTTTCGAGCTTCTTTTCTTCGTCGGCCTCGGTATCTTTGGTGGTCTCTACGGTGCATTCGTGATCAAGTGGAACCTTCGCGTTGCTGCGTTCCGCAAGAAGTACCTGTCACAGTGGCCGATTACTGAGTCGGTCGTCCTCGCCGGACTCACCGCAGTGCTGTGTTTCCCGAACATGTTCTTGAAGATTAACATGACTGAAATGATGGAAATTCTCTTCCGCGAATGTGAAGGTGGCCACGATTACAACGGCCTATGCGAGTATGAAACCCACCTGGAGAGACTCGCGAGTACGATGCTAACTTATCGCAGAGCCAAAAACAGATGGTCAATGGTACTGTCTTTGGCCATCGCAACTATTCTTCGCACTGGACTGGTCATCATTTCCTATGGTTGCAAGGTACCAGCGGGTATCTTCGTACCTTCAATGGCTATCGGAGCTTCTTTTGGCCGTATGGTTGGAATTATGGTGCAAGCTCTGCACGAGTCGTTCCCCAACTCAGCATTCTTCGCCTCATGCGAGCCCGATGTTCCCTGCATTACTCCCGGAACCTATGCCTTCCTGGGAGCTGGCGCAGCCCTCAGTGGGATCATGCATCTAACAATCTCCGTGACAGTAATCATGTTTGAGATTACCGGCGCCCTGACATACATCCTGCCGACCATGGTACGTGTTCGAGTTAACCAACATAATCGTGTCGAAGCTGATCTCATTCCCAACAGATCGTCGTAGGTGTCACCAAAGCTGTTGGCGACCGATTTGGCAGCGGTGGTATCGCCGACCGAATGATCTGGTTCAATGGATTCCCATTCCTTGACAACAAGGAAGACCACGTTTTCAATGTGCCTGTTTCCCATGCCATGACTACAGACCCGCTCTCATTACCGGCGTCGGACTTCCCAGTTCGTGAAGCTGAGCATCTTCTCAATGACAACAAGTTCCAGGGCTTCCCTGTCGTCGAGGATCGCACTTCCAAGACCCTTGTTGGATATATCGGGCGGACTGAGCTCCGGTATGCCATCGACCGCGCTCGCAACGAGGGCATGGTAGCCCCCAACGCTCGATGTGTCTTCACTAAAGAGGCGGCCGAAGCAGCCGTTGCTCGGAGGGCATCTGTACCTCACCACACACGTTCAAACACATTCGATGACATCCAACGGAGTGTAGGGGCTAATACCGTCGATTTCTCACGCTACGTCGACCATACACCACTGACTGTGCATCCACGCCATCCCTTGGAAACAGTCATGGAGATTTTCAAAAAGATGGGGCCACGAGTGATTATCGTCGAGCACCGTGGCCGGCTCACTGGATTAGTAACCGTCAAAGACTGCTTGAAATACCAATTCAAGGTGGAGGCCGAGGAAAATCCGCTGGCATCGACTTCACCGGAACTTTCGACGCTTGGCGGACGTTCGAACACTCCAGCCCCGGAGGCTATAGAAGAGCGTCTGTGGCGTCTTATTCAAAAAGTGGCTAGGTTCGTATCTGGCAAAGCTTACCGCCGACCGGTGCGACTTCGTGAGCGCAACACTGGGCGAACGGAGCCTTTGGGAATAATGGATGGAACCGAGGAGGATGCAGTCGTGGAGCTAGAAGACCGAGAGGACCGTCCTATGATTCCATGAAGAATAGCTGTGTTTATACTGTGATAAAGACCTGTTACATACTAAAGCGTTGATCCATTACCATGTCTCCTACGGCCTTTGTAAATGAAATCTGGCATTGACCCTGCTCTTCTCTTTTCCATTTTCATGCGGACTTCAGTCGCCCGAATAAAGCATTTTTGATCGTCTTTGATATTCATGAGCCAAGACAGGCCCTGATTGGTCAAAACTAAGAGCCCGAGGTATCTTGGGTCGGCAAGTCAAATCGCCACGGCCTTTCACTCTGCAAAGCAATCGCTGAATCAACGCAGCTAACTCGAATATGGAGACCCCGGGCCAATCTGAAGCAATCCAGAGCCCGAGCAAAGGGTGCTCAGTTGAAACCCCCCTCCGGCGAACACGGGTGGCCTGCAAGGCTTGCAATCAAAGGCGGGTCAAGTGTGATGCGGGCGAAGGACAGCCTTGTTGGCATTGCCGCATACGTCAAACACCCTGCGAATTGATTGATTCCCGTCGAGGGAAGTAAGTGGTGTTGTATCGCAAGGCTATAGGACTGTGAAGCTAAACCACTTATAGGTATACTCGCAGAAAAGATGGCCCCAGGAAGAGCTCACGGGTCTCAAAGCCCCCAAAGACATCAAAATCCGCATCAATCAGCCTGGATAATGAAGAATCTCAGATCTCAGTCAATGCATCCGATACAGCCATCTTACAAGACACAAATCATAGCAGCATACGTCCAGGACTTCATGTGGGAGAAGAACCGCAACCCAGCCAACTATCCCAAACCGATCAAATCAACCCGAGTCTGCGCCCGCAGCACCTGGATGACTCTAGCTTATCCTATACCGTTGAGGTGGTCTACAGCCCCGAAGGTGGCTCTTCAGAGCCTTTGAAGGTACATTACCCGATCCCAGCCTCGATCACCAACCGAGCGGTGCCCGGCCATGAAACCGGGATCAACGAGCAAGTCTCTATACAGGAAGCTCTGGAACTACCACCTAAGAATATCGCCGACCAGCTGGTCCGCACCTTTTTTTGCATCATTCACCCAGCCTATCCCGTATTCGACCGGAAGAAATTCGCGACATTGTACTCCCAAAACCAAGCTTCTCCACTTGTTCTACAAACAATCTTCCTTCTTGGTTTCACGATTGGTAGTGAGGATCTTGTACGAAAAGCTGGACACAGTAGTCGAGCGATGGCGAGGAGAACGCACTATCTTCGTGCAAAGGCATTGTATGATGCCGATTATGACAATGACCGATCGAACATCGTGGCATGTCTCTTGCTTCTGGGGTTCTGGTGGTCTGGGCCCGAGGATCAGAAGGATACATGCTACTGGGTTGGATGCGCCACGAATATCGCACAGTCCACCGGCATGCACCGCTCGTATGTTATATTCACTCACTGCTTGGAAAGCTTATCTCACATTTGACCAGGATATCGGAGTATGGGTCCAGCCCCTCTGTGAGATCTTTGTGGAAGCGAATTTGGTGGTCGATCTATGTAGGTCACCTCGGGCATGGGATATCAGGTTTCGAATTTCTGACCTCAATAGATCCGGGATCGTCATACTGCAGCAGCCTTTGGAAGGCCTTGCCGTATCCAGGATGAAGACTGTGATGTTGAGCCACCAACTGCCGAAGACTTTTGGTTCGATGAGGTCCAGGACCAGAGTCTTATTGTTCCCCAGAAAGATTTCCATATCTCCTACTTTATTGAGATGACCAAACTGACCACGATACGTAAGTCAAGAACCAAGACAAAGGTCGACAACCACCACCTTTCACACAAGTTAACTTCTATTGTTCCCGTTAGTTGGTGATGTCCTCAAAGCAGAGTTCAGCCCGAGGCGGCCAGCAATGGAGAAGTTCGAAACGGGAGCACTAGCGACCAGACTCGCACAATGGGAAGCCCAGCTGCCGGACCAACTACGAAGCGTGCCGCCCGATGGATCGTTGGGGGCATCCTTTTGGGCCAGCATGCTTCAGTTCTCTTACCAGTAAGATTTATGATACGACCAAGCATCCCGGGCATACCTGACGAAAATTAGAAACTACCATATACTCATATTCCGACCCAAGGCTATCGAAAGCTTTTCATCTGCAGAAACTGAAAGGGACTCAAGAGCACGAATGGCTGCTGATCGTATCACCCGACTTGCGGAAGACCTTTTGGCCACTGGGGCAATCCAATACGCCCAAATCCATCTGTATGAGGAAATCAATGTCGCCCAATAACAGGAAAAGCCATGAACTAACTCAGTAACAGCGTCCCAGCCTTGTTCGGCGCACTCGCCATCAATACTATTTCCATATGCCGCAATGACCCGATTCGTCGCGAACTAGCTCAAAACAAGTCCCGGCAGTGCATGCTTGCATTAAGCGAACTTGCCAAGTCATGGCCCGTCAGGACCTGGATTTTGAAAGCATTCGTGAATCTGATGAAGAGGCTTACAGGCTTGAGCTCAGGCGCCGGTGGGTCGATAACCAGCGTCACCTCTAATGTCGTGAATGATCGCGGAAACACGGCGCTATGGAGTGACATGGGCTCGGATTTACCACAGCAGACGACCAGCTCCCCGTGCGCGCCTAACCCCATGAATGGGCCGCAAAATCTGAATATGAGAGACAATCAAGCCGCGCAATCTTCTTTTATCCATCCATCGGAGTTTGGGAACATTCATACGCATGGGGATCTTTTACAGCTGAGTGATCAGGTCATGAATGATTCATTTTGGGCTGGGTATGTTGACAATATGTTTGATAGTGATCTTTTGCTTCATGAGAGCACCGGCCCTATATTTTCGTTACCTTTAGAAGACTTGAGTGGAAGAGGAGAGACCAATGCTTCGGGCTCCTAGCCAAAAACATCCTTTTACCTCGGCCTATACAGTGTGTATAGTTTGATGAGCTATTATTCTATCACATAATACTTGGCAAGTTGGCATATGTTGATCACGTACGACAACGATGAAAAGATGAACCCGTTCATTTTTTTTTCCATTCGCAGGAAACATATGCTAATAAGATATGGACCTCCCTCTCCGAAGTTTTCAAGGGTTTGAGTGACTGGTAGTAAATTCATACACTTCAAAGCCCCCTAGTCAACCTGCAGTTGCAAACCTACTCTTCCCTCGAATAGACTTCCCGTAAATGAAGAATATACACGGAAAAGGCACCATAGCGACCGTGAGAAATGCCAGAAGACTAGTCGCCCATTGAATGCCGAGGCCTTCGTATAGCTGAACGCCAAACAGAGGAAAAACGGCTTTGAGTGAAGTATTAGTGAGTGAGACGTGAAGTTGGTGATAGCTAAACCTTACCAGCAAATGAACTCCTTGTAAATCCGTTGGCAGCGAGCGCAGATGCAGCATGCTTGGGGTAGGCATCGACCTGTTTGGATATTAGTTGATTGATTCATATCATAAAAGTGAAATATTGCACTCTCAACATATTGGCTTACAAGAAATGTGAAAATTCCCATGAATGTCAATAAAGTTCTGTTCAGCTCGAAGTGTCAGCTTGCACTCTGTTGATATCCAGGACCTACTTACCCGAATCCAAAAACCCCAGAGCCCACAATAGGTACAATCCAATGAATACTAGGTCGTGTGGTCCAGCCAAACCAAAATAAACCGATCGGAGTCAAGAAACCACCCAGTATAGCTGGGGGCAGCCTGTACTCTGGGTGTCGCACATCAGGCCCATCTTTAGACCGATCTAGAAGACGTTGACGGACTCGAGTCCATAATGGCGTACTGAGTCCTGCAGCAATCATCCCAATGATGATTCCCAAAAAGGTGAGGCCAATTTGCCAAATATTCATGCCATATTGCGTTTCAAAGATGAGCGGGAATGCACCGAAGAACAGATAAAGAATACCCAAAAGAAGAGCCGAGTAAATCCCCAAGCAGAGACACATGGGCTCCAAGAAAAGAAGCTGGAATGGCCGCAGAAGTGAGATCAGGAGCATTTTGCCCTTGATTTGGCCATTTTGCTCCACATCAGCCTGATATCGATCATTTCCAGTTTGTTTGCGAAGCTTCCTAGCCGCGGACTGTAGCTTGGCTGGATGGTATGTCTCCGGAGTGAATACCAGTATCAAGAGAAGTAGCACAACCGACCAAATGATCACGAAATAATACGTCCATCTCCAATGAGTATTGAAGTTGATAAAGCCACCAATCAAAGGACCGAAGCAAGGGCCCATAAATGGTGCTGCTGCAACAACCGCCATAGGTTTCTGAATGTGATGATCTGAGAACAGATCTCTCACCGTGCCACCTGCGACAGCTAAGAAAGTGCCGCCTGTGAGCCCGGTGAAAAATCGAGCAATGATGATTGTCTGAATATTTCGCGCAACGATAGGCGGAATGTTCCAAATAATGAACAGAGACCAAGAAGTTAGGTAGATGGGCTTTCGTCCAAACCACTCACTCAGAGGACTGGTCAGTAACGGACCCAGAGCAATGCCAAGGACATAGACTGAGATGCCGACAGTTGAGACCAGTCTGCTTGGGTTGAATTTGGCTTCCATTTGTACATATGTGGTAGTGTAAATGGAGCTGGTGCAGGTGCTGTAAAAAGATCAGTCAAATATTACTTCCAAGTGGAGAGTAGGTAGACGAATTTGAAATGAATGTAGATTTCAATAGGGGCATTTTACTCACACGCAGACAGTTGCAGTGCAAACGATTAGCACAATCAACCATTTTCGAGCAAGTGACAAACTATAGGAGCAGACGGGAATAGATTCAGGATCAAAAGTAACCAAAAGGTCAGCCTCCTTTTTCCCCGTATGCGCAGTTCGTCCCCCATCCCGAGGCTCTCTGATGAGGTCCATCCATGTAAGGAGTTTGGAAGCAAAGGTCATCCTCTGGAGCTATGATTTCCTCTGTGTTCTCCTAGGGGCTTGAGCCGCAGATGCAAGAGGTCCGAAAGATTCGATCTCTCCACCAGATAGAAAGTATAATAGCCGCAGAGACAGTTGAATCTTTGCTATTGGAATCTTCAAAGCTTTAGACGCTAATCCAAGAAAATTCCTTTGATATAACCGAATTCATACGATGACATCGGACTATGAACAAAGTGGGGTCCATCCAAGAACCCGAGGTGTTTCACTCGTCGACACAGACATCCCTGCTAGTTTAGAGGAGAAGACATGGCTCTCCTTCGACGCTGGAGCCTCGTGGATTTTGGGGCTATTCGATAGCTCCGGTGCCCAAAGGGCGGATCGAGAGGCGTTTCAATGTTTCCTGTGACACTTGATTAGGACCGCCGGGCATCGGACGATGTAAATACCCACTCATACTATTCAGCATCTGTGGACTGGCTTCAGGACTGTCGTGCACTGAACCAGCATTCGTAGCAGGAGATTGCAACCGGTGAGACTGGAACGAGCGCCTGTGAATGTTTACTTGTCGCAGTACCTTCGCGTACGCGCGGAGCACTCTAGCTCTGTGTTCAGTGCATAATGTAGAGGAGACATTGAGTTGCTCGCCTAGGCAGAGGAAGTCGGATCGAGAATTCAATAGCTTCTGGTCCATGAGTCTGACCGACGTCTTTGTGTTCAGACTAAAACATTTCTCGTCTGGATGAGAGCGCTTTCGAAATGCGCGACCTCCACGTAGGTTACTTGCAGTGTTTGGATTCATGATAGTAGTATAAAAGGTAGCTTGAGGGTTAGACGAGTGTAGGTTGGAAGGAGTGTCAGACCAAGTTCGGTCGACAATAAAGTGTTAAATATCATTAAACCCCGAGTCTAGAGCGATGCTAGTACATCCCTAGATTTTACCCGGCGTTTGATGGTGAGATTTTCGTATCTAGTTTCGTTGCTGCGACATGTAGAGTCTAGACATGCCTTGCTCTTGTGCTCGGGAGTCGTTCCGGTCGCCGAGACGCCGAGGTCTCTCAACTTCGATCTACGATATTCGCATCCCGCAATCGGAGTGACTCGTTTATATTCTGGCCTTGAGACCAAGCCCCCAGATTGGATGAATTCATCTTTTGCGAAGTTCAAAACACAAGAATACAACAAAAATACACCATGGACACTGAGGGGAAATCCATTGAGAACGCAAAGTCCGCCTATCACCTATCAACTAGAGCTGCACAGAACACTTTGTTTCGAGATGTCTGGGGCCCTCGTGAGAAGTCCATGGGAAATCCCTGGTCACCCAGTAACCCCAGTGGGACGTGAGTCTGAACTGCTTAATTTCACCAGTTGACACCTGGAGAATGGAACCGAGCTGATCGTAATAGTGTCAATCTTCGACTTGCCGAAAACAGTCTCCTGCATGAGGAGGTCGTAGATTTTTTGAACGAAAAGGTTAGCACGGCATGTATCTTCTTTTGGCGTCGATCTGACAGGGAGCTCATAGATCAGCGTGCAATCGACCGAGCACCTCACGTACAGCACGGGACCCCGAGGGTCCCGACGTCTACGACGTGCTGTTGCTGCGTTTATGAATGATGAGTTCCAGTCCAGAGAAGAAATCACTGTCGACAACATCCTCATCACACCAGGTGTAGCCAGTGCGATTGACGGGCTCGCTTGGTCAATTTGTGAGGACGGGGATGGTATCTTAGTTCCTCAACCATTTTACAATGGCTTCACCGTGGATCTACTCAACAGAAGCAATGCCCGCATTGTGGGGGTGACGTATCAAGATATTGAAGGATATACCAGTCTCGACGATCTCTTCAGCCCTGACATGAATGCAAAGGCTCTCGAGGCGGCTCTCCGTAGAGCGCAAAATGACGGCATCACCGTGAGAGCTCTTTTGATCTCCAAGTATGTTTCCTACTCATGACGATGTTTAATCTGAATGCCATCGCTAATGATTGTTCTAGCCCTCACAACCCCCTCGGAAGATGCTATGTGCGTTTTGAAGTTTACTCCTTCCTTTCAACTCCAGGACATCGCTAATGACTTGAAAAGCCCGCTGAGACGTTGAGAGAGTTTATTGCCTTCTGTGGAAGGAATGGACTGCACTTCATCTCAGATGAAATTTACGCCAAATCGCCATTCACCAACCCTGCTATCCCGAACCCTGTCCCTTTCATATCCACCCTTTCTCTGGATTACCATCAGCTTATAGACCCATCGCTTGTGCATATTCTCTATGGCGCAAGCAAAGACTTTTGCGCAAACGGTCTTCGACTGGGACTTGTTTGCACACAGAATAAGGGTATTTTGGGAGCAATGTCGAGCATTGGGTAAGTGTCGCCTTCTCAGTATGAATGCCTTGAAGCTGACATGTCAATTTTCCAGGATATTTTCCTGGTCTCCTCACCTCCTTCAAGATATCTGGGCTGCAATGCTTGAAGACAGGGAGTGGCTGGGGAGGTTCATGACGAAGAAGGCAAAACTTATGGCAGAGAACTATAAGATTGCAACTTCCTTCCTTTCAGGCCGAGGAATCAACTACTACGAAATGTGAGTCGATGCAACTATCACTTCCCACTGATGATCGCTAAACTGTCTCAGGAACGCCGGTCTCTTCATCTGGGTTGATCTACGTCACTTGTTTGTTCCCAAGTCGGCATCACAGTCTTTAGATGGCAGCATCGCGGAAGCGCAGTCTAGCACCAGCACTTACCAGAAGCGCGAGGTGCAGATAGCGGATATATGCTCCAAAAATGGTGTTCTTATTGCGCCAGGAAGCGTATATGTTCCTGAGGAGCTTGGCTGGTTCCGCATTACCTTCACCTTGCAACAGGTGGCGTTGGAAGAAGGACTAGAACGAGTGTGGAAGTCTCTTCAAGAGATTGAATTTCTTGACGAGTGAAAATGAGATAGAAAGCGATATAGATTATAGAGACTCCTGCCTCAAGGTGGTCAATTGGTATGAGTCAGGTGATCCGGATTGTCCAACAACACGCTCCCCTCACACTTCCTCATGCTTTGTTTCTTTCTGCATATGCATCACCCTCTTCGGAGTACACATTCGGACAATGAGCGAGTAAATCGTCTGATAACGTCTCCTTGATGTCTCTGCTTAGACTCTCGGGCCGGACCTATGCACCCCCTTTTCAACGGCATCCAACGTCCAGCAGTGGATTCCTGTCAGACGTCGTTATTCAACTCTTACTCTAGACCTTCTCTCAGAATGGTCTGTGTGAGATGTCAGACTTGATATGCAAACGCGTTCTACCCCTGGAAGATGATCGATCGATACCACAATCTGCGCGAAATTCTCTTTCAGCCCACAAAGCCACGATGTCGGGAATAAAACCCCAATGCCATTGGATCGATTGACGGCGGAATCGATGGATCTAATTTCCGAGAGAGCCATTCGCAAGACCCTTTCTCTTGGCTCGATGCACTAACCAGATCTGACAGGAGATCGACGACTATCTGCGCCGATCTTGGACAATACGAGATCCCGTCCCACGGGGCAGAGTTCGTCGGCTTGACTCTCGCGCAAATATAAGTAAATATGGATCCGGGAGATGGATGACCTCGGCATTCACTCTTTCCTTGCTGCTCAGTCATTCTTTTTTCCAGATCTGTTTAGATCTAGTCATTCTTTTGAACATGGCTCCTCTTTGGCCATGGCTGGGCGCTGCCCTTGCAGCTTTGCCAGTGGCTCTGGCTGCACACGGCGACCCTATTGCGCAGAAATACATTGTCGAGTTTGCTAACTCGAACACTGTTCGTCTATCCTATCCGCTTTATGAGATTTCCGTACTAAGTGTGTAGTCATCGGCTAGCTTCCTCACGACCCTCGAGGACCATGGCATCCATGCCAGTCTCAACCACGACCTCTCATTCGATCTTTTCCACGGTGGCTCCTTCACCCTGCTGGATGACGAGAATGAGGCTGCCATCGTCAAGCAGATCTCTTCGCTGTCTGGGGTGAAGAACGTCTCCCCCGTCCGTGAGATGCACCACCCTCAGCGAGAGGCGTCGAGTGTTGCCCACGGCGCGCCCGTCCGCCGTGATCTCTCCCACGGCCTCCAGCGTCGCGGTCCGTCTGCTCACGGAGATAATGACTACCCTCACATCATGACCGGTGTTGACAAGCTCCGCAGGGAGGGCTACACAGGAAGCGGTATCCGTGTGGCTGTGGTGGACTCTGGCGTTGACTACAAGCATCCTGCACTCGGAGGTTGCTTTGGCAAGGGCTGTCTAGTTGAATATGGTTGGAATTTCCTCACAAACACCTCGGATCCATGGGAAGGCCAGGCTGGCCACGGTATGTTTGAATTAATACCCTTGATTAGAATGTTTCTGACGTCCTCCAGGAACCCACGTCTCTGGACTCATTGCTGCTCAGCCTAACCCCTACGGATTCACTGGTGTTGCCCCAAATGTGACGCTGGGTCATTACAAGATCCTCGGACAGCAAACCGTCCGGTATGAAAGTGACATCATCACAGTCGCTTTCAAGAGGGCGTACGAGGACAAGACCGACATCATTTCTGCATCCTTCGGTACCTACAATGGCTGGAGCGACGAGCCCATTGGACAATTGGTCGCGAGACTAGCTGACGCCGGACTTCCCGTTTTCATTGCCGATGGCAATGATGGAAGCTTTGGCTTGTTCTTGGCTTCGAACAGCATCGATACCCCAGGCAGTGGAATTGGAATCGGATCCGTCAACAACAAGTACAGCCCTCTGCTTCTGAGCGGAGCAACCTACTCGACACAGAACACCACCAAGCCATTCGGCTGGCAACTTGCAGGCACCTCCGACTTCAAGAATGGCACTTACACCCTTTACCCAAGCAGCTTGAACACCTCTGTTGTTGGTGACTCCTGCGAGCCCTGGACAGATGACCACCCCGATCTCTCTGACAAGATTGTTCTGATCCGCTACGGTGGCTGCAAGAGCAGCCAGCAGCAGGCCAATGCCGTTAAGGCTGGTGCTAAGAATGTCCTCATCTACCTCAACGAGCCCGGTACCTACGAGCTGAGTGTTCAGGACGCTAACCTCACTGGCGTGGGTATGGTTTCTGCTCAGACTGGTGAGAAATTGGTTAACCTTGCTGCCTCCGGAGCTGAAATCAAACTCAACATGATCAGCGAGAAGTTTGCCAAAACGATCTTCATCAACGAGACCAACCCTCAATCCGGCGGCCAGCTCAGTGAATTCAGCCAGTGGGGTCCCAGCAACGAGCTCCTCCCCGTGACAGCTGTTTCCGCACCCGGTGGATTCATGCTGTCGACTTGGCCTGTTCCTGCTGGTAGCTACGCCATTGAGAGCGGTACCTCGATGGCGACTCCGTACGTTGCTGGTTGCGTTGCTCTCCTGATGGAGGCTCGCGGCAAGGGCAACCTGACCCCCAACGAGCTCAGATCTCTGCTTTCCACCACTGGTAAGCCCAATGTCTTCCATGACGGTGTCACTGCGTCGTCGCTCCTGGGATCCGTGGCGCAGCAGGGTGGTGGAATGATCGATGCCTACAAGTTGGTGCACGCAACCACTAGCTTCAACGTCAGCACCATTGCCTTCAACGACACCCAGCACATTGCTCCGGCCTACATCCGCATCAGCAACAACGCCTCCTCTTCGCGCGTTTACTCTGTCGGACACGTCGGCGCCGCCACCGTGTACACCTTGACTGGCAACAGCTCCATCCCCAAGGAGAACAAGCTCGGAAACTTCACCGAGCACGTCCCCGAGGGAGCCTCTCTTCAGCTCAGCTCATCCAGCATCAGTGTTCCAGCCGGTGGATCCGCCGTGCTCAAGGTCACCGCCACTCCACCCAAGGGTCTTGACTTCCGCCGCATTCCCGTGTACAGCGGATACGTCACCTTCAACGGAACCAGCTCCGATGACTCTTTCTCCGTCCCATACCTGGGTGTTGCTGCTGCGATGCGCAACGTGACTATCCTGGACACCACGGAAGGCAGCAACATGATCATCGACAGCGTTACCGAGAAGCCCATTAAGGCCAATGAGCAACTTGTCTTCCCAGGCGAGAACGACGCTTACGATAGAGCGAACACCAGCTACCCCATCTTCCAGACGAAGCTGTCTATGGGCACGAATCTGCTTCTTGTTGGCGTGAAGGCTGCTAACAGCAGCACTGTCCTGCCAGTTATGGAGCCTCAGACCGCTCTCGCTCGGACAACTCAGATTGGTATCTCTGGTCCCAATACATTTTCCTTTATGGGCCAGTTGGCCAATGGCTCATACGTCCCTGAGGGTGATTACACCATGGTTGTTCGTGCGCTGAAGATCTTTGGTGATCGTAAGAACCCGAGGGATTATGACACTGTGCGAACAGTCAACTTTGGATTTACATATGCGGCCCCTGCTAACTGAATGGTTTTATAATGTCGCTGATTCATTCTTTCTCTATCTTTTTCCTATATACAGGCTTCTATGTGGCTGCTCTTCTCTAGAGGGTAGAGCCACTTGCCAGGCTATTTTTCGTCTTGATCTTGTCCAATTTTGAAACCTGATCTTTTCTTGAATAGCGAACAGAAACCATCTTCTAATTTATGGCATTGTTCAGATCATTCGTGCACATTCATAATGACATTATCTACGACTTCTTCATCATGTCCCCTCCCTATATTTACTCAGCTGCCTATTAATCTCCAACATACTCTGTGGCCACCAGTCCTCACTATCTTCCCACAAGCTACCACGCCACATACTTCTCTTAGCAGTGACAACGTGCTGAAGCTCCCAGCTGCCAATGCCACCAATCCACCACACGTTATCTAATAAAAGAACCAGAACAAGCCAATGTGCAAATATCTCCATCGCCAACTGGTGTGCCAAATCTGGTTCTGGGATCTCAATATCGAAGCAGTGATTGATTCCGGATCCATCTTGAATGGAATTCATCATCCGCTCAACGAGCTCAAGATACCTCGTTGGAGCTTTGTGGACAAAGGCCATGATGAATCGTCGAGGAAGCTTCGAGGGTACCATCGATGTTATGTTGGCCGTGTATCTTCGCATCCAAGGCGATATCGCAGTACCGAGCTCACTGGTATTGAAATCCGTCTCGCAACGACTGCGACGATCCAATGCACATGTGGAATGTTTGGAAAGCGTCTCCGTGACAATTTCCCTCAATAGGTCGAACGCGCAAAGACATGCTTCGAGATCAACATGTATACCTGATTGAGAAATAGGGCTCGCCACCTCGCAACTCTGCCCGACAATCCCCCTGACCATATCAACCTTCTCACCCAGCTTCGTCATCGCAGAAGAAACCGTCGCCGCAATGACAGTATATAAAGGATGATCGAGCGGTCTCATCCGCTCGGACTCCGACGCAGAGGAAACAGGCCTTTCCGGACCTTCTTCCTCCCTCACAGACGTCTGCTTGATCAAACCCCCATAAGCCAAGCGCGCAGCACGAAACAAACTAATCCACTGCCCGCTTTTCGGCACCCCATCCAACGCAGTACCCATGGGCTCTGCCGTCTCCGTTAACCAAATCCGAACACAATGGCTTCCAGAGCCATACATCCCCATCATAGCCGCATTAGCCAGGATATGGTCATACTGCTTGACTTTCGACAGCGTCGGTTGAATCTCGCGCAATGACTCCATATGGTATTTGTCTGCGGTGCGCAGAAGGTGTAATATCTCGCTGCGTCCCAGACTTGAGATGGGGGAATGCTTGATGATATCGTGGCATTTGCATATTGCCGAGAATGCAAGGACTGACCTCATAAGAGGCTTGCTTTGGAAGGCTAGGTTGGGTATCCCGATTTGGAGAGCGTATTGGTCGCCATCGTCGACGGTCATGTCTTTGCTTGTGTGTGAGAGGTAGTGCTCCAATAGGGCTGATTCAGGAGGTGTCAGTGTTTGGACTGGGTGTGGGTGCCAGATTGGGATTGTTTGGTCGTAGACGAGGAGGTTGAATAGTTGTGGTCGACTTAGGGCTGCTAGGAAACTCTTTTGGGGGGTTTGAAGCTCCAAGGAGTCGACTTCCTTGAACTCCTCTGGTTGGGTAATTCGGTTTCTTGTAGGATATCGACATACAAGGCCGAGTTTGGTGCATCTTGAGCACTTGGGTTTTAGTTCGTCGCACTGCTTCTGGTCAATATACTCCGTACTCGCGCAGATGGGTACTTGTCATACCTTTATTCTGCGGGCTTTACATTTCTCGCATCCATTTCGGGACTTTTTGTGCGATCTGCGTGTCTTGCTGGTGCTGTTGCTGTTGCTGTCACTGCCGTCGGGATCTGATCTGTCCATGGCTGATAACGTGTGTGTGATGAAGCTTCATGTTCGGACAGCGGTCTTAAATTCCCAGTTGATAATTCCAAATCACTGTCGGGCGTGGGATAGCCACTGTCTCATTGGTCGCGAGTAAGCGGTGTTGAGGCTGTGACGGCCAAGGCTGCGCCTCTGCCCATCCTTGGCATTTGGAATTCATGTTCGCTCAGCTCGAGTTTTGTGTATTTTCTTTGACTAGCTTGGTCTGACGCTGGTTTATATTCTCCTTCGACCTGCCACCGTTTCCATAGTTTCCGGGAGGATGTGTTAGGCTGGTGTTGTGCCCGGCTTGATGCAAGTGCGTATTCGCTAAGATTAAGTTGGGTTGACAAATACTTGCCGTGGCTTATTTGGCGTGTTGTCGTCTCAAGAACTTACTTAGAGCCTCCAAATATTGCATAGAGGTAATGAGCAGATATCAGTATTATTGTCATCTGTCGAATACCTTGTGAAAACTGGCTAACTATGCATTCTGAGGTCGATCAGTAGACATTGCCGACCAACCCTTGGAAGTATACGGAGGAGAGAGAGGTATAGTATAGATCATATTACAGTAAGCCCTATTGGACCAAAGGCATCGACATTTCGGTACGAAATTGAGACTCATTGAGTCCTAGGCCACTCGCATCGCGTATAGAATACGCCCTTGGCTTTGCTCGGTGTCATCAATACCCTGGCAGCTACACAGCGATGGGAAAACCACAAGAATTTCTATATAAGTTCAATGGAAGTCCAGCTCAGATCACAGTTCACCAGTCAAATAACGATCCTAAACCATGAAACTTTTCTCCATCGCAACGCTCTTCGCCCTTGTTGCCAGCTCAGTGAGCTGGGAAGACCATGAATGGCATCCACCTCTCCGAAGCGACAGTATGTCCCTGTCTCGTTATACCGAAACGTATAACAAATTCTTAACTATCTAGGCCGATCCCCATGTCCAGGCCTCAACGCAATGGCCAATCACGGCTACCTCCCTCGCTCAGGCAAAGACATCGACCTAGCCACGCTCCGACATGCCGTATCCAGTGCCTATGGCTACGAGCCCACGGCCTTTGACGAAGCATTCATCCAAGCAGTGGATTTCAATATCACGACTACAGGCAACGACTCGACCATCAACCTTGTGGATCTAGCGAGACATGAAGGACCGGAGTTCGATGGGTCGTTGTCAAGAAATGATATCTACTTTGGAGATGATCTCCACTTCGACTATTCCATCTGGAAGACTGTTGCGCAGAGTCTCCGGCTGTATGATACATTGGGGTCTGGAGAGCAGTATGTTACGGTGGAGATGGCGGCTAAAGCCCGGGCTTTGAGAGTTAGGGATGCACAAGCTGTTAATCCGGAGTTCAATGGTTCGGGCGTGGCGCTGATGGGGAGTCCTGGTACGACGGGGGTTTATTTGACGACCTTGTGGAATAACGAAGCGAATGCTGTGCCTAAGTCATGGATTCGTGTGTTCTTTGGTGAGACATGTCTGCTCTGACTTGTTTGCAATACTGATATTTGTGCAGAAGAAGAACGCATCCCGTACCGTGAAGGATATCAACCTCAGCCTAAGACCCAGGCCAAGCTTGGTGAAATTATACAAAGGGTGATGGAAGTCAAAGTCTAACAGAGTTCTTTATAAAGCTCTATCTATCGCATCATACAGATATACACCTATATCCAATCCTACCTAGGTATATTCAGATCAATCAAGCCCCCTCCCGCATTCCAACCAGAATACATCCAGCCCCCATCATCCCAGCACCCAACCACCATAACCCCCCAACCGCCTCTTGGAAAACAACCATGCCCAGCATCGCCGTAGCCAAGAAATTAGAAGCCGTATTCGTAATGGAAACCTTAGTCGTCGAAGGGCCGGCCGTCAATGCACGCGTGAAAAGCGCCCACATGATGATATTGCATAGCACATTGAGGCCCAGACAGGCCTGAGATATGTTAGTTTACACCTGGATAATGATAGAAGGTGGCACATACACCTCGCACGAGCAATTCGAGGAAAGGAGAAGATTCTAAACCAAATAGGTGGGCGATGGAGTGGGCAAATGATGTGGTGTGATTGTCCGTTGTTCTGCGCCGGTTAGTTCAAGGTTGGGTTACACGGGATGCAGGAACGGAAGTATATGCCATAAGTCCTGGATACACTTTGTGTATACCTAAGTAGAGTTCTTTGGGGCATCGGGAGCTATATGGCATATCTCGGACCTCTAGGAACGTACAGTTTTGCGAAGACACCGTTCAATGCCGCGAAGGTGCCGCTGGTGATGGCGAGGAGGACCCAGGGAGAGGCTGTGGACGGACTTGGTGGAGTAGACATGACAAGGATGGTATTGCAGTATACAGATGCGATATATACGGTGACAGACTATGTGCAGTACACCAGGACTGGACGACGCAAGCGACGTCGGGTCCAAGGGGATGCCAAGGCCGATAACGATAAGATAAACTGATATGGATGGGCCTCGGAGCTTCAACATCAACATTCACATTCACATACAAGCACAATTGACAATTGAAAAGCACAAACCGAGTCTATGTCTATATCTAAGGAGACAATCTCTGCACCCTCCACTTCACACCCTCACCCTCACCCTCCTCCCTAACAAACCTAAACCGATCATGCAACCGACTCCGTCTCCCCTGCCAAAACTCAACCGACTCAGGCACAAGCCTAACACCACCCCAAAAAGGCGGCAACGGAATCTCCTCCACATCCCTAAACTTCTCCTCCATCTCCTTAACCTTAGTCTCCAACAACCCCCTCCCATCCTCATCATCCGTCCGATCAATATCCCCGGGAACAACCCCATCCTGCAAACAAGCAATACTCTTCCTCCTCTGTCTCTCAGCCATAACATCAGCCCCAGCCTCCCACAAAACCCTACTCTGCCAACTCGCCCACCCCCCAATCTGCGACCCCCTCTCCCTAGTCCTCCAATACAACTCACTCTCCTCCCTACTAAGCGGCTCAAGTAACCCCTCCACACGAACCGATCTCTCAACAGTAGCCCAGCTAAACGTCAACGCACCCCATTTGTTGCCTTCGGTCGTAATGCTCTCAGGCATGGCTCCTAGCTCCCCCTTCTCACCACCGAAGACTTGCCCGCCTTTCCCCTCCCGACTTCCCCAGTTACTGTAGACGACCCAGCCTCGTTCGTCGAGTTCCTTGAGGTAGACTGTGCGGGCGCTCACGCGGCCGGAAGGCATAGATGCCGTGGCGAGGGTGCATGTCTCTGGCGCTGAGGATGCGGGGAGTCGCGGGTCGCGGAACCAGGTGTTGAATTGGTGGAGGGGGTTGGTGCCGTGGATTTGGGAGATGGTGAGTGGGGGGTTGGTGCCGAATTGGTGGGCTCGGGCTGCGTGGGAGAGGACTTGGGTTTCCGTTGTGGAGGTTGGTGTTGAGGTGTCGGTGGGTGGCTCGGTGGTCCCTTCGGGTGCTTCGCCTTCGGGGGCTATGTCGCCTGGTGCAACTGGGTTTTTTGTTAGGGTTGAAAGTTGTGGATTGTAGTGGTGAGGGTGGATTTACAGATGAGTTTCTTTGGGCGTCGGTCTGCGTATGCGTCCATGGTTTTGGTCTTGGGTTGTTGGATGGAGGAATATGTGAGGCGGGGTTGGCGGGGAGTGCGGAGTGAGTCAACGGCTAGGCGGAGTGCAGGTGCTCGGAACATGGAATTGTAGGGTGTAGTTTGTAGGAATCGTAAGGCGGATTGAGGACAATTCTATAGATGTACAGAGTAGAGTCGGAGTACGGAGTGGCAAGGCGAGATAAAGCTCCGGAATAGGATACGCTCCGGGATACAAGGCGGAGCTCGCGAGGGCGTAAATCATACGACCATACTAAAACTTAGGAGAATTTGACTCATTCACTTTTTTTTCATATTGTTTCGGCGTCTATGTACGCGATGTAGAGTTGAGATGGTCTATGAACATGAAATCAAAATGGTATACAGTGCTCATGCACGCCTTTTTTGAACACCGTAAACGCCGAACGCTGAATGCCAGAAATCACAAAATTATTACCAGGCATCACCACATCCTGAAGATGCCGAGCCGGAATCCATGGGATCCAGCCCTGGAGTAAGTGCAGGGGTGCACAAGAAGATAGAATGGGTATCACCTGGTCACAAAACAAGAACACGGGCAGGAAAACTTAAAGAGAAGAAGAGGTACCGACGAGATCGACGATCTTGCCAGAGACAGCAGAAGGGTAGCCGCGGGACATCATCTCCTGGACGATGGCGGTGGCACTGGGGCGCTGATCGGCACTCAGGAAAGCGCGGGTCATGGCCTCGTAGGTGCTGGGCTCGCGCTTCTGGATGCCGATGCTGTCGTAGACGGCCTTGGCCTTGGTGACGTCGCCCTCAGCGGCCCAGCCGTGAATCAGCGTGTTGGCAATGTACGCGGTCATCTCGACCTTGCGGGCGAGCATGTCCTGGACGATGGGCTCAGTGTCGGCGACGCGGTGGTTGGCGACCATGGACTCGAACAGGGCTTGGTAGAGGCAGGGCTGGACGCGGACGCGGCGGTCGGACAGAACAGTGTCGAAGATCTTGCGAGCACCCTCGAGGTCATGCTGGACACATCCCTTGGCGTGGACAAGGGAGGCGTAGTGAACAGCATCGGGGTGTTGACCGGCGGCCTTCATGGTTTCCAAAACGGCCTCGGCGGCAGCCATGTTGACCGGCTCAAGGGAGGCATGGGCGTCAATGAGAAGCTTGTAGGTATGCATGGTCGGTTGGATGTTGCGAGCCTGCATGCGCTCGTAGTAGGCGAGAACCTTGCTGATATCACCCTTGGTGTTGAGGAAGTATTGGATCATAGAGTTGTAAGGCGCGGGGCGCGGCTTGTAGTTAGGCATGGACTCCATTTCTTCAAACATCTCCTCGGCGAAGCGCTCGTCACTGACACGGCACAGGGCGTTCACAATGGTTCCGTAGGTGACACTGGTTGGGCGGACGTTGTTGGCGCGCATCTCAGCAAAGTATGCAAGACAGTCGTCTATGCGACGGGCCTTGCCGAGCTTTCCAATGAGAGCGTTGTACAGGAAGGAGGTGGGCTCAACGCCCTCAGCAACAGCACGGTGGAAGACCTTGAGGGCCTCGGTGGCCTCGTCAAAGGTCTTGGTAGACTCCTTGAGAGTGGTGATGTACAAACCGAACGTGTTGGCTGAGGGAGCGGAGCCGAGGGTGAGAAGCTCCTTGTGGTACTGAGCCGCCAGCTGGCGATCGCCGAGGGTGAGACAGGCAGCGACCATAGCGTCGAGGATGGAAACCCAACCGTACTTGACGGCAGTGAAGTTCATGTCGAGCGGAACGTCCGAACGGGCCATGTTGTGAATCTCGTGGGCCAGGCTCATGCGACCGGTCTTGGAGGCGGCAGTGATCAACTTGGCATAGGTGATGTAACGCGGGTGACGACCAGTACGACGAATGCTGTTGAGACGGTTCAGGGCCTCGTTGAGATGGGTTTCAGCACGTCCGCTGGTCTTCTCGAGCTCATCGGCGATCATGGCAGATCCACGGAAGTCAGTTGCGTGGGCGTAGGGATCAAACGACTCAGGTGCAGCAGGCGTAGTGATGGAAGTCTCAGCCATGGATACAGGGCTGTGGCTTTCGGAAAACACGCGAGCGGGCGACACCGAGGTCGGGGTGTTGGCACCCAGATGATCTTGCCATTTCTTGACGATGTCAGGGTTGCTCACGTACAACCGGCCAACGGCCTGGTCGACAATACTGGTCGTGTAGAGGTCCATGGGGAGGGAAGAAGACAGGGCGACATCGAGCATGTGGGCAAAGCGAACGGGGTGAGCAACATCGAAAAGCATCGAGCTGCTGCTCGCCAACATACCAGCCTGGACTTGGAGAGCAAGGGTAAGGTCGGCAGGCTTCAGCTGAGAGATACCAATGGGACCAAGGTTAGCGACAGCGTGCTCGGCTAGCGGCGATACTAGACCGCCGTTCTCGAGCATGGACCACAGGAGTGACATGGAAGCTTGGGGAGAGAGAACAGCGGCCGACTGCATGAGAACACGACCGAAGATGTGAAGCGACTCGACAATTTGTTCGCGGACGACGATGTTCTGCTTTTCCGGGGATGCGTTGCGAATGCGGGTGAACATGTTACGGGCCTGGTGCAGACCCTCCTCAACATTTCCGCTCTTGAGCAACGCGACCGCATACATGGCTGTCGGCTGAACCATATCCGGGGTTGCCTGACCCACTGTGTTCAACATGATCCACAAGGAACGGGCCGCCGAAACATTGCCCCGGCGGACGTGAAGCGCCAGCAGGGAAATAGCCGGGTTCTGTCGCGCATCGGGAGCGGTGGGCAGACTATCATATGCTGCGGAGGCAGTGGGGAGATCGTCGGCGTCAGCGGCGGCGATGCAAATGCGGGAGATGGCCTGATCACGGGCCACATCATGCAACTGGTCCTTAGCCTGTTCCAGAGCCTGGCCGTATTTGAAGGTATCAAGGGAATGCTGCACAAACGCATCCTCAATGATGATGCTCTCCACTGCGGACCACCGATCCTGGCGACCCTCAGTCACTTCGTCGAAGGAAGACCGAATCTTGTCAAGGAACTGCAGGGCTCCGGCTTCCTTGTCGCAAGACAGATAGGCGCGGATCAAAGCAGCATAAACCTGACCATCCTGACGCTCCACGATGCTGAAAACACCGCTGTCATCGGAAACAGCCAGGCTGCGGTACTCGTTGTAGCATTCGACGGCACTGCGGAGATCGCTAGCAGAGGCGAACGCAGTAATCATCGAAGGGAAGATCGTGGCGTGAGGAGTAACCTTGTGGGACTCCATGTGGGCATAGACGCGGATCATATCGTCGGCCTTGCCTTCCTTGGCACAGGCGATGATGAGCTGACGGTAAGTCTCAACGGGGAATGCAAGTCGGCTGTGGCGCGAAGCGGCGGTGTTGAAGAGCTTGACGGCAATGGACAAAGAGGTATCCTCGAGGAGGATGGCATGTTCCAATTCGCTCGACTGAAGCATGAATTTGCCTTGCTCTTCCATTCCACCGAAGCGGGCTCGCTGGTTCTCGAGGACCTGCTTGGCCTTGATGATATCGTGAGCCCGGGTAACGAGCAGATGAACCAAAGTCTCATAGGTGTCTTCATCGGGAATTACCCTACGACGAAGCATGTCAGAGTAAACATCGAGAGCCTTCGGGATGGCCTGAGCAGCATCGGGGTGCAAGCGAATTGCAGCCACCAGCAAGGCATTGTACGCCTGTACCGTCGGTGTCAGGCCATCGCGAAGCAGAGCCTCGAATGCAGCTGGGATGTCCGCAAACTTCTTGTCTGCGACCAATCCCACAATGCCGTCCGAGGCCACTTGCGATGCCTCCGACACCTGCGCGACTTCCTCGGCAGGCTCGGCGCTCAGCGCCGCCTCCTCGGCCTGCGCTTGCTCCTCCTGAATCTGAATCTCACGGGCGACGGCCTCCTCGACCTGGGCGCTTACATCGTCGTTTACAGCGGCTTTGGTGGGGTGGGGAGGGATGGACTCGGACGCGGCGCGGTCTTCGGTACGGTCGGCCTCGTCCGAGGGTTTCCAGCCGATGCGACGGTTGAACTCATATTGAGTCCAATCGCTGTCATCGCCGGTCTGCTGGGCATTCTGCCACGCGGTATAGTAGGCAGCTAAGCCCCCATCACCACCTCCGGAGCCGGAGCTTGTCTTTGCGCCAGCGCCGGACGAGCTGGAGGCATTAGAGAAAGAGTTTTGTAATTGAGTTGTCCGGGAGAACTTGGCGGATTGGACGGAAAGTGGGTTGAAGGGAGTGGTTGACGCGTAGGTCTGCGATGCAGCGACTACGGACTGAGCATAGCCATGAGTGAAGGCTTTGGTGAAAGACTGGCGCGCGAGGTGGGTGAATGGTTTGAAAACCATTTATCTGATGGGCAACCTCTTCTGAGCAAAGAGGCCAAGCTGGGGACAAGTTAGCCGGTGCTCGCGTGTTGACAGCGATCACATGCTTACCGTACACTCGAAAGTATTAGTGAAGATGCAGGTTCATTTGACGAGATATCGCCAATGAACGCGCCAACAAAATTAAAGTAAACAAAATAAGTCCTGTAGTGACAGGAATCAGACGGGAAGGGGTGAGAGAAAAATATAACTCATCTTCTGGAAGGAGATGGAGTTTCACAGTGGGCCTCGAACTGCTTAGGGCCGATCCTCTCCGGAGTGTACATTCTACCCTCCGTTTACGATAGATCATTGATCCTATCTGATACCTGTTCTTTATTTTTCCCTCTTTCTTAACGGAGTACTCCGTATGGCAGACTCTGTTTGTTTTCATGCAAGTTCTACATTCCGTACAGTGTTGGATACATTGAAACGAAGGTATCACATTCGGGGATTAATCTCAAGTCCTCCGTACACAGTCATTGTCGGGCCAAGGACCCGATCAACAGGTCAGGTGCAGTGTCAGAGGCAGGCCAATCACCAGCGATGCGTTCTCGTTTAGCAACGAAACAGGGGCTGAGTGCCTCTCTGAGTCACTGAACTCCCGGTTCTTTTTCTTCGGAGCGGCGCTGCTCCTTCCCCGGCTCGGGGTTCCGATTGTCCGACGGAGTTAACGGCCTTTGAGTTTGTCTTATTTGCATTGTTTGTCTGGTTTGTCTCTTTGCCTTCCACTCGGTTCCAGGGCTCACGAACAACTCAGCCTTGTTTTCCCCCTACACACTACACAATATTCCCGTGATACTGGCCCCCTTATCTGGCTAATTTCAGGGATCAGCTGAACCCTGTCGCCTTCTATGTCATATTGTGGCAATGGGTTCAGCTCTTGATTTGTCGCCTTCTCATGCATCGACTGGGGGATTGGCTCGGGCTTTGGGTCTGAAAGTACCCAAAATCGGCCTCCGATCATGGCTGTGCACTGCACTCGCGGTTCCTTGTTTACAATGATTCCCACGTTTGTTGGCCATGAGAAACCGATTTTGGGTGATTTTCAGGCTCAAAGACTGAATTAATCTCCCATCCCTGTGCAAGCCGTTTGTGTCAAGGTTCAACTGAATGCCTCTCGGTCGGTCTTGGTCAACGGTCAACGCCTAGTCCCGCCAATGCATTCCTGGGCGTTTGCCTGATCCTGACGGATTCTATGGGGAACTTGCTAGCTCGCCGACGAACCCTGAATATCCCTAAATACCAAAATAGGCATGCACAGATGACTGGAAGGCTCGGATGCGATACGGTCCCGGACAACCTTGGAACAGGGACAACATATGTACACTGTACTATTCACATACCCCAACCAACATGATCCAACCAAAAAGTTCCTCGTTTCCCCCCGCTTTTCCCCCACCTAATAAAACACAAAAGTATTTCTAATATTGGTGCTGATGCAAGCTCTCCAAGCGGTCCACGGGTACTCCGTACATACACACTGGTTCTCTGGCCACGTAGTTGATGATTCCCGCAAGTTTCCGACGGAGTCAAAGAATCATCGTCGCTGGAAGCCCAGATGTGTTGTCATATATCCACCAATCCTGTTTTTCGTGCCTTATCCAGGATTGAAAGCAAATTGTTGACGCCAACACTTTTCATGACCTATAATTCCGGGCCACCGCACCGGATATCATATCCTTGCATGTCCGGCGGTAGCTAGTGAAACCTCCGCCACTAATCAAGGAGATAAGGCTTATTCTCTGGGTTTGTGTGAGGTTGGCCTGGGTTGACAGCCTCATGTTGCATCATAACCTTCGGGTCCAAATGTAGCAGATATCTCCGGCAACATCTCTCAAGTCAATAGATACCCGTGAACCAGCAGAACATAAGCCATTCCCTTACCTAATTGCTCCGGTCGACCTCGGGTTGGGACCCTGGAGCTCACTATGAGCACTTTCGTCCGTCTGTGCATTCCCCCGCTTCCTTCGCCGTTCCGATATGTGAACGTGATGCATGACGCAACCAACCCGATGGATGATAACTCCACTAAACCCGTATAGATTGAGGCTATGAAGTCGATATCGTAGTGTCAGATTCCAACAGCCCAGCCATCTTGACCCTCTCAATTCACATTCAAAGAACATTCGATGGAATCACTTCGAGTCTGACGTCAGCGGGCACTCCAGAGCTCGGGCTCGGACACCACGCCGAGCACGAACCGCGCTGCCGATCGATTTCTGTGCCGCTTCATTCAACCGATCGCCGGAAGGGCGCCCTGGATGGAAATATATTCTTTTGATTCGTCCAGCGCAGAAAGTATCCGTGTCCGTGTCGGAAGTTTGCCAAAGACCGTTGAACGGAGGGGTTTATGCATACGCGGATTCCGATATATATACCGGCCCCGTGGACGTCGGAAAGCCCTGGAAACTGCCTCAAAGGTTCCAAGTTGGGTTTGATGCCAGGAACCGTGGAAATGTAAACGGCGCCAGGATAAACATCAGCCTCATCTCGTGGAAAACTCTGGAACCTTGGAACGGGTTGACTATTCCTGGACCTGAACGTCCACGGGTGTACCAGGGGCTTTGGAGGTGAACATGGCTGCGCACAGCTACCTAGTAGATCGTCGAGATAATCATGTGTCAAAATTACGAAAATAACCTTGAAATAGTCAGTGCGCACCTGGCACTGCACGGTACACATTGTGCGGACCATGGGGCAGACCTGCCGATCCGACGTTTATCACGGACGCTCCACAGTAGGCCCGTGGTCGGATTGAATAGATATTCGTTTAGAGCACGTTGACCAAGTACAATACTACAGTAGTACTACAGTACTATAGAATGTCCTTTGAAGGCCGAGAAAGCCAGGAGAGTTCATGACAGTAAAAGCTGCTCCGTATAGTGTTGCGAACTTTGATGTACTACTACAGTACCTACAGGTTAATACTAGTACAGACACCTCTTATGTACCTAGGTAGTACAGCTCTCAGGGCCCAGAGCTTGCCCATGCAGTGACTCATTTTTAAACGCACCTGTGGGTAGATTAAAGACCAAATAGGCAAGTAAGCTTTCCGCCGGGCAAGGTTATTGACAGCCTCAGGTACCACCGTCAGAGCTTCTGAATGCCTAAACGGGAAATAACAGCGCGACTCCCATACATCATCCCCGACTATCATCCCACTGGGCCCACAGAAAAATCCCTGAACCCAAGTACCAGTACTTCACACGGTATTCTGATAACCTGAACAGCTCTCCAATACTGGTATTTTCCCCAGACCTTAACTCCCGAGTCGGGCTGTGGACTTACTCCGTACAATCCAAAGATCTCTGTGGATTCCACGCTGTACTAGTACAGCAGTACTTTGCTGTGAAATTTGCTGACATGGACTCCACCCATGTACACCTTGTTGTGCCATGGCTTGCATGCCGTGACAAGCCGTGATATTACTCATGCAACTTCCCGTCTATAGCCCGAGTCCAAAGTACATACTGGTACGGAGTACCAATGCTCCGTTGTACAGTACGAAGTGCCGAAGGAAATAACCTCCCACTGATTTTCTTTGTACTCCGTACCACTTGGGCGTAATGCACCCTTTTGTCTGCATTGTCTGCTCTGGACCCTTCGGCACACTCGGAGCTCTCGGCCATGCCAAGCCTTCTTTTGTTCCATGGAGCTCCCGAATGGGGCGTTTTGCCAGATTGGGCGACACGTGACCGGCGGATATACGGGTTTCGCCTTATATGGCGATCAAGTGGGGCCCGACTTCACCTGCAGTGAGCTTTTTTCCGCTTATAAATCGATAATTTAACCCAGGGAAAAGGTATGCTGATGAATTTTTCTGGTCTCCCAGGGCTCATATGCCGAATTACCGACCTGGTCAAAGCATGAAAGAGTTTTATAGTGGTTGTGGTTGAGTGGTAGATGGATGTTATACTATAGTATGTACGAGTGTGAGTATGAGTATGCCCAAGTGCAGGAGAGCAATGGAATGGGTACGCATACAGGTAAGGTGTGTAAAGTACCAGTACACGATCAGCAGGTATGATGTTGGCCTGCATTGTACATCGTAAGGATATTCCTAGGATATTCCTGCGATACAGTATCTAAACTATATAAGTGGGTCTAGATCGTCGTGCGATGACGATTCTCATTTCCCTTCAGGGACCGCGTTCGCGTCATTGTTCACCATGAAAACCATTACCAACGCCCTCAAAATCCGAGTACTCGCCATGAAAAAGCCGAAGACATCGCCGTCGCGACGGCGATTCGAAACCGCCCAAAAAATCGGCATCCGGGACGCTGCCGTTGAACGGATCGAACCACTGCCGGGATAGCCGGTAGGAGCTTCCATGTCCGGTGACAATCCACTATGTGGCTACGGACCATAGACACCTTGGCGGAGCTTTTTTTTCTTTCTGCGCGAATGCTTATAAAGGGCTGACCCCCCCTGCGCCGCTCCATCGCATTTTGTATATAAGATTTGGCTCTTTTGATCTATAGACCTCAAGCTCAATTATGGCAACGCAAACAGCTGTGGACGTGCGCCCTGCGCACCGGGGACGTGGCTCAGAGAGCGATAGCTCGCTGGACGAGATCGCGCAAGAGAAGCAGCAGGCGCAAACCCTTAACCACGGTAAAATCGACGACGCAGCATCCCCGAAGCGATGGAAGAGCTTCTGGTCCGCATTCCGACACCTGGCGCATCTCACGCCGAAGGAGGTGGACGATTTCATGGCCTCCTACGTCATCTATAACCTCGACTGGTCCGACGAGAAGCAAATGACCGAGACATTGGGCCCCAATTACCAGGAGAAAGTCGGTGACTGTTTGAAGTCGTACTATGGCGTGCTGAACCATCTCTGCGCGCTGGGCGACGTCGAGAAAATGTACATCCCACCCTGGATGAACCCCAAGTCCAACTGTCTCGAGAACCAGATCCTATACGAGCGCTCAATCGCAGAGGACATCGGCCTCACGGCTGGTAAGAAGGTCCTCGATCTCGGCTGTGGCCGTGGCCGCGTCGCCGCTCACATGGCGCAACACACCGGCGCACATGTCACCGGTCTGAACATCGATCCGAACCAAATCGCACAAGCCACCAGCTTCAATGCCGAGCGCGGCCTCCAGAACAACTTCGTCACGCAAGACTTCAACGACCTCCCTCTGCCCTTCGCCGACGAGAGCTTCGATGCCTTCTATCAGATCCAAGCACTGTCTCTGTGCAAGGACCTCCCCGCGCTCTTCCGCGAGATCTTCCGCGTTGTCAAGCCTGGCTCCAAGATCTCACTCCTGGACTGGATCAGTCTGCCCGACTACGACGCCAGTAACCCCGAACACGCCGAGCTCATGCGCCGAGTGAAGCCGCTCATCGGTGCGGTCGGTACACCGACACAGGACATTTTGGAGAAGGCGCTCAAGGAGTCTGGGTTTGAGATTGTGCGGTCGCAGAATGCCAGTATCGATGGCCTGCAGGCTCCGTTGATTGATACCGTGGATGTCTACTTCCGCACTTTGCGCCAGGCCATCCTGGCGCTGGTCAAGGTGCATGTCGTCCCGAAGCACTTCAAGACCTTGATCAACCGTCTTTGTTTGGATGGTCAGGCATTCGTCAAGATGGATCGTATGCGTCTGGCGACCACGAGTTATAGCATCATTGCGCAGAAGCCCGTGGCATAATTCTGGACTTGGCTTGGGAGTACCTGGCGTTTGATTTTGGTGTTGGGGTCATGCTTGAGCGATAATCCAATATATACTATACCATCTAGCATTCATGATACCTCGATAATTGATTTGACATTATTCCGAATGTTCACTGGGACTCTGTAGGTGTATACAAAGTATACAAAGTATACAAAGTACTCTATACCTGTGACGGTAAGCAACATCACCATGAAGATGTTTGACCAAATAAAATGAAATGGGAGAGAAGGAGAAGAGAAGAAAACAACAGAAGAAAGAAGTCAAAAAGAAAGGGACAAAGTCAAGAAAGTCACTCAAGATCGCAAAAGTGAAAAAAATCCCTTCACCCTCCGGATTGAACTCGCGACATCACAATGAACGCAGATCATGCACCACCGCGCCCCGGGGCTGTCCTCAGGCGGGCAGGTTTGTGAAATCCAAGCTTGTTTTTGTTGATTTCTAATCGAGGACAGACTACGCCTACTTCTTCATTTACGAGATGACCGACCCTGTCACGATCACGGCACTCTCTGCCCCGGGCAAGGTTCTCCTGACCGGCGGATATCTATGTCTGGATCGGGCCTACACCGGCACCGTCTTTGCCCTGGACGCCCGCATCCATGTCGTGGTCCAGCAATTGAAGAGACCCCGCAGCGCCAACGCGCCAGCAGGAGAAACTGAACCCGAGGAGGGGACCGTCATTGTGCGCTCCCCGCAGTTCCTCGATGCGGTCTGGGAATATGGCGTGCAGCGGTGCGAGAATGGTGGGGGAGTCAAGGCGGTCCAAAAGGGGGATGGGTATGAGTCGATAGACCCATTCGAGGAGGAATTCACCGCTAACAGCTACCAGCAAGCGCAATCCTTTTGTGGAAACATCTCTGAGCTATGCCTTGACCTACATCAGCTACGTGGCTGATTCCAAGAACTTTGGTTCTTTGTCTGTTACCATCTTGGCTGATAGTGATTATTACTCTGAGACGGGACCGAAGAGCTCCGATGATGAGGAAGATGACTTCATCACTCGATTTATGGACTTTGGTGTGCCTCTCTTTGAGGCTCACAAGACCGGTTTGGGCTCTTCGGCCGCGCTGGTTACCGCACTGGTCTCATCCCTGGTCATCCACCGTACCATGCAGCCCGAGGATCTCGGTTCTGGCCGTGACAAGCTGCACAATCTTGCGCAGGCTGCTCACTGCGCAGCCCAAGGCAAGGTCGGATCTGGATTTGATGTTGCTAGCGCCATCTATGGGTCCTGTCTGTACCGCCGGTTCTCGCCTTCGATTCTGGAATCGATCGGCGACGTGGGCTCGGACGGATTTGAAGAACGTCTCTTCGCCATCGTGGAGGACTCTGACCCCAAGCACACATGGGATACCGAGTGTGTCGACTTCGGCATGCATCTTCCCCATGGCATGCAACTTGTCCTGTGCGACGTGGACTGTGGCTCCCAGACTCCCTCAATGGTCAAGAAGGTCCTTGAGTGGAGGAAGAACAACCGCGATGAAGCAGATGTGCTCTGGGCAAGCCTGCAGAACAATAACGAGAAGCTCCGCCAAGAGCTCAAGCGCCTGGCCCAACATCCCGGTGCCAACCAAGGGGACTTTACCGACATTGGGGCCTTGATTCAACGCACCCGCCAGCATATTCGCACCATGACCCGCCGGACGGGTGTTCCCATTGAACCCAGCATCCAGACCGAGTTGATCGACAGTCTTACAGAGCTTGAAGGCGTAATTGGAGGCGTGGTCCCCGGCGCAGGAGGCTATGACGCTGTCGCACTTTTGATCCAGGATGATCTCGATACGCTGGAGCGCGTGAAGGAGCACGTTGCGAACTGGACGAGCAAGGTCGAGGATGACTTTGGAGGGAAGATCGGCAATGTACGACTGCTCGGTGTGCGTCACGGTTCCGAGGGCGTGCGAAACGAAGGGTTAGGACAGTATGAAGGCTGGATTTAGGTTGTTGCGTCTTTTAGCCCTGAGCCGGATCTCCTAGATACAAAAGACATGAATTGAATGAATGACGAAACATAATATCTGATTCTACGACTCTGGACTGCCAGGTATTTCAGTCTGGACTAGATTTGAAGAGATCATGATCGACTATCGGAATCAGCCTTGGACCCCTCAGCTATTACTTCATGACATAACGCTTGGCTTCCCCAGATCACTGAATTAAATAGATGAATATCTCCTTAATTAATAAAACATACTTGATATAGCTATTAAAAAGCGAGTCAATCCATGTAAAATAAGTAGGGGGAGAGGAAAAGCCATGTTTGTAGTTTCTCGTCTTTGCCGATCCCCTTTGCCTCCTCTCCTCTCTCCTCTCCTCTCAACTCTTGTCATGTCCCTCGTTTGTGTCGCAAATGCCCACTGTACAGCTTTAAAACTTGAAGCCCCTTATTGCGCCTAAGCGATTTCATCTCCGCGCTTTCATCTCCATCAACCGACCGCTCCGCCCCCCATCCCGAGATCCTCCTTTCCACCCAGTTGGACTAAACCCTGCCTCTGAACAACCGGGGAAAGGGACAACCAATCCTTAAAACAGCGAGGCATCCATATAACCGCCATGTCTAGCCACCCAGAAGCGGGCACCGCCAAACCCGACCAACCAGCCCAATCCCCAGAGTCCCAGCCAACAGCGCCTGCAGAGCCTCCGACCCAGCCAGAGCTAACCGCTGACGCTACTACTCCCTCCGTCGATCCACTCGAGCTCCAAGGCGACTCCGTGGCCGCGACCCAGAACCACCCCGCAACTGGCCCTGGTGGCGAAAGCGCCGCCCCCGTGACAACGACTCCCAACCCAAACTCATCTGCGCATCCTGCACCTACATCGCCATCAATGGATACCGACGAACCGAAGAATGGGCCCGAGAGGTCCTCCGAGCACTCTGACGATGGCTCGGGGAAGGAAGTTGAGAATGTTGGCCCGTCGCTAGTGATCACGCTGTTGTTGACCACGGGATCGCGCCACCCATTCACTATTGATGGAAAGTATTTACTGAAGCGATCGGTGAATGTCGAAAACAACGATCCCTTCTTGATGAGCGTGTACACGCTGAAGGAGTTGATCTGGCGCGAATGGCGTTCTGGTAAGCGACTTGCGATCGAAGTGTATGAGGTCATGGGATGCAGGCTAATGTTAACAAGACTGGGAAACTCGACCCTCTTCACCAAGTGCTATTCGCCTCATTTCTTTCGGAAAACTGTTGGATGACAAGTCACCTCTCTCTGGTATGTCTTGTGGCGACAAAACGATTGACTCGTTCTAACCGATGTATCAGACTCCAAGTTCAGCAAGGAACACCCGAACGTCGTGCATATGACCGTCAAGCCGCAAGAAGTCGTCGATGAAGAAGATGCGAAAGGAACCAAGGCGTCATACAGCCGAGAGAACGAAGCCGGCGAGCGCAGCCCTGGATGTCGCTGTGTGATCCTATAAGCGCTCTCGATCCATATCCCATCCCGTTGAAAGACAGCCGTGGAGGCTTCAGTCATCATCTCACACATTTGCCATTGCAGCGATCTGCTCGATTCTGCCTGGACGCCGAATCAGCCTTTGTCGGCGTTTGAATCTTTCGCGCTTTGCGTCCCTCTCGCGAATGTTTCCTGCATGTTGAGTTCGACTCATCTCTGGCTGGACAAATTTCGCCCATTGAAATGTCTCTGGATCTTGTTTTGCCTATGTCGACTTCATCTCCGGTCCTGCTTCGCCTGCTTGCTGTCATTATTATTCCTTGCCCCATCTCTATATACCCCCTTCAATCCGACTTTCCTTTTCCTGTTCCCTGTCTTATCAATCTTGTATGGTCTTTAACATTTTCGTGTATTTACGAGCTTGGATTCCCTCCATTCTTTTCTATGCTTGTTTTCCAGACTGCTCGCGGTGGTTCGTAGTGTACAGGGTGTTGTGGAGTTCATATCTTTGTCACATAATCAATCAACAAAGTGCCTACCTATCATGTTCTCGACTGGAGCTAGCACTCGTTATCGAGAGAATGGCCGGTGGAATCCAGTGTGGATCCGATTGCTCAACTTGCCCACCTGGGCAGACGTATTCAATACTAGTAGACACAGGTTGGCGATCCAACAATCGACGTACGACATTGTACTAGTACTAGTACACCGTTTATAGAGAAATATTCGATGCATGAAGTCCAATTATCTACCCATCTATTCAATATCAGGTAGGAGTATGGGAAGAGACGTAAGAGTCAGACCAGTAGAACATGCCGAGAAAAAAGACACAAAAGCATAACAACATATCATCAAGCATCTAGAAGTCCATCTTGAGCCTCTTCTCCATCTCATCATGGAAGGTAGGCGGTTCACGGAGATCGTCACCTGAGACAAAGTTAGCCCAACATCCACAACCATCCATAACAGAATCATAAACATACCAGTGTAGATATCCTCCCACTGCACCTCCGCATCTCTACCACCAATCGTAAGAATATCCTCATGAACATTCCCACCCCGCATACCGCCCAACACAGCAGGACGGAAAGTGCCATCCCGAACAATCTTGAGCTCCATGCCACGACGGACGGGCTCGGCAATACCGTACGCCCGACGCAGACCCTCCATCTTCATTGCTTCTTGGGTTGAGCGCCAGGCCATCAGCCGGGCTTCGAGGGGGTGTGTCGATGAGGGAGTTTCGCCGCCGGCGTTCGTGGAGGAGGCGTGGGCGGTTGCGGGGAGAGTGAGCTTGTTGCGGAGGGTGTCGGGGAGACCTGGGGCTGAGGGAGCGCCCTTTGAGGGTCGGGGTGCGGTTACGCTGGCTTGTTGCCGAGTTGTGAGGTTGGTGGTTGCGTTGGGGTTGCCGCTTGGGGGTGCGATGCGGAGAGACTGGGGTTGTTAGTTGGGTTGCTTGGAAATGTTGCAGAGCGAGCTGTTGCGGGTACAGAGCTGGGCAAGGTGATGTTTATGATTGATCTGAGCGCTTGCTGGCTGCTGGTGAGATCGGGGTCCGGAGCTTGATAACGTACCATGATGACCGATGTGAATGGGCTAGATGTGGAGATTCGGAATTCGAATTGAGGAATAGCAGAGCAGCAATGTCCTTCAAAAGCTCGTAAGAAAGATAAACAGCACCAAGTTATAGGGAGATGGAGATGACGATGATGCTTCAGGCAGAGAAGCAGCGCGTCCAGCTTCTCCGGTCTCCAACAGCGACCTGAACCGCAGATCACGTGCCCTCCGCCATCCGGGAAATCAATTCTATCGCGAGATTCCCTCCGAAGCAAAAGCCCAAGCACAAGACCCCAATGCCTCAATTACTGTCACCACTGGCCCTCCGGGCCTTGCGGAGCCTTGTCCAGCGCCCAGCGATCACAACACCCGTCCGCCGAACTCTCACAACCGCGAAACAAACCCCGATCACCTCCCGCTTCAACTTCCAGCCCGTTTTCCGTACCTCGGCCTTCGCCGCGCAACGGCAGTTCTCTACTTCGCCCATTATTCAAGCTACATACAACCAGGTCCGTCGGGGTATTCGGACTGGCCAGCGGGCTCGTCGGGGTCGGTCTCCTGCGCTGAAGGGAACGCCTGGTCTCAAGGGTGTTTGTGTTAAGACTGGTGTGACCAAGCCCAAGAAGCCTAACTCTGGTGAGAGGAAAGTTGCAAGAGTGCGCTTGAGTTCGGGCAAGGTCGTCACTGCTTACATTCCTGGTGAAGGTGAGTTGGGAGTCATATCTTTGGGATTGGGATCCATGGATTATGTCCAATTGGTGTCAGGGAACTCTGGCTAATATGAGTATGTTAGGTCACAACATCCAGCAGCACAGTGTTGTCCAGGTCCGTGGTGGACGTGCTCAGGATTGTCCTGGTGTGAAGTACACCCTCGTCCGTGGTGCGATGGATTTGGTAAGTTTGACCGAGTCACGCTGGGTTGGAGACTTTTGCTAATTTTTCGACTCTAGGGTGGTGTTGGAAGTCGTATGACCAGTCGCTCGAAGTACGGCACAAAGAAGCCCAAGAGCAACTAAGGTGGCTTCGGAATTGATTTCGATCAACCTGCTGTGATACTATACAACTGTTTGTCCTCGATCTTCCAGATCTCTTTCTTTTGGCTTCCACGCTCATTGCACGAGCAAGCTCTGTCCATATTTGCATGTAACAATATGTCTCAAATTTATACGTTTTTCTCAACGCGGATTACGCAGTATTCAGCCCTGGATCTACATGGTGGGTCTGGAATGCGATTGAGGGTGCAAAGAGTTGGTTCTCAGAACATCAGTACTCCGAACCTATGCCATGAGCCAGACCCAAAGACCGCTGGGAATCTATATTTCAAACAGCAAAGGTGATGGGAATCAAAATAAAACAAATGTAGTCCGACAGCTTTTCGCCCGAGCAAGCTAAATCATGAACAGCATATCTGCACTAGGTGCTATATCCACCGTATAGTCGTGGCGGCGTTTCGGCCTGCTACACAGCGCTTCATATCCAGACGACAATCGACCCGCGCTTTGTCGCTAACAAAAGAGAAATTTAGACGCTGAAACCAGAAACAGGAAGATACTTAGTCGTATTTCTTGTCCCATCCATTCGGCTTCGGCATCTTGTTGATATCGAACCAGCGTTTTGTGCCTGCGTGACCATTAGTTTTGAGCTTGTTTCTTTCTGACTTGTGTGTACTCACAGGAATAATCCTTCCAGTCGAAGTTCTCCTTGGGCTGGCAAGAGCATCTCAGATCGAGTCGCTTCTTCTCATCCGTAGGGCAATGTGTGAATGGGACGTGGTAGTACGCAATATCATCCCAGAAGTGAATCTCGTCCTTCTTCAACATGATAGAGGCAGCGATAGAGTGGACAGGTGCATCACCCCATCGCTCATAGAAGAAACCGCCGTCCTTATCCAGAGAGGTGAAGTAGTCCACGTACGCATCAGACCGTAACCATTCCAGGCTGCCGATCTCGAAGTTCGACCAGAAGTGGCAGTTGTTGTAGGTGTCTCCACCGTCCGTACTGATGAACTCCATGGCGTTTCCTTCGGTGACGTATTCGGGGTGATTGCCGGTGAACTTCTTCACGCTATCCCACAGGGTAGGAATGGTGGCCACATACTCGTAAAGACTGATGACAAAGCTGTACTTCTTGTTGTTCTCCTTCATGAAACGGAACGGATCCGAGTCGATGTCGCAGAAGAGTTCAACGCTGGGCTCAACGCGCCAGTAGTACTCGAAGTTCATCATGAGCGGGTGACGGAAGAAGAAACCGGACTCGTAGCGGCACATATGGCGATAGCTTTCGGAACCACCGTAGATGATCTTCTTGCGGTCCATCTCTTCGCGCGCTTCCTTGGCCTTGTCCTTGTCGATCCACTCGGGGTACGACCAGTGTTCCTTGGGAATCACTCCATAGTGAGTTTGACCGGAGACCAAAGCGGTGGTCACTTTCTTGAATTCTTCGTCGAACTCGTTGTCGTTCAAGAACACCCAGTCGTAGTTGTAGTTGCGGTTGAAACGGTCCTCGACAGTTCGGATCGACTTGACCATGTCCCAGAGATCGGAGTTGCGCGCCAGAGTGACGAATGTGGCATTGACTCGTTGAGATTGGTGGGGGCCTATCACTGTTGGCTTTTGCGACTTGACTGAGTCGTAGGTAGGCGGGCTCTTAGGAGCCGCGGTGGAACCTGTGCTGGGAAGAGGGATGGAAGAGTTTGAGATCACGAAGAAGAGCGCCAGTCCCTGTTGCCTGTCAGTATCGCCTGATAATCTGTCTTTACCGGGAGGGACTTACCACGACGGCGAAGACAAGATAACGCGCATATCGAATGGTGACCGACATGGTGGAGACGAGGAACAATGCCCGTCGAGAAGGCAACAGTTAGAACACGCGCAGTAGAGGCCAATCCTGAGTTTAGAAAGCGAGCGACATCAATGAGGGAGACCAAAGCAAAAGATGATGCCCCCAAATGGAAATGCGGAAGGCGAGTTAGGGGTGAGAGAGAGATGAAAAGGAAAAGTGGCCGCGCAAGACTATGACAACCGCTTTCAGCCACTTGGGTGTCACCTAATTTAAGACATTCCGATGCTTCAGGGGAATCGACGTTTGTTTCTCGGATCTCAACCGGGAATCTGATCTTTTTCTTCTCTGTGTAAAGTATCCATAGTACTTTGCCCTGCTGTAATAGGACAGTGATTCGAGACGATCAAGCCCATGTTCTGCCCCTATATTCTGATGCTGTCAAGGACATTGGCATTGTGAGGCACAAGTGGCCATTGTCCAAACCACCAAAATTGCCCATAAATCTCCTCCAATCCACTCTTCATTCTCTAGATCTATAAAACTTCCCTATCTAACGAGTCAACGTTTCTTTGCGCGATCGACACGGCTTGGCGGTGGCCTGAGGCCGCCACTTCCCAGAACTTCGTTCCGACCAGCGTTTCCTCTCCCCCACCATCCTATTCTCCCCCCACCGATCTTCCATCCTTGACTATCTAGGCCAAAGATGGCGTTCTTTGGCTTCGATACCACCCTACCCAGGGACCGCGATGGTTCCGGGCCTAGGGGGTTCTTCGAAACCCCAGATCCCTTCGCGCAAGTCGCTCAAGCTAGTGCGCTCGATGATGACGCGTGAGCTCACCCCCCTGTTGGTCGTGGAATTGTGGAGCTTACACAGATTGCTTCAGGATTGACTTCGAGGATACCTACGATGGTCTCGGCGACCAGCTCGACGATGACCAGGACGAGTTCAACGATGACACGTTCGGTGGACCTGGGCCCGAATCATCCGGAAGAGACTTCGATTTCTTTGGAAAGACCGCTCAGGTTTCGGATGCAATTGGCGAGGAGCAGGTTCGCTACAGCCTGCAGAATCCCAATGCTCCCCGGGTCGCTCAGCCCGTGGCCCAACCCGTCCAGCCGGCCCCCCAGGCCAAGCGCTCCGGTTATGAAAAGTACTCGGAACCCGGATATATCCCTGACTTGCAAGCTAAGTCCAGTGTCTGGGGAGTGTCGCAGAAGAAGACCGAGCCAATCCCGGCCAGTCGGAAAATGCTGAGCTTGGAGGAGGTGGAAGCGCAGATGCGCCACAGCAGTAATGCAGGAGCACCGGCAGGAGATGCATTCCTTCGATCTATGGTCGAGCCCCAGTTTCACCCACAGTCTCAGCACCTCCAGGCAATTCCCGATGGATATCCCCCAGTCCACCCAGAGTTCTTGCAAGCGCAGCTGAGACAAGGTCACCTCCCCCAGATGGCCCACCCTCCACCGGGTATGCCAGAGCTCTATGGTGGGCCTGGGATTATGCCCCCCGGTGGCCCAATTCATTTGCCACAGAACATTAATGCTCCCCCGCAAAACCTGCCCCCTGCTGGCCCGCGCCACGCCGGCCCTCCTCAGGTCCAACGCCCTCCCCAGCACCAGCAGCTGCCGCCAAACCGGGTTTCCAGCAATGGAATGCCCGTCATCACCGACCCACAGCAGCTTGCCAACCTCACCCCCGAACAGCGCAACGCTTATCTGATGGAGGATGCCAAGCGGGCGAAGCGCAACCACAAGATCTTCCTTCTGTCCCGCGGCAATGGCTTGATGACACCCCAGGACAAGAACTTCATTACTCGTATTCAATTACAGCAGCTCGTGGCAGCCGCTGGGAGTATAGCGGATTCGGATCCAGAAGCCGTACTGGCCGAAGATTTCTATTATCAGGTCTGTAGCCAGATTCGTGGCGCACCGCGCCAGCACCCTCACCAGCCGTTGGGACACTTTGCGCAGACCTACCTTCTCCAAACAGGAAACCGGCTCGGCGGGCATCGCCGGGGCAACTTCCAAAGTGCCGATAACCACATGCAGCGCATGCAGCAACAGGTTCAGCGGGCCGTGGAGGCGGCTAAAGCCAAGCCCAAAAACAAGCAGCTTATCATTGAAGGCAGCCTGGGCAAGATTGCATTCAGCAATGCTAAGGCTCCCAAGCCGATGTTGAACATCAAGCGCCCGGACAGTGCCGATGGGCCGAAGCCGAAGAAGCTTCAGTCTAATCTCAGCCTAAGTGACCGGAAGTCGATTCTTACCAACGTTGAGAATGTGTACAGTGCATTGATGGCAATGGAAGATATGGAACGGACGATGCCCCCACCTCCGGAGGAGGGCGACGCCGAGGCCATCCAAGAACATATGGAATGGCGACAGAAACTTCACACTCTTAACCAAAAGTTGTGGCGCTCCCTCAAAGTGATGGAGCCCATTGTTCCCAACTCGACCACCCCCCACCCCTTCATCGCATTCCTGTCCTACCCTAAGGGCAAGAAGGCTATCCCCCGCATCTTCCGCCACATCGACCAGGAGCAGCGCGTTACCATCCTCACCATGATCGTCGTTCATCTCGACAGCCTGGATGTCGTTCGTCTTGCCCAGCCCGTGCCGGGTGAGGCTCAACCATCTCTTGGCATGCGCGAGGCTATTGACCTGTTCTCTCTGGCTGTCATGCCCTGTCTGTTGGGCTACGTGAACGAGGCGCCATTCAACATCATCATTGGTCTCTTGGGATTGGTCATCAACCAGACCCATGTGCAGACCGTGGCCCGGACGAAGGTCGGTCTGGGCATTTTGACCATGCTGCTCAGCCGTGCCGAGATCGTCAAGGAGGCTGGCCAAGCTTCCGAGCACGATTGGCAGCAGTGGGTGGAGAAGTTTAACGTTCTCTTTGATACTTTGGAACCTGGCTTGAACGATACCTTCCCCGGCACTATTAGCTCCGGTGATGATATGTATGTGTGGCAGTTCCTGGCGGCTGTCGGAATTGGTGCCAGCCCCGAACAGCAACAGCGCCTGGTCATTGCGGTGAAGTAAGTTCCTTTTTCCCCCCTGCTTTTTTTCTCCTACTTGTTTTTATCTTTACAATTTCGGACCATGCTAACTCATGCAGGGATCGCGTGATGGAAACTGTGGGCTACAGCAAGACCCTCCCTGCCGACATGGGCAGCCAACGTTTGAGTAATGTCAACCTGTTCATGCGGGCCATTGGTCTGGACGTTGAACTCCTCGGTTAAATCCCCCAGTGGGTACACTATCAGTCTCGGACAGTTCTCGTGGGTCCGGCCCCGTTCGAGGATTCCGTCAGACTTCGGCTTCGACACCTACATCTACACGAGTTAGGACTCATGATGAATGATTAGGGCATATAGGGCCAGGTTCTTATAATCTGCCGACGTTTTATTTCAATACCATTCAATTCAATTCAATTTTCATAGTATACTATCCTGCTGTAGTCCGTATTCCCTAATAAGCGAGGGCCGTGGAATGTGCCGAGCCGGGAACGGTCCTGGACCCTGAACGTGGGCCGCTTCAGGCCAGATCGCAGCATGCGTTATGCGCCTTCGGACAATCTCTTACCGAGTGCTATAAAAGGATTAAATTATATGCAAACAGCCTCTGGCTTAAACGATATCCCGGATTAGTATCCTTAGTGGTAAAATATGGCCAAATATGGTAATCAGTATAGTATAGCAAGTATACGAAGTGCAGTAAACACTCAACACTAAACACCCAAAACACGGAATATCGCAGTCGTCAGGCCAATTGGGTCCTGTCAGGGGTAATCGACAAGATACAGGACTCAAATGGCACGATCGACAGTAGATTAAGCGCAAGAAATAAGATGAAAGGTGACGATGAGCAGGGCCGCGTCATAAGTTATAAGGGAAAACACCCCACCATTTTCCCCTTAAAAGCTGCCCCTCGCCCGCTTTCCGCTCCCCCATATTCCACGCTTTTCGTTCATCATGTCTGCTGGTTCAGTTCTTGTTGCTGGGTATGTTCTTCCACCATTGGGAACAGAACATCACTAATTCCCCCACAGTGGTACGGGCTACATTGGCTCGTTCACCACCCTTGCCCTCCTCGAGGCCGGTTACAAGGTTGTCGTCGCTGACAACTTGTACAACTCCTCCCCCGAGGCCCTCAAGCGCATTGAGTTAATCTCCGGCAAGAAGGCCGAGTTCGTCCAGCTCGATGTCACTGAGGAGAATGCCTTTGACAAGGTGTTCGAGGCCCACCCCGACATTGACAGCGTTATCCACTTCGCTGCGTTGAAGGTGAGACAAATCGATCAAATCGACGGGTATCGACGCTAACGGATCAAGGCTGTCGGTGAATCTGGCGAGAAGCCCTTGGACTACTACCTGGTCAACGTCTACGGCACCATCAACCTCCTGCGCTCCATGGTCAAGCACAATGTCACCAACATTGTCTTCTCCAGCTCCGCCACCGTTTACGGTGACGCCACTCGCTTCCCTAACATGATCCCCATCCCCGAGGACTGCCCTCTGGGTCCCACCAACCCCTACGGCAACACCAAGTTCGCCGTTGAGACCGCCATCACCGACGTGATCAACGCTCAGCGCAACAACGCCACCAAGGCCGGCAACGAGGCCGAGGCCAAGAAGTGGAACGGTGCTCTCCTCCGCTACTTCAACCCTGCTGGTGCTCACCCCAGCGGTATCATGGGTGAAGACCCCCAGGGTGTTCCCTACAACCTGCTTCCCCTCCTCGCGCAAGTTGCCACCGGCAAGCGCGAGAAGCTCATGGTCTTCGGAGACGGTTCGTTCCCATTCCAATGCCACTCTTCAATTCCACTCTAACATGTACAGACTACGCCTCCCACGACGGTACCGCCATCCGCGACTACATCCACATTCTGGATCTCGCAGACGGCCACCTCAAGGCTCTGAACTACCTGCGCGCCAACAACCCCGGTGTGCGCGCCTGGAACCTGGGCACCGGTAAGGGCAGCACAGTCTACGAGATGATCCGTGCTTTCTCCGCTGCCGTCGGCAAGGACCAGCCCTACGAGGTTGCTCCTCGTCGTGCTGGTGACGTGCTCAACCTCACTGCTAACCCTACTCGGGCTAACACCGAGCTGGGCTGGAAGGCCGAGCGCACTCTCGAGCAGGCTTGTGAGGACCTTTGGCTCTGGACTGAGAACAACCCCCAGGGTTACCGCCAGCAGCCCCCTGCTGAGCTTCTTGCTAAGCTTCAGAAGTAAATTGACAGGCTGGCATGATACAGGCTTGTTAATATAGATCTTTTGAAATAGTGCTAGAATATACGAAACGAATTTCCTTTTTCTGAATGCTTCTATCAATGCAATGGGATAATAGTCTATGCGAGGTATACATGCTAACCTTGGAAGTATACAGTCTACTTATTCTGACCCTTCCGACTCCTCCTCGACCCCTCGGTCTTCTTCCCAGCTTTCTCTTTCTTCTCCTTCTTCTCCTGCTCAGCCTTCTCAGCCTCCATACCCTTCTTCTCCAGCGCCCGAATAACAGCGCCTTCCTTCTCCGCCTCCTCAACCATCTTCCCACTGAATTCCCAAAGCTTCTTACCAGCCTCATCACTCCGAACATCCGTTCGCGCATAGTCCATCTCCCGACACTCCTTCACCAACCAACCACCCTCACCACGCCCATACTGCGCCTCCATAGCTGCATACAGAATACTCTGCGCACCCTGCGACGGCGACTTGAAAATCAACCACCACAAAGGCCAAGTAATCAGATAGATTGCAAGGCCCCACAGTGATCCGCCCGTCAACCACCGCCTCATGCCCGGTGTGCGAGTCACGCCGGGGTCGACAACAATGACCCGCGTGCAAGGCGGCAGGCTGTCAGGGCGTTTGTAGGCGTTCAAATGGCGTTGGAATGAATGCGCAAAGATAGTAAGACACAGTTTACTCAATCCGTAGACGCCCTTGGGTCTAGCGTAGAGAGCAGGCTTTGTCTTCGTGCGCTTGGAAGTCTGAATCTGTTTTCCCCTCGTCATCGTCTCCAGTGAGCTGAAGTCTGCGCCGATATAGCTGGAGCATGATGTGAAGATGACGCGGACGTCGCGGTGGGCGGGCTGAGCGCGCAGCGCCGGGCTCAGGATGCTGAGGAGGTGGAAATTGGAAAGGTAGTTTGTTTGCCATTCTTGGTCAATGCCGTCTATGGTGAGGGGACGGGAGTGGGAGGGTTCGGCGGTGCCGCCTGCCAGGATGATGGAGTCGAGTCGGCGGGGAGGGATGTTGTCGATCCATTTTGTGGCGAAGGTGCGGATTGAGTGGAGAGAGGAGAGGTCGACTTGTTCGGCGTAGATGAGTTGGTTGTTGGTTGTGTTGCGGAGGTCGTCGATGTATTCGGAGAGGAAGATGTCTGAGGGTGGTTGGCGGGTTAGGAGGATGACTTGCGCGCCCCGTGTGGCTAGCTCGCGGACTACTTCGGCTCCAATTCCTGATGTGCCGCCCTGGTTTTTCTCGATTAGTTTGGGTTATTTGTGTGGAATGGGTGGGTGTGGCCTACTGTGACCATTATGACTTTGGAGCGCATCATGCGTTCGGAGGTGTTGCGGGCTCCTTCGAAGTAGTACTTCAGCGCGGCGAGGGCCAGCAGCCAGGGCGCCACGCGGAGAACAGTCCAGGCATATGGAATGGCAGAAATGCCCTCCCGGAGGCCAGTGGCGATGATGGGAATGGGCATGGCGAAGGTGTGTAGAAGAGAAGAGCTGTCCACAGGGATTATTTTGCCAACATCTCCCTATCTCTCTTATCGCCTCTTCTCAACTCCACCGCAACACTCCCACCATGGCCTCAGATCATGAAGACCATGAGGACTATGAGGACTACTCTCTGCCCCCAGAGACCCAGCGTCCTTTCACATCTGGTATCCGTCGAAAACCTGTACCATTCATACGCTCCTCCGACCTGAACACCTCAACCCCATCTACATCTGCATCCTCCGGCCGAAATGTCGCAAACACATACCTCTCCATTGTAATGAAACAACACAACACAACCCCAAATACACCAACATGCCCATCGCCAACTCGTGAAACCCAATCAGCCCCAGCATCAGCAGAAGCCACACCCCTCCCCGAACCGGAGATCTGCAATGTATGCAAGCTGCCCCTCGGCACGAACGAGACTCCGCACGAAGCCTCCATCGCCCACCAAGTCTGTCTTACGCATTCGCACCCACCATCTCATCTAGATCGCACGCGGACAGGCTTCCGGTACCTTACGAGTCAAGGATGGAATCCCGACGAGCGATTGGGTCTCGGCGCATCGGGTCGCGAAGGTATTCGCGAGCCCATCAAGGCGAGCATGAAGTTCGATACTGCTGCTTTGGGGACTGGGCTTGATGCGGATGGGGATCCGTTGCCGAAGAAGGCGCCTCCGGTTAAGGTGCAGAAGCTGAATGCTAAGCAGGTTAGGAAGAAGGCCGAGGAGGATAGGAAGAAGGCGGAGAGGATGAGGAAGGTGTTTAATCAGGATGAAAGGATTCTGAAGTATTTGGGGGAAGATGCGTGATTTGATGCGTGGGAAATGAGCTTTATGATACCCGTGATATGCCCTGTATAGACTGATGAATGTAACGAAGGCCAAGATATAGATGCTAGTAAGAGGTCGGTGCTTATGAGGTTACAAAGTAGACTGCATTGAATCTTCGACTAAATAGAGAAACCGACAAAAGCGCCTTGAATGCTTGGGAGACCAAACCGACAAAAGACAAGGAAAAGTATGGTATCACAGAAGCGCTGGGTAGAGGCAGGAAACCGACCAATGCAAAAGGAGAACTACTTGAAAAATCGATACTTCTTTTCTTTCTTCTCCTTCTTTTCCTTGTCTTTCTTCTCATGCTTGTCATGCTTGTCGGGTTTCCCGGGTTTCCCACTGCCGGAGGAATGGTTGCTTCCACTTCCATTCGAGCTGACAGACATACCCGCCATCAGCGCCTCTGGTGGAGCCGGTGGGTTAAGATGAGCCACTGAGACGGGCTTCTTCTGCGGCGGCGGAGCAGCCGGGGAAGGCGGCTTTTCGCGCTCGAACAAATGCGCCGGCGCAGTGGGTTTGGGCCGCTCGGACGGGAGGTCCAGACGACGTCTATCAACGCCCAGATCGGCAACCTGGCGAAGGAAGAGACCCGGTGTGAGCATGTGCGTTGTGGCAAGGTACACATCTCGGTTATAGGAGGCTGAGACTTCGTGGCAAGCGCGAGACTCGCCGTAGGTGGCTCCACCGGCCATGAAGACAATGAGACGCTGGCGCGGTTGATCGACTGATCTTGTGCGGGCCCAGGTTGGTTTTGCGCTGCGCAGGGAGGCCTGCTGGGATTGCATCTCCTGGGCGGCTAGAGCGCCGTCTGTTTCGGTGTGTGGTCGTGTGAAGGGGAAAGAGGTGGGGTCCAGAGTGCCTTGGATTTGTTCTTCGAGCATTTGCTTCACGGCGAGCTCGTACCGGCTGAGGCTCAGCTCTTCAGATTCAGGTGCTGGGGTTCGGCGGTTGAAAAGAGGCTGTACGGGTGGCTTTTCGTCCTTCAAGGGCTTCTCTACGCGAACACCAAGGAGCTCTAGGTTGGCGATCACCTCGCCATCTCTTGGTGGCAGGTTCGCGTGCGCCATGAGTTTGCGAATATCACCACCCAGCAGGCCGCCACGGTACATGATGTAGAGTAGTAGCAACCGAAGCCTATCTGGAGTCACAACTGAGTCGTCGTCCAGAAGTTGCACAAGTTGTGCTGCTAGGTTCTTGGCCTTCTTATAGTTTTCGTCCAGACCTGTAGCGAATGACTGCTGAATGGAGCTGACTTCCAGGAGTTTGCGGGCCTGGAAGAACTTCATACACTCTTGCGCCATGTTAAGGTGCAATGTATAGGCGGTTTTCCCCTCTTGGAACTCTGTCAGTCCACCCAACATATCCTTGATGGTGTTCACGTTCTGTTTGTCGTTACTGCGAGATCATGTCAGTTGCCAATTTTGTATGCCGGATAATTACCACTCACTCGTCCGCGAACTGAGGATTGGCTGCTCGGAACTTGGCAAAATCTTCGCCCAATTTACCTAGCAGATCCTTCATGTGCATATGACGGTAATCCACCCAAATCTTGTCATCTTCGCCAATTTCCATCTCCTTGACCTCCTCATTCTTGCTGCCTTCGTTGACAACAGTCTTGTAAGTTACCTTATCGCCATCATTCACAGGCAGTAAGTCGTGAACCATAGCTTGGTATGTAAACTCGTGAAGAAGCGGGGCAAACAAGTCCATAGAACGGTCTACCACGAGTAGCACACCCCGAGGCCGGTTGGTTTGGGGTGGGAAGTCCCTTTGGAACTGCGCGAATTGATCCATCTCATTCTGAATGAAGCGCGCCAAATGAGAACACATAACACCCGCCTCATGGGTGGGAGATCGGGGCCGGTAGTACCGGATCACAGGATACTCGCCCAACGAAGCGCAGAGGGAAACGACCTAATGGTAGGTCAGCATAAGGAGCGTAATATCCTAAGAAGCAGGCCTGCTCACCTTCTGCGCCAAGTCCTCCAGGTGCTGCCGAATCAAATTGTTGCAGCCCGGGTGGAAGAGGACCGGGAAGCTCCACGGATCACGGAACGTCACCAAACGGGACTCTCTGGGGTAGAAGTTGATGTTCATAACGTGGAATTCGGCAATGCGCTCGCGCGCCATCGTAGACCGATCGATCCGAGCTCGTTGCTGCGGATCAAGGACTGTGTACGGTATCAGCGAAATGACGTTGCGACAACCTCGAGTTCACAGCCCACTAACATGAAGTCCACACCAAGAACGCCTTTCTGTATCGTCCCACTTCGAAGTCTGCCATCAGACAGTCGACCACATATGATTCAGGGGACAGGATGTAAAGCGCGTCCATGTCGGCATTGAACGGCCGTTTGTGTTCGAGCTGCTCGACATCTGCGGGCAGACATTAGTGCATACGTTCATGGATCGCAAAGCACCGGACCAGCTCACTGGAGACGTTGAGATTGAGAATCTCCTCTTCTTTCACCGCGCCTTCGACCAATTTCCTACTGGTTTCGTCCAGCACCAAGACTTTCCACTGTGAAGGCCGTCAGTATCCCGCAGTTGACTGATCGGATGGGTCGGGCTCACATCGTGGCCACCGGCATTGCGAATGGTGTTCAGTATGACTATCCGTATGACGCACAGGTTAGCGGGAGCTCAAGCAGGAGGTCAGGAGGTTACCGACTGTCGCGTTGGATGTTAATTATGGAAGAGCCCATGCTGGCGGGCAGCCCACTGGCTCGTGTCCGAGGATATGAAAGAAGCCGTTAGACAAGTATGCAAAGGAGACCAGATTGAAAAGGAGTTGCGGGAGTCGAAAGGTGGCCGTCTGAGGTATATGAAGGAGATGGTGTTTCCCCACCATTGGAGCTTAGTGGATCGTCGATAAGCAACTTTTTGGTTTCCGCCTTCTCCTTTCCGCACTCCACCGTTTCAACCAACTCTTCAAGAATACATCCCGGACTGGTGTCCTCAGTCCAGGAATGCAGCTATGGACCGGTCGAGGTAGTTCCCTCTGCGCCTTGCGATCTTTCACCGGCTTGGCTGTACGGTCATTTACTACAACCTCCATTCTCCAACGATCGAGAAAAACGAAGGAACCGGCGATACTTCCAGATAAGAAAACCAAGAAAAGGGTTCGTCGGCGATCAGTCACACCACGGCATTATGCTAACCCAACTATTCAGACGGCAGTTCAGATCCCCGAAGCCAGAGCGATTCGAAAAGATATTGCGGCCGCGCGAGATTTCATCCAATTGGTCGAGGCAGCGTTGCGCGACATCAAGAAGAAGGCGACTCGAACCCCGGAGGGGTTAGAAGGATGGGGAACGTTTGAGCGTCAGGTTGTGGTTGCTTGCAAAGCAGATGACAAGAAATCCGCAAACGCTGGCGGCTCTCTTCATCAAACGAAAGCGTCTTTGCAAAGGGCATATCTGTCTGGTGGTGCCCAAGGTCTGCGGGAGGAGTTGGAATATCTGCTGCATGCGGAACACCTCACGCGCAAGTATTCTGCGCCACTGTTGGAGGCGCAAAAGCAGATAGCCGATCTTCGATATCCCGCTGAGTGGTACCCGCGAGCACGATCAGCACAACGAACGATTCATCTCCATGTTGGACCTACAAATTCCGGCAAGACATATCACGCGTTGCAACGGCTACGGAAGAGCAAAAACGGATTCTACGCAGGCCCGCTCAGACTACTTGCGCAAGAAGTATATCACAGGTTCAAGGCAGAGGGAGTCCCGGTCAGTTTGGTGACGGGCGATGATGTCAAAGCCCCAGAGAACAATGAAGTGCCGCGTATTGTGAGCAACACGGTGGAAATGGTCAGCCTTGGTCAGGAATACGATGTCGGAGTTATCGATGAGATCCAAATGATCTCCAACCCTTCACGAGGATGGGCCTGGACTCGAGCGTTCCTTGGATGCCAGGCTACCGAGCTACATCTTTGCGGAGAGACTCGAACAGTGCCCTTGATCAGAGAGCTGTGCGCGCTGACGGGAGACAAATTGGAAATACACCGCTACGAACGACTCAACTCACTGGAGGTCATGCCACATAGCTTGAAGGGTAACCTGATGCAGCTCGAAAAAGGAGACTGTGTCGTGGTGTTTTCTCGGAAAGGTATCCACGCCATGAAAGCAGACATCGAGAAGTCAACGGGAAGACGTGCAGCCATCGTCTACGGTGGTTTGCCCGCAGAGATCCGAACCCAGCAAGCCAACCTGTTCAACGACCCCGACAATGACTATGACTTCCTAGTTGCCAGTGATGCTATTGGAATGGGTTTGAATTTGTGAGTTCTCCCCAGGCAAATTGACTGGCGTATACTAACTCCCCGTAGGAGCTGCAAGCGTGTCATCTTCGATACTCTGGTCAAGCGAGGCCAGGATGGACTTCAACGTCTTACTGTGCCAGAGATCAAACAAATCGGAGGACGTGCCGGGCGTTATCGCCCAGCCAATATCATGGAAGGCCAGGATGAAGATCCCAACGTGGGCTTGATCACTTGTCTTGAAGAGGTCGACATTCCGTTCATTCAACAGGCCATGAAAATGGAGCCCCCTCCTCTGACTGCCGCGGGCATTATGCCTCCAGATTCTGTCTTCCGGAAGTTTGCTGCCTACTTCCCGCCAGGTGTGCCTTTCGAGTATTTGGTCAAGCGGACTCTGGAGATTGCCCAGGTTAGCCCCTTGTTCTTCATGTGCGACCCCAAGGGTCAGTTGGAAAACGCAGAAATCGTCGACGCGGTGCAGGGCCTGCCCATTGAGGACCAGCTCAAGTTCATGGTTTCTCCCATGGATGTCAGGAACGCAAAGTCCCGTGATGTTACTGGCGCGTTAGCTGATTGTGTCGCTGAACATGACGATGGTCTCCTTTTGAACATCCCTCACCTCAAGCTGGAAGTTCTCGAGCAACCTGTTTCCGGCAGCAATGAATATATGCATGATTTGGAGAGTCTCCACAAGGCCGTCATTCTTTACCTGTGGCTCAGCTTCCGTTTCGGTGGTGTTTTCACAAACCGAACACTGGCCAGTCATGTCAAGGAGCTTGTCGAAGAGAGAATGGTCCGAGCCTTGACTGAGTTCTCTGCGAACAAGAGATTGCGCAAGGGCTCTTCTCTCAAGCGCCAGATCGCTCTTCAGAAGCAACTGCTCGAGCAGCAACGCATGGGTGTTGCTTCGGATGACTGGAGCGCTCAAGCGGCAGAGATGCAGACCAACGTGCCTGCGGAAGTGTCTCCGGACGAAGAATCCCTGGGAGAGTCATCTGCCGAACCCGCCGAGCTTTCCAAGGATGAGCTCTCTCGGGTTGAAAGCTCTGATCCGGAGAACTCTTCAGCTCAAACTGAGCCTTCATCTGAAACTGAGTCGTCGACTGAGGACCCGCCGTTGGAGAATTCGTGGTACGATTCAGAGACGGACAAAAAGGAATAAAATGTAACAACAACCTGTACAATAGATATATATATGTATAATAGAGCATATCTCCCAACAATTGAAGCCCCAATCTATCCAACTTTCACGTTGCTTTCCAAGGTTCCAAAAGGTTCACGGCGGTGCTTTCACGGATGTAGATGCTTATCTCTTATCGGGAATTTAGAGCTCGGCCGCACTAATTTTCCGCATTGAAGAAGACCGCGACGGTTCAAGCACTCCCCACCGACTCATTCTTTCAGCGCAGCGACCTCTGTTTGGATCGCCCTTTGTTGCGCAGCCCGGAATGGATGATCTCGAGTCTCTGGAGCTGTTGTCGCTCGTGTCGCGAGTGACAAACGAGCTCCAGAATCACCTGGGGATCAACGAGAAGACACTCGCGGAGTTCGTCATCGACCAGCACCTCAAGTGCAATGGCTCCTTCCCCGATTTCACCAAAGCCCTCGATGAGATGGGCGCCGAGTTCCCCCAGAGTCTCATGGAGAGTATCGACCGCATGGTGCTCACCATGCACCCCAAGTACAAGACACAGAAAAGGGAGGACAATGGCAACTCCGCCGAAGATGACGACATGGACCTTTTGGATGCTCTAGAGAAGAAGTCTCGTGTGTTCAAGGGCCTGGCGGTTCCTGATACGGAAAAGCGCTGGGAGGAAAACGACTACGTCGATGAACAGGCTGCGGATGCAGACTCTGGAGCGGATGCGATGGATGATACTTTCGCGATGCTGGAGGGACTGGCTGGAAAACCGAAACCGGAAACTTCTCGCCCGCCACGCACAGAGCGCGACACCAAGAAGCGCAGTCGCAGCCCCGAACGCATGGAAGACCGCGGACGACGCAGAGACAAGTATCGCGAGCGATCACGATCCCGAAGTGCCCGGCGACATGGCAAAAATGACGATCTCGTCGATGAGTTCGGTCGGTCGATTGATAGATACGGAGATCGGGACAGCCGTCGGTCTGGACATGGGGATCGCGATCGTCGGAGGCGCCGTGATCGGGATGAGGACGATGACTTCCGCCGTCCTCCGCCCGTTGAGCTGGATGACCATCCAGTTCTTTACAAGGTGTACGACGGAACCGTGACAGGAGTGAAAGACTTCGGCGCTTTCGTGAATCTACAGGGCGTCAGGGGGAAAGTGGATGGCCTGGTGCACGTCTCAGCAATGCAGGAGGGAGTGCGGGTCAACCATCCCTCGGATTTGGTCTCTCGCGGGCAACCGGTCAAAGTTAAGGTTGCTAGTATTCAGGGCACTCGAATCGGATTGTCTATGAAGGAGGTGGACCAGATGACAGGCATGGACATGGTTCCTCAGAAGCGTCTTGCGTCTGGAGCCAATATGGAGCGTCTCGATGGTACAGAGGCCAACGACAGATACGGCAACTTGAGCTCGGATGTGCCTGTCATTGAAGACTCGGGGCGTCGGCCGATGAGAAATCGCAAACGCATGACTTCGCCTGAGAGATGGGAGATCAGACAATTGATTGCCTCTGGTGTTGCGTCCGCGGCGGACTACCCTGACATTGACGAGGAATACAATGCAACTCTCACTGGAGAAGGCACCTTCGAAGAGGAGGAAGATGTCGACATTGAAGTCAAAGACGAAGAACCCCCTTTCTTGGCTGGTCAGACGAAACAGTCTCTTGAGCTCTCTCCTATCCGTGTTGTCAAGGCTCCCGATGGGTCAATGAACCGTTCAGCAATGGCAGGCACCAATCTTGCCAAGGAGAGGCGTGAATTGAAACAGCAAGAAGCCCAAGACAAGGCGGCTGAAAAGGCCGCGGATGTCGACCTCAACGCCCAATGGCAGGATCCAATGGTTGCGCCCGAGGAGCGGAAGTTCGCCGCAGACTTGCGCAGTGCGCAGCAGCCCAAGCAAGATGATGCGGTGCCAGAGTGGAAGCGTGTGACGATGGGCAAGAACGCTACATTTGGAAAGCGTACAACCATGTCTATGAAACAGCAACGTGAAAGTCTGCCCGTCTTCAAGTTCCGGAAGCAATTGCTGGATGCAGTCAGAGACAACCAGTTGATGATCGTTGTCGGAGACACAGGTTCCGGAAAGACCACGCAGTTGACACAGTACCTTGCTGAAGGTGGATATGGAAACAATGGAATCATTGGCTGTACCCAGCCTCGTCGTGTCGCTGCGATGTCCGTGGCCAAACGTGTGGCCGAGGAAGTGGGCTGCAAACTTGGAGCAGAGGTTGGATACACCATCCGTTTCGAAGACTGTACCAGTCCAGACACCAAGATCAAGTACATGACCGATGGTATGCTCCAGAGAGAGATTCTTCTGGATCCCGATCTCAAGAAATACTCCGTGATCATGCTTGACGAAGCCCACGAACGCACCATCGCCACTGATATTCTGTTCGGATTGTTGAAGAAGACCATCAAGAGACGACCGGATCTAAGATTGATCATCACTTCGGCCACTCTGGATGCTGAGAAATTCTCCGAATACTTCCATGGTTGTCCCATCTTCTCCATTCCTGGCCGAACTTTCCCCGTCGAGGTCATGTATTCCAAGGAGCCCGAATCCGACTATCTGGATGCTGCACTTATTACCGTCATGCAAATTCACTTGACAGAACCTGCTGGTGACATTCTGCTTTTCTTAACGGGTCAAGAGGAAATTGACACGGCGTGTGAGATTCTATTCGAGCGTATGAAAGCTCTAGGAACCACTGTCCCCGAATTGGTCATTCTCCCCGTCTATTCCGCGCTGCCCAGTGAGATGCAGAGTCGAATTTTCGATCCAGCCCCCGAAGGCGGACGCAAGGTCGTCATCGCAACCAACATTGCCGAAACATCGATCACAATCGATCAGATTTACTACGTCATTGATCCCGGCTTCGTGAAGCAAAATGCATACGACCCGAAGCTGGGTATGGATTCCCTTGTGGTGACACCTATTTCCCAGGCACAGGCCAAGCAAAGAGCTGGCCGTGCAGGCCGAACAGGACCTGGAAAATGTTTCCGACTGTACACGGAGGCGGCCTATCAGTCTGAAATGCTTCCCACCACCATTCCCGAAATTCAGCGCCAGAACCTCTCACATACTATTCTCATGCTGAAGGCAATGGGTATTAATGACCTGCTTCACTTTGATTTCATGGACCCGCCACCTACCAACACCATGTTAACGGCACTTGAGGAGCTCTACGCTCTATCCGCTCTCGATGACGAAGGTCTCCTGACTCGTCTGGGACGCAAAATGGCCGATTTCCCCATGGAGCCCGCGCTCGCCAAGGTTCTGATCGCATCCGTGGACTCAGGCTGCTCCGACGAAATGCTCAGCATCGTCGCCATGCTGTCCATCCAATCAGTCTTCTACCGACCCAAGGAAAAGCAACAACAAGCCGACCAGAAGAAGTCCAAATTCCACGATCCCCACGGCGACCACCTCACCCTCCTAAACGTATACAACGGCTGGAAAAACGCCGGCTTCAACAACTCCTGGTGTTTCGAAAACTTCATCCAAGCTCGCCAGATCAAGCGCGCCCAAGATGTCCGCAAACAACTCCTCGGCATCATGAACCGCTACAAGCACCGCATCGTCTCCTGCGGCCGCGACACCATGAAAGTCCGCCAATCCCTGTGCACCGGCTTCTTCCGCAATGCAGCCCGCAAAGATCCCCAGGAAGGATACAAGACCCTCGTCGAAGGCACACCCGTCTACATGCATCCCAGCTCTGCGATGTTCGGCAAGCCCTCCGAGCATGTCATTTACCATACTCTTGTTCTGACGACGAAGGAATACATGCATTGCACGACGGCCATCGAACCCAAGTGGCTTGTTGAGGCGGCGCCGACTTTCTTCAAGGTTGCGCCGACGGATAAGTTGTCGAAGCGTAAGAAGGCGGAGCGCATCCAGCCTTTGCATAATCGCTTTGCGGGCGAGGATGATTGGCGTATTTCTGCTCAGCGGAAGCAGGGGCGTGGTGGTGGTGGTGGAACTTGGGGTTGATTTTACGATACCTGCGCTTTGCTCTTTGGTTCGCTATCTGCGTTGTATACCTATCATGTACTTTTGCATAAACAAAACGATTGGCGTTTTCTTTTGGTTAAATTTCTTCTCATTGTAAATTCTAGAAACGGGAGTCTCTCCAAGCTTTGAGTCTGTTCTACCCAAGCCCTAAGTTTCGTCCTGGCCCCGACCTCGGGAGGTCACCGAGGCAGTCACCGAGGCAGTCACCGAGGCGAAAATCATCGAGGACACTGCATCATCCACCACCCAGCATTTGGCACTGGCAAAAGCAAAAAGAGATGACCGACGCAGGGATCGAACCTGCAATCTCTTGATTCGTAGTCAAGCGCCTTGCCATTGGGCCAGCCGGCCGTAAAGTGGAACTGTGAAGATCCACTTCATCGGTGCAACCCAGTGAGCTACTGGGCTGTTCGATGGGAGAGACGGGCATTTTATGTAGTATGAGCCAAAACAGTTTTCCACGAAATGTGTGTATTTTCTCGGCTCCATTCTGCTCAGGCTTGTGGTGTGCTCTGCCGAAGTGAAATCCCAAGTTTTCAATTCGTGGATCTATGGATGATTATGATAGTGAAATACGTTTTTCCAAATCATTATTTACTGGAAGCATGCTCATTCCAACCCTCTCGAGGGTTGGCACATAGGAGTTCCAAATTTTGATCGCGGCTATATATACCTCGAACCCGATACAAAGTTGCCGTTGGCTCACACACTTCAATGTTGGGCATCCGCCAGAATATGCATGGGTAAAATTTATACCTAGGTAGGTACCTAATATATAGAGTGTGACTATAGCCTACACCGACAACCTTGAAGGCACATAGCAGAAATATCGAAATCAATTGATCAAGGTCCATTCCAAGGTTAATCGATGATCAATGCTAGAATGTCGATATCATGGATGTGACCACTAATCTCCCTACCAGTACTCTGCCCTGCAAGAATCTAGAGTTCATAGAAGCTTTGTTTTTCGATTTTGCTTTTTATTTGGTGATATCAAATCCACCATGGAGGAGGAGGAGGGAGGTATCTTCCAAGGTTTTGTTTTTCCTTGGTCCTTCTCGTGCATGATCCATGCGATCATCTGGCTTGTCTCTTGCCAGCAAAGGCTCTGGCAGGCCCCGTCATCCCGGACATATGGCTTGACTTCCACGATCCCAAATACATGGCCAGCCACTTCGAGGTAGCTGTTGGCCAGCGCTGTCATTTTGTTTTTGTCAAAAGAACAAGTTTCAAATGGCGAGCGAGCTGAGGTCCATTCGCCCTCAATAATGGGGTTGCACAAATGTAAAACCTCCAAAAACGGAATCAGATAGTCATTGACCAGCTGTTGGTCTTTGGTTTGTTAAGGGCCTGAGCTCAGGCTGTAATGATTCAGCTTTCCGAGCGTGTTTGGGGACATAGTTAGACAGAGCGCCTGTCATTCCGAGATATGTTTCCAGTTGACGTAACTGGAGCGATGCAATAGCTCGGATCTTGTCGTCGGGGGTTGTCATGCCGAGGGCATGCACCCGCTGGCCGAGCAGCGAAACTTCGGGGACCGCAACGTACGCCTTGCGTGGCTCGAGCTAGACGTTGTGCCGTTCTAGTGTCTCAAAGACTGCTGTCAGATGTTGAATGTGCTCGGCGAACGATTCGGACGCGACTACCATGTCGTCCAAGTAGGCGCGACAAAAAGCAATGAACTCCTTCAGCATTAAATCCATTTGACGATGTACGCACGGCACAGAGTTACAAAGCCCCATGATGCAGACGTTGAGAATTTCCTGGCCTCTGTGCGACACGACGACGATTCGGCCTCGGTGACGGCGGGCAACTAGCTATTGGTAGAAAAACTTGGGTGCGTCGAGTACGGCGATGAACCGTTTGTCGTTGGTGAGGAGTAGGATGTCATCTTGGCAGGGGATTGGGTACACGTCACGAACAGTGACCTTGTTGAGTCCTCGCAGGTCGACGACGGCTCGACCTTTGCGTTGTGGCTCTTTGCTGGGCTCATGAATTGTCCGCCAGACGACGAACACTGGAAAGCCTGTCATAGTGTCATTTGGCGTGTGACTCATCTTTCTATGGTCAAGCGATTGGAAAGCATCATCAACGACGGCTCGATCTTTCGGACCCAGCGGATAGACTTTTGACTTTGGAAGCTTTGTCTCCCAACCTTCGATGAGCGGAACTGTCATCCATTGATCTTCGGGGATCCGGATAACGCCTGGCGTAGTGCCCCAGATATTATGGGACGAATAGAGCTCAATTGAAAACCCCCAAGGGCTTCGGTTTCAAGTCATTCAGAAGTCAGTATCTTCCAAGGTTTTCTGAGACGTTCTTTGATTGTGATTGTGCTCGATCCAATATCCAATATCACTCCCTCCCGATGGCTTGCGCTCAATCTTATTGTGGGTCGAAAATGCCATCAATCAGGTATCCGAATACTCGCCAACAGGATGGGCTTTAGGGTCCTTCAGGTGGGCCAGGAAACACTAAAACGGGGCCAGATTTGCAATGCGCCGTGCAATCTTTTCCAGTTTGGTCTTCACAGCTTGCGACCATGGCAAAGGCTGCAGGAGGGCTTCTAAGCAAGTAAGAGTGATTAGCAATTGCGAGTCCAACGATATAATAGGAGAATCTCGATGTAGTACGAACTTACCATTTGGGCGAGGGTTTCTATCCATACCTAGGTATATGTTAGCTACGTAGTCACCTCAAGGTGATATGACGGAGTCAAGACCGAGTCATTCTGTGAGTAGAAGTGCAATACATACCCTTTTTCTTTTCTTATGTGCTGGGGGGCGCAGGCCGGCGGCTATATAGTATATAAGATGAGTAAACTGGGAATTTTCTGAGGGAATGAAAGTACTCTTACCGCACGGACAATTGCGGCCCTGTTCACGGTCGCCAGCTCTTGGAGCTGGAAGCAGTTCTCGTTGGCATGCCCGGGGTGACGGCAAAAAGAGCAAAACAGCTATATGACTGGTCAGTGAATGTTCGGATATCGCATGTATTCAGGCTCTAGGGCTGCCCCGGTGCCGCTTGATGTCATTCTTCAACAATGCCGTCGACCACCGATGTCTTGGATTCACGGATCTGATAGACAAACAGGCGTGTACTTACATTCTTGATCTTGACGGTGGCCGAGGGGAAGAAGTTCTGGTGGATGCTGAGCACCTGGACATGTACTGCTCGCTACTTCCAGACTTGGGAATCATCTGAGGCAGGAACATTGCCTGCACAGGTCATCTCTACGTATGTCTATCTTGACTCGATCAATTGCGAGTGCTTCATATCAAAATGACATAGAGACAGCAGCTCAATATTCAACGCTCTCGACCATCAGAGACAATACATAGTCTAATGCAATCACCACCCCTTCCAAGGAACCCAAGTCTCCCGCACAATATCCTCCTCATCAACCACATAATAAGCAAAATGCATCGCAGCCGTAATACAAGCATGCTGAATATACAACAACACCTTATCCCCAACCTTAAACGAACTCTCCACCCTCTCACTCTCATTCACCTCCACCCCCATAATCCCAGCAATCCTCTCCGTCTGCTCCGAACTCTTCAACCCCAAAATCCCATGCTCCTGCGCCATCCGCACAACACTCCACCCCGGCCGATCCGCGACAATTCCAAAGCCCGGAAACTCACTCGTCTCCTTTGCCAGCGCAACCGTGCCCGCATTAATCAGCGCTTCATTCCGCTCGGGATAAACGCTACACACGTCCGCCAGGATCCGCACAGCCTGCTGTGTCGGCGTAACTAGCGATGTGGCAACTTGCTGGAGGTCGTTGGTTGGGTAATTCCCTGCGTGAAGTTCGAGGTCCATGCCTTCCGGGAGAACGCCTTGGAGTCTTTTGATGACGTGTGCTGTTGGTGTTGAGCCGACGGAGACGACGATCTTTCGATCTTTGTCGAGGAGGTATTTCGATGCTTGGACTACGCCTTCGATTTCGGATTGCAGGACTGCGGCTGCGGCGTCTTCGGTCCGGCAGGCGTAGGAGTGGCCGGCGTGACAGTAGAAGCCGTAGACGCTGGCTGCGGGGGAGGATTCAATGCGGTGGATCAGTTTTGGGAGAGAGGGTGAGTCGGTGACTAGGCCTGCGCGCTTGGAGCCGACGTCTATTTTGATGAAGACGGGCCAGGGGGATACGGAGGGTGATTTGGTGAGATAGGACTCTAGGAGATCGATTTGTTGCTCGCTGTCGATCATGAGGATGATCTTGAGGGATTTGGTTAGGGTTTCTAGGAATGGGAGAGCGCTGGCGGAGACCGGGAGACCGTAGAGACACTGTTTGGAGTGAATATTTGAATCTTATTGCGGTTGAGCCCAGGCGTGAAGAAAGTGCGTACCTCGTCTAGTTCTCCACTTTTCACCAACTCCAAAGAGCCCCGGATTTCAGCGAGAGTCGATGCAACAATTCCCCGATGGGTATTTCCCAGCATCATGCGAGTGACTTCGGTGCACTGCATTGCGAATGGTTAGACAATCTCAATTGACGGATTGAATCCTCTTTACCTTCAGTGTCTTCACATGGGGCCGGAACTTAATTCCCAATTCCTTCACATCCTCGAGAAGTATGCGGGTGTTGTGCTCTAGTACGGGCTTGCTCAGCACCAATGCCGGTGTGGGCAGCTCGCTGACTGGACGGCCAATATAAGAAGCGTGGTTTTCCAGTGAATAGTCCATTTTGACTGTGCTATACCCCGAAACACAGGGGCGTTCGCGTCGGTTTATACCGTTGGAGTTTATCGATAAGGCGTGGGGGTATGGGGGTGCCCAGGTGGGCTTTGGATGTTGGCCGATGTCTGATACTTCCACTCGGTGTTTAATTTGGAAAAGCAAAATCAGTACCTAAATAACAAGTTAGATACTCCTCTTTATGTGTTATAGACCTCCTATTGCTGAGCACTCCATAGAATTGAGACTTGTTGAGCTGGAGTGTGCCCGCGGTAAAACCCCCCGCGGCGTTGACCGCGGGCCTTGTGGGGGTGAATTGCGGGGGGCATGGGGGTTGGGAGTGTGGAGTCCTACGAAGGGCGACTCAGGGTCCATAGTTACATTCGGTTGATGTAACTACGGAGTATGCGAGATGCGATCGGCATATGTCTAGACTTGATTTATCACGTAAAATTGTGTTTCGACCTGTCAATTCCACATGAGGAAATCCTGAACTCATTCAACACAATCCCGCGAGAGGTGATCAGGGCGTTGATCCTTTGGGAATCCTGCTCAACCTGATATCGTGTCTTGCGTTAAAAATCGAACTTGGAGTGCCGGAAACGCCACGCCTTGGATCTCGTGTAGATGGCCAGTAGGCAGCCGAGGTCCGACAAATGTTTGTTCGTCGAATCCCAAGATTCGTAACTGTCTGGATCGAGAACTTCCGAGTTACCGGCAGGTTGTAGCGTAGAGTAAATACGCGACGATGACATGCTGGCCAAGATTACTGAATTGTTTTTCGTCCAGAGAAACACCCGATTTTGTTTCTTAAAGTATGATGGAGACCAATGGCATCCCACTGTCCTCCGCTGGAGGATAATTAGCATGTATTTTTAGGCGAGCTGTTGGTCAATTGACATACCAGTCACCTCCACAATTCCATACATTCCCACGCGGATTCGAGGAGACTTTTCGACAAAGCGAATGAGGCGGTGGAGGGGTGCGATATCACCAGACGACGGTGCTTACTAGCATTTATTAGTATGATAACAAACTAGCTTGGACGAACTGCGTCAAGAGCAACTCACCCGCATCGGGAGAAAGGTTCCCCCTGGGAGGGAGGAATTCCAGGGAGGCGCGTCCCCCCCCCTCCTCCCCCCCATGGGCGAGGGAAACCGGCACCCCCTTGAGGGAGACTCAAAAGAGTTATCGAGTTTCTACACGCCCAAATTAGTATCATGGGTCCCAGACTAGCTTAATTTGATACAAAGAACAACTCACCCGCACCGGGAGAAAGGAATCCCCTTTCCGTAGGACAAAAGAGATGAGGCATTTGCCCGGCCATCGCCTGCTGATTGGCAGCTCGACAGTGAGGTGGGCGGAGAGAGAGAAGCTGAGTATGGATATCAGATTCCGGGTCTTGCTCTTGATCTTCCCAAGACACATTCACTTACCTCTAATATGCCAGTTCTCCCGTATCAGGTGCTAAGACTTCCGGAATGATCTCAAAATCGACAACAAGAACTGATATCTTCGAGGATAGCCAGTCAAAGATGTGGGCTTGGCGGGGATACCATAGCTATGCTCACAGAGCTTCAGGGCGACAAAAGACGCAAGGACCATGGTGCCATCACTGGGAAAATAGAGGAAGCAATCTTTTGACTTAGTTCCAGTCAATAGGACATCAATGGGAACAAGAGGGTCTGTGCTTGGAAAAGAAGAGAAGGGGAAGTGGTTGGCAGGAAGAAGTTCATGACATCGGAAGACAGAAGGCACGTGTCACAGGTGAGGAGCTCCAGGTTTTTTAACTGGTCGCTGCAAACAATACAAAGAATACTGGATATAGAAAATGATAGATATATATATAATCAATAGAATACTACTAATTAAAACGTGAGCTCAAGTGATATCCCAAGAGTCATATAGCTCTATGCTCGTAAATAATAGAACTAGTGAATCATAAAGTGAAAGTAACAGTGAGAAGTTGGATAGTTATCAGACAGAGCAATCACTTTTCTTTGAATGTCAATTTCATTTATCTTCTTGCTCGCTGCCTGCTGCTTTACCCTTCAAGTACCGTAGATGGACCGTTCCGGGCTTTGTGAGATGCAGTGTTTTTCACATGGTTGACCAGACCAATTGGCTAAAATACACTGCTCTAAAAAAGCTGCATGATAGGAATAGTCTATTGAAATTGATGATTCCCGTCGTTTAAAAAAACGGCGAAATTTAGCCGGCGCTAAAGCAGGGACTTGGCCCATCTTGGACCCTGACCGGCGCCAAGCCGGGGCCGGGCGAGCCCGTGGGGCTGGACGTGCCTTACGCTCAACTTCGCCTTAGACGGGGTTGTCAATGGACGTTGGGGCGCATAATTTGATTATGGCGCCGAATTTCGGACCGTGGCGTTGAAATTGTTGTGAAGCTAGGTTTCAACTCCCCTGAATCTTTCCTTGGGTAACTTGTACATTGTACTGATAACTAAGGCAAGAATTAACACACAATGAAAGATGTTAGTTCATACTATGGATACATTCGCTCAAAAGATTGCACGGGGTTGCATCCATTTATAGAGAATCATGAGGCATATTCAGCGAGTTAGACCCTACACTGCTTCGTAGAATGATGCGTTGTATTGATTTCCACCAAAATTGCTTCGTTTCCCTCCCACTGCAATTCGCCAAATATCTTACAGGAGAATTCATTTTGCCAATTTGCTAATGGCCGTGTACATAGCCATGGCAAAAGTGAAGATGAGACCGTTCATGTTTGACGTGGAGACTTGGCTCGGGTTGCCCATGGATCTATGAAGGTTAACATCTGTATCGAGCGCAGTACGTCGACAATGACAAGAAACCTACCAAAGAAGGAGTTGGTGCTGATATAACCAATGAAATGGCAGTCTCCGACAATTAAATCAATTACAGCTTCCCGAAACGAAGTTTGGCACAGGTGCCTGAGAGAGCGGATCCACTGGATAGAGCTCACACATCTGTCCAGTGGTCGTGTACAGCCAGGAGCGACATGTGGGAATACCGGCACACTTTGAAGCACAGGCAGCGTAGTCGGGGATCTCGTAGGAGAAAGTCATTGCTGCACGACTATAAAACGATATTGTGTCGTGTTGGACTGCATTTGTGCAATTCGAAGATGAACCAGATAGTGGCGTTGCTGTTGCTTGGAGAAAGAGGGCACTCATGGCCCAGAAGGAAAACATATTGTCAGGTAGAGTTGTCTGAGAGGCTCGACGAGATGTACTATATACTCCGTATGGATTGAGCATTTGAAATACTTAAGGCACTTGAAGCGCCAAGCCGCTAGGAACGGAGGGTCCCCGGAGAGGGATGCAATTGGGCATCACTTTTGGCTATGCTTCACTAGCGCTGGTGCCTCGGTTAGCTACATAGTCGCCTCACAGGGCCAAGCACGATGAGATTGCAATTTCGGACTTGCCTCTAGACTGGGGAAAGTAGATTTTAGTCGCCACTGTGATTAAATCACTGAGCGTAAATATCAGGAGCTATTGGTTCTTCCGAGGCTACAGTGCCCCGTTATATCATAGCAGAAAAAAGAGGCGTGCCAGAGGTATTAGCCTAATTGGTGATGGCTGCTTGTAGAATTTTGAGGGTCTAAGGGTCTCATTCGCAAGTAGCAAAAAGTTTCAATGCATCCAGGAAACTTGTACTGGCAAATATCACTACAATTGATCTTAAATCTGTGTCAGAAAACAGCATTATTGCACCCCACAGATCTATCGATCGCCTCACGAGCGCGCTCACGATCGGCGTGAAAATCCTCCCGCAAGCGCCTCTCAACCTCCGACATAGGCCACCAGTCCGTCTGTGCCATCACCGAAAGTATCAACTCTCTTGGCAAACGCTTATCCAGATCGGATGCTTCCTCCGCCGCTGCGGCCCACCATTCATGCTGCTGAGGTGGAACATTCCGTGTGGAGCAGACCCGATAGTGAGGATCCACCAGGCGAAGCTTGACAAGGGTCAAATGGCCGGGCTGAGTAGCATCACTGAGTTTGAATCCCTCTAGCTTCGACCGATAGGTATTAGGCCAGCTGAGGAGGTGGCCTCGTGCAGTCCGGACTGATCCGAAAGTATGGAGTGCGCGATGGGGTTCTTTGGGATTTGGCCGGGGATCCACGTCCAGAACACGCGATAGGGCCTTTAGGACCTGACATTGAAGCTTTTCCCTAACGACCTTATCCTCATGCTGGAACGCCACCCGGGCCTGCGTCACATTGTTGCTTTCCACCGCGTATAAACTGGTGGCCGCGATGTGGTCGTTGCGGAGCCCCTCGGTGTGGAAGTGGCTTTCACCTGCATACACGGGATTTTTGGGCGTGAGTTCGATGCGAGTGATTTCCACCACGACTTGGAGACCTTGGTCCCGGAATTGCTGCTCCAGTTTCACAGGGATATGGTGATGGTGTTGTGGATCCGGGCGCTTCCAAAAACGCGGCGGGTGGATCGCACGTCCTTTGAATTGACCTTGTTTCCACTGTTCATACGAAAACGACACACCGGGCTCGGGATGGTCGAACCAAGTCTTTCGTCTTCGCTTCGCGTTGATGGCGATGCGCACATGCTTTGTGCGTTCCACTTCGCTTGGTCCATGTCTTCACATCGGGGTGCATAGCTCACACAGGCCTGCTTCCACTCTGGTGGTTCGGGTTCTGCGAGGTATTGGCGGGCAATTTTGCAACGCCTCTGCCACTCTTCGTAAGTGGGACAATAGGTCGAGATAAGATCGAATACTTCGTGTTCTTCGTTATGGTTGTGGACCTCGCAGCCATAAGTTAGAATTCGGGGCGGACGGCGTCCACGAGAGTTGCTGTAAAAAAGAATATCATTCCATGAAGGCACCGCGCTTGCGATGAGCCGCTCAAGCTGTCTGTACAGGCTCCTGTGGCGCTCCGGGTGGAGATTGTTCACATAGGACGTGATCTGAACAGAGGTATCATTTAGCGACCCGGGCTCGAACCGCACCTCACAGGGAAGCCATTGAAAGCGACCAGACCAACAACTTTCATAATCTTCCCATCTCATGTAGCGGGACTCCTCCAACCCCGGTTCCCTAAAGTTCTTCTTCAAGGTCCGGCGGTTGGGCAGATCCTTGGCAACCTGACCGGGTGATTTCCATAAATCCTCCAAGGAGACCTCTCCACCCTGAACTAGTACAGGCGAACGGTCGTACACTAGTGGGAATAGAGACGGGTCGACCAGGTGGGAAGCATGGCCTTGTGATCCCAGCCGGGCAATCTCCGCCTCCAAGTCTCCCGCGAGCATGGTCAAATCGGCTTGACAAACAGCGGAGGAGCTGTCGAGAACTAAGAGATGACCCGTTGCTTGCCAGATCTCTGCCTTGTCGCGTAGTTCGGCGAGACACCAATCCCATGTGGCGGGGCTGATAAGGAAGCCTTCAGATCCATCCTTGGCGTCCTGGTGCCACTGCGCTAGTCGAGCCTCATCTGGGTCCAGTATCACGCGATCCCACTCAGGCTGTTCCGTAATATGTAACATGAGTCGGAGCATGGCCATCTCTCGCAAGGTAAGCCGATGTGAGTGGCGAAAGTCAATCAACCCATGGGCAAAGCGGCTCTCGAGAGGCAGTTGAAAGTCCAGAGGCAGTGAGTTGAATCCCGGGACTTGAAGCGGACCATGGCCGTCGTTATTGAGAGGCGACATTTCAGGGCAGTTGGAATCGAAGAGTTCCCCACTGGGTTCTGTGAAGAGACTAAGTCGAAATGCCCAAACTAAGAAAGGTAGAGAGAAGGATTAAATGGGAAATGAAACCAGCCCGACTCCGGGGCCCCAATACCAAGCCCCGGGGTGTCGCCCACATTGCGGAGTATTAATTGAATATTCCAATTTGTTCTCCCAAAAGAACCCGCGCTTTGTGTTTGATTGATTGGTATTCGTCCTCTTCTGGGGTCTTTGCTAGGTTTCTCAACTGCCCTGGGGTGAATTTTTGAAGAACAGTCAGCTCAAGGCTTTTCATGTCATTACTGTCCATTACTACCTATGTACGTACTCGGGCCAAGTCTACGGGCACCGCCTGAACAGGGATCTCGGGATATTGAGTACATCATTCCATCTTCATTCCAATATCACGAACGTCCAACATGCGATTTGATGCTAGTTTCAATCAACGCAGTTGTTGATCACACTCAGTATGGAACCAGACAGTTTCCCCCATGAACACCCATTGATCATGACAGCAATGGTGACAATTCTAGGGCTTATTTCGTAGTTTCGCCCTCGTTACCTTCAAGTGGAAGTTGTCAGTATTTCTTCAACACGGGAGTGGGTTATAACTTACCGGCGGGAGCGGGAGATGGTGGAGGCGAGCGCGATCGCGACCGGAGAGGAGCAGTGCCTGCGATGGCGATACCTATTAGTGTAATGCCCAATAGCCATGAAGTGTATCAAGTAACTTGCCTCCGTCGGAAGGGAGAGGCCCCTTCGCTCACATTAACGGCGATTGATTCAGCCGGGACATGCGCTTGGTTCACCAGATCCGTGATGGTGCCAGCCGGGAGATGCCCTTCGCTCGCAAAAACGGCGACTGATTCGGCAGAGGTGAGCACGATGGGCTCGGTCGCAGCTAAGTATGTCAGTCTCTCGCTATTGCCTCGAGATGTATAGGGTATGTATGCATACCTGCTTCCGGTGTCTGGGCCTCTATGAACTTGTTAGCGATATGCGCTTTTTTTGAGAAAGGACACCCCCTAGATATCATAACAAGAGCTGTAGAAACGTAGAGATCTGGGATAGATGGCGAGATGCAGACATCGCAACAACTTACCTTGAACTCGCCGGCTGGCCCGGCGGGCCCGGCGCATCCGGCGTGCCCGGCGTGGCCCAGGGCCGGGAACTGTGGCGCCATAGGCAGCCTGCAGACACTTTAGCATCAAATTCGGCTTTGTGCTTGTTGGGGATAATACCATTGATGACCAGACGGTAATCTCCGCTCCAGCTTGATAAAGCATTGTGTGGTACTCAGCCCAGGGCGCGTGGGTGCCGTGGCACCAGTTACAAACGAAGATCTAATATTTTCGGAATTGTGTCAGTCAATTTCATGTTTAGCAATGAGCACATTGGGGACGAAGTTCATCCCAAACGGAAAAACATCGCATCATCTAAGATCAAGTTAGAGGATGAATTGATCTTCACTTACCTCTTGATGATTTGAGGACATGTTTGCGAGACCAAGAAAGAGAAGCGATAAGAGAGATGTTTGGAGGAAGAAGTTCTACCCAGCGAGGAGAGGCCCTCTTATACCTGGAGCTCCTTCCATTTCCTCTCACTTCTCTCTCTCTCCTCAACATCCATAGATACCTTCACTGATGGCACCGTTATCGAAGTGCATCTCATTCAGGGCCTCTGAGGATTCACGAAATAACGCAACTCTTCGGGGCCGAATTCGCCCTGAATGACAGGTCAAATACATCAAACTTCTAGGCCAGTATATTCATGGCCAAGATCCAGCTCGAGATGGGAGCCTGTTTCGGTCCCACGGATGATGTGGTACAATCAATCTTCTCGAAGGGTTCATGCTCAGCCAGGCCACACCAACATACAGGAGGTGGTGGAGGTTGCCGACTCATACAAAGGAGAGGAACCATTGGCCACGACCGCTGCACGGAGAGACATGAGCAAGAAGGACATCAAGAGTCTATGCGCCGGCATTACTGCTCTGGACAAGCAGTTCCAGGACATCGTTGCAAAGTGTTTGAGCAAGTAATTTTTATATTAGAGTTATATATCCAGAATGATACTTCTGGTTTCTGTTCAAAAAGAGAGTCTTGTCATATCATGGATATCTGCCAGCTCAATTGATTGGCAGTACTCTTTTCCTAGGCTCTTTCAAAGTTTGCTGGACTTTTCAACTCTCTTAGTCTTGTGTCGAGATGTATAGGGTATGTATGCATACCTGCTTCCCGTGCCTGGGCCTCTATGAACTTATTAGCAATATGCGCTTTATTGGAAAAGGAAAAAAACTGGGGATGATAATAAGAGATGTTGGTGGAAGTTTGTTATAAGCAACGAGATGCAGATACCGCAGTAACTTACCTTGGATTCGTCGTCGGGCACGGCGGGAGCGGCGCGCCCGGTGTGTCCGGTGGCGTCTGACCCCATGCGAGCCGGGGCCGTGGGCATGACCGGTGGCGCCAAAGGCAGCCTGCAGATACATTAGCATCAAATTCCACTTTAGGCTTGCTGGGGATGATACCACAGCCGGCCAGCCGCAGAAGTTGCAGACAGAAGTCTAGTATTTTCGGAATTATGTCAGTCGAATCCATGTTTACCACTGAGCACGGTGGGGACTGGGTGAATCAAAATGGCAAACAACATCCATGGACATCATCCTCTTGAGTCAAGTTGGAGCATGGATTGATCTTCACTTACTTCCTAGCAGTAGTAAGCCATTTTTTAAGTAAGAGAAAGAAACAGAAAGGCAATCAATGAGAGGGATGTCTACCTAGGTAGAGGAAGAAGTTCTACCCGGCGAAGAGAAGCCTTTTTTTATTTCTGGAGCTTCTTCCCTTCCAAGGTTTCTTCTCACTTCTCTCTTACTTCTTTCTTACTATGTATAGCTCTGTTCTCCAAATGTACCTCATTCAGGACCTCATTCACAAGATGAAGGAAATCGTCACGAACAGCGGTTCAATGAGCCTGAATCACGCAAATCAGGCACATCAATCACACCGATTCAATCAGTCTTAAGTGTGTGACTAGAGTTGGAGTAGAACTGGATCCGCAGCTCGACGATTTTTATTTTTTGTTTTTTTGTTTTCTAAAAAATAGAGCAAAGCCCACCTCGGGAGAGATATAGACACGCGGATTGTATTACTTCCAGCAAGATCCACATAGATACATAGACAGCATCACTTCGCCGAGTCCTTCTCTGAATCCTTCTTGGCGCTCTCAATTTCATTGTCATTCTCAGCAGCTTTGACAGAAAGGTGTTAGTATTTCCAGCACCATTGGATTGCTTCATAACTACCTAGGTAGGTAAACACCATCGGAAGGCGAGGGCAGTTGGAGCTTACCCGCGGGAGTGAAGCGGTGCGTAGGCGAGCGAGAGTGTAGAGCAGTGCCTAGCGATACACATTAGCATGATGCTTAATAGCCGTGAAATGTATTAAGTAACTTACCTGAGTTCGCACGGACGTGCTATTCGTTCACATGAGCCGTGATGGATTCAGCGGGGGCTAGTGGAACTGGATTGGTGGCCGCTAAGTATACAAGCCATTCTCCGGCTTATATCTTGAGGTGTGTATATAGATGAACGCGCTCTTCATCTCGGACTGTCGTCGGATGGTTCATTTCAGCAGTGGTCACGGTATGTGTTATTTCCGCGTAGGGGGGGTGGTCCCATGCGCTGTACCCGCCAGACGGGCCCTAGCTTCTATAAACCCGTTAGCAATGTGCGCTTTTTTGAGAAAAGACACCGGCTGGTCCTATAGCAAGAGCTGCAGAATGGCAGAGAGCTGGGATGGACGGCAAGATGCAGACATCGCAATAACTTACCCTGGATTTGTTGGCGAACCCAGCGTGATCGGCGGCGCCTAGCCCGGCGCCGCCGGCCTTGTTGTGGGCCTGGCTGTGGGCCTGGATCGGGGGCGTAATCGACGGGGTAATCGACGGGGTAATCGACGGGGTAATCGGCGGCCTGCAGATACGATAGCATCCGTGGATCAATTTCGACTTTAGGTTTGCAGAGAAGAATACCGTAATCCGCCACTCGACTCCCCCAAATCCCCACACGAATGCCTAATAGATTCAAGATTGTGTCAGTCAATTCCACGTTAGGGTCGAGGTGTATCCCAAACGGGAAAACATCGCATCAGCATCTAGGGTCAAGTTAGAGCATGGATTGATCTTCACTTACTTCTTGATAGTAAGACATGTTTTGATCAGGAAAGCCAAAGAAGGAGAAGCGATGAGAGGGATGCTTAGAGGAAGAAGTTCTACCCAGCGAAGAGAGGCCCTCTTATGCCTGGAGCTTCTTCCCTTTCCTCTCACGTCTCTCTCCCCCCTCGCCTTATATGACTCCGTTCTCTAAATGCACCTCATTCAGCTGATGATGCAAATATTTGGGGTCGAATTCAATACTGATTGACATATCAAATGCATCAACCTCGAGGTATCTCCGTGGCCAAGATTTAGCTCGAGATGGGGGCCTGGTTCGGTCCCACGGATGATGTAGCGCAATCAATCTCCTTGGCAGTCTGATGCTCGGCATCATTAAGAAAAATCTTTTAGTATTTCATTAGCATGTGCTTGGGATCCCTACCTGTGACCGGGGTACCAACGGTCGTCACGAACAACAGTCCAATCAGTCTGCATCATAAATCAGACATATCAATCATACCGATTCAAAGTCTTAAGTTTGTGACTAGAGATGAAGTAGAAGTAGATTCGCAGGCAGATCAATCTTTTTTTTCCCTGATTTTATCTTTTCTAATCAAAGGAACAAAGTACAGACAGATAGAGATACGCATAGTATCACTTCCAGAGATTCTTCGTACAGAGAAATAGACACAGACGTTGTCACTTGTTGGTCAGTCTCATTTCTCGGTGTTTTTCTCGGCCTTAGTCTCGCCGTTAGCCTCGGTGCCCTGATCAATGTTCTGTGTGGCGGCTTGAAGAGAAAGGTGTTAGTATATCCTGTAGAATTGGACAGCTTTATGTCCAGACAAACACAATTGGAATGGAAGGGGAGGGCGGTTGGCATGATGCCAAATAGCTGTGAAATGTATCAAGTAACTTACCGGAGCCGGAAGATAATTGGTCCTCCGCCAGGTCCACGGTGTCGGACTCCAGGGGCTCGACTACAGCTAAGTCAGACTTTCATTGCATGGAATATCGAAGAGACCGAGAAATGGGTGACTTACTTGGTCCCTGAGGGGCCGAAGCCCCAGCCTGATACTCGGCGGGTGTGCGATTAACGGGTGCGAGTAAAACAGGCTCGGTCGCGGCTAAGCATATCAGTCTCTTACTCTTGTCTCGAGATGTATAGGGTATGTGGGCATACCAGCTTCCCGTGCTCTGTCAGCTATGAAATTGTTAGCAATGTGCGCTTTTTTGAGAAAAGAAACCAGCTAGGCCTCATCGCAAGAGCTTCAGATTAGTGGAGATCTGGGATGGATGGCAAGATGCAGATATCACAATGGCTTACCTTGAATCCAGCGTCTAAACTGGCGAGATCGGCGGCGCGTAGTCCGGCGCTGCCTGCCGATATGCTGGATGGGGCCGGGGCCGGGGCCGGGGACGGGGACAGGGACGTAGGAGGTAGCCCCAAAAGCAACCTGTAGATACGTTAGTATTAGTCTTGAATTTAGGCTTGCGGAGAATAATACTGCGGAGTACCAAAACTCTACCGCCGCCATGGGTGCCATGGCTGGGCATTCAGCTCCTAGCCCATGGTACCCTTGACAAAAGTTGCCAAAGAAGATCTAATATTTTCAGGGTTTTGTCAGTCAAGTCCATATTCACAACCAAGCACGTTGGGGATGAGGGTTATCTCGAATGGGCAAAATTCGCATCATCGTGTAGTGTCCAGGTGGACCGTGGATTCTTCTTCACTTACCGTCTCGGAGAGGGGAGGCATGTTGGTTTGGATAGGAGTCAAACAATGAAAGCAAGGCAGAGGAGAGAGTTGCTTAGAGGAAGAAGTTCTACCCAGCGAAGAGAGGCCCTTTTTATCTCTGGAGCTCCTTCCCTTTCCTCTCGCTCCCCTCTCGCGCCTTCCTCACTTTCTGTCACTCGCCCTGAGCATCACCTGCTCAACTGCACATACCTGGACAGCCCAGGTGTGACTGTTCTATCAAGTCCTGAATCCCAGCCTTGATATTGGCTACCACGGTCATTTCCGTGGTAACCCCACCTTCAATGATAGGCTCTGGCGGCCAGAGGCTCATTGAGATGCCCAATCACTGCCAGCACAGGTTCAAACTACTCTGATATAACCCATCCCACTCATTCTAGGCCTGGGATGTGAAAGCAATCAACATCTGACCACAATTCTCACTCCTCAAACCGGGGAGCATTATCACTTTCGATCGTCGTCGTGAATCTGAGGAGACTAAATGGTACAAGACGCTTTCAGATATGCTCACCTAATCTAGGTAGATCAAGTCGACAAGCTCTGTGGCTTCGGCTTGAGCAGACGATTCCAACCGGATTGAGGGATTGCCATTGCTTTTCCACACAGTCTCCTGCCTTGGGAGATAGTGATTGTAAAGGTAGGAGTAACAAAGCTTGAGCAAGAGCCCGGGGCTATTCAGATGCTCTGGGACAGTCCGATGAGCTCGGCAGCCGCACTATTGAGTGTCACCGAGTCGGATATCTCGCCATACTGCTTGCGTTGGGTGTGTCGGTTACACCCTAGAAATTGCAGTTCGATGTCCTACCGCAAACCCTTTGAGGCTGGGAGGTCTCATTCCAAATCGGCTATCCTCATGGAAAAGATGCCAGATGCCCTAGTCCATATATCAGTATCGAAGAGGAACCTGCGTTTTCATTCTTCTCGAAATAAACCAGTGCTTACATCGTCTCTCTAGTGTTTCTCATCGATGCCAAATGCCAGGAAGATATGGAAACCATTGTGCAAGATAAGCAGACATCTGGAAGATCCTGTTAGCATGTCCCGTCAGTATGATCGATGTATGTGACTTGCCGTTGATCAACGCACGTTGCCAGAACGATCATACATGACCCGTGCAATCATTTCAGTTGTCATTTGCCAAGGCAACTGTGGGTAATGTATTCCGTATCGATTGTGCGGTGACTCTTAGTCATGCTGAATGCTTGCCCAGGTGGTCCAACTCTTCCAGGTAGTCTCTGAACTTCATGCGCGCAAACATGGCAATGCCACCAGTTTGGCTATGTCAAGATAACGGAGAGACTTCCAATACTACCCCATTTCTGTTCGTCAAGACGGGAATGACGACGAAGACATCAAACCTCGGTTGACCCTAACTGAGAGTTTGTGCCCTCGGTCACCAGCAAACGACACTTCCGGTTCACGCGGATTTGCACATTTCGGCATCGATCTCAGCGAACTCTGGGGAGTCGTGGAGGCAAGGCCATGGGTGAGTTTGAATAGGCTGGTTTCCATTCGGAAGTGAGCATCCCAACGTTCTGCTTCTTTGTTCTTTCCTTCGAGCTTTTCGAATCTTGGCCAAATATTCATAGGCCAAGCGGAGTGCAGACTCATTTGAATCGAACCCGAACGATCATATCTAGGTCCCCACGAGGGATTGAATAAAATTCAATCTGTGTCATTCGGAATCGAAGGAAAGCACCCTTGGGTTTCAATAACCCACACTATGGTTTCTTCGATCGCCGATCTTGCAGCATCTCGCAGAGCCTGTCCGGTGAACCCTTTCGAGCGAAGTCCTGTGCAATGTTGATTGATGTGAGATTTGCGTATTCCAGAGGCACCGTTGTACGGGACTGTGGCTTGGTACTGTGAGGACTAGCAGTAAGCAGTGGTTAAATCCCCCAAAGCCCGTATGTCATAGAAATCACAACAGGCTGGATGTGAAGATGATATTGGCAAGATTCAACACCGATGATTCATCTTGGACTGGAATGCACGGGTATATACCGAGCGAGTTTGCCTTTTTGGCTGTGAATCTGTAGATGATGATGTACCGAATTTGCCGTTGAACATCAAAATTCAATCAATAAAAGATTCAAGTAATGTGGAGTAAGCTGGGACTATGAAACAAACAGACGTGAAGTTTGACTTGTCAACAAACTCAGCCAAGAGACAGCTTATACCTAGGTAAACAACTCCGTCGGTGTCTGCTCGGCATTCGCAAGGTTCCAGAATGAAGAGATAATCCCATTGCCGTTTGGGGGATTGATCAACAAGATCCTGGAGCCAGAAGTCCCTCAATTTTCCACGCTCATGACCTTCATCCGATGGACCATGTCTAAAGGTTTCCCAGCAAGACGACCCCACCCCATAAATATCACTCTGAAGACAAGCCCTTGCCAAAAAGTTTTTGGTGGCCGTGACACGGCGCCGAGCTTCGGGCCAAGGGGTCCGAGATCCGATTCCGAGAGGAGAAATTGGGGCCGAAGGCTCCGAGTCTAACCCGATTGGGAACTATATCTAGGGCCTCTAGTCACGTGACTTGCGGTGCAATCGATCGACAGGCCGCGGAGATATCCTGTCAAGTGGACATGTTTCAGATGGTCATTTAACCATCCTCGTCATAGAGGGGGCACACGGCGCATTAGCAGCCTGCCAAGCCAACGGCGGAGAAACTTCAGCAAATGCCAAGCAATAGCGCCCCCCACTATCCATCAGATAAGGGGATTTCGTCCGAGTTTCATCAATCACATCCATTGAGATTCCGTGCGCAACTTCAAAAGGACCGTGTCTCACTGTGGCGTCACCCCGAAATGTATCTGCAGATTCTATCCCGCATAAACTGAAAGGATATGATGATCAACGAGGCGAGGTATGTAACGACTTCCGGCGAGTTTAAAAGACAATCCCGGAGCTCCAATTTTACACATATTACTTAGCGTCGGAGCAACCCGTAGACATCAGTCCGTACCCTCAGAGACATTACTTCACTACACATACTAGGCTAGAGGACCTCCCAGTTCTCCTGTCTCAATCTTCATCAGTTAACATTAGCCCGACTCGAAATAGAAGTATTCCACATAGCACGCTTCAAACTTTGTCCCGAAGTTAACAAGGGAATCCAATAAAATATTAGGAACTTGAATTCTGAATCTGCATACCTTCGCTAACACCAAGATCTATAGAGTTTATCAGATTTCATGACTTTGAAACAAAAGTGTAGAGATCCTGTGAGCGGACAATCTTATATTCGCGATCCCACAGGAGTGCACTGCTCTCCAAAAGAGGGAATCGTACGTTCCCAGTCGCTGTCGTTGCAGGACATGGCACTGATTGCAGTGACATTGACACACGCTAACATTGTCAGGAATATAACCATGCTTTCATACTCAAATTTGGGACTCTGGAAGAGCAAGAGTTCTGCAAGATCCAATACATTTAGACTTCAAGTCTCGAATTCTCCACTGCTGGCAAATTTGGAGATCTCGGCTTTCGAAGACAACACAGCTTAGTGCTCTGGCTCGGGGAACATACATTTTCTAAGAGAAGAATGTAAGCAGTCATTCAAGATTTGCTAAATAAAAATCAATGAAAAAGGTGCATCAGAGCTTTGCGCACGCATTTACCGTTCCCAAGTTGTCTAGGGCTGTATGAACTGAAGGAATTCCGATGAGGCTTCGGCGCTTCGCCACGTGATAGCGCGACGTACCTCGCGGTAAACAAAGGACCGCAACTTCGAAACTGCCATTCGCAACACTTTCCTTTATCTGAATGTCTACAGAAATTGACGAGCTGCGGCGTCTCCTTGCGGAAGAGCAACGGCTCCGTGCGGAGGTCAGGGAGAATCTAGCAGAGGAGCAACGGCTCCGTGCAGAGGTCAGGGAGAATCTAGCAGAGGAGCAACGGCTCCGTGCAGAGGAGAGGGAGAGGACATCCAAAACTTGTCTTCCCACTTTTCTCGATAGCCTTCATAAGCACCATTTCCTTGGTCTAGAAGTTCAGCACGACAATACATAATCCACCCGCGGAGACCCTGCAAATATGACTGACAAAATTCGCCCCCGGAAGCTCAAAGCCTGGGTCTCTTTCGCAAGAGAATAAGAGGAGATTTAGCAGTCTCTGATGGAATCTTCACTCGTTGAAACCAGACTGTTTACTTCACTCTATACCTTAGAGGAAATGGGAGAAAGCGTTTGGCGGTAGTGTATTAGCTCGGAACTTAACCTTATCCATTTTCTTCGCTAGAATATCGAGTATCATGTTTCGAGAATTATCCAAGAGCTCTGTAATGACCTAATATTACGATAAATATTTGGGTTAAGAGGGTCTATACGGTTTAAAAACCACTCTAATATATTAAGCCCTAAGTAGGAACTTATTAAGGGGATATATAATATTGATATTTACAGTTAGCCTCGACAACAGTTAATAAGTTTAGCTGCCTGAGAACCTAGTGTATCAAAAACTACAGCAACGTGGGACCCACGAACCCTATCTCTAGTATAAAGTAATAGACCTTGTGTTGATTAATTCTATATCTATAATATTCCCAGCGAAATATCTAAATCGATCTATCATATTGTAACCTATATAAAGGAGTATAAATCTCCATACAAGGTGATATTTGGTTATATCTATAAGGGACTGGAGGATATAGATATTAATAAAGTAGTTTAGTAGAAAGAAGATGAGATCCCAAAAGCTCGGTACTGTTGTATGATTACTAGGCTTCTTATATAGCTATATAACTATATGATTTACGCCGGTACGGTAATGGGAGTTCTGAGCACTGAGAAAACTGATA